CCTGTTGCCGCTACACACGCACCGACAGGTGCGCGCGACCCCCCACTCGAGACAGCGCCTAACGCCGCTGTCCCGGAGCGCCCTGGGCGCGCGCGAGCTCGCGCGCAAGAGCAGCTAGTGTCGGCGTTGCCGCCGACAGCTAATGACGGAAATGTGTTGACCTCGGAGGTCGACACCCGCTTTTCAGTGAATTAGGAAGAGTCTCCGGCCCCAAAGGGCACGGATGACGCAGGCGAGTCACACAGCTCGGCCGTGGAGGCTGACGCGAATCTGATTTGATCAGATCTGGCCAATAATAAGAGCCAAAGTGACGTAGCGCCGTCAACTCCGGGAGTCGATGGCTTGGGTGAATTTGATTCGTCGGCTCCGGGAGCCGGCGCACCCTCCGTAACGGGGGTCTCCGCCAATGGTTGGCGTCGAGGTATTAAAGTCGCGACGGTTCCGGGAACCGGCGCTGCGAAAAGAAATTTCGCGTCGACTCCGGGAGTCGACGCACCCCTTGTAATAAAGGGCTCCGCCAATAACAGGCGTCGAGGTAATAATGGCGTGTCGGCTCCGGGAGCCGACGCTGCAGGCGGTGCGGACGGTTGCAAACGTCCCGCACCGGAAAAACTTGCATGCTGTCGTGCAGCCGGGCTGCACGATGAAGCGCTGTGCGACCAAGCCTGGCTTGAAGTCGCTCGCCCGCGGGATGTACCCGCCGGCGGTATAAAAGAAGAACACCCGTCTACGGCTGGGCCTGGACGAGGTCAAGAACCAAGCGGAGCCGGGCTCCGCAAAACAAGAAGACGGCGCATGCGAAGGTCGCTGCGCAAATCTCGGCCTGGGGCCGAGATGCTACAAGAAATGTCTGCCGGTCAGACGGAGGCAGAGAAACCGGACGTCGAGACGTTGAACGTCTTGACGCGTACCTGTACCGGGTTCCAGTACAGGGAGATGACTCTCGCTAATCCTCCGACGCAAGCGTCGGAGTTGACTTTGCTTCCAGTCCATGACTGGAAGCGCTTCGCGCGTGACTTGCACGATGGATGCATCGAGCAAATATGCATTCTCTCGGACTCCGAGAGAACGAAGAGCGAGAATGAAGAACTGAGGCAGTTCTTCATGGAGAGCACCACTGAGAGCGAGGACACTCTCAGTGCGAAGACGAAGAAGGAGCGCTTTGACGAACAGAGCTGGGACTCGTCTTCAACGAGTCCCTATTACAAGATCATACGGGAGTACGCGGACGTGCTTCCGAAAGAGATCCCTGCGGTGCTTCCGCAGGGCAAGGGCATCCCGCACGAGATTGATCTCGTGCCGGGAACAAGGTACTGTGTCACGCGGCAGTGACCACTGCCGCGAGAGCAGGTCAAGGCGATCGACGACTTATTTGAGAGTCGTCGCAAAGCTGGACAAGTGCGAGAATCGAAGTCCCCGCACAGTGCTCCGATGTTCTGTGTCGAGAAGCCACAGGGCGGTTGGCGCATCGTTCATGCGTACAACAAGTTGCACGATGCGACGATACCGGCGCAGACACCGATACCGCGAAAAGATGTTATCATCGATTCGATGGCCAGGAGCACTATCTACAGTGCTCTTGATCTGCGCGATGGGTTCTATCAGATCTTCATGCGTGAGAGCGATATCCCTCTAACGGCCGTGAGCACGCCGAGCGGCATGCTCTGGGAGTGGCTAGTGATGCCGCAGGGTCTGATGAACGCCCCTGCGACCTTCAACAGGTGCGTGACGCACTTATTGCGCTCGGTGCGCGACTTCGCACCGAGCTACTTCGGATGTGTTCGTCCACAGCCGGGCTGCGGACGGGATGAGCGATGTTGAGATGCACAAGGTGCATCTCCGGAAGCTGCTTGCACTCATGCGCAAGGACAAGCTCTTCGCGAACCTGAAGAAGTGCAATCTTCGGGGCGAGCGAGATACCCGTGCTCGGGTGTCTCGTTGGGAAGAATGGTGTCCGCCCTGACCCTGAGAAGGTCAGAGTGATCAATGAGTGGCCGACGCCGTCGAACGCCAAGGAACTGCGGCAGTCCTTGGCTTGGCCACGTACTTGTGCAAGTATGTGAAGGACTATGCGGGCACGATTCGCCCGCTGTCACAGCTCCTGAAGAAGGATTCCGAGTGGAATTGGACAGCAGGCCTTCGATGCAGTCAATCAGGGCTTGACTGAGGCGCCGATCTTGGCGGTGGCCGACCAAGACCGTCCATTCCACGTTGTATATGATGCATCCGACTTCGCAATCAGATGTGCGTTGATGCAGCACGATCACGAGGGCCGTGATCGTGTCGTCTACTACCAATCGCGTGAGCTGAAGCCAGCTGAGCGCAACTACCCGGTGCATGACAAGGAACTCCTTGCCATGAAGTACGCACTCGCGAAGTTGCGAGTGTACTTACTCGGAAGCAAAACGTTCGTGGTCTATACGGACCACGCGTCGCTGCGGACGACCGTGAAGTCGCCGCACATCTCGCAACGGATGGCGAGATGGCACTCGTTCTTCGCAGAGTATAACTTCCGGGTTGAGTACAAACCCGGAAGACTCAATGCGGTGGCCGACGCGTTATCGCGTCGACCTGACTACGCTACGACTGATGCCGACGTCAATGCCATTGACGCCATGCAATCGAGCACCCCAACGTCGTCACTTTTGAACGACGTGAAGGGCACGACGCGGACGCGAAGCTCTTGCTGGCCTTCGGCTCAGCGCCTTCTGACAAAGCTCGTCAGAAGCTGCCGAAGCATCATCGTGCTCGTGCACACCGTTACCGGGTGCACGGCGGGTTATTACTCTGCAGTGCAGTCGACGGCAACGCAGACCGCGTTGTCGTGTCCAATGACCATGACCTGCGACTCAGGATCATGTATGAGTATCACGATGCACCGAATGCAGGGCATCCGGTCCGTGAGAAGACCTACCTTCTTCTTACGCGGGACTTCTACTGGGCCCACCAGTATACATGGGTGCGCAAGTACGTCCGTGCTTGCGAGGTTTGTCAACGTGTGAAGCCTGCGCCTTTCGCGCAGGCTCCCTTGCAGTCACTGCCGACTCCGTCGGAATGTTGGCAGTCCATGTCTTTGGACCTCGTGTTCGGTCTTCCCCCGGACAGCCAGGAGAACACAGGCGTTGTGGTCTTTGTTGACCGCTTCAGCAAGATGGTACATCTTGCTGCGGTACCCGCTGAAGTGACTGCGAAGCAGACGGCGCGTCTGTTCGTCGACTTGGTGTTCAAACACCATTGCATGCCGATCGACATTGTGTCGGATCGAGACCCGCGCTTCACTGCGCACCTTTGGCAAGAAGTGTTTACACTTCTTGGGAGCCAACTTTCGATGTCGACTGCGTGCCATCCGCAGACGGACGGGTACACCGAGCGCGTGAACCGCGTGCTCCTGAACGTGCTTAAGAGCTACGTTCACTCGTTCCAACACTGGAGTGAGTGCCTGCCGATGGCGGAGCTCGCCATCAACAACTCGGTGCATGCCTCGACCGGGCATACGCCGTTTTACGTGAATGTCATGAGGCACCCACGCCTCCCGAGTCTACTCAGGATGGTGGCTCCTTCCTTAAGTGGGGGAGGATCTACGACTGCAACGCAGCAGCCGAAGAATGCCGCTGACACTTGCACAGTGTCAGCCGCGACCACGCTTAAGAAGAACAAGAAACACGCGTCTGTGCAGGGCACAGACGCCAACAAGAGCAACAACAACAGGAAGTACGGGTATGTACCGGGCACAGACACCGCCAACATGGACACAGAGGCCGGGCCTACTGCTGGAAGCGAGCTGAACAAGTTCAGCTCGGACGCAATCAACTTCGTACAACGCAGACAAGCCGTCATTCGGTTTGTCCAACATGCTATAGCAGCCTCTGTCGATCGACAGAAGCTGAACGCAGACAATGTTGGTAGGGGCAACAGAAATGAATTCAAGAAGGGTCCATTGACCTTGTTAGCTACACAAAACCTACCGAAACATGCAGTTTCCGACTTCGGGGCGAGCAAGCTCGCTCCGCGCTTCATCGGGCCGTTCACAGTGTTGGCACGGCATGGCAACGCTTACACGCTAGACATTCCATCTAGCATGCGCCTCCATCCGACCTTTTACGTCGGGCGACTGAAGCCATACCGGCAGCACGAGCCACCTAGCTCGGCTGGCCCGAAGCGGAAGCCCCGGCGGGAGCGAACCTCTGCTCCAGCGCGCTCACGCGCTGGGCCAAGCGTACGACGCGACCTCCCACGTCGACGGAGATGCCCGACGCGGTCTGTGAGCCCTGAGCGACTTGAGCCCTCAGGATCGACACCTCCTTCTTCAGAGCGGCGAACTCACGGCTCTGAAGCCCCAAATTTGACCGGAATTCACAATACTATTAAGGATAATTATCACCACCCGCCACAAATACATCAAACATTATCGACACTGGCCCAAATTGAAGCAGGTGGCATATGAATACATTTGATTGGTCTGTTATTTGAAGCTACGGCATTATAGGACGACCGGTTCAGGGATGGGTTCCACACTTAGTGTACATTCTTAGCCACACTTTCCTTCGAGCATGGAAACAGGCAATGTAAATCTACGCGAGCACTTTGGAAGGGAGACCATCAAGGAAAACGACGTGTTTGCCTCGGCTCCAGTCGCTACTGAGTTTCTCCGCGTATTTGCCTTCAAAGAGCTCACACTGACGGTTGCAGCACCAGCGACGAAGCCGAAGCGCCAGTGTTGGTGAAAGCATCCTTCGACTTGCACTCCTTTGCCTTTGACTGCACTCCTTTGACTGAACGCAGCTCCACTCCTTTTTGCACGGCCTTCTCTGGCTTGTCCCATAAGATACTATCAAATGATATCGCTACTAACTTCAATTTGGGCCGGTGTCGATAATGTTTGATGTATTTGTGGCCGGTGGAATTATCCTACTATTAATCGTGATGGACTTACACAACGAAAACGGAAGTTATCACTTTGTTTTTTCGGAGTAATTCTGTTTACAAGCAAATCTTCAAGCCTAGGCGTCCTTGGCCACGATAGAGAACCAGCCTCCGTACGGCACCTCCGCCACTGTCACGAAGTCGGCCGATCCGCTGGGAGCTCCGAAGCCGCTCCATGACGCCGCACCGTTGGCCCACACCGTGTTGCCGTTGATGGAGATATCGATCGAGTCGAGCGACTTGCCGAATGTGGGCACTGAGATGGACCCCGTCGTGTTGTGCGGCGTCTCGAGGTTGGCGAAGAAGAAGCTGTCCTCGTTCTTGGTCGTCCACTCCACGCTGAAGTCGCCCGTCGCCATCGTGTAACCAGTGTGCAGCTCGCCGACGTCCGCCCCAGCGGCGTGCGGCACGAACTCCCACGTCTTGCCGGCGTCCGTCACGGGGCTCAGACCGCCCACGTGCAGCGTCAGAGACGCCGTCGGGCCCGTGGACCAGGCGTGCGCGTGCGAGATGTAGCCGCCAAGCTCGAGGCCGTAGAAGGGGTACATGAGCTCGCCCGTCTCGTAGTACGCCTCGATGGTGGTGGAGTTGCTGAAGGCCTTCAACATGTAGCCCCACTGACGACGGATGATCTCCAGCGCGAGCGAGGCGTTGCCGGGGGTGGCGCGCAAGTGAGCTTCAACCTCGACGCTGGTGATGAAGGGCGAGATGGAGCCGAGGCCTTCGGGCGACACAGCACCGTACTCGTTCCAGCGAGTGGCCAGGTTCTCCGAGACAGTGGCGGCCTGCTCCGACGACTGGGTCAGGTTGTAGCGAACTGCAAGCGAGTTGCCGTCAAGCGGGTGCAGCTCGCCGCCGGCAGCGGTGGTGTTATCACGGAAGAGGCCGGCCGAGTCGTCCCACAGGTTCGAGTTGACGGCCGTCTTGACGGCGCTGGCGAGCTCACCAAACGCCGTGCCGTTGGACGAAGGCACCTCTAAGCCGAGCTGCGGAGCCAACTCAGCGTAGCTGTACAGCGCGTGGTAGAGCAGCGAGTTGGCGGCGATGTTCTTGTCACCCTGGCCCACGCGACCCCAGTCGTACACGCCCGTGACGTTCAGAAGCATGTCGGAGGTGTCCACGTTGCCAAGGATAAACTCGAAGCCGTACAGCGCTTGGTCCCAGAGGTTCTCCACGAACTCCGTGTCAGCTGTCAACGTCGCGTAGTCGGCCAGCGCGATCAGCGTCCAGATGTGGTACGTGTCCGAGTTGATGCCTGCAAGCTGAACGCGCGGAGCGATGGGCGTGCCCGCGTACGCGAACTGTCCGTTGGTCGTGTTCTGGATGGCGTACAGCGAGTTGATGGCATGGCGAACAGACAGGAGGTTGTCGCCGTTGAGGGAAACTACCTTGGACAGCGTGGAGACGCCGAAGTCACCGGGCCACGGCGTGCGGTCGCGCTTGGCGCCGTCCACGTATACCTCGGCTCCGGTAGTCACGTTCTGGATGGTGGCATTGTTGAACCAGCCGTACTCGGTGATCGTCGGCGGGTTGGCGCGTGACTCGTTCGAAGCGATCGTGCACAGCTGCACGGTGTACGCGCCAGCATACCAGATGCGGTTGAGCAGGTCGTCGTCGCTGTAGAAGTAGCCGGCACTACGATACCTCGCCAATTTTTTTTACACCAACCTAGCAATATAGAGTCTGGGACGGAGTAACTAGGTTACGCGAAACACGCAACTCATTTCATTTCATTTCATTTCATACGATATCCGAGGTCAAAACGAAGGGCAAAATCTCTGCAAGGCACAATAAATGACTGTAATGCATCTCACATGAAATCAAAAACGAGTCCACTAACGGGAATGGGAGGGGGGGGGGGGGGTTCAGGCCGGAGTTGAGGAGCTAAATGCTCTGAGAAATACAACCGCAAGTAGTGCAGCTCACCTCCGAGTCTTGAGCTCATCGCCCGTATCTCACGGGATGAGATTGTGTGGTGTCATTCGTGTGCTGTGGACAGAAGCAAGGAACGCCGTGATTAATCAGGCGGTTGGTGGCCTGTCGATCTGAATGATACAGCTATTTTTGCTGGTCAAGCGTATCTCAATGCCATCGATCGATCATCTCTAACTAGCTAATAGAATCTCCAGCGTCGTGCTCGCTGCAGCTCGAGCATCACGCCTCGCCTACTCTCCGCGTAACCATTCTGGAAAACACTTCCAAGAGCTCAAGCACCTAACTCAAGCGACCAGAGGCGCCCCACCCCACCTCACCGTCAACCGTTCAACGACCCTCATCGAACCCAGCAACACCATGAAGATCCTCAGCCCGACCACTTTCGCGTGTCTGCCATCAAGAATTTCGCTCCACCGCAGCACGGCTCCGGGTCGGCTGAGATGGACCACATCAAGACCGCAGCCAACTTCGACGTCCAGGGCGTCCAGATGGAAGTCTGTCCGTCGGGAGACAGCCAGACCGGCAAGTATATGCGGCTCTCGGTCACGAGCCTCACCGAATTGGACACCAGCGGTGCCGTAGTGGCGAGCGTCGACAAGTTCAAACCAAAGGACAGTGACTGGACGGACATCGACACGGCCGGGTGAACGGCGCCAGCGTTTCCTCCACGACGTTCGTGTCGACTCTCGAGGTCGGCGTCGCCAAAACACAGGTGGCGTTCAATCTCACTGCCAGCGTCTACCAGGGCAACGCGACGGTGCCATACGGCAGCCAGACCATCCCTGTGCCAGCGGGCGCGCTCAAGTTCACCGCCGATATCGCTGGCTGGCCGTTCGCCGCGACCAGCAACAGCCTCGTGCTAGCTGTCGGCCTCGAAAACACTCAGTAAGCCCGTCAAGAAGCCCAAGAACGTCAGCGACTCTGTCGGAGACGCCGACATTGAGCGGGTCGATCTGGGTGACTCCATGTTCATGGACGTGCCGAGCCTTGTCATCCTCGACGGCGGAGTCGAAGAGAGTCTGCTCAACGTGTCCGTGGTGGAGGCGGCGGGCGACACGTCGCTCGAGTGGATCTTCCCGTCCTTCTCCACCTCGCTGCACTACGACCCAGTTCTGGGCGGTACCAGCGCCACGACGGCGACGACCGATAGCGGCGTCAACGCCGGTGACACCAGCGGCAGCACTAGCGACGTCAGTGTTGGCGACCCGAGTAGCAATGACGGTAGCGGCAGTATCAGTGTCGACGCTGGTAGCAGCAGCAACAGTGAAGGCAGTGCCGGATCTAGCAGTAGTGGATCCAGTACTAGCGCCAGCAGCACGAGTGCGCCTAGCTCCACCCCCGCGCCAACCACCAGCACCAACAGCGGAGAGGGCACGAAAGCGCCGACCGCGACAGCAACCACCGGACGTCATCGGCCACTTCAGCGTCTTTGTCGGCTCTAGACATTGGTGTCTTGGTGGCGGTCGTCTACAGCCTCTTCTGAAGACATGGGAGCACCGGCGGTAGGAGAAGGCTGGGGGCAACCCCAGCTATTACATTGCGGACGCCAGCGATCCATACAGTCATATCTAGTAGTTCTGAGCTACAGTTCAATGCCCGTAGGGCAGTCGATAACTCAATGAGGGGGGGGGGGGTAACGATTAACCGTGTTGTTGGTTATCTGGACTTCTCAATATGCAGAATTGTACACTAGCTATCATACACAAATGTAAATCTGGCGTCGTAGACTACAACGGTGGAGCCCGTAGGCGCCACGAGGCGTTGGTATAGAGGGCAGACTGCCGGAGACTAAATAACCGTGGGTGGGTTGCAATGAAGCGACCCAAGCAGGATGAAGTAGGGAGCTGTCGGAGGCATCGGCGAAGTCTTGCTCGGGTTGGTTGGTCCCAGACCTCGGAAAATACAGTATCATATAAAGCTCATAATAATCATTTTAATATATCATTCACCAATAATATGTATTTATTTCAATTACTTTTATATGGAGATCCCGATAAACTTGGTTTTTGTATAGTTAAACATTTTACTGAAAATTGGGCTTCAATAATACATATTTCCGTACACAAATACAGTTATTGCAATGAAATAGTTATTTTTTCCAAGGCCTGGTTGATCCGACGACCGCAAAAGAGCTCGAAAATGAGCGCCAAAGACAGAATAAACTCGATAGATCGCCGTGGCTGGGTCAAGTGGAGGCCCATCCTCGAACTGGTGTTTATTCCGGGCTGTCCAAATCACGTGGATTACGATGCAACGCGTGATCGTCCAGAGTAGTGACAGTTGCTCCGCGCTCGACACCCTACCAGCTGCCCAGTGGGGCTCCTCCAGAGTACAGATCATGGTCCAGGTGACAGAACCATCGACAAAGTTGGTCCAGTCCAGCATAACGACGGCCCAAAGCGCTGCTGCGCGAGAGCAGTCCAGGAAGATATGCTGTGCTGTCTCCACCTCGACACAGTTGGGATACCCACAAGCAAGATCACTGAAGCCGGGTATCCGTAAGAAATAGAAACGAGATCGTGTGGGGAGCAACATCCAGCTGAGGCGGAACTGCAGATCGGAGTAAACGGGAAGGACAAGACTGCGAAGAAGTTTAGTCGCCGCAATTGTCGCGGCCATCTTTGAAGCATTGGTACCGGAAACTTGGTGTGCGAGTGGGTGATCGCAGAAAGCAAATTGGGGGGACCCAATTAGCCGCCACACATCGGTCTTCTGTAGCCTTGGAAATCGAATAACTTGCTGCTGACGACGAACTCCGACCAGAGGAAGTGATGGTGTTAGAATGCAGGGACCTTCATGAAGGCCGCCAGATCTCGTAACATTGCCATAAATACTACTCAGATCCACGTAAAGGTTCATCAGGTGCCGAATACGATATGGTAATAGAGGCTTTCAGAAGCACGTATTTTTCGCAAAAACACGTAGCGAAAAACACGTAGCGATCCGATCTATTTTTGGCACGGGCGACGCTACGTGTTTTTCGATCCCGTAAACCCGTGAGAGGGGAGTCCGCTACGGGGTAATCAAACTGAAATATGCGTAAGGAAGCAGCATGCCTAAGCTTCTTCGTTAGGGTGGGTGGGGGGGCCTGGATGACAAATAGTTGGTCGTGGGCGCATTTCCCGTCTGTTAGAGGCTGAGTGCTCCTCGTTGGCGACCTTAGCTTGCGTGTGTACTCCATTATCTGCTGCTATCGGCCTGTCAAGATTCCATCTGCCCACTTGTCATACAAGGACCAGCATGGGCGGCCGGTAGGCTCCCCCGCCGCCCTAAATCAAGGCAATGGGCGAGCAGCGCCTTCCAAACCTACCTGGGGTTTGGAGAGACCACAGCCGACACGTCGTATTGGGACCACTACAGCTACAAATGTCAGGAAACCATCATGCAACCCCCAAGAAGTATGCATCCATTTCTTGAACTTGGTGAGGCGTCGATTTCGTTGCTACTTATTCCGGTGCCAACTCGCGGCATGCTGGAAGTATCGAGCATCATACGCCAGAAAGCGAGTAGACCAAACTATCATGGACCAACAAAATAACTTTACAAATTGAAACTTACAACACCCAACGTAGGTAAATTAGATGAAGACGCTGCGGACAACCGAGACACGTGTTCATGGTGGTGCAACACCAACAGATTCATTCAAGGCACGGAATGAACATGGCTAACAGTAAGAAGGCATTAATTAAAAAAAACGGAACATTTTTTACTTTACTTCACTATACTGCACATCTACGTTGGCCCAGCGATGGCGCGTGGGCGTAGGCGCTGTCGACGTGTTCGCCGAATGACGGCGCTCACAGCTAAAGTTTGTTGAGCCGAGGTTCCAGCTTAAAACGTTGCGTGCACTCGGAAGATTCCACGCTACGTATTTTTGCCACAGGTTTTTGATTTTCCGCTGAACAGCCGACCACTACGGAAAACCCGTAGTCAAAAACACGTATCAGCGCTACGTGTTTATCACTGCGTATTTTTAGAAATACCGTGCTTCTGAAAGCCTCTAATGATAGACTCGAGACCACCAGCATAAATCGTGACAGAAAAGCTGGAGCCTCAGGCCACCCAGCGTTCATGAAAGCGTGCAGACTACGACATCCGGTCTCAGCAGCAAATTGCATGCGAAATTTCCGCGTCGCCCCCGCCTTGCCTAGAAGCGTGGCTGGAGCCTCCCCACCGTGCCCCAACATCAGAAGGGGGTGGGTTGAGTGCCAAATATACGAACGCAGCAAAGATACTTGACAGTGAACAGGGTCAACGAGATCACCTCGTTGAAACCACGCAACCGTAGACCACGCTTTCCATGTACGTTTCCATCATGTAGAGAGGAGATTGACTCGGACCACCGCCGATGGAACATTATACGGACAGGTGATAAAGTCGAATGGATGCTCCGTGGAGCTGTCGATAACTCAATGAATGAATTGCATTGGACGCTTAGCCAGATACCATACTATCATGGTAGTCCTTTTTACGATGCCTAAAATGGCCAAGCCTTTTTGAGGTGCTTGGTGAATGCACTGTCAATCAGCGGCACTGTGACGCTAATACACGAGAAAGTATCCCCTTTCCAGCCAGTGTTGTTGAGAGCACCGCGTGCCACCTCCGGTAGCTGCTCCCACGTGACAAGAGCTTGGAGCTCGCCCGCTTCCTCGGTAAACTTCAGAGCCGTCTCGTGGAAACGAAAACTGGCGTAGTAGTACGCAACTTTCAGACTCGTGCCATTCAGGTACTGAGCGAGCTACCGGAGGGGCCTGACTCTTGTAGCCTGTTTTCTCTGAAACCGTCACGGCCTTGATAGTCGGATTGTTCAACTCCGGGTTGTCGATCCAAGCAATGACGTATTCCCAGTTTGTGACGATGAGAGATGCCAATCCCTCTGTCAGATTCCGAACCTTTAGGGAAGTACCAGGTGTACATAATGGCCCACACATCGTTGTACCAAGTCGAACGGGAGTAGACCTGGGAGCCTGTGGAGAAGTGCTGAATATGAATTGTTCTCTGAGAAAGGCGGCAAGGCCGATCGACTGGAAGTATGGGAGATCAGCGATCGAGAGACAGGCAGCAAGGATCTGTGGATCAGAGGGGGTTCTTCGGGAGATCTCATGTGGCCCGATGACGCCGGCGCGTAAGGCAGGACATGTGGCAAGCCGGATTGTGGATGATCGTGCTCGAACCGTGGCGTGATTCGGGGTCAACCCAAGCCCCGATCGACGACAGATCTCGCAGATCTACGACGGCCGAGGACGGAAGATGATGGATCGGCGGCGTGCGGCAACCGGCACAAGTCGTCGATCGCAGATCGGGAGTCGATCGCCGATCGGGAGTCGATCGTGGATCGGGAGTCGATCGTGGATCGGGAGCCAATCGTGGGTTGATCGTGGATCGGGGATCGACCAGATGGGATGCACATGGAGGACGAAGTCAGGACAAGAATCCAGTGGTTGTGGAGTTGTAGGATGGTAGATGAGATGGTAGCGGTAGAGAGACACCAGCTAAACATAAATCAGAACGCAATTTGCACAGAAGACCACAAGTACCCTCAAGTCGTCAAGCCCCAGGAACTACATTGACCTCGGCAAGCGTTGACACTTCAGGTAGTGAGCTAGCGGTACGGTTAAGACTGGATTAATACATTGGCCAGCTTGACCTACTCTAGTGATCTTTTTCTCGTGTGCAAGTCCTCGATCGACCGGATACGGCTTGGCCGGCGATCGCTGCGTCTCTCAATCGATCTCGATCCCGCTAGCGGCAAGCAACTCAGGAAAGGAAGGAACACACCCGGAAAGGCAACTACAGACCGTGGATCGACTCCAGGCCGACCGATCGGAGCGAACAACCCTCGATCGGAGCGTATACTCGGACGCAGAGCGAAGATTCCCGCGCTGCTCCACAACCTATCCCCGCGTCACGCCAAGACATTCGATCTTCACCAAGTGCTGCATCTTCGGAGCCCCGAGAGAGCAGATCCAGCCCGCCGATGGGTACACAAGGTGAGAACAAGTTGAGCCGATCACGGATCGTTGGGGGACCCCCTCCGTTAGTCGGTGTCTGGGCGCTGGTGGGAAGCTCGATCAGGCCTTAACCTGATTTTGGCCGATCCTTCTACACCACAATGGTGCGCGTGCCCGGATCTCTTGGGGGCTCCGGATTTCACCGTGAGTCCGTAGATGATGCGCAAGTGAAGAAAGAACCAGGGGAAGAGGCGTCGTCGGATATCGGATCGACGAAGACGCTGCTGAACAAAACGAGATTCGCGGATCGACAGAGTGCTTGGAGGACTTCTGGCGACGGAATCGAGGGCGATCTGGAGACAGATCTAGAAGACAAACCTCAACATCCTCCCCAGGTCCCTTCGGGGACCCCGGTGGATCTTGGTGCGAACCGAGATTCACTAACAAAACAAACTAAGGCGGGATCGGACCGATACGCGTTCGCTGACTCGCCGATTAGGCTCGATCCGGACTACCTGGACGCGATCGCGGACAAGGACCAGATTGTGAGGAAGAAGCTGAGAGCGCCAGGTATGGACGACGAAGATCCCAGACCACCGGCGCTCGACTGGTCCGAGGCTGACCTGGATCGTCCGTATCACTTGAAGGTACTGCGAGACTTTTTGCGTCAAGATCCTGTCGTGGTGATCGTGCGACCAGAGTAGATCGACGACCCGAAGGGCCCGATCTCGGCCCCCCGAGTGACGGATAACAAGCTGATGGCGGTGAAGAACCTGCTCGGGCTGTTGAAGGAAGCCGGCTTCGTGACTGGCGCATTTGAAGCGACCGATCTTTTCGATCAAGATCTCGATGTGATCCGGACAGCGATCCAGGCATTGGTCGACAAGTTGAGACCTTTGGTCGACGTGATCGCGGACAGTTCGGACACGAAGGTGCCAGATCTAGTGGCGCCGGCTCCAGTGTCATCGCCGCGAGTGGAGTCCACTGGGTACCGATCGTCGTCACCTTATGTCTCCGCAGCGGAACATGTATCGGATACGTCGTCGGAACCTCAACGGATGCCCCTCGGCCCTTCAGGATTTGCGATGTTGGACGCACGATCACGAAGTCAACGTCAGGAACGCATGCGATCAGGACCTCGGAAGCAGAAACCCAAGTCGACCGATCGGACCACCCGTGCTACCGGATCCGATGAGTCGAATGGCAGACTGGAGTCTTATTTTCAGGCTGCCATGACTCGATTTCTGAAGGAACAACAGGCCACGGTGGTAACACCTACTCCGGTGGTCGACGACAACGTTGGATCGCGGGACGTGGAGATGGAATCAGCCAGATCACCGGATCAAGATCTCTCCCAGTGGGAATACGATCCGAACGACATTGATCTACCGAGTTCGGCCCCTGCTGCGGTGGCCACCGCTGCCTCGGGATCCACTGGGTCCTCCTTGATCCAGCGTGCGCGAATCTCGGCCATGTCCGATCTTAAGGAGTTCAGTGGCAAGGATCAGGACGAAGACCGCGCCCGATCGTGGATCAGCAAGGTAAAATCGGCGTTCCTGCGAGATCAGGCTACGGACGAAGAGAAGTGCCTGACCTTCGCCGATCTACTGACGGGTCCGGCGAAGAACTGGTACCTCCAGCTGGGTCGATCGACGCGGAACAAGTGGACCGATCTACTCCGGAGTTTCCAGATCCAGTATTGTGGCCTGGGAGTATCGGTCGCTTGGCAGTATTATCATTCTCGCAAGAGATCAGATGAATCGCCGTTGGAGTACCTCTATCGACTGAATGTGGCGGCTCTGAGTGCGAGATTGAAGATCAAGGACGGAGATTCCAAGGCCCGCCGAGAACATGTCGAACACTTTATCGAGACGCTGGGCGATCCGGAACTGTCCGATCAGCTCACCCTACTCCGGCTTGCGGACGCGGAAGATCTGGAGGAAGTCCTGCGCGCTCGAGAGCGCGCGAAGAGCAGACAGAAGCGATCTGCCTTTGGATCGAAGTATCGTCAGAAGGTTCCGACCTCAACACCAGCTGCTGCAACCAAGCGGGCAGTGCGTGCAGTTCAGATCGCGAGCCAGGAATCTGGATCGGACACAGGATCGGAAGGATCGGACTCGCAGGGTGATCTACGTCGCGTTTACCTAGCGTCGGCCGATGACAAGTCTCGCAACGTTGGGGGCGACTCGACGAAGCCGGATCGGAGCAACCAAGCGCAGATCAACCATGACTCACCTCGATCGGATCCACGATCGGATCCACGATCGCGGTCTTCACCTGACGGATCGGAGCGATCAAGCCACTGCTCACACTGTGGATCGCAGAAACACACCGATCTCGATTGTTGGAGACGTTTGACGTGCGAGAAGTGTGGCAAGAGAGGTCATCCGGCGGATCGTTGCCTGTTTGTATGCCGTGGATGTGGTGAACTACACGAGATGAGCAAGTGTTCGATGGAGGAATTCTACAACCAGATCCGTCAATGGTTCAACCCGGTGAAGCACGCTGACATGTTGCCCGTGATCGCCGAGAAGATGTTAAACTAGGACGCTCGCCGGGTTGGAATCCGGTACGAGCCGAGCGTTCTAGGTACTGCATCTATGCATTCGTGAACAAGAACACGGTAAATCGAGTAAGTGGACGGACTGATCTACGCGGTAATACATGTGATCTGCATGCGAAATTTGCCGCCAAGGTCTTAAGTCTACATCGATCGGACGACTTCAGCCGTTCTGACGCCGAGGTGCCCTTGGATCTCCAGTCTGGAGAAACGCGGGGCTATTGGAATCAACGCAGACCGGAGGGATGGTTCAAGCCAGCGGATGGAGAAGTGACGACCGAGATCCCGGAGCCATCGCGCGCTCTTGGTTCACGCGCTCCAGCATGGAAGCGAGGTAGTCCTTGGGCTGCATTCTTGGATGAAATAGGCTGGTACGTACACTAACTGGATCGTTATCTGGTTAACAGCGGAAATGCGCGAATGAAAGCTAGCAAGTAAAACGACTAGGGGCCTTCTGCTCTAAGCGTGGGCGGAATGGCTTTGGGTGGCGCGAGAAGTAATGTCACACACACGCTTCATCTCCGAACTGTTCGGCACGCTTTTGAGCCCCGGCAAGGGGGTCTCTTAGGCGGATCGGCTCAGTCTTCCGCTGATCGCGATCGAAGTCTGCCTCGCGTCAGCGAACACCGCAGATCTGGCGATGTGGTGCCCGATTTCCTCCCTGGGGAGTCCAGAGGGTACTGGAAACATCATTCTCCAGGTAAGTAGTTCCGTCAGGCGAAGATCACTGGCAAGATCAACAGTGAGAAGTCGATCTTACTCTTAGACACCGGCGCCGAGGTGTCCATCGTGGACACCGCCTTTGCTCGTAAGGTGGGGTGCTATGTCTACACGACTCAGAGCCAGGAATGTGTGGGGATTGGCGAATGCGTGTACATGACGGAAGGAAGGACCAGGATCAAGGTTACGCCGGCGGGATCGCTGGTGTATTTCTTCGATATCTGGGTTGGCGATCTATCAGGTCCTGGGTATGGACTTTATGGTTCCAGCGGGGATCCGCCTCGATCTTGCGGACGGCTCTATCTGTCTCCCCGACGAAGTCAAGATCCAGCTTAGCGGGCGGCGTCAGCTGTACAACGACAATGTCAGACACGTGTGTGTAGATCAGGGAATGCAGATCGCGATCGGGGATTCGATCGAGCTTCCGCTACGAATGAAGGTGACGGATCGAGAAAAGCTATGGGTCACCCATGGAGATCGTTGGGTGCCGACCGTGGTCCGAGGACCCGGCAGGATAAGATATCTCCAGGTTACCAACATCAGCGACAAAGACCTCGTTTTGCATCGGAATGAACGGATCGGGATGTGGCTGGCTGGAGATCGGATACCCCGAATCCCAGGATATATGTCCATCGGATCTCGTCGATACATGGAATGGCAGAATCTAGCCTTTCAAGCCACGACAGATGACCGGCCGACGAACCAGGAGGCACCAACGGGACCTCCGGTACCTGCCGTCGAGCGACCGATTTATCCAACGCCCCGAGCCATTCTCCAGAGACGCCAGATATCCCCGATCGTCGATCAGTCGACGGGTCCGCCCGATCCAACAAGCGAACCGGAGGCAATGAGCCCTGATCCGGGGGCGGCCGTCGTTGATACTCTTAGATCAGGGGGCAGACCGTTGCAGGACGATGATCGCGTGACAGAGGAGTCGGGGTCGTCTGCTTCAACTGTCCTCGTCGGAAATCCACCAGACCCACGGTCGGATCCTGTTGAGTCGGTGTGTGAACCTTCCGGATCGGAGGAGGTGTGCTCTCCAAAGCGGAAACAGGTGGGGCCGGGCTTCCAGCCTTCGCCGATCACGGATCAAGCGTGTGCACCGATAGATGACGCGAAGCCGCAAGATGATCGTGCTGGCGATCCAGAGGGGAAGCCAGATCATGTGGATTCCGGTGGTAAAGCAGCTGAGAAGGGCGAAATCGTGTCCCCTCACTTGCCATCGGCCGATCAGGTTGACGGTTGTGCCGTCGAACCAGATCTTGGGGGCGGGAGTACCGATCGGACACCCTGTTGCGGTCTTAGCTGTGGAAGAGTCGAGATCAAGTGACGATACAGCAGTCGACGGTGTTCCTGCATCTGAACGACTGCCGCAAGTGGCTGAAGACTCATCGATCGTTGGAGGTGATCAGCTGGAAATGGAGGCCAAACCCACTTCAAATCGGGACGACCTCATTGCATCCGAACCAGATCGAGATGTTGGCGCTGATGATCAGGTCCATTACCACGAGGGCGGGAATCTGTCAGCCGAAGATGTCGAAGGTGGATTAGCTGTGCTTCCTGAAATTGTGATCTCGACGACGGATGAGGTAAAGGTCGATGATATCAAGGTGGGAGATCTGGAGTTCAACACCCCGGAGGAGATCGATCGGCTGCGAAAGAAGATCTGGCACAGGAATCACCTGCTGATCGGCAAGGGCAATGCACTTCCCCCAGCAGCCCGGGGCGTCACCTGCGACATCGACGTGGACGACGCGAAGCCGATCGCTCAACGTGTCCGGAAAGCTGCCCCTCAGTTCGTGGAGAAGGTGTCCGAGCTGATCAAGGGATTATTGTCAGCCAAGATGATTCGGAAATCTCGATCACCGTGGGCCTCGCCGATCGTCGTGATCATCAAGAAGAACGGCGTGGATATCCGACTCTGTATCGATTATCAGCTCGTCAACAGTCTAACCAGGCTGATGGTATATCCGATGCCCTTGATCAACGATTTGCTGGAGGATCTCGATAAGGTACTCTGGTATTGTTCTTTGGACATGGCTAGTGGATTCTGGGTGGTGACATGACCGATCGAGCTCGTGCGATCTCGACCTTTATCACCCACATGGGTCTGTTCGAGTGGAACCGGATGCCGTTCGGCTTGAAGAACGCTCCTAAGCTCTACCAGCGACTTCTGGACGACGCGTTGTATGGGTTCACCAGGATCCCGCGATCGTCAGACTGTGAAGTCACTACGGACTTGATCGAGTCAGGAGAACCAGAAGATCCGGGGCGCACATCAGTGCTAGGTCGCAGATTGTACATCGATGACATTCTTGTGACGGCCGGATCATGGGATGAGCTGTGTGATCGTGTGGATCACCTGCTGGACGCTTGTGATAAGTGGAACCTCTCGATCAGTGTGGAGAAGAGCTCTTGGGGGATGCGTAAGGTGGACTATCTGGGACATCGTGTGTCGAACGACGGGCTGGAAACCAATCCGAAGGATCTCACCGCTCTGACTGATCTGCCGTTCCCCGGATCGCTCCGATCGATGCAGTCGTTCTTGGGCAGCCTCAATTATTACAGCCGTTTCTTGGAAGATTACGCGATCTACGCGGCGATCCTGTACGAACTGCGCGAGGTGGACTTCGCCGAGCTGAAGAAACGCCCCGATCTGCGCCAGATCCTAGATCGTCAAGTGCCGAACTTAGTGACTACAGACCCAGTGGACCCGGATCGGACTCCATCAGTTCCCGAAGTCGGTGTCGCCGATGAACGCTGGATCCGTGCTCATCGTGCCTTTTCGACCCTGAAGATGAAGATCGCGACGACACTGATCCTGCGGCACTTCGATCGCGATCGGACTTCGGTCGTGATTGTGTATGCGAGTGACTGGGCGATCTTGGCTGCATTGATGCAGGAACACGACCAGATCTATCATCCCGTTACCTTCGCCAGTCGAACTCTGAAGTCGAATGAATTGAACTACAACGTGGTGGAGAAAGAAGTGCTGGTGCTGTTACGGATTCTGGACCTGAACTGTAACATGCTGGTTGGACGATCGATCCGGGTCTTGACCCGACACTCGACGTTGGCGTGGCTGTTCCAATCGCCCGGTCTTCAAGGCCGATTGGGTCAGTGGGCTGCACTCCTATCGCCCTGGACACTGGAGATCATGAAGTGCACCAAGGGAGAGGACGAGATATTGGGGGCGATCGCCGCTAGTATTACGCCTCGATCGGATATGGACGACGCGTTGATCGCGATCGCGCCGACGAAAGAACCGCGGCGGAAGATTCAAGCCCCGATCCCGACTGTGCGCGTGGATGAAGAGCTGCTGGTGATAAGTTTCGATGGATCCGCCCGCGTCAAGCGAGGCGGGGGCGAGTACAGCGCGATCTTGTGGAAGTTACCCGAATGGAGTGTGGTGAAGGCACGATCGGGCTATGCTGAAGCGCTGCCGGTTAACGAGGCGAAGTATCATGGTCTGTTGTTGGGTTTCGACCTCCTTGACGGCGAAGGTCGAGGCAGGTTGGTGGTCTGCGGTGATTCCAACTTGGTGATCCGGCAAGTACGGGGCGAGATCTACTGCAAAGCACCTAAGCTGACATTATTAAAGCAGAAGGTGCTGGACCAACTACGGAACAGGCCAGATCACGAGCTGTTACATGTGAAACGAGACTGGAACGGAAGTGCAGACAGCCTGGCCAGTACAGCACTCCAACGTGAAGGGGGCATCGTCGTCGAGGATGAGGTCGATCATGGGGATCTAGTGGCACTGAACCGACTTGATGAGATCGTGGTTGCTCGATCGGATGAGTCGATCGCCCGACTATCGCCGATGACCTCCCGATCGGGCGCCAGATCACGGCCGAACCCGACCGTCATGCAGGAGGAGTCCGTGCGAGGGTTGCGGATCGATCGAGTTCGTCGAGCTCAAGATGAAGAAACGTGGATCGCGGGTATGAAGAAGTACCTGATGGGAGATGTGGCTGATCTGACGCAGGATGAGGCTCGATCCTATGGCAACATCGCAGCGGATTACGAGATCGACGGTGATAATCTGCTGTTCTATTGCCCACCCTCCAAGCGATCGGAGGCAAATCGAGATGGACTGATGAGACTGGTTGCACCGGAGCCACTGCAGCAAGATATCTTGCATCACTATCACTCCACTCTGGAAGGGGGGCACCAGGGGATCGGGCGTACATACCAGCGGATCCGCGATCACTTTCACTGGAGAGGTCTCTTGAGAAGTGTGCAGAAGTACGTCGGCGAATGTGTCGACTGCGAGACCGGCAAAGGACGACCCACGATCAGGGGCGAGTCGCCGGGAAACATCCAGGCGACATACCCGTTCCAGATCATAGCGATGGACCACATACCTTCGCTGCCGAAGTCGTACAAGGGTAATACGGAACTGTTGATCTGGGTCGATCTGTTCACGGGATACGTGATCGCGAAGGCCAGTTCGTCCCGAACGGCGCAGACGATCGCCGAGTCTTTCGAAGAGTGCGTGTTCCGGCGATTTGGTGCTAGCGAGATGATCAGGCATGATCGCGAACCGGGATTTATGGCCGACTTCTTCCGCGCCTTTAACAAGATCCTGGGTATGCGTCAGCGAGCGACGATGGCATATCGACCTCAAGCTAACGGTACTGCAGAGCGAATGGTACAGACGGCGACGAGAGCCCTGAAGATGTTCGTGGAGGATCTGGATCAGAGAGATTGGGATGAGTACGCAGAGCGATTGACCTTCGCGATCAACACAGCTCAAGATCGAGTCCGTGGAGACTCCCCTTTTAATCTGGTGCATAGTTGGGATCCTCGATCGACGCTCGAGGCGACGATACCTTTGGGTAGTACTCGGACTCGGGGTCGGAATCCCCGACGGTGGCGTTATCGGATCCAGAGGCACTACGATCAGGCTCGAACTCAGGTGAATGCTCGCCTACGCGAGGCGATCGCGGATCGGGCCGATCGGCACAATGAAGAAGTTCGACCACACTCGATCGAGGCTGGATCTCAGGTGTAGCTGTACCTGGATCGTGTGAAAGAGGGGTATGCCCGGAAGCTGGCTCGCCTGTGGCACGGCCCGTTCCGTGTTGCGGAGAAGGTGAACGAGTACACGATGAAGCTTCAGATCGCTGGTACGGACTATCACCTGTTCCCGATCGCGCATGTTTCGAAGCTGAAGTTGGTCAGGGACTTCCCCGATCGACCGCAGATCGCGCTCACGGTGGACGAAGCAGATCGACTTGATTTCAACGAAGTCTTACTTCCGGAGGACAGCTGGGCCCCAGATCGAGACTCGAACGAGTACGAAGTGGAGAAGACCACGGATATGCGGACGGGTCGAAGGACGCGGTACGGCCGGACTTATCGAGAATTCCTGGTGCACTGGAAGGGTTACGACGAGCCTGACTGGGTCGACGAAGCTGATCTCAACTGTGGAGCTTTATTGCACGAGTGCCTTCGAGATCGCGTGAACCGGAACCGATTCAGCGCGATGCAGTCTCACGAGGAGGAGTGAGATCGGGCCACCAGGGTGAGCGGGTCACCTTGGTGAGCGAAATGGATGACGGATCGACGGGGAGGCCGTCGATCGGAGGAAGGGGTTTCATATTACTGAGTATGTGCGTGTGAGTGCAGATCGGATGATTATGGAGCGACAACAGGGAGTTACGATGGTGGATCTTGGCTGATCGTGTTGGCGATGGATGGATCGACTCGAGAGAAATGGTGATCGACGAGGAGTTGGGGTATTACGATGAACGATGCTACGGTCGCGGCTGAGTCCCGACGTCGTGGTTGAACTCGTTGAGAAGACGCGAGATCTACAGCGCCGGATACGATTCGAGTATCGGTTCCACTAAGCGATCGTGATTGCTCGCCTCAACCAAGCGGATTGATCTGGGCAGACTAGGCCATGGAGATGCATGGAGAGTTGGAGGCTATGTCCGCAGTGAGCCGCCGTACGACCCGACTTGCGGCCAGGGGGCGGATGTGGAGAAGTGCTGAATAAGAATTGTTCTCTGAGAAAGGCGGCAGGGCCGATCGACTGGAAGTATGGGAGATCAGCGATCGAGAGACAGGCAGCAAGGATCTGTGGATCAGAGGGGGTTCTTCGGGAGATCTCATGTGGCCCGATGACGCCGGCGCGTAAGGCAGGACATGTGGCAAGCCGGATTGTGGATGATCGTGCTCGAACCGTGGCGTGATTCGGGGTCAACCCAAGCCCCGATCGACGACAGATCTTGCAGATCTACGACGGCCGAGGACGGAAGATGATGGATCGGCGGCGTGCGGCAACAGGCACAAGTCGTCGATCGCAGATCGGGAGTCGATCGCCGATCGGGAGTCGATCGTGGATCGGGAGTCGATCGTGGATCGGGAGTCGATCGTGGATCGGGAGTCGATCGTGGATCGGGAGCCAATCGTGGGTTGATCGTGGATCGGGGATCGACCAGATGGGATGCACATGGAGGACGAAGTCAGGACAAGAATCCAGTGGTTGTGGAGTTGTAGGATGGTAGATGAGATGGTAGCGGTAGAGAGACACCAGCTAAACATAAATCAGAACGCAATTTGCACAGAAGACCACAAGTACCCTCAAGTCGTCAAGCCCCAGGAACTACATTGACCTCGGCAAGCGTTGACACTTCAGGTAGTGAGCTAGCGGTACGGTTAAGACTGGATTAATACATTGGCCAGCTTGACCTACTCTAGTGATCTTTTTCTCGTGTGCAAGTCCTCGATCGACCGGATACGGCTTGGCCGGCGATCGCTGCGTCTCTCAATCGATCTCGATCCCGCTAGCGGCAAGCAACTCAGGAAAGGAAGGAACACACCCGGAAAGGCAACTACAGACCGTGGATCGACTCCAGGCCGACCGATCGGAGCGAACAACCCTCGATCGGAGCGTATACTCGGACGCAGAGCGAAGATTCCCGCGCTGCTCCACAACCTATCCCCGCGTCACGCCAAGACATTCGATCTTCACCAAGTGCTGCATCTTCGGAGCCCCGAGAGAGCAGATCCAGCCCGCCGATGGGTACACAAGGTGAGAACAAGTTGAGCCGATCACGGATCGTTGGGGGACCCCCTCCGTTAGTCGGTGTCTGGGCGCTGGTGGGAAGCTCGATCAGGCCTTAACCTGATTTTGGCCGATCCCGCTACACCACAAGCCCAAAGCGGAGCCTTTGCACTCGCCGTCTTGCTTGCCACTCCACTTCAGCCCGCCGCTCAACGCGCCGTCCTCTTGGACTGCAGGGTATGGGTGGCATCCTTCGCTGACAGTCAGTTGCGGGTTGAACTTGATGGCCGCTTTTTCAGAGACTGTGATGGGGTCACGCTGCGCGAACGGTCGAACTTGGTCGTGGGGGATCGATGCGGCTTGAACGCAGGTAAGGAGGGCAGCGAGGAGGGCACCGAAGTTCATCGCGAGGCGGAGTATTGAGGTTGGGAGCGGATTCAAAAATGACCTTACGCCACGAGCCAGAATTTTTGCGTCAAAGCAAAGAGCCGTCTTGATTATGCTCGGATACAACGTGGGTGTGATGAAAACCTCGGATGTATTGCGAACTGTAGATTGGATGGGCGGCAACAACGCGAACAAGTCTCGGCACATTTGCAGTGATCTAAAAAAACAATAGTAGATTATTATAGAAAATAACTATTTGCTTTTATTGACTTTGAAGCGACGCCATGAAGCGACGCTTCATTTTGCTAATGCGAAGAAGTGTCCATGTTCCGTTAATGTACCAGCGCAAACTACACGGAGAGTCAAGTGTCGCTTCATGGACAGCGTGGTCTTCTTCACTCTCGCGCTGCTGGTGGTCGGATTGCTGACGAGCGGCTTTGCCATAGAAATTCGCAACTTGACTCAACGCTCCGCGTCGTTGCTTTGCGGGGACAACTCGCCTTACTCTCCTAGCATCGTAAACGTGAGTGACATCAAGTATCATTCCGACCACAAGTACTACCGCACGTTGAGGAGCATGCCTTCTCTTCAGCCACCTCTCTTCCATGGCAACCACGCAGCTCTGTGCAGGAACCAGATTCAGCTCAAGCGCAAGTATCGCACGTTCAGCAATTGCTTGCCGATCTCTGGACGAAAAGATGCGGAACGTTGCAGTGGCGCCGACCGCATGAACCTCTTGGAGCAGAATTCATCCGACACAATTTGTCACGCGAGCGTCCTGCACATGCTGCTGGTGGAGGTGTACGAGGAGCTACAAGAGTTGGAGAAATCTTCTGTCGTCCTGTACGGATCCCTCCTGGGTGCAGTTCGTGATAAGGGCGTCATCCCATTTACGGAGGACGCTGATATCGGTTAGAAGAATAAATGGTACCCTTTTGCCATAGCAACCGCTGTAGATCGTCGCCCACACGGATTCTACCACTACAGAATATTTGGCGAGTGTGCCTGGCGCCTACTCATCCGCTTGCTTCGAAGTTGTACGATCCAAGTCAGCGAATCGCCTCGGGGTCTGCCATCCCGTACCTCGACCTGTACTACATGAGCAAGCCAACTCTCAGCGATGAATGAAATATCGAAGAGATGAACACGGTCAATGGAAGCCACACGATACCGGACGAGAAAGTGAGACCATTCACGCAGGTGACGATCAACGGAGAGCAGTTCAATACGGCGCATGATCCAGAATATTTCTTACAGAGGATGTATGGAGACGATTACATGACTCCAAAGCCAAGGAGGTAACGACAAACGTTTAAAACTTTCAAGCACTCGACTCGTGGAAATTCGCCATTTATTTGACTTACTACTACGCAATGCAGCCCTAAGAAGCCAAAACGAATATTCTTCTTCGCCAGACTTTCAGCTAACCGCGAGGTTTCGGGACCATGTAGTCGTCGCCGTACATTTCCTCCAAGAAATAGTTTGGGTCGTGCACGGTGTCGAATGGCAGGCCATTGATCGTCACTTGGGAGAACGGCTGCACCTTGTCGGCGGGGATTGTGTCGCCTCGATACCCCTCTATGGTCCAGGTTGTGTCGTTCAGCTGCTCCATAGCGTACAGATCGAGGTATGGGATTTTGTAGGCTTGGGCGATCGGCAGCGTTGAGCCGTACAGGCTGGCTGCAAGTGGGTGCGTGGGTGCCACACAGACCCTCCAAATGTTGAGGAAGAAGAAGTGGTAACCCTTCTGCACCAGGGCGCGGCCGACCTCGTCGTCTTCACTGAGCTCTCCACTGTACGCGATGTCGGTGTCTTCAGTGAACGGGATCATGGACCCATTCCGCACGGCACCAAGCAGCGAGCCGAAGACGACGAGCGGGGTTCTCCCGAACGCTTGGAGCTCCTCGCAGACTTCGACCAGCAGCATATGCAGCACACTCGCGTAGCACCGGGTTCCGCGCGACTGCTGCGTCAGGAGATCCATGCGGTCAGCTCCAGCGCAGAACGGAGCGTCTTTGCGACCGGAAATCGGCAGGCAGTAGCCATAGGCGAGGTCATTCTTGAGGCTGTCGCTGGCGTTGCAGAGCACCGTGTGGTTGGCGCGGAAAACTGGAGGGGGCAGGTTCATGCCTTTCATGAGGGTGTAGTATCGGTGGCGCGAATGGTACTCGATGCTGCTCGTGTTTACTGTTGTCGGAGAGCACGTGAATCCCTCGTCGCGGACGCTGTTGACTGCGGAGTCGCGGAGGAATTGGGTGATCAAGATGTTCCTCTCCAGCGCGATGTCGACGCCGACGACCACGATCAGCAGCAACGTCACGAATACGAGCATGGAGACCCCTCTGCAGGCAATACCTCTGGGCTTCTGGTCGGGCTTGAGAGCGACGCGGACTCGCTGTGGTGCGCACTGCTCGTCCCCGGAATTGGACTCCTCGGAGAGCTTGCGGCTTGTCGTGGTGGACGGCATTGGGTCTGGTCTTGTGCTTGGTGCTGGGCTCGGCAAAAGGAGGAATGACCGCCGTGTAGCAAGTCGGCGGATGTGGTGTCTGACCTTGGCGACTTGGTGCCGCACAGTATAGAGGTCGAAACGCCAGACTGGCGGCAATTAACGCTGGTTGTGAAGCAAGAGAGCCACTTCAACTGGGTTCTTTTTTCTCCTGGCGTTGCGTCGTCGTGGGAGACTTTTACTGTTCGACGTTCGATGTTTTCAAGTTGCTGCATTTGAGACGAAGGCGATCGTCGTATCAGTTGCGCCATTGCAATTCGAAGCACGGTTGTCACGTGGCGGAAGCTACTTGTTGACATGTCAACGATTTCTTTAGTGTAGTAGACGTTCACCTAACGGAAAACGTTTTGATGATCAATGCACTGAGCGCGCTGTTCTACTGTTTTTGAGCCGGAAACGTTGTTGTCACGATGTAGAACGATCAGGCGGCACTAATTGTACTTGTATGGTCTACTTTGCTAGTTTTGTTTTAGCTCGAAGGTTGGGAGCTTAAAATTATTTTTGGAGCTTAATTTTTTATCGGTACTTGTACTTGTTTTCTCTGCTTTGAAATTCTTCAACGCGAGGTGCGAGTGAGTTGATGCGTCCAGCGATCCCATAAAGAAAACCCAGATGTTTGTATAATCAAGCGCATACCAAGCCAGCATATTTTTATTACTGAATGCGTCGCCGCTTGCGGCTACTGCATTTCCACAAGTCACAAACCCGTACAGGACTAAGCAAACACAAAACACTTGACCTGAAGAATGAAAAAAAATGAACGAAAAGTTTACAAAGGGTTATGGATTCTTCAATTGAATTGGTATATTTTGCAGAGAATATCAACACAAACGCGCTTACAGGTATTCTCAACCACACTAGTGTCCGGATGTACAATTGCGCTGTTTCAATCGGCAAGATCCGATAGTGAACGCTGCAGCCGCACATAAACATAAACTATGACCAATATTGGTGTGAGTGAGCTTTGGTCATCCTTAAGTGCCGACCAAGGATACCTCAGTGCCTAGGGCTGTAAGTCGCACACATAGCACTAACCTGTAGGCAGGGGTGGGAAATATTCGAATTAATTATGTATGTTTGTTTCAGGAACAGAAAAATAAATCATTCGAATTATTCACATTTACACCAAGAATTAATCCATGGTACTGCAAGTAGCAGGGTGACGTGCACAAATACTCTGCACTGTGTATGTATTCCACAGCGCGTCGTTGTACTTGAGCATCATGACGTCCTCGAGCGTTTCGTAGTCCATCTTCTTCCTCAAGTCCGAGTACACGAGTTTTGCAGAGGAGAAAAACCGCTCGCAAACGTTTGACGTTGGCGGTATGTACGAGACGTCGACGTACGAAGCATTCTTCTTCGTAGTCTTGCGCCTCTTGTACGCAGCGCTAAGAAACGACTGCTTCTCCTTCTCCTCCTCCGCCACCACGCTTGCTCTCTTGAAAGGAGCACACGCAGCCTGTTCCCGCGCATCTAGCCCTTCTCCCCGCTGCAACTTGACAAGCCCTGTTTCCAGTTGCGGGGTGACAACATGAGACGACGTCGTGGACAGATCCTTCTTCATGCACGGGTAGCGCTTGATAGCGAGATCGAAGAGATCTCGCGCGGCTGCGAGTGTCAACTCCTCCTTCTGCAGCTCTTGGGTGGCCTCCTCCAAGTTGGCAAGCTGGGCTAGCAGCTCTTCAGCCTGCGCGAACTCGTGCGGGATGAAGAGCAGGTCCACGATCCGAATCTTCTCCAGGTACTTGAACTCCAGCATCTTCACGTGGGGGTGCAGCGCCACAAAGCGCTCCAGCATCTCATACGTGCTCGACCAGCGCGTAACGTTGTTGAGCTTGGGGTGCAACTTGCTAATCTTCTTCAGAACCGCCCTGCCCTTCACGGTTGCCAGCTTCTTCATGAACTTGTGCACCTTCTCGACCATCGTCTCGTGCGCCTCCAAGAAGGCCCTCACCGCTAAATTAAATCTATGACTTGCACAGCCGATTAACGGGAGGGCCCCTTCTTTCCGGCCGATACATTGATTCGTTGAGCAATTATCACCCACCAGGAATGACACTCGAGACCACGAACATTCATAAACGGAAAGAGTGTCCGCAATGAAGTCATAGTGGGCCTGTGAACCCATGTCAGACTCGTCGTCGAGTGGACAAAAGGCAAGCAGGATGTAGCGACGACTTTTGCAGCGACGCTCGTCTGCATCAGCCCCACAGGTCGAATCCCGGTACACCGCAAACAGAGCAACGTAATGGCGGCACGAAGCTGTCCACCCGTCCATAACGAGCCCGAACATCTTGGGAAGAAGCGACTGTATCTTGATGCGAATGCTGTTTGCTACGAGATGGATGTAGAGCTTGAGCGTCTTGGCGGAGATAGAAGAAAGTGTAGTGTTCTGCCGAGTAAGTTTTTTCTCGCAGAAAGAAAGCGGCACGTTCTCCGCCACGATCCAGCGCAACCAGTCGTGAAGGTCATGCTCCCGAGGACTCACAGGCTTGAGGATGAACGCTGTATCGCTGCGAACAGCAGTCGTAACCTAGCAGCTTTAGCGCGCCATGGGGAGTGTCGACTTGGTCGCTAAGAAGCAGCACGATGTTATCGAAGGTAAACACAGCGAGATGAGAAGACACTTGAGCAGTAGGGTTCCGGTTTCAAAGTAATTCATTATAATATACGCACTGCACGAGGAGGAAAGTCCCAGACGAAAAACCCCTTTGACCCGTTGACTACATCCATCAGATGAGCAACGGTTCGATCTCAACCTGTCCACGAGACAGATCGAGCTTTGCAAAGAACTTGAGATCAACTTTCTTGGATGTTCCTCCGGAAATCCTCATACTCCCCCTGAACTCAAGTTCCTTTGCACAACACAATCGCCATCTTCACTGAGACGATCTTTCATCGTATAGGCGACGATCTTTCGTCACACAGTCGCGATCAAAGCCTCGAGTTCATCATTTTCAAAAGTGTTCCTTTCAACTTGGAAGGTTCCGTTCACTCCCCCTGAACTCGGGCTGTGTGTCGCGCTGGCATCGCTACCGTTGCGATTGTTTACCAACGTATCAGTGCGGGAGTTCGAGCTGACCCACAAGCAAGATGTCACCACTAGAGCTCCCCATCTTCCGCTTCGTGTTCCGCCGCTCTATATTTGTGAATTTTGCATCACTTCCGACTCACCATTTAGGTGGCCGGTCCCCCTAAGCCTGCGTGTCATACTCGACCGCTAGCTCCTCATAGCTTTAGCTAACCCTCGGCCGACTCACATGTCACCGCGTGCGCTGCACCAAGCGCACCTTTCCCACGAGAACTCACGGCACAAAACGCACAAGATCTCAGAGTGCGCTTGCAGGACGACAGACACCGCTTGCACTGCGGTCCAAAGCAGCACTTTTCGAATCCGGCACGAACGTAACAAGTGCTGGTTCGGATGCCCGAACTACGCAATGCATCTCATCAATATTCTCCATCTTTCTCGGAGCAGACTAGCCACTTCCAGAAAAGACTTGAGTATGAGGATTTCCGGAGGAACATCCAAGAAAGTTGATCTCAAGTTCTTTGCAAAGCTCGATCTGTCTCGTGGACAGGTTGAGATCGAACCGTTGCTCATCTGATGGATGTAGTCAACGGGTCAAAGGGGTTTTTCGTCTGGGACTTTCCTCCTCGTGCAGTGCGTATATTATAATGAATTACTTTGAAACCGGAACCCTACTGCTCAAGTGTCTTCTCATCTCGCTGTGTTTACCTTCGATAACATCGTGCTGCTTCTTAGCGACCAAGTCGACACTCCCCATGGCGCGCTAAAGCTGCTAGGTTACGATCCAGCGCAACCAGTCGTGAAGGTCATGCTCCCGAGGACTCACAGGCTTGAGGATGAACGCTGTACCGCTGCGAACAGCAGTAAGCGTTATGTCGATGTAGTCTCTGCTGTGCTTGACTTTGACGTGCGATGTCAGGTTTGTGTAGCCTGAGCCAGACTTCTTGATGATCTCGGGGCAGTGTTGGCACTGGTGACGCGTGTCGCCTTGACGGGGGTCGCCCAAGGGCTTGAAGAATGCTGAGGCGATCTCCTTGTTTGTGATCGACACGGTAGATTGAGCAATGAGACTGGGTAAGTGGCGCTGGCTATTGCAGCACCAACGACTGTCAACCAGCCACTTCTCCCCAATTCGATTTTGAATTGTGGATCAAAAAAATATTTTTTTTACAAAATCCACATCTACCTACATCTTTATTTCAAACTTCCCATCCCTGCCTGTAGGGTCCAAGCAGGCGCTTGCTGGCATCCGGACATGTCTGGGTTGGAATTCGTTCCCTAACGTCGACAGTGCGTCACGTTAGCACCAGTGCGGATGAGGTGGTCGGGCTGTTATATTCGTAGCCCAATCAGGATCCATTCATGGTGCCATAGCGGAACAGCTTCAATGAGATTAGTTACCCTCGTTCCTAGTCGAAGTGTATATGCGAAGTTTGTCAAGAACGAAAGTCATGCGTGCTGCCTGCGATGCTTACTAGACGGATCTTTAGACCGGTAGAAATTGTCTTTTTCGTAGAGCAAGGCGCCATGTGCTAATAGCACAGTGCTACCACGTTGTATAAGTTTTATGGCTTCTTACAGCAGTAATCCACGAACAATGTAATTCCTGTAAAGCTCCGGCGTGGCTGTCCCATCAACGCAATATTTTACCAAGTATCAGGTAAATCCGACGAGCGATAGCGTGTCAGAGCTTGATATCTTCTTTGTTTGCTCAATGGAAATCCATGATTTAATCGTACTCTCCGAAAATCTTGCTCCTAGAGGATCAAAGGTTACCATGACATTCGAAAGTGGTTATGGTCATTGCAGACGTACCATTTACTTTCATACGCGTTGTAAAATTGCTCGAAATTGATAGGAGGAAATGCTGAATTCTAGATAGATAGGTTCGGCCTAACCTACTTACAAGTAGTAGCACAAACCTACAAGGTAATCTACTTGAATAGCTTAATTTCTCGCGTCGTGTACTGCATAGATCTGCGGTCGACACTGTCTCCATTTGACCATCAACACTGTCGACTCGACTGTGTTGATGGTCAAATGGAGTTGAAGTTCATGGCAGCTGTTATGCCAGGCAAATCAACCGCCAATCAGACTGAATGAATCGGTCGCATCAAAGTGCACTCGTACGCTCACGTGAACCAAGTGCAGGTATCGCAGTAAGCTACAGATTCTGGGCCCATTGCTGTTCGATTATGACCAACTTGTAAAAAAAAAGCTTACCGGCCCGTCCTTTGAGTGTCAAATTGAGACCCTTAGGACGGGTCTTGTAAGCGTCTAGAATTTAGGATTGCCAAAGAAAGAGCTACGGCGCAAATTTCCTTCCTTTCCACGGGTCAGTCCAGCTCACTTCATGTGCGTACGTTCAAGAACCTCAGTCAGTCGCTGATAGTGACCTCAGGAAGTTCGACCCAGGCCAGGGATTTCGACTCAACGCTTACGAGACTTTGCAAGTACAGCGCAGTACTAACAGTACACGAACTGTACTGGTACATGTACAGTAATCTTGGGTCAGACAAAGCTTAGCATAATCCTAACGAGGATGTTGTGCAACAACAACTGATTATGGTGTGACGTGCGCACACTTGCAGTTGAGATCTGATCGACCGCGCGCACAGCCACTCAGTCCCTACCGCAGTCGGACAGTACACGTACAGTAGTGTATGTCTGCAGTTATGCCAACGATTGTTTCCTCGGTCATTTCAACTGCTCAAAAACGAATCGAATTGATAACTTCCGCAGCATGGACACTCAAGAGCAAACAAAAGCTCTGCTTCGATACCAGCTGTTTTCAACTTCAACTCGCCCGGTCTTGCCTGATCCACGACCGAGGCCGCTTGATGAAAGTTCTGTACCTACGTTCAAGTCGCGGCGGCAATGAAACTCAAACCCTGTCGTTGGTAAGATGACCAAGTCTTATGTGCCTCACTTTCCGTTTAAGAACTATAGTCCTTGACCAAGCAGAAAAATCATGATTAACTTCAGTTTCGAAACAAGGTGCCACCAATCTGCTGGACCAAAGACTGAAATACCTTGAAGCTGTCGACGGCAACAACTTCAAGTTGCCTGCACGAACATACATGTAAACATAAATCCAGGATAAACCGCGCAGCGTACATCAAGTACATCAAAGAAACGTGGATGAACTTCTTCATCAACAGATCCCGTAGGAAGCGGGCCTCGTCAAGGCCATGACAAGCAGCTTCAAAGCGCACTCATTGCCGAATTTTCCTTCGACTACCTCAACGGCAATGAAGGTGCAAGCTACCATTGCATTCGTCGCGAGCGTTCTCGCCGCCGTCGTCTCCGGCAACGCCGCTGCTCCCTGGGAACAGTACATCCAGTCGCCTGTGTCCCGATACATCGAGCCCGTCGGCATCTACGGATCCTCCGGCAATGTCAACGTGTCCGACTTGACCGCCACGCTTTCCGGCAACGGCTCCACTGTTACGTACGACTTCGGTCAGCAAGTGACGGGCTTCATCACGCTGCACTTCGGCTCAGGCACCGCAAGTGATACGAAGCTGGGAGTCGCCTTCTCCGAGAGCGCACAGTACATCGGCATCGAGTCCGACCTGTCCACCGACATGGCCATCATCGATGGAACCATCTACGCGCCTGCAGAGCCCGACTCGAGCTACACGTTCGGTCGCGAGTTCGCCCGAGGCAGCTACCGCTACCTGACGCTGTCCACGAGCTCATCCGACGCTATCGAGGTCACGGGGGTCTCCACGCACTTCACGGCGGCTCCGGCCACGGACGACGACAAGCTCCGCGAGTACTCCGGCTACTTCTACAGCGACGACGACCTGCTCAACCGCATCTGGTATGCTGGCGCGTACACCGTGCAGCTGTGCACGATCGCTTCGAACGAGTCACGCGCCAACCCGCCGACGATCACCGAGTACGGCTGGTTCAACAATGCCACCATCCAGAACGTGACTACCGGAGCCGAGGTATACGTGGACGGCGCCAAGCGCGACCGCACGCCGTGGCCCGGTGACTTCGGCGTCTCCACGCTGTCCAAGGTAGTTTCCCTCAACGGCGACAACCTCCTGTCTGTTCGCCATGCCATCAACTCGCTGTACGCCATCCAGAACACGACCAACGGACAGTTCGCGTACGCGGGCACGCCCATCGCTCCGCGCGTTCAGCTTGCAGGCATCAACTCGGACACGTACCACATCTGGACGCTGATCGCGCTGGCCGACTACGCGACGTTGACAGCTGACACGGAGTTCGTGGAGAACCTCTGGGACCAAGCGCTATACGGCTTCGAGTTTATCCTTGGCAACGTGGACACCTCCGACATGCTTCTGAACGTCACGGGCGTGTACGACTGGGGCCGCGTCGGCCAGGGTGGCAAGAATATCGCCGCCAACTCGCTGCTCTACCACGCGCTGTACAGCTACGCTGAGTTGGCTCCGCAGCTCGGCTTAGAGGTGCCTTCGTACAACGGCACGGCGTTTGGTGAGCTCGCCAGCGCCGTCAAGACGGCCGTCAACTCGAACCTGTGGGACGACTCGGCCGGCCTCTTCCGTGATAACACCACCGCTGCCGGCGGCGAGCTGCACCCGCAGGACGGCAACTCGCTTGCAGTTCGCTACAACCTGACCCAGTCGTCGGAGCAGGCCGCCACTGTCTCGGAGAACCTGGCCACTCGCTGGAACGAGTACGGTGCTGTGTCGCCCGAAGGCCTCGGCTCCATCTCGCCCTTCATCACCAGCGTCGAGGTTGAAGCTCACTTGCGCGCCACCCCCGGCAACGCCTCGCTCGCGCTGGAGATCATCCGTCGTCAGTGGGGCTACATGTTGAAGGCCTTCAGCAACTCCACCACCATCGAGGCGTACTACGAGACGGGCGAGCTCATGTACCCCTTCTACGGCCTCGAGCTTGGCGGCTACATCTCGCACGCGCACGCCTGGTCCACAGGCCCGACGGCGTCTCTGACGCTGCACGTGGGCGGTCTGAGCCCCGTGACGGACGCCGGCAAGACGTGGGAGTTCGTGCCGCACGCCGCTGGGGCGGACGTCGGCGAGCTGCACACTGGTTACACGATGGCGACGGGCGACTTCAGCGTGGAGTGGACGACCAAGAACGAGGACAGCTTCTTCTTCGCCAACTTCGAGACGCCGCACAACACGACGGGCTCCATCTCGGTGCCCACGTTCGGCAAGTCGCTTGACTCGATCGAGATCTCCATCAACGGCAACACGGTGTGGGCCAACGGTGCGGCGTCGTGGAGCGGCTTTGGAGCTGCCAGCGGATCGGCCGACTTTGTGACGGTGCCCGAGGTGCCGCACGGAGGCTGGTTCTCCATCGTGGCCAAGGACGCGTAGGTTAGCTATGATGACGTGCTAGTGCTGGCAGGCATCCATAGAGTCTACTGAGTTGCTAACAGCGAACTCCTGTATGTGTGTTAGAGCTGTTACCACCCAGTGTACACAACCCAGTAGCGTTCTTGATTCGTGTAAAAGCACAACATGAATATAGCAATTAAGGCTGACTCTTGCGTACGAATGCCATGCATCTCCGATACATGTGCTGGGTCCCAGCACATGTGCATGCTGTGGGCCCCTGCAGCCCGCAGTTGAGGAGCTAAATGCTCTGAAAAATACAACCGCAAGTAGTGCAGCTCACCTCCGAGTCTTGAGCTCATCGCCCGTATCTCACGGGATGAGATTGTGTGGTGTCATTCGTGTGCTGTGGACAGAAGCAAGGAACGCCGTGATTAATCAGGCGGTTGCTGGCCTGTCGATCTGAATGATACAGCTATTTTTGCTGGTCAAGCGTATCTCAATGCCATCGATCGATCATCTCTAACTAGCTAATAGAATCTCCAGCGTCGTGCTCGCTGCAGCTCGAGCATCACGCCTCGCCTACTCTCCGCGTAACCATTCTGGAAAACACTTCCAAGAGCTCAAGCACCTAACTCAAGCGACCAGAGGCGCCCCACCCCACCTCACCGTCAACCGTTCAACGACCCTCATCGAACCCAGCAACACCATGAAGATCCTCAGCCCGACCACTTTCGCGTGTCTGCCATCAAGAATTTCGCTCCACCGCAGCACGGCTCCGGGTCGGCTGAGATGGACCACATCAAGACCGCAGCCAACTTCGACGTCCAGTGCGTCCAGATGGAAGTCTGTCCGTCGGGAGACAGCCAGACCGGCAAGTATATGCGGCTCTCGGTCACGAGCCTCACCGAATTGGACACCAGCGGTGCCGTAGTGGCGAGCGTCGACAAGTTCAAACCAAAGGACAGTGACTGGACGGACATCGACACGGCCGAGGTGAACGGCGCCAGCGTTTCCTCCACGACGTTCGTGTCGACTCTCGAGGTCGGCGTCGCCAAAACACAGGTGGCGTTCAATCTCACTGCCAGCGTCTACCAGGGCAACGCGACGGTGCCATACGGCAGCCAGACCATCCCTGTGCCAGCGGGCGCGCTCAAGTTCACCGCCGATATCGCTGGCTGGCCGTTCGCCGCGACCAGCAACAGCCTCGTGCTAGCTGTCGGCCTCGAAAACACTCAGTAAGCCCGTCAAGAAGCCCAAGAACGTCAGCGACTCTGTCGGAGACGCCGACATTGAGCGGGTCGATCTGGGTGACTCCATGTTCATGGACGTGCCGAGCCTTGTCATCCTCGACGGCGGAGTCGAAGAGAGTCTGCTCAACGTGTCCGTGGTGGAGGCGGCGGGCGACACGTCGTTCGAGTGGATCTTCCCGTCCTTCTCCACCTCGCTGCACTACGACCCAGTTCTGGGCGATACCAGCGCCACGACGGCGACGACCGATAGCGGCGTCAACGCCGGTGACACCAGCGGCAGCACTAGCGACGTCAGTGTTGGCGACCCGAGTAGCAATGACGGTAGCGGCAGTATCAGTGTCGACGCTGGTAGCAGCAGCAACAGTGAAGGCAGTGCCAGATCTAGCAGTAGTGGATCCAGTACTAGCGCCAGCAGCACGAGTGCGCCTAGCTCCACCTCCGCGCCAACCACCAGCACCAGGGCACGAAAGCGCCGACCGCGACAGCAACCACCGGACGTCATCGGCCACTTCAGCGTCTTTGTCGGCTCTAGACATTGGTGTCTTGGTGGCGGTCGTCTAAAGCCTCTTCTAAAAGCATTGAGGAGGTGTAGATCTCAGCTATCGCGCTGGTTGTTGGAAACGTATTACATTTTTTTAAATATGTAATTAAATCCATGAGATGAATGAATTGGAATTTTAAACAATTATGATATATTAATAAATGTGTACGCAAAATAGTTACACAATAATGGGATTCGGTACATAAACAATAAACAATAATAAGCTATTAATATCAAATCAATTATATGTATCATTTTTCGTGTGGATTTATTTTAAAAAAATGAAAACGTTTTGAAAGAAAGGACACATGTGTAAATGCCCATGATGAAACTTGAGCATGATGAAAACTTGGGATAACAACTGCCAGGAATTGTCGACTAGACAGTCAAGGTCGAAGGTGTACTCTCGATCGTTGGCGACTCTGTAATCAGAAAAGTTTAGTCACTCGCCGCCTAGGTTCAAATCTCGGTTCAATTTGAGCGGCTGCTGCCACGTTGTCCTTCCGCAAAATGTCCCGGTCGTCGACTGGTGCCGGGCTTGACCGCAGCGCTGCAGTGGCTGCTGCAAAATGTTTTGGCCGTTCGCAAACTCGCCCACGCACTGCTGAGTCAGCAGTGCTGACTCCGTAGTTCGAGGGAGCTCCTCTACAGTGCTGAGGGGGCGGTCGCTCCATGCATTCGATGTACCCACATCGGGTTCTTTTCCCACTCGTCTACACGATGATTCTACAGCGTGGTCCATGATCACGCTGCCGTGACGACAGCCCCAAACCCAAAACGCCGGAGACTGCTCTCACCAGCGTGCAGAACTCGCCGCCGAGCCCTGGATTTTCAGCAGTGTAATGCACCAACGCGCTCGAGCGCACCGGACTCTGAGTCAGCCTCACCATAGAGAGAGCGCGCCGACGTGGTGCTTCCACCCGCCAGCATTGGCCTACAGTACATACATGTACCAGCCTGCTGATTTAGGCCCCGTACTTGTGCAAGTTGCAGCGCAGTCTCTGGCCGGATCCATTTTCTCCGTTCGCAACGGCTGGATACGCGCGACCGCCGACCGTCGAGCAGTCGCAAGAGGACCGCTCAGTTCGACTTTCGCTCTCTTCAGACGACACGCGGCCGTCAATATCAATGAGGGAGCAGAAGATCGCGGTGGAGCTCGAGTCCGAGGTGGCGCGCCGCGTGGGCGCGCCCGGCAAGAAGAGCGTGCACCGGCGCAAGGAGCTGTGCACGGGCATCATGGTGTTGCCGGCGCTGGTGCTGGCGCTCATCGGGCTCGTGGCCTTCGACGTCATCATGGAGACCAACATTATCGCGCGCGTGCCGGCCGCTATGCTGGCGAGCGACGTCGACATCTGCGTCCCCACCGTCGTGAACGCCAGCGCCATCGAGTACCACTCGAACCACCGATACTACGACGAGCTAAAGAGCTTGACCGTGCCCGTCCCGCTCTTCCGGGACGGCCACACCAAGCTCTGCAACAAGAAGAGCAGGATCCAGGCCAAGTACGAGTACTGCCTGCCCATTTCCGGCCGCAAGGACGTTCCACTCTGCGCGGCGGCGGACCGCATGGATCTGCTCAACTTACGCTCGTCCAAGTCCATTTGCTACGCCAGCGTGCTGCACATGCTGCTGTTGGAAGTGTTCGAGGAGCTGCAGGCCACGGGCAACATCCCGTTCCTGGCCTTCGGGTCCTTATTAGGGGCTGTACGCAATGGCTCCATGATCCCATTCACGGAAGACGTCGACATTGGGTTCGTGGGCGAGATGATCACGCTGGACACGCTGCGGCTGCGGCTCCGCAAGAAGGGCTATCACATGTTCTTCATGGATATCTGGCGGGTCTGCGTGGCGCCCACGCACCCGTTGGCGGGGCACCTCTACGACCCAAACCTGCCCATCAGCCAGAACTTCGCCGTGCCGTACGTGGATCTGTACATGATGAAGCAGACCGACGACGGCAATTGGGACCTCCAGGAGCTGAAGGGCAGTAACGGCCGCATCCTGCCGGGCAACAAGGTGCAGCCCTTCTCGCAGGTGTCGATCAACGGAATGCCGTTCGATACCGTCGCGGACCCAAGGTTTTTCCTCAAAGAGGCCTACGGCGACGACTACATGACCCCGAAGCCTCGAGACGAATAGGTTGCCGATAGGGAGTGAAGCAACAATAGGGACAGGATAGGAAGCTAAAACTGTAGCATAAGATGTCATTTTTACTGTTAACCTGTATCAAGGGCGACTGCCACGTGGGTCGCGCCGCATGATATGAGCTGGGCCTTGACGATTGGACAGACACGTGGAAGAGAATGCACCAGGGACAGGATAAGCATGGACGAACAGAGAGTGGGGTCCCGCGTCGCACCGTCGCCCAGTCTCATTCATAGCGCGATCACGGCTGGACAAGGAGCTTGAGGAGGGCGTCGCTATGGAGAGGAAGGAGAGCAGACCTCGACGGCTGAAGGTGCTGCGGAGTATTGCGCTGGCGACGAAGGGGGCGACCTCGCTGCCGCTCTTGGTGCTGGTGGTGCTCGGCCTGCTCGTCTTCATGGAGACGCGCATTTTCCACTACATTGGGGGTCAAACGGAGACGGACGCGAACGCCTGCACGCCCAAAGTGATCAACGCCAACAATATCGAGTACCATTCAGGACACAGATACTACTCCGCTCTGAAGGGCATTGGGGCGCTGCCCCCTCCAGTCATTCGAGAGGAACACGCCAGACTCTGCAGCAAGATCAACCGGTACAAGGCCAAGTACGAGTACTGCCTGCCGATCTCCGGGCGGAAGGACTCGCCGTTCTGCACTGCGGCTGACCGCACGGACCTGCTTAACATACAGGTTAAGGATATCTGCTACGCCAGCGTCCTGCATATGCTGCTGGTCGAGGTGTATGAAGAGCTACAGGCTAAGGGGGGCGATCCTTTCCTGGTCTTTGGATCGCTACTGGGAGCTGTGCGCAATGGCTCCATGATCCCGTTCACTGAGGATGTGGATATCGGCTACGTGGGCGAGCTCGAGGCCGTCGACAAGGTGAAGCTTGCTCTGCGCAAGAAGGGCTATCACATGTTCTACATGGGCATTTGGAGGGTCTGCGTGGCGCCGACGCACCCACTGGCAGGCCATTTGTACGACCCAGAGCTGCCCATTACCGAGAACTTCGCCGTCCCGTACGTGGACTTGTACATGCTCAAGCCCACAAGCAGCGGGGACTGGGATATGCAGGAGCTGGAAGGCAGCAATGGCCGACTCCTCCCAGACGACAAAGTGCAGCCGTTCTCCCAAGTGACGGTCAATGGGATGCCATTCGATACGGTGCATGACCCCAAGTTCTTCTTGAGAGAAGCCTATGGCGACGACTACATGACCCCAAAGCCTCGAGAAGAGGAAGATGGAAGTAACCGGAGAGAGAAGCCCCCAATACGATAGGTTAGTGAATTTGTAGCCGTAAGTGTAGAATTACTCAAAGTTGAATACAGGCTGGAATTGCTTTTGTCTTGTTGCCTTGCGGTGTGATCTGCATGGGAGCTGTCCACGTCAGCTAGCAGCGCGATAAGAGCACCAACGCTCGTCCTCCGCCACCCGCTGGAACTGTAAGCAGCGTTGCGTTATGCTCTACCTAATCGACCGAGATGAACCAGCATGTGTTCAAGGGTACCGGTAATCAGCATCTTTGGGATCGACTCGAGACGCGCAGACACAATGGTAAACGAACAGAAACAAGGGAAGGCGCCAATGCTTGGACGATTCCACCTGCTGGAGCGCAGCGTCGCGGCGCCGTATCTCATCATTTCCGCTTTTCCGGGCTTACGCCGTAAGCCTTACGGCGCGCTGCAGTGAAGTGGGGTCCACTCACAAACGCATTCCTGTCAGCGAGGGGCCAGCATGGACAAGAAGCTCGAGGAGGGCGCGCCCCACCGCGTCGCGGGGGCTCCAAGGTCAATCCTGAATTGCAAGGTGTCCTGGCTCAAGCTCGTGTTGGCTCTGGCCGGCCTCGCAGTGCTGGGCTTCATCACGGAGTCGCGTCTGCTCTCGGAAATGCCCGAGACGTTTGTGTTCGACGAGAACTACACGTGCATCCCCCGAGTCATGAACGCCAGCGCCAACACGTACAACTCGGGCCATCAGTACTACACAGCGCTCAAGAAGCTCAACCACGCGCCAGTGCCAACGTTCCGAGGCAACCACTCGTGGCTCTGCGAAGAGCAGTACCGAGACCACATGTACTTCGGCTACTGTCTGCCGATCTCCGGCCGGAAGGACACGCCGTTCTGCGCCGACGCGGATCGCATGGACTTGCTGAAGGTTCCGTCTCCTAACTCTACGTGCTACGCCAGTGTACTGCACATGTTGCTGGTGGAGGTGTACGAGGAGCTCAAAGCGACGGGGAACACGCCGCTGGTCACCTTTGGCTCGTTGCTCGGAGCTGTTCGGAACCAGTCGATGATTCCGTTCACGGAGGACACGGACATTGGCTTTGTGGACGAGTTGAAGGCTGTGGGGGAACTGTACGAGGGTCTTAAACGCAAGGGCTATCACATGTTCGGGTTTGGAATCTGGAGGGTTTGCGTGGCGCCTACGCACCCGCTCGCTGGGTATTTGTATAATCCGACGTTGCCACTCACCAGGAAGTACACGGTGCCCTATGTGGACCTGTACGAGATGAAGAAAGTGAACGATAGTTACTGGGACGTCGAGGAGCTAGATGGCAGCAACGGCCGTCTGCTCCCGACGGATAAGGTGGAGCCGTTCTCCCAGGTGATGATCAATGGAGTGCCGTTCGATACGGTTCACGACCCAAAGTTTTTCTTGACGGAGGCGTACGGAGACGATTATATGACTCCCAAGCCACGGATGGACGAGACCAATTCGACCAGTGGCTCTGGGTCTGCCAATAGTACAGAAGTGTAGGTAGGAGGCTGTAAGATACTGTAGAATGAATCGTGTCTGCTGAGCGTTTTCGAGTGAGGGCACGGATATGAACTCATAGTGGCGCTGACGCGAAGTGAAAAGGGAGCTGCGTGGGTGGAAATGACGATCACATCGACCGAGCAGTCAAAAGACCCCTTCAACAACCGGGAATGCAGCTGAAACCAGATATTCAAGCAAACAGTCCCTTTCGAGTCGAAAGGGAGTAAACTTGTTGATTGTGGGACCGAAAGACGTGGTGAGGGCGTCCTGTAATCAAAGTAAGGCCGACTGGCGCCTGCATCCGGCTTGCAGCGATAGTATCGCTGCGATACAGGACACCAGAATCCTAATGCATGGTACCTCTGTGTCGCACCGTCACGCGTTACTTTTGTCTCAACACTATCACTTTCTTTTTCCAGTGGCCGAGTGACCCAAAACGAAAGCAGAATGGCCAGCAGCACGCTGGAGGAAGGAGTCGTCAAGGTCAAACATAGCGCTGCCCCAAGCTTCACCACAATCCAGAACTCTTCGTCGCTGCTCAAGTACGCATGGAGAGGAACACAAGCAGCAAGAATCCCGATCTTCAAGCTGCTAGTGGCGGGACTTTTGCTTTTCGACCTCATCATGACAATTGAGATTGTTTCGTACGTACCAAAATCCCCCGAGTACAACGAAGAAGTGTGCTCACCAAGAGTGGTGGACCCAAAGAGAGTCAACTATCACTCTCAGCGCAAGTTTAATTCAACGCTGAAGACAACAGACCTCCCGCCCCCGCCAACTTTCCACGGCGACCACACCACGCTATGCTACGAGCAGGCGAGGATGGCAGCTCAGTACGGCTACTGCCTCCCGACCTCCGGCAGGAAGGACACACCGCTTTGCGCTTCGGCGGATCGAATGGACCTACTACACCGCGAGTCCTCCAAGCCAATCTGCTACGCTAGCATTCTCCACATGCTGCTAGTTGAGGTTTATGAAGAGCTGCAAGCAACTGGAAATACCCCATTCCTAGCTTTTGGAACGCTGCTCGGAGCTGTGCGCAATGGATCGATGATCCCATTTACTGAAGACGCAGATATTGGCTTTGTTGGAGAGATGAAGAGTTCTGACGCGGTGATACTCGCGCTGAGGAAGAAGGGCTATCACATGTTCTTCATGGATATCTGGCGGGTCTGCGTGGCACCGACACATCCGCTAGCAGGAAGCCTCTACGACGCAAACCTGCCTATTACCAAGAACTTCGCCGTGCCGTACGTGGATTTGTACATGATGAAGCAGACCGACGACGGCAATTGGGACCTCCAGGAGCTGGAGGGCAGCCACGGCCGCGTCCTGGCGGGCAACAAGGTACAGCCATTCTCTCAGGTGTGGATCAATAGAATACCGTTCGATACCGTCGCGGACCCCAAGTTTTTCCAGAAAGGAGCATATGGAGACGACTATATGACGCCCAAGCCGCGGAAAGTTGAGTTTACTGAGGAAGATGAGGCGAAGGAAGTAGTTAGACGATGACTCAGTAGCCGCAAATGTACAGCCGGTGGTGTGAACTTTTATGCAAAGTTGCAATGAGCTTACATGTCTGATTGTTAGGTTTCAATTGGAAGCTGACGAATTTTGAGTAGAAGGTAACTCAATAATTGGTAAATGTCGCTTTGCCGCATTAGCTAGAAATTTTTCCATGATCTTTTTCATTTGTCAGATCTGAAGTCTACCGGCGGCCATCGACGAGTAATTGCGCATGGTTTAGCTTTGGTTTTTCACACTGTGGTGCTTTTTTTCCTACAAGAGCAGCCACGTTTTGTAATTTTAAGAGAACTGCCTATATGATGGACATTCTGCGGTACAACTTGTCCCGTACGAGTACTATCTGATTCAAGAGAAGAAGATCATCCCTAACTGTAAGCATCAAATATGGTTTCTGCTTTGGATATTCTGTGGTACTGGTACTCTCTAATCAGAGAAAACCACTCCTTAGTGTAAACATCAAATATGACTGGCTTTTCATGTCAGTTTTGGGATTGAGCACTTGGCGAAGCCCGCCACTACGGGACTTGCAAGATACTCGCACGCTACCGCGTGGCTCTGCTCCGATTGTTTCGGGACAGGGATTCATATCTGCGGCACTGTGGTAAATTCCTCCCTTGGTCAAGCAGCCCCAGAGATGATGACAAGGTGCAATCGATACAGCAACTTATCTCGCCGAAGTTGCGCTCTATAATTCATTTGCTTGCATGGAACCATTACATCCGCCACACTGGGACCGGATAACACCGCTGTGTGACTGCATTGCAGTCACTGCAATGTAGTGTATCCATCAGTACAACATGTATACTCTGCACATTGTAATCAATGATTATCTTTGGGATCGACCCAGGACAGGCGGGCAGACAAAGCATACCGTAGCTTATGTCACAAAGTGAACGGGCCGAACAGCCGGACGACTCAAGTGCTTTCGCCCTCTCTCGCTTGATGTGGAGCACGAATCGCAGAGCCTCCGCTACGTACTTGCTGTTTTTCCCTCTCACTCTTGCTTTTGCCGGTTGCTGCACACAAGTCACGACCCCTTCGACTATCGAGGAGTAAACATGGACGACAACAAACTCGAGGGAGGAGCAAATACTCCTGCAAAGCATGCTTCGACCCCCAGCTTCGTAGAGGCGTGGAGAGCTTCCCTAGGTTGCAAGAGGCGGGTGCCAGTGATTCCAGTGTTCTTTTTGGTGCTAATTGGACTCGTGGTCTCCGACCTTGTCATGGAGGCTCAGATCGTGTTGCGCGCGCCTGAAACTATCCTGTCCAATACAACGGAGGCTTGCTCGCCCAACGTTGTACGCGTCAACTTAAGCGAGCATCACTCCGGCCACCGGTTTTACTCGGCGCTGAAGGAGACCCACGTACCAGTCCCAACCTTCCGTGGCAACCACACGTGGCTCTGCAAGGACCAATGGCGAGATCAAATGAAGTTCGGCTACTGCCTGCCGATCTCCGGCCGGAAGGACACGCCATTCTGCACTGCAGCCGACCGCATGGACTTGCTCAGTATTCGCTCGCACAATTCAACTTGCTATGCCAGTGTACTGCACATGCTGTTGGCGGAGGTCTACGAGGAGCTCAAGGCGACGGGGAACACGCCGCTGATCACGTTTGGCTCATTGCTCGGAGCTGTTCGGAATGGGTCAATGATCCCATTTACAGAAGACACGGACATTGGGTTTGTGGACTATTTGAAGGCGAAAGAGCAGCTACAGGAGGCGCTTTGGCGGAAGGGTTATCACATGTTTTTCTTGGGTATTTGGCGGGTCTGCGTGGCGCCGACACACCCACTTGCAGGTCGTCTGTACAATTCCAGTATGCCTCTGACCAAGAAGTACTCGGTGCCGTACGTGGATCTGTACAGGATGAAGAAGCTCTACAATGGAAAGTGGGATATCCAGGAACTGGAGGGCAGCAACGGACGCTTTGTGCCGTACGACAAGGTGGAGCCGTTTTCTCAGGTCACGATCAACGGAATGCCGTTTGATACCGTGCAAGACCCGCACTTCTTCTTGAAAGAGGCGTACGGAGCGGATTATATGACTCCAAAGCAGCGAGAAGAACCGCAGATACCAGCAGCGTTCGTTTCTAAACAGAAGCTACTAGAGGTGATAGAGAAGATGTTGAAGAACAAAACGCCATGAAGGATGTAGCTATTGGTAATTGTCAACACAAAGTAGCTACTATTATTCTAACTTGGTAAGTTACTTCACCCCAACAACAAATATTAAATTACACGAATTGCCAGAAGAAAAATCCGTGAGCACCAACAGCAACGTGGGGATCTCATTCCAAAGACGGGGGGGGCTGCAGCAATCATAAATTTTGGTTCACAGAACGGTATATTTCCGGTGCAAGTGAACGAAGTTTTACGCTAACGCTTCACATTCCTGTCCCGATTAGCTCAGCGAATTATCCATTAGAACCAACGGGATCAACCAACTATATGGTGCATGTACGTACGTACTTCAGAAGTAGGCTCCTCCTCCTCGGCGAAAGAAGGATTGCTGCCGTCAAGCAGTGTGTACTTTTGAAGTACATGTACTTGGAAGACATGCAGCCATTGACGGACCGTTAACACGCAAATCGATGTCATGCCTGTTTCCAGAACTACCAAACTACAGTCAACGTTCTTTGGTCGTGGACAAGATAAAGAGGAAGAGAGCCATCCGCCGATGTGATCATCAGCGACGTCCTGAGGCGGTACACTGTGGTCTCTGTGGCCAGCTTCTTCTCAACAGTGTGCCTTGTGAGCCGCGGCGCCGTCGGACGTTAGTTGACGCAAAAAAAAATCAACAACGTCATGTACTAACTCGTGCTTATGCAGTCAGTACCTATGGGGAGCTCACTGAGATCTCGTGCATTACTGACACCTTGCTGGATTTGAAAACGTCGAAGTTCTGATGACCCGTCCACTACGGTCACCTGGAGCGGAATGCATACTGTACCAGACAAAGATGGATATCCACATGAATCGACATGCGGGAGAGCACGGAGCCCCCTGCATAAGCTTGGCAAGTTATAATGGCCATGGTGGGCCTGTGCACAGACTCTGGGCGACGTTCTCCTACGTACAGATACTGTAGATGCCTACTGTCGTCGATCTTGTTCCTTTTAGTCCGAACGACTACTCTAGGCCACATTACGTGTTCTTGAACTGTTTGAGACGGCTCAACAGTTGTGAGCGCCTTCAAAGTGGCGACAGCCGAAGATTGCTCGGCAACGCCACCTTCTCACGAAAGTGCACCGTCTCATTTGGCAACGTCACCACGTAAATACCGTGTGCTGTAGACGAGAACTGTTATGCTCTGCAACCAGGCTCATAGTTACATGTATTAGATGTAATAAACGCTGTCAACCTCGACTGGGCCCTAATATCAAGGCGAGGGCTTCGCTCGCACCGAAATGTAGGCGTACATGTACATGTACTAGGAAGTTCCTGAGTCCCGCTGCAGGATATGAACGGGATGGAAAATGCTGCATGCGATGCGTGATCCCACGCACAGGGCAGCGCCATCAACAGACGGACTTGTGAACAGAGTGAAAGCCCTTGCCTTTTCAAGACCGCACCGAACAGTAAAAAATGGGACCGTCTCAAGGGCTCAAATCGGCCAAGAAAGCAGCTTGATGTTTCCCTGTGGATGTGCTGGTCGCCGCCCGTGTTGCGTTTGCAAGCGTTCATTCATTCTTGCTCTTGCAACCAGCGGCTCAACCCCCAAGGGCCTTTCACGCGCGTAAATCACCATGGTCAAGAAGCTCGAGGAAGGTGTAGACGTGATCAAGACGTCCCCGCCTCGCCCCGTTGGCTGCGTGAGTCGATTCTTGCTGGCTGCAGAGATTTCTGGACGTGATCCCGACGTTTGTGCTGGTGCTGATCGGCCTCGTAGCGTTCGGCCTCGTCATGGAGTCGCACATTGTCTCGTGCATGCGCGTACCTAAGAGCACCATTCTCAACGAAGAAGAAGTGTGCGCTCCTGCAGTCCTGAACGCCAGCACTATCGAGTACCACACAGTCCACCGCTACTACTCGGCGCTCAAGGAGATGGACCCACCAACCGCACCAACCTTCCGTGGTAAGCACACGGAGCTCTGCAAGGAGGACAAGAGAGCCAAGATGAAGTACGGCTACTGCCTGCCGATCTCCAGCCGCAAGGACACGCCGTTCTGCACTGCCGGCGACCGCACGGATCTGCTCAGTGTTCGCTCTCCCGACTCGGTGTGCTACGCCAGCGTGTTGCACATGTTGCTGGTCGAAGTTTACGAGGAACTCGAGGCAACAGGGAACTCCCCACTGATCGTGTTCGGGTCGCTACTTGGCGCCGTCCGCAACGGATCGATGATCCCGTTCACCGAAGACACCGACATTGGGTTCGTTGGGAGGCTCAAGGCGAAGGAGCAGCTACAGGACGCGCTGTGGCGAAAGGGCTATCACATGTTCTTCATGAACATTTGGCGAGTCTGCGTGGCGCCAACGCACCCGCTCGCTCCCAAGCTGTACGATCCGAGTTTGCCACTTACAAGGAACTTTGCCGTGCCCTACGTGGACCTGTACCAGATGAAGAGACTCAACAATGGCAACTGGGACATCGAGGAGCTTCAGGCCAGCAACGGCCGACTAATGCCGTACGACAAGGTGGAGCCCTTCTCGCAGGTGACCATCAATGGCATGCCGTTCGACACGGTGCGAGACCCGCATTTCTTCCTGAGGGAGGCCTATGGCCCCAATTACATGACGCCGAGGCCGCGAAGAACCCCTGCTCCGGTGAGACCGAAGGCCACGGATTCGGTAATGAACGCTACCAAGACCACGAAATGAGTTACGGAACCCGCGAGGAACTTCGTATTGTAGCAATGTTAGTTGAAGCGGATAGTCATCGAATAAGTAGAAGTAGTTTTTTTTACATGTAGTTGAATTTCTTTGTTAGTTTCAAGGTTGAGTCCCGATACTTGCTGCTGATAGGATAGATAACGTGGCGAAATGGCTGGGGTGAAGCTCCGATGTAATAGGAAATAGCGAAGCATCTACGCGAAGAGGAACCAGTGTTCTCATAGCTGTCCGTACAACGGATACGTGGCAAAAATCCACACTCGGTATCGTGGTGTGACCTAGTGACGAGCGACAATGCGGGTTAGTGCGTGCCGATAGCTTTCGCACCACCTTGCCTTGCCATGGAGGTGCCAGCCAGCCGAACAGCGAACGGCAACAGCAACCGTCTGTCGCACACCTGCTGCCCCGCGTCGCGCGTCCCCATTGCCAATCGTCCCATCGCTCTTAGCTTTCCTGGTTTGTGCGGCACAACGCAACACATGGAGCTCCGTTCATTAGCCTATTAGCTTCACGCGGCAGCAAGGATGGACAAGAAGCACGACGCTGGGGACGTCGAGGCTGCCAAGCAGGCGCCGCCTCGCCGCGGTGGATGCGTCCGGAGGGGTCTGCTAGGCTGCAGAGACTTCTGGACGGGCGTGACGGTGATCCCGACCTTCGTGATGGTGTTGATCGGCCTGCTGGTGTTCGGCCTCGTCATGGAGTCGCACATTCTCGCGTACTTGCCCGAGGTCGCCGTCCTCAATGGCATTGAGGAGGAAGTTTGCTCGCCCAGGGTGTTGAATATGAGCAGCATCGAGTATCACTCGGGTCACCGGTACTACGCGGCGCTCAAGGAGATGGATCCCCCGAAGCCGCTGACGTTTCGTGGCAAGCACACGGAGCTCTGCAAGGAGGACAAGAGAGCCAAGATGAAGTACGGCTACTGCCTGCCGATCTCCGGCCGGAAGGACACACCGTTCTGCACTGCCGGCGACCGCACGGATCTGCTCAGTGTTCGCTCTCCCAAGTCCGTCTGCTACGCGAGTGTGCTGCACATGCTGCTGGTGGAGGTGTACGAGGAGCTGAAGGCGTCGGGGAACACGCCGTTGATCACGTTCGGCTCGCTATTAGGTGCTGTTCGGAACGGGTCAATGATCCCGTTTACTGAAGACACGGACATTGGCGTCGTTGAGAGGATCCGCACGAGGACCGCAGTGCGGGAGGCGCTCTGGAAGAAGGGCTATCACATGTTCTTCCTCACTATTTGGCGGGTGTGCGTGGCGCCTACGCATCCGCTGGCAGCGCGTTTGTACGACCCAGAGATGCCTCTGGCCAAGAATTACGCCGTGCCCTACGTGGACTTGTACAAGATGAAGAAGCGAGTCGATGGGGGCTGGGATATCCAAGAGCTCCAGGGCAGCAACGGCCGTCTCGTGCCTGGAGACAAAATGGAGCCCTTCTCGCAGGTGACGATCAACGGGATGCCGTTCGACACGGTTCATGACCCGGACTTCTTCCTGAGGGAGGCCTATGGCCCCAATTACATGACACCAAAGCAGCGAATGACACCCGGAGTTATTACGAAAGACTTGGTGAAGGAAATGTTCAAGAAGCTTGCACTCAGGGCCAAGGGCGGCACACCATAGAGAAGATAGGTCCAGGAATCACGTGGTGTGTAACCGGGTACTTCTCTGGCCCACTCAAGAAACAACATTCGGCATTAAACCTCAATTTGATGTGAACCACATGTCGCATATGATTGGGTGTATTCAACTGTTTCATCTTACTATTGGCCAAAATAAATGGGTCTGCGCATGTCGAGATAATCGCGTAGAAAAACCTCAAAACTGTAGCCCTTCTAACTCGTCTCCAACAGGCGCTACAACATCGACAACCGAACATAAGGGAAAGCAGTCACTCGCGATTACGGTGATACAGTCAAACCTGTTTATATGATCCTCTCTATTTGAGCCATGCCGTTTATTTGATGCAGGCTTTGTCGCTACCAAATATTTCACTTAGTTTTTGTATGATCTCTGTTTATATGCATACAAGGTATATGAGTCACATTTTTGGGGACCAAATTAGGTCTCACCTGTTTATTTGATTCACACTGCTCACGGCCACACACTCTTCAAAGCACTACTGCTCAACACTCAACGCCTACCGCAAGCCTTCTTCGCTCGCCATGTCTCCTCGCACCTGTCTGACGCTAGAACAAAAGCTCCAAGTGCACCTAAAGCTCAAGCAGAATCCTGGCATGAAGAACCCCATGCTCGCCGAGTGGATCTACGCAACTTTCAAGGCCCGCGTCAGCCGTGCCACACTCGCCCGACTGCGCAATCTGCCTTCTTCCTACTTCAGCCACGTCGGCCTGAGTGCGACCAAGCGGCGCCGAGTGAAATTCCCTCAGTTCGAGCGGGACTGAGGGAATTTTTCTTTCAGAACGAAGCTAAAACGGCGATGGCGGACGACGTGCTCCTGCTGAAGGCGCATGAGCTGGCGGAGCGCTTAGGCATCGATGCCACGCAGCTCCGGCTAAGCAACGGCTGGCTTCAAAGCTTTAAGAAGCGCAATGGGATCCGCTCCTATACGCTACACGGCGAAGGTGGCGCTGTAGAAGCTGATGAAGTGCGAGATGCGAGGCTAGAGCTACAAGAGTTGGTGGCGCAGTTTACACCCGAGAATGTGTTCAACTTCGACAAAACGGCGCTTTTTTATCGCTTAGCGCCTAATCGAACGCTAGCTACGACTATTCGCAAGGGCAAGAAAAACGAGAAGCAACGTTTGACTTTGGCCTTCTGCTGCAACGCGACTGGCTCCGACAAGCTCGACCCAATAGTCATCGGTACGGCCAAGAACCCGAGGTGCTTTAAAAAGGGAGCGGTGATTAAAGGTAAACCTATATTGTACAAGTCCTCCAAGAACGCCTGGATGACATCCGTCATTTTTGACGAATGGCTGCACCTCTTCAACATGAGAATGGCGGCCGCCAATCGCAAGGTCCTACTTCTAGTCGACAATGCTTCATGCCACAAGATTCTACGAAACCTGACTCATGTGACTGTTCACTTCCTCCCTCCTAACATGACATCCGCCGTACAGCCGCTGGATGCAGGTAAATATTTTATCTATATTGTGGTGTAGCCTAAACTAACCAACTCTATTACGGTGTTTTTTTATTCAGGTATTATCCGGTCGTTCAAGGCTCGGTACCGAAAGTATTTTGTGCGGTGGTGTTTGGATGCACTTGAAGCTAACATTACACGCAAGCTCAACGTACTGGAAGCTGTCCAATTCTCCATTGATGCTTGGGCGGGTGTGACGCCAACGACAATTACAAATTGCTGGGTCAAGACTCGCATTTTGGGAAGAAAGATGCTAGGAAGGACCCGTGCTGACACGGATTACATTGAGGAGGTATCCAGCAACGAGATGGAGGAGTTAACGGCGATGCTATCGAGGTGGGAGGGTGCTGTTAGCGCTAGTGAGTATCTGGCAGTGGACGAAGACGTTCCTGTGCACGAGCCAGATGTGCTAGTGGACGGAGCGGTAGGAAGTGATGCAGTTTCGCAGGACGAGCAGGAGGACGAGGAGGAACAGGAACCCGCAGTTCAACCTGCCATTGCTCTGAGACACTGCATGGAGCTGGCTGCATTCTGCTGCAATGCGGAGAGCAGACTGACAGAGAACGAAGAGCTTTACAGACCGTGACCGCTTTGGTTCGAGAGACTACGGTGAAGGCAAAGCGGCAGCGAACTATGCACGATTTCTTTACGTGCACCACATAATTTTTAACTGAGTCCATTTTATATGAGTCATTGTAGTAGATGGTCACCAACAGGGCCTCATATAAACAGGTTTGACTGTATTTTATTTTCTAATATCGCTAATTTTTGACGGCACCTTGCTAAAAAACCTAATGTTGCCTAAAACGGACTTCAGATAAAAGGCTGTTTCTCTTTTCTCTCTGCTGCTAGATTTTTTTAAATCATAGCGTGAAACGAAGCAAATGCGCAGCTTTCGGTTGAGGTATTGCGAGTCACCAAACGATTTTTTTGTAAAAAATTATGTCCAGAAAACCGAAGTGTTGTTTCTTATGTGGGCCAGAGAAGTACTTAATTTTTAGTGTGCATTTGTTCTGGAATTTGCTGGCAGTTTGCGTTAGCATGAAATACGCCAGGTTGACTGGGTTGCGCGCGTTGGAAACGCAGTTCGTGTCAGCTCGTTCAGAGAGCGAGAGCATAAAGGTGCCACAACCCTGAGTGGCATTCTCATTTTAAAGTCTTGGCGTTTAAATTGCTGTTGCATGCTGGAATACAAGCCCAACAAGATCACAGCAACGAAGCGGTGAAGTTGTACATGTATATGAAAGATGGAAGAAGAGGATAGTTCTCCTCGTGGTTCCCGCGTGTCAAGACAGAGGCGTCAACTCTTGTGCATCTTCGTTCGGAGCGCGGTTGACATCATTTTTCTGTTCGTCCCCACCGAAGGAGACAGTAATGGCCTCAAGTGGACTCAAATGATCTTGCCCTCCGATGCGTTGGGTTCATCTCGCCGGACGAAGCTGACACGAACTGCGTTTCCAACAGAGGATCAATATGACACGCTTGAAGTGCAATCAACGATTCGCTATCTATTCAAACGTTCCTGCTGCAACGTCAAGTGGAACAAACAAGCGTGCCATATAATCCTCACGCTTTTACTGGCAAAGCTCGGGGCTCCTTGCAGCCAGTGCGACTGTCTCAAAGATTTTTTTTTCACGCAACGCGAGAAATAAATGAGTGCACGCACGTGTGAATACGACCGCGCCCTCTGCAGCCTACCTGTCTGATCGGCAGTCATTCTCTCTTTTGCTGTTCGCCGCTCAAGTCGCGGGTCGTCGAGAAACAAACCGTTGACCACCGAAATCGCCATGGAGTTGAAGCGCGACGAAGGTGTCGAAGTGGTCAAGCAGCACGCTTCTCCCCACCACCTCGGCTTTCCACTACGAATCTTCCTGCGGTGCCGGGACTTTTGGACGGGGGTGACGGTGATTCCGACGTTTGTGCTCGTGCTCTTCGTGCTGATGACCTTCGGCCTACTCGAACCATCTCCTGTGTGTCTGAAGTTCCAGTTCTCTTTCAAGAAGAGACCTGTTCGCCCAAAGCCGTGACCCCCAACACGACCGAGTACCATTCGGGCCACCGATACTACTCAGCACTCAAGGAAATGGACCCCCTTCCAGCCCCGACCTTCCGTGGTGAGCACACTCAATTGTGCGAAGAAGATCTCCGCAAACAGGTGAAGTACAGCTACTGCCTGCCGATGTCGGGGCGGAAGGACACGCCGTTCTGCACTGCTGGAGACCGCACGGACCTGCTAAGCGTCCACTCCCCCGACTCGGTGTGCTACGCCAGCGTGTTGCACATGTTGCTGGTCGAAGTTTACGAGGAACTCGAGGCAACAGGGAACTCCCCACTGATCGTGTTCGGGTCGCTACTTGGCGCCGTCCGCAACGGATCGATGATCCCGTTCACCGAAGACACCGACATTGGGTTCGTTGGGAGGCTCAAGGCGAAGGAGCAGCTACAGGACGCGCTGTGGCGAAAGGGCTATCACATGTTCTTCATGAACATTTGGCGAGTCTGCGTGGCGCCAACGCACCCGCTCGCTCCCAAGCTGTACGATCCGAGTTTGCCACTTACAAGGAACTTTGCCGTGCCCTACGTGGACCTGTACCAGATGAAGAGACTCAACAATGGCAACTGGGACATCGAGGAGCTTCAGGCCAGCAACGGCCGACTAATGCCGTACGACAAGGTGGAGCCCTTCTCGCAGGTGACCATCAATGGCATGCCGTTCGACACGGTGCGAGACCCGCATTTCTTCCTGAGGGAGGCCTATGGCCCCAATTACATGACGCCGAGGCCGCGAAGAACCCCTGCTCCGGTGAGACCGAAGGCCACGGATTCGGTAATGAACGCTACCAAGACCACGAAATGAGTTACGGAACCCGCGAGGAACTTCGTATTGTAGCAATGTTAGTTGAAGCGGATAGTCATCGAATAAGTAGAAGTAGTTTTTTTTACATGTAGTTGAATTTCTTTGTTAGTTTCAAGGTTGAGTCCCGATACTTGCTGCTGATAGGATAGATAACGTGGCGAAATGGCTGGGGTGAAGCTCCGACGCAATAGGAAATAGCGAAGCATCTACGCGAAGAGGAACCAGTGTTCTCATAGCTGTCCGTACAACGGATACGTGGCAAAAATCCACACTCGGTATCGTGGTGTGACCTAGTGACGAGCGACAATGCGGGTTAGTGCGTGCCGATAGCTTTCGCACCACCTTGCCTTGCCATGGAGGTGCCAGCCAGCCGAACAGCGAACGGCAACAGCAACCGTCTGTCGCACACCTGCTGCCCCGCGTCGCGCGTCCCCATTGCCAATCGTCCCATCGCTCTTAGCTTTCCTGGTTTGTGCGGCACAACGCAACACATGGAGCTCCGTTCATTAGCCTATTAGCTTCACGCGGCAGCAAGGATGGACAAGAAGCACGACGCTGGGGACGTCGAGGCTGCCAAGCAGGCGCCGCCTCGCCGCGGTGGATGCGTCCGGAGGGGTCTGCTAGGCTGCAGAGACTTCTGGACGGGCGTGACGGTGATCCCGACCTTCGTGATGGTGTTGATCGGCCTGCTGGTGTTCGGCCTCGTCATGGAGTCGCACATTCTCGCGTACTTGCCCGAGGTCGCCGTCCTCAATGGCATTGAGGAGGAAGTTTGCTCGCCCAGGGTGTTGAATATGAGCAGCATCGAGTATCACTCGGGTCACCGGTACTACGCGGCGCTCAAGGAGATGGATCCCCCGAAGCCGCTGACGTTTCGTGGCAAGCACACGGAGCTCTGCAAGGAGGACAAGAGAGCCAAGATGAAGTACGGCTACTGCCTGCCGATCTCCGGCCGGAAGGACACACCGTTCTGCACTGCCGGCGACCGCACGGATCTGCTCAGTGTTCGCTCTCCCAAGTCCGTCTGCTACGCGAGTGTGCTGCACATGCTGCTGGTGGAGGTGTACGAGGAGCTGAAGGCGTCGGGGAACACGCCGTTGATCACGTTCGGCTCGCTATTAGGTGCTGTTCGGAACGGGTCAATGATCCCGTTTACTGAAGACACGGACATTGGCGTCGTTGAGAGGATCCGCACGAGGACCGCAGTGCGGGAGGCGCTCTGGAAGAAGGGCTATCACATGTTCTTCCTCACTATTTGGCGGGTGTGCGTGGCGCCTACGCATCCGCTGGCAGCGCGTTTGTACGACCCAGAGATGCCTCTGGCCAAGAATTACGCCGTGCCCTACGTGGACTTGTACAAGATGAAGAAGCGAGTCGATGGGGACTGGGATATCCAGGAGCTGGAGGGCAGCAACGGCCGTCTCGTGCCTGGAGACAAAGTGGAGCCCTTCACGCAGGTGACGATCAACGGGATGCCGTTCGACACGGTTCATGACCCGGACTTCTTCCTGACCGAGGCGTACGGAGACGACTACATGACTCCGCAGCAGCGGACAGCAGCGCCCAATGCTACGGAGCAGGCAAACGCCACGACGGCCACGAAATGATATTATATAGAGGTACTTTTAGTTTGATTGACTCTGGTGGCGTTCCGATTCGATGGGCTTGCATTGCCGAAGTGTCGAGCACGCTTCGTGTACGTGTCGTGGAGACCGAGAGCTCGTGGGGAGGAACTTTCCAAGTCGACGGCCACCAGATCGAGGCAAACTATACACCGGAGTCTGCCTGACACGTGCCACTACTGCAATAGCAAAATTTAGTTCGTGGCTCCTGGTTGTGAATGAGGCGGATGCGCCGCTAAGACGACGAATGATTAACGCCGAGGAGCGCATCTTCCGGGAAGTGTACACTGCCAACCGCTATGGATATCTATGGTGCTGCCGCTCCAACTGGAACCCAATCGGCGAAAGTCTGGAAGCGCGTCGAGCTGAGTTGATGGTCACTTCTTCAATTGGGGGATCTCGTGGCACTTTGGAATCGGAGGGCCAGTGCCCATGCAGACGCTCGAGCAGAGGAGGGCCGCGGAGAAGGAGCGTCACCGCAAGAGCATGGCTCGCAAGCGTGCAGAAGACAAGGCCACGCTGCTCGCTCGGCGCGAGGAGTGCGCGGCGCTGATCGTCCAGCAGCGCCCGCTGTTGGCGGTGTCGTGGTACCAGCGCGAGTGCGAGAAGCTGGAGGTTTTGTCGCCCTGGAGCGTGTTCGGCGGCCCGACAGACAGCGACGATGCCGTCTTCAAGCCTGCAACCAAGCTATCACTGCTGCACGACAAGTATACCGACCTTGTGGAGCTCGGGAACGCCATCCACCGAGAGAACGCCGAGCTGCAGCAGGCGCTGAATAAGTACGAAGTGTTCGAGTCGCTGGTGGACGGAGACCTCACGCGCGTGGCGTCCGACCAGCACAAGACGCAGCAGCAGAGCGAAGCCCCTTCGTCCCAGCGTACAAACAGTGGCGGCTGCTGGGTGCAGTTCACAGAGGACGAAGACCCGTTCTACTACGAGGCAGTGGATGCGTCCGCGTGCCACGACGCCGTCGTAGAGTGTTACCCTCTGTGCGTGAGCCACCACACGCGGTTCATGCAGCTGGAGCAGCCCCAGCAGTTCTTCGGATGGAACGTGCAGCGCCTCGCAGACAGAGGTAGGAAGTTACCACCACTTCCACTTCTCCAAGCGGATCCTGTGCGCCGACGCAGCGTGGACGACCGAGTTCGTCGGCGACGAGGCGTGGCGAGTCTTCAACACGCGCGAGCTGTACGAGCGGCAGCACAGCGCTCGAGTGGTGATGCATGTGCTCCAGTGCATGGATGAGCACACCACCGTGGCACTGCAGAGTCTCCCGGCGCCAGACAATTCGGTGGCTCGCCGCTGCCTCACGTTAGCCTCCAAGATCAGTATGGACGGAGAGGGGCGACTGTGCGTGGACATCCTGCTGCTAGGCATCAAGCCGCCCGAAGATATGGCGCAGCAGTCGGGTGCTCAGTTGGTTCAAGACCTCTATTAGTAATAAATGGGCGAAAAATGGGACTTGAACCCATAACATAACTAAAAAGAAAACCATGATAAAAGCATGTGCAGTTACAAATGAGGATCAGCTGCATCAGCAGGTTGGCGCCCACGGCGTCGGACAGTGACGTGGCCATGCCCGATGCCGCGCGCTTGTGCCGTCGTTCGTGGGGCTGCTGCGGGTCCAAATGCGGCGCGACCGGAGCCGGAGGAGGGTCGGGAGATGTGCCCGCGTCTGGGGAAGAGAACGAGCCCCCACCCACTGGCGGAGACGCCGCGGAAGCCTCCATCAGGTCGGCGCGGCGAGCTCACCTCAACTCATAACAGCGGTGGAGCATGTGGTTTAATTCGATAATACGCGCAGAACCTTACCAACTCTTGCTAATTTTTATATAAAATTTTATATAAAAAACAGGCGTTGCATGGCTGTCGTCAGCTCGTGTTGTGAAATGTTTGGTTAACCTCTAAACTAGCAACTAGTTTATTAAATATTAATAAAAGTACTCTAACGAAAAAATTAATGATAGGTTAATGGAAGGTGGCAAGTCTTCATGGCCCTTATGAGTTGGGCGACACACGTGCTACAATGATAATCACAATGAGAGGCAATAATAATAAAAGTTGGAGCAAATCTTTAAAAATTATCTTAGTTCGGATTAAGGGCTGAAACTCGCCCTTATGAAGTTGGAATCGCTAGTAGTCGCAGAACAGCATGCTGTGGTGAATATGTTACTGGACTTTGTACACACCGCCCGTCACATCAGGGAAGTTGATTATTTTTAAAATGATTCTTAATTATTTATTAAAATTAAATAACTATTCAATTAAAATAGTTTCTAATTTGTATTAAATAAATTAAAATTCCAAAAAAGTGCTTAGTAACTTTGATGTTAGCGTAGATGCACAGCAATACAGGATGTGTGGACGCGGTTCGTCACGTTGGCTTTCGCCTGTCGACCGGCTGAAGCACCCTCTTGTAACAAGAGGAGTCTTGGTGCATTTTGCAGCAGTGATGCACCCTTGTCTGGCCCTGTATCTGGCTTCAACAGCGCTGCTATCCATCGCCCGCCGCATTTTGATCGCTACGCGAGATATTTGTTTACCTGCAGTCAGGTTCCAATTGCTTGCTGGGCGCAACTTGCGGCTGTAACGTCTCCGAGCTTTGAGATTCCCGACGTGAGATTCACGCTGCGGGCAGCTCGAAGCTCTCTACAGCAACTTCAACCACAAGAGCACAGGCTGCTCGGAGCGAGTAGAACGAGTTTGGACCAACAAGAGTCGCACTCCTACCTCCATGCCGATAGCTTGCGGCAGTATCGCGCACCAAGACGGTCGGCACCAAAACTTTTGGCGAGCAAAATGGCAATAAAAAGGCACAGCATTCGAAGAAAGCATGAATCCCTCAAATCGTACATACAAACTGCAAGTCAGCTGATCAATTTACAGCATAGGGATGAGTCGGAGAGCTCAAATCTGCACATACGCTATCAAGCACCTATCGCAATCAGTCCATACGGCGTTGTGGCCAGAGCCACATAACATAGCACCTAGCAAGCAGCGCAGCAGCAGCGCAGACGCAGTTGAACCCTCCCTCCTCCCCTCTCGTGCATTGCATCCCCACCATCTATCAGAACGCGAACTCTCCAGTCGACGCAGCCAATCGAACCCCGCCGCGTTACAGCAGTCGAAAGGAAACTAAAGTGAGATATCTCTCCATGGCGACGACTTCCACGGGGCCGCGGTCCCCGCTGTCCCCCACTGACCTCGTGGTGAGCCCCATGGAGGACATGAACGTGCTCCAGTTGATGCAGGAGGTGCAGGCGGCGGCAAGCAAGGCGGACGGGGCGGAGGAGAGCAAGGCCGAAGCCAAGAAGAGGCGCCACCGGGAGAACATGGCCAGAGGCAGGTCCCGCCACAACGCGCTCATGGCCAACATGAGGAAGCAGTACCAGCATCTGCACGAGAAGCTCGAGACGGGCATGGTGGCGTGGCGGAGGCGCCGTGCAGCTACGTCGTCGTCTGCTGACGCAGCAGCTTCAGGGCCTGATGGGGACGAGGACGGCGGCTACACGTCGGCGTCCTCCAGCTCCACGACGGCCACCGTGGGGATGAACCGGACGGAGCTCATGGCTCAGTACATTGAGGCTGTGGCGACCGAGAACGCCATCCACAAGGAGAACGAGGCACTGGCCCACAGACTGGAGCAGATGGCCATCTTCGAGACCACGCTGCGGGTCGACACGCCCGAGGAGGTGGACCCGAACCTGCTCAAGGTCGACACGGAGCTCCCTGCGTGCACCGTGAAGGCTCTGAACCGACCGGGCTACTGGTCCTACTTCGCAGAGGACACGGAGCCGTTCTACTACGAGCCGATGGCCGCTGCGACGTGCTACAACTTGATTCGGGAGAAGTACCAGACGATGAAGGCCCACCACGCCATGTTCATGAAGCGGCACCTGATCGAGCAGCCCGTGCAGTTCTTCGGCTGGACAGTGCAGCGCTATCTCAGTGACAGGCGCAAGATCGAGTTTCACTTTACCAAGCGCATCCCGTGTACAGACAGCGTGGCGCTCGCGGAGGCGCTGGCTATCGACGGCTGGCGCATTTTCAACGACCCGGAGATGTACCGGAGCTGCTACCGCTCGCCTATTGACGTGCGGGTACTGCAGCGCGTGGACGCTTTCAACACCGTCCTCATTCGCAACTCTCCGGACGCGAACCGCTCGCATCGCTTCCGGCATCTCAACATCTCGTCCAAGGTCGCGGACGAAGACGAGGACGGCCACAAGTCGCTGTCCATCCTGACGCTGGTGGTGCCGCCCCCGGACGACTTGGCCAACACCAACAGGAACGGCGTCGTGTACCTGCGCGACGCGTACACGTACATGCGCTTCGACATGTTCGAAGACCACGTTCAGTTCACGTACGGCGGCCACGGAGACTGCCTCAATGAGGCCCAAGCCAGGTACCTCTTCGTCGAGACTGGCAACGTGCTCTTCCGCTTCGAGCAAATGATCCGCCGGTCGAATCTCGTCACATTGGGGTGAGAACATATTGTTTCCAGACCTGAGCACAGGCACACTTGCATAGTGCTTCGTTTCATGCGGAAGATTGCCATAACTAAGTTATCATATTCTATTTGGTTCAATGGTTATAGTGAGTGGGGCAATTCAACCTGGTTAGAAGTCGCCGCCGAATTCTTCGCCCCCTCCATTGTCAGCGTAGCAAGTGTTGTCGCTACCTCCATGGTATCCATGATGTCCTCCGGCGTTAGAGAGCGCTTGACCAACGAGAAGACCGCCGAACATGCCGGCGACACCTCCGAGCATTGCGCTGGAGCCTGCACCCATTCCTCCTCCGTTGGGGTAACCACCTCCACCGTACACCGGGGCGCCATACACAGGTCCTGGTGCGTATGCATACCCAGGAGCATATCCTGGTGCGTACGCGTTGGCGTGACCTGGAGCGTACGCTGCTGGAGCTTGGACGACTACGGGCGTCATCGCCGGCTGGGAAAGAGCTGCGTATCTGTTCGCGCGGCAGCAAGGGCACAGGCACCAGAGGATCGAAGACGCGACGAACAGCACGACCACAGAGCCGAAAATGGTGCCCCAACTCGCTCGAGATGAGGAAGACGAACCCGTCGTTGAAGTCAAAGAGGAAGTCGGCGCTTTGGTTTTGCTCGTTCGGCACTTGCAGGCGTAGTTGGACACGTCGCACGTGGCTTTGCGAGGGCAGCAGCACCTCTGTCGCTGGCTGGCTCGGTCCAGCCAGTTGCCGCAGAACTGCCCGGGAGCGTCCATGTACGCGTGCGAGCAGTCCCCGGTGCTGGCGCACACTTGGCACCCTGAGAGCGCGGCTTCCGTGACGTCCGAGGAATTTGAAGACGCGAGTGGAGTGGCTTGGACTGTCATTGCTGCGGCGAGCAGAGCTAATAGCAGCAGCAAATGCTGAGAGCGATGCTGCCTCATCATCGCAGCGAGCCGCGAGCTCGGGCCTTTGATGGAGCGTCCAGGAAGATCGAGAAGTGCGTGCGGCGTATCATGTCCAGGCTACAAGAAGCGCTATTTTTGAGGAGATAAGACGCGAGTATGGTTGAAGCAAGCCGGCAAGAAGCAGCGTGACGTCACAAAACTCTCAACGAAAGACCCACGCTCTCTCTTCAGTAATGTAAGACTTTGCGTTAAAGTTAACTGGGGTAATACAAAAGAGCCTCCATCGCCTACCAAAACATCAACATTGCACTGTTGAAGCCGCTCTACAGCTCGTCCTTCATGATCTTGCGCAGCTCGTACGAAATGTGGATGGCGCTTGGACGCTGCGCCGGGTCGAAGGACAGACATGCGCGCGCCAGCTTGACGATGGACGGCGGGCACGACTCCTCGAAGCTCGGCTGCAGCTTGCCAGCCGACACGAGCTGCAGGATGGTCACGTCCTGCATCTTGCCGCCGTTCGTGTTGGTGGCGTCGTAGAACGGCGCCTTGCACGTGTCCAGCTCCGACAGCACCACGCCGAACGAGTAAATGTCCGCGAACTCCGTGTAGTGGCCGCCCAGAATGACCTCGGGCGCGATCCAGCGAGCCGTACCGACACCAGCGGTCATGGTCTCGTCGAAGCTGCGGTTGCGCGAGATACCGAAGTCGCTCAGCTTGGCGCCGGTCTGCGCGTCGATCAGCACGTTGCGAGACTTCAGGTCACGGTGGATGAGCTTCGGGTTCAGCGTGTGCAGGTAGACGAGCGCGTCGGCGATGTCGATGGCGATCTGGCACTTGAGGTTGGCCCACGTCAGCGAGCTGGCGCGGCTCGAGTCGAGCAGCGACTTGAGGTCACCGCAGTCCATGAACTCCGTCACGGCCTGGATGGTCAACGCGTTGGACCACGAGACACCGATGAAACGCACGATCTTGGGGTGCTCCAGACGCGCCATGGTCTTGATCTCCGTCGCAAAGGCCAGCGCGTCCTGCATGGTCTTCTTGTCTCCTAACAGCCGCTTAATAGCGACGTTCTCGTTCATGTACAGACCCAGCCACACTTCACCGAAGCCACCGCGAGACAGCAGCTTAACCGCTTCGACATCGCGGTGGTCGATACGCGCGGCCAGGAGATCCGGGTCGTCCCAGATCGATGATCCGAAAGTCGTGTCACCGCCCGTAAGACTCGAGCCAATGTCTGTGCCGAAGATGGTCGATCCGTTCTTGGTGGTAAACTGGCCGCCGTTCTTCTTGCGGTACCACAGGAACGCGATGATGGCCAGCACCAGCACGCCGCAGCTCACGCCGAGCACGATGGCCAGCGTGTGGCTGCTGCCGCCGCCGTCGCTGGACGAGGACGTCGACACCGCGCAGACCTCCACGTTCGCGTTGCTCAGCGTCGTGGCCGCGTATCCGGAGCCACAGTCTGAGATCGTCACGGTCGCATCAAAGCCCGCCAGGTTCTGCAGCAGCGACAGCTGCGAGTCCGACACCTGCAGGTTGGTCAGGTTGCAGTCAGTCATGTACAGGTACTTGAGCGCGCCCGACTCGGCCATGATGTAGATGTTGTCCGGGATGGTCGTGTACGCGTTGCCGCTGAGGTTGAGCGTCTGCAAGTTGTCCAGCACGACGGGGAAGTCCGTGAGCGAGTTGGCGGCCAAGTTGAGGTCCGTGACCGTGCTGAGGCCCGTCCAGACGTCGCTCGAGTTGTCCGGCAGGTCCGTGATGTAGTTCATGGATAGGTCCAGCTTGGTGAGCGCCGTGAAGTTGGCGAACTGGTCCGGCACCTCGTTCAGGTTGCCGTTGGTCACGTAGAGCGTCTGGTAATTGGTGGCCATGGACACGGAGCTGATGGTGTTGCGGAGGTTGATGCTGATCAGAAACATGCTCGTGGCGGTCGAGGGCGTGTCGAAGAAGGTCTGGTCCAGCGAGATGTCCTTGATGGTGCTCTTGTCGATGGATTCGCTGGGCGAGCCCTGCAGTTGACTGGGGTTTTGTATGTGGCCAATAACATAATTAGGTTACACTCTGAGTTACACCGTACCCCATACAAACTTCAAGTGAAAAGCCGTTAAAAACGTACACTGAGAGCGTCGAGGTGCTGTACGTGAGCTCGGTGATCTCCGTCACGTAGGCCATCGTCTTGGTGTTGGCCTCCTTGTTGGCGTCCAGCGCCAGCAGCCACTGGCCGCCGTCCCAGAGCAGCGAGTCCAGGCACTGGTAGGTGACGTTGCACTCGGTGCTGGTGCCGGGCAGCGTGAAGCTGCTGTCGCTGTAGCACGGGCCGCTGGCGCCCATCTCGACGCACGACTCCTGCGACGGCGAGTACAGCACGCACGGGTACGAGTCGCAGTCCGAGGGGCAGCCAGACGAGGTCAGCACGTTCTCCGTGAGTGCCGTGCACTCGGCGGCGCTCGAGGAGTCGGCGCACAGCGCCAGCAGCAGCGCCGAGAAGCTCCAGGCGCGCAGCATTCGAGCTAATCGGGGGTTACTCTGCGGGATACGCGCGCTTTCAAAAACTAACTGGGCCGAGTCGAGCACCGGCCGGTGGTGACAGAAACTGGATTTGGGCGAGGGCTAGGGCCGCTTTGTATGGAAAATTGTATGGCAGAGGCGCCGCGTGTAGGCTACACAAATGTAGCCAACCGCGACGACCGTGGGACGACCATTTTTTAGTGCTGGCCCCATGGTAAGAGGCGCGTGGCGCTGGGCGGCGGACGCCGAGTCGCCATAGATAATACTCGGCAAGCTTGGTTCTGATATTGCTGTGTGAGCAGGACGCAATACGTGTATCACTCGCAGTGCGGGTGAGCCATGTAACATGCGCTGCGGGCCGACTGGCGAGCCAAAAGTGCAATGGCCTAATCGTCCGGGAAAAACAGGCTGGCGTGCGAAAATTTGGAGTGGTCGCTGCACGGAGGGAGTCGATGTAGCACTTCCTTGATCATCGCGATGCTTGTCAAAGCCTCATACGTCACTAAACCCAGGGGATCAGTCCTCGCTTTTACGCAGGGACGGCAATTTTTGGGAACGCCAATTTCAAGTGCGAAACAAGTCAAAATTCAACAAGCAGCTATCATACCGAAAGCGGCGCTGGGAGGTGGAGGGAGCCCCAGGGCATGAAGCATGAAGCGTGGCGACACCTTCGCTCTTGACGTCGCTCTAAATGGAAGCGTCGATGTTTGACTTGCTGGGGCGACGCTCTGGCTCGAAAGATCTGCCGACTCGAATGTAGCCATCCATGACAACTTCAACGTGACGGCCGGCACAGTATCAAAAACGCTGGGCAAGTCGAGCTTGGTCTAACCACGATGTCAGGACATGGTGCTGTATTCCGATTCCGATTCCGATTCAGGCGGGTGTATGTCGCTTTCTGGAGCGCACTCTCGTCTGCCAGGATCGCGTGTGTAACGACATCCCAAATGGAGTGAGGATACGCGCATGCATTGCGACTTGGACTCGGCCAGCACAAGTATAGCCAGTCAACCTCGCACGATCATTCCACGGCTTTCGAGACGCGTTCATGGTGTGTTCAAGGGATTTCCTCTCATTGATTCGCGTCTTATCTCCTCAAATATAGCTGGTCTTGCATCCTCGTCACGCCCTGGTGCACGCACTTCTCCAAGAAGTTCTCGATCTTCCTGAACGTCCACCACAAGTCCAAGCTGGGGCTCACCGGCAGATTAGGCCCACTTTTTAGAACATTCAAATTCTAGAAACGGGGCAGATATTACTGTGGTTGTATTACGAACCCCATTGTGTAGCATTTATGTTGACACCCACTCGACACGACACGCCCACCAGCCCCGGCGCTACTTCTGTTTTGTATGCCTTGCGATCAGGGCTGATTTGAATATGTTTGTTCGGCACTAAAAATCTATTTTTCCGCGCTCAACCAGAGGCGCTGTTGTCATCGGTTTCCCCAGATAAAGCTCGGAACTACCTACCAAGATCCAGGGCAGTAGCAGGCCGTGGCGGGGCCACATCAAAAGTGTCGGTAACTACAACTTTTGCAAGTTTCCGTTCTAGATTTAGACCGTTCTAAAAAATGGGCTCGTTTTGCCGGTGAGCCTAAGCTGGTACTGACCATCACCACCACACACAACTTTTGCTGCCATGTATATGCTCTACTCGTTGCCGCACTGACAGCCCAAATAACTAAACTTTTTGATAGTTTTTTTCTAAGACAAATTATTATTTCCACTTTTTTTTTCAAGCAGCCCCACTCGCGTCCTCTAAGCTTCGGTCGCGGAAGCTGTACTCTTAGGACACAAAATATGTGCCAGCTCCGGTGACTGCTCGCACGCGTACCCGTTAACGAACCAACCAGTGACAGACGTGCTGCTCCCGGAATTTTCACATGTGAGTGGAGGCCAATCCCGTCTTGTCGAGGTGATCAAAGTACATCTTATGGAAGGCCTTGCGCTGCTTGTCCGTTTTGAAATGGAGCCGGTGGCAGACGCGATTAATTTGTTATCGGCTTTTTCCTTTTGTCCTCTTCAGAAACCAGGCCAGCATTTTATTTAGCCAGCTTTTGTTCTTCTGTGGCAGGAGAAAAAAATCTGCCCAGTCTGGCCAGGAGCCCTGCCCTCTCTTCCTTGCCCTCGCGCTCAGTCTCACGCGCCGCTTGGCTTCAGCCCCCTCGAGCAACACAAGCTTGGTCACACTTGCCTGTTCCAAGTCAGTGCCCATGGAGACCGCATCCGTAACCGCGACGAGGGCAATCGCCAGCAGGATGTAGCACACACGCATCTTTGGGTTTAAACGGTGAAGCTTGAGGTGGCCGAGGCAAGTTCTAGAATGAGCTTCCGTCGATATGTACTTGCAGCGCAAATGCTGTCTTGATAAACGAAAGGGCAGCGCACATCACATCCCAAGGCTCTGCATTGTAGTTCATGAATTTTGCCCAATGTGTACCTATGCGTCACAGGTAATCAGTGATGACACTTTTCTAAGAGAGCCGCACACCCAACTCGTACAATGTAACTTGGTCTACACAGATTATTTACTGGAAGTTCCACGAAAAAGCGTCTTTTACTATACCAAGCCAAATTATTTTTAAAAACCAGTTAGGGCATTCTGCAGTACATGGGGGTAAGTACTTCGTTGGACAGCCCTGTGTGTGCTCTAAGCATCCCGCTATCGCTCATGCCATTGTAGGCGCATAGGGCTGAAAGTATATTCGATTTTAACATTACTCTATGCATGTACTTGTTGAAGCGCGTCAAGCATACTCCGTGCTAAAAAAAGAGCAAATATCAAGCTTTCAGGGTTGGAACTTAGTGTTATCCATAATTTCTGGATACGGATATTCTACTCTAACAGTTTTACTACTCTAGAAAAAAAAACACTTCGTCGATTCATGCGATTTCAGGCCGACTTCGACCGACGGAGCATTTCGAATGTTATAACTACAACTGTAACAGATTCGTGTTCCAAGCTGCTTTTGCTTACTTAGCTTTATTTGAGCTCGCGATCTTGAACCTGGCCGTCTGTTAATGTCGGATTTCTGGAGGCTAGATGCCTAGTGTCCGGTGGCTTGATCCTTAATCTGGGGCTTGATTCTTGGTGGTGCTTGAATTGTTTGGACACACGAGAGGGTACCAGAATCTTCTAAGTCTCCTTGTCACAACCGCGGGGTCAGGGGGAAGAGGGCCCAGAGGCCAGAGCCGTTCACCAAATCGGATTCGTGGCCAACTACGCTTGTAAGTGCCAAACGAGCCCAAGGCCAAAGCGCCGAGTTCTTCTTTGTCGACTTCAACGCCGAGTTCGTCATCTCAAGCAAGTTGGAGAACGAGTTCAACGCGCGCAGCAGTAGACAGTAGCGGCTCTGTATTTCCCCAGTACGCTGAGTGATCTTAAACTACTGCAAAGAGCTTGGGTGTTTTGGAGTTGAGTGGATGATGTAGACGGTGGCGTGCTGTTTCTTGTCCGGATCGGAGCCGTATTGATATCGAGTGTTCTGCCGTCTCCGCAATACAGAGTAGCTCAGTAAAGCGAGATAGGCCAGCAGAGCAAGGAGTCCAACGGCGACTGCACTGAAGACGCCACTGACGTGGCTAGCCACTGCGGTCTCTGATACATCGTTCGTGTCAATTATCGACGCTGAAGACCCCGACGCTTCCGAAGCCGCTTGACTCGCCGTCACCTGATCGACCAGTGCGAGCTTGACTAGCACCAACACCAGACTCTGGAACGGATGCATTGGTGTCGGTCTGTGGCTCGTTGTTGATGGCACGCTCTGTACCATCATCGATTCAAACGGAGTGGTAATTGCACGTGTTGCTTGTCTATTCTCTAGGTTACATTTTATTCGCTACTGCCGGGCGTAGACTACTCCAACTGGGGGTGCCGGCGATAACTCGCTGGCCTGCAGGGACGTCGCGGTGATGTTGCGCTCCATCGCTCGACTCCGTCTCCTCCGCACCACCACCATCATGACGCCTGTAATAGCGAGCACAACCGCCACGACTCCGACGACGATGACCACAGCGGAGTGGTCGAAAAAGCTGCTGCTGGACTTGTGGCCGTTTGAAGACACGTTGCTGTTGTCGTCGTGATCGGATCCTGAGTCGCTGCTGTCCTTACCATCGCCATCTCCGTCCTCTAGCGCTCTCATGTGACGGCCCTCGACGACGACGCTGCCTGCCGCCACAAGCAGCAGCAGGAGATGAAGGACTTGAAAGGCTTGACGCATGCTGGCTGGGACTTGAAAGTACTTGTCGCCCTTGACAGAAGTTCCGATGTGAGAGGCGCTGGAGTGAGCACACACCACTCCACCAACTGGTTCTTGTTTTGGGTTCGCCTACAGTAATAGGTTGCCACCTCCCTGTTGGTGGAGTAGAGGACAGCGGGAGCTGCGTTTCGTGCGACTCGGTGGGGTGTGCAAGCCGAAATGCATGAGAGTGGAAGGGCGAGACTTGCCCGTTTACCACTGGAAAATCCGGTCTCAGCGCAGGACGAGGTTCGGGGGCAAGCTGTACGCCACCAGAGGGTGCCTCTTGTGGCGAGAGTGCTTGGGATCGGCTCGGTGGACATGTGCGAAAGACAATGACAGGCCGTGAGCAACATCCAGCAAGACATGATGCCCCCCATCTCGGACCCGCAGCACCGCAGGACGCAGAGCGGACCAAACCAAAGTTTGAAGACAAGGTGGACAGAGCAGCGTCCTCCAAAATTTACGCACGACTTACAAAGATTCACAAAGGTCTCGAGAACCTCTCTCCGTTGGTCTCTGTCCATGAGTCTTCGGGAGCGCCGCCAATAGATGCACATGGACGAGGAGAACGTGTGGACACATCCGCCGATGCCTCGGAGGATCCGACGGCAACAGGAGAGCCGGCGGCAGCCGGGCTCTGGGTACACCAATGACTGGTCAGGGAGACCCATATATACTGAGATCAAGTCAAGCGGAAACCGGGAGTAATCCGTCTGATGAAAGGCACCAACGAGCACAAGGAGAACAAGAAGGAAAGCAGGAGGGGAAGACTAGAGAGTAGTTTGAGAGACGATAACATTTAATCTCACTTCGGAATTTGCCCCCTCAACCACAAGCTACAAACCAACAGGTTAACAGCCGCAACAAGCTCAAGCCCTCCCCGACGACCGACATGACGACGTCCAGCAAGAAGGCCGAAGTCATCCTGGGAAGCGACAATTACTTCCACTGGGAGTTCGCGATGCGTATGACGCTCGCGAGGAAGGGGCTGCTGGCGCACGTCCAAGTGGTGAAGGACCCGACGGAGATGACGGAGGCCTGGATGCTTAACGCTCCGTCTGATCGCTCAAGGCGTGGCTGTGGAAAACCACACGAAGATTCGGTCGGCGACGTCGGCTATCCAAGCCTGGAATACTCTACGCGAGCTCTACAACCGGACGACGATACATAATCGGGTCACGATGACTCGTCGGCTCCATGAGTTCAAGATGGAGGACGGTGCGACGATGGCGAAGCACTTGGACAAGTTCGACGAGCTCATCGTGGTCCTCCAGACGCTTGGAGAGCCGCTCGATGACTCCCGACAACTCGTCATCCTGCTGAGCAGCTTGCCGGCGGAGTACGAGTTGATCGCATCCATCGTCGAGAACTCGAAGGACGTGACCCTCATCGAGGTGAAGGAGAAGCTGCTCAAGGAGTACGAGCAGCAGGAGAAGAAGGAGACCTCGGAGCGCGCGTTGAAGGCTACCTCGTTCGGAGGTAGGGGCCAGAACGGGAAGTTCGGCAAGGGCGGCAAGGCATTCGGCCGCAAGCGCAACGGCGGACGAAAGGTCGGTGGCTTCAAGGGCAAGTGCTTCAACTGTGACCAAGTGGGCCACATGAAGCGGGACTGCCCGGAAAAAGCAAATGGAGACACCGCCGAAGACTCGGTGTTCGCTGTGGCGGAGAATCCATCAGCGGGTTGGCTGATCGATAGTGGGGCGACGGCTCACATGACGCCTCACCGCGATGACTTGTTCGAGTACAACGAGTCGTCGGCGGACATGTATGTGACAATCGCGGACGGGAAGAAGGTCCGCGTGGCTGGGAAAGGGTCGGTGCGCCTAACGGGCATCGACGGCAAGCGCATCAAGATGGTGGAGGTGCTGCACATCCCCGGACTCGACCGGCGACTACTCTCTGTTGGGAGGTTGGCTGAACGCGGCATGAGTGTCGAGTTCCAGCGGAAGTCGTGTGTCATCTGGGATAAGACGAAGGCGATCGCTTCGGGGAAGAAGGTCGGCAAGGCGTACTTGCTGGACTGCCAGTAGGACATTGCGCACTACACCGAGTACTCGGGAGTCGACGGAAAGTGGGAGCTATGGCACGCTCGTATGGAACACTTGAACGGAAACGCTATGGCGAAGACCCGCGAGGCGACGGACGGGATCCCGACGACTCAACAGCAGACGAAGACCCTGTGCGGAGGATGCATGAAGGGCAAGCAGACGGTCGCACATTTCCCGTCGCGGTCGACGTCGGCGACGACTCGACTGCTGGAACTGGTTCATACGGACGTGATGGGTCCTATGAAGACGAAGTCCAAGGGCGGAGCGAGTATGTGCTCAAATTTGTCGACGACTACTCGCGACACGTCGTGGCGTACTTCTTGACCAAGAAGAGCGAGGTCGTGACCAAGTTCAAGTCGTTCATGAAGCTGTACGAGAACCAGTGGGGGCAGCGCATTAAATGCCTGCGCTCGGACAACGGCACTGAGTTCGTGAACACGCCGATGACTGAGATCTGCCGGGTGAATGGGATTATGCATCAGAAGACGGTCCCGTATAGCCCCCAGCAGAATGGCGTGGCGGAGCGGATGAACCGCACGATCATGGAGAAGGCTCGAAGCATGCTACACTACAAGGGCGTGGCTTCGATATGGTGGGCAGAGGCGGTCAGCACTGCTGTCTACCTGATCAACCGGTCGACGAACAGAATGCACCCGACCAAGACTCCGTACGAGTTGACGTTCAAGTCGAAGCCTCGGCTGGACCATCTTCGAGTCTTCGGGTCGATTGGTTACGCCCATGTCGACAAGTCGCGACGCACCAAGTTGGAGCCGAAGAGCTTCAAATGTATGTTTCTTGGGTACGCCGACGACTCAAAAAGCTACCGAGTGTACGACTTGGAGTCGAACAAGGTGAAGGTGGCCAGGTCGGTGAAGCTGGACGAGCGCGAGGTGAACGGCATCTACGACACGTCGCCCAGCGAGAACTCGCCGATCATTCAGTCGACGGAAGATGTAGACGATGAAGTGGCGCTGCACGAGGAGATGCAACGACCTGCCGCCGACGAGCCGATGGAATTGGTGGAAGAGACCGTCGAGGACGCGGAAATGCATGAGGCGGAGACGCCGGAGCCATCCATGCAGGAGCTGACAACGTACCGACGACTCGCGAGACCGGTATTTAATGATGACATGGTCTTCCATCCGGAGCCGGAACGGACCCGGCGTGCCCGAGAACTGGTACTACTACTTGGAGATAGTTCCGCAGACGGTGAGGAGTCGAAAGAAGATGGTCCCGATGACTCGGACAACGATGATCACTTCTGGCCACCGTCTCCGAAGCGACCCAGGGTGGACGAAGACAGCCTATTGGCTGAGGCGGTGCTGGCCTACGCCGCAGACGTCGGCGATACCAATGACGCACCCACCACGTATCAGCAGGCCATGCAGAGCGACGAGTCGTCGGAGTGGGTGAAGGCAATGAATGCGGAGCTCAAGGCACACGCGGACAACGAATCATGGACGCTGGTCCGTCGGACACCGAGTGCTCGACCGATCGGTTGTCGCTGGGTGTTCGCAAAGAAACGCGACGAGCACGGCCGAGCCATCAGGTATAAGGCCCGCCTGGTGGCGAAAGGGTTTAAGCAGAAGTATGGCGTGGACTTCTTCGAGACGTACTCGCCCGTGGCCAACATGAACTCGATCCGAGTGGTGTTGTCGGTTGTGGTGGCCGAGGCGTACATCACCGAGCAGCTGGATGCGGACACCGCCTTTCTCAACAGCGGGCTGGTGGAGCGCGTCTACATGGAGGTACCCTACGGAATCATCAACGCGAAGAACATGATGTGTCGGCTGCAGAAGGCGATCTATGGTCTGAAGCAGGCGGCAAATGCCTGGCATAAGACCATCCACCGAGTCTTCGTGGGCATCGGATTTCGGAGCTGCGGCGGTGACCAGTGTGTACACGTCAAGGGCGAGAAGGGCAGGTTCGTGTACGTCTGCCTGTACGTGGACGATGTGATCATCGCAGCCAAGACGAGCAGCGAGATCCAGGAAGTCAAGGTGGCGCTCAAGAATGCGTTTAAGATGATGGAGTTGGGCGAGGCCAAGTTCATTCTCGGTATGGAGATCGACCATGACTCATCGGCGAAGACTCTCATGATCAAGCAGACTCGATACATTGATGATGTGGTGAAGCGGTTCAACCAGCAGGACGCCAAGGTGGTGGTGAACCCGTGCGAGTCGGGCATGAAGTTGTCGAAGACTCAGTCGCCGATGACTCAGAAGGAACGTGAGGAAATGCAGGCGAAGCCCTACCGAGCACTCATTGGCTGTTTGCTGTACATTACAACGTGCACCAGACCTGATGTGGCGTACATCGTGACCCAGTTGTCGCGCTTCCTCGAGAACCCTGGGCAGCAGCACTGGAAGGCTGCCATCCGCGTGCTCAGGTACCTGAAGAGCACCCGAGACATCGGAATGGGAACGCGAAGAAGGTCGAGGTGACGGCGTACACCGACGCCGACTGGGGCAGCAATCTCGACGACCGACGCTCGGTGTCGGGCATCATGGTGATGATTAGCGGGGCGCCGGTGGTCTTCAAGTCGAAGTACCAGTGCACGGTGGCGCTCAGCTCGGCGGAGGCCGAGTACATGGCGCTGAGCCTGTGCACGCAGGAGGTGCTGTGGACCCGCGCCATGCTCAATGACATGGGTCACGGGCAAGTGGGAGCTACCCAAGTACGGGAGGACAACCAGGGCGCTATCGCCCTCGCAAGCAACACTGCGTACAACACGAGGACCAAGCACGTGGACATAAAGCATCACTTCATCCGCGAGAATGTGTCCCGAGGACTCATCGTCGTCAACTACGTGCCGACGGGAGACCAGCTCGCGGACATGCTAACCAAGGCGTTGGGGACGAAGCGGCTCCAGTACCTGATCAGCGCAAGCGGAATCATCGGGACGGTCGTGCAGCATTGGCGGCGAGTGGGAGTGTTCATGAGTCTTCGGGAGCGCCGCCAATAGATGCACATGGACGAGGAGAACGTGTGGACACATCCGCCGATGCCTCGGAGGATCCGACGGCAACAGGAGAGCCGGCGGCAGCCGGGCTCTGGGTACACCAATGACTGGTCAGGGAGACCCATATATACTGAGATCAAGTCAAGCGGAAACCGGGAGTAATCCGTCTGATGAAAGGCACCAACGAGCACAAGGAGAACAAGAAGGAAAGCAGGAGGGGAAGACTAGAGAGTAGTTTGAGAGACGATAACATTTAATCTCACTTCGGAATTTGCCCCCTCAACCACAAGCTACAAACCAACAGTCTCACTTAAAATTACGACACGCATCGAAGTCCTAAACGTCTCATTTACTGCTCACTCTCTACTCTTCAGGCCAGCCAACTTGATCTCTCCGACGTTTCTAGTATTGACGCAGCTTGCGCTGGCCCGTGCCGCCCATAGGTCCGTCACTCGACAGCGTCGTGTAGATCGACGAGCTCGCTCGTTCCTCGGCGCTGACCGTGGGCAGAGGCTCCAGTCTCCATGTGGCCATACCAGCCATGGGCCCATTGTGGGATAGCGGCGTGTAGATCGAATCACTCGCGAGCTCCTTTGCGCTGGCCGTGGGTAGCGGCTCCAGGCGACGGCGGGTGCCCGTGCCAGTGCCAGCCATCAGTCCGTCGTCCGACAGCGTCGTGAAGATCGAGTCGGAGCGCTCCTCGGTGTTCGAGTCCGTGGGCGTGTAGGGGGCGTTGTGCAGCGGCTCAGCGACCGCCAGCACGGGCCGCAAGCACCCAACGCGACAGCATCTTGATGGTTAGAGGTTTCTGCTTCGTGTGCCAGGCGCGTTACGGATTTGATAGTCGTCCAGGGTGCTGGCTCGATTAGAGTCAGACGGCTCTGCACCAATCAGAACGCGTATCCCTTTAGTAAGAATACCTCCGTTTTAAAATAACCGTTATGGCCTTCGTTGGTTAGATGGCGATCGTGAACAGTGGGCATTGTTGACAAATATGCACCCGACCACTACAGCACATCTGTTAACCATAGTACGTAGAGCGATATTAGGCATTTATTTTAGTATCGAGCATGGTCACACTGAAAAAGGGAGGCAACCTTGGACTGATATCGCTGGAGCTTCAACATTCAAAATTCTGCAAGCTGCTGCTGAAAGAACATGTAGAAATTCTCCTCGTTGAATCTTCTTTTGCATTGTCCATCCAATACTGTGTTGCATACCTACTGGTAATACAAGACCACTTCATGCATGAGTTTCCAGGCCGTGGCTTTTCGTCGCAGTCGCTTCGATACGCAGTAAAAGATCGCATATCACAGCCCCACCTTCTCATTGGTCGAAAACCGCTTTAACCTCTCGCCATTGGTCGAGGCCGTTACGCGTCGTTTCAGTCAAAAACCTGCGGTCTCAATGGGACTCTGCGCACCTGCGCACCTCAGTCCGCTCGGCGCCGCATTCGACCAGTCACCCCAAGCCGAGGCCCGCAATGCGCTTGCGTCTGCTGTCTCTACTCACGCTATTAGCGCCGTCTCAATGCGCGGCTTCAGACGCGGGCCCGCTGCGAGTCTCATTGGCACGTCGAAGGTCTCCTCCTGATACTGCTCCAGCTGTTGCTAGTGCTACAACTGCTACTGCGACCGACTGGATCCAGTCCGAAGCTCGGGTATATCACACTCACGCTCCTGTACCCGAATGGACGGTGGCAGAAGCCAACGCTACGCAGGACGCGGCCCAGCCCCCGCTACCCACCGCCAAGCGCGTGACGCTGCAGAACTTCGGCAACGTGCAGTACATCGGCACTGTGGGGTTCGGCAACCCGCCGCAGTATCTGGACGTGGTGTTTGATACGGGGTCTAGTGATACGTGGATCCCCGGCACAAGCTGCGACAGCTGCGGATCGCACCACCGTTTCGACTCACAGAGGTCCACGACGTTCTTAGACACGGAGGAGAAGTTTTACGATGCGGTCGGTGGTGTTTTCTGCAGCTTTTTGCAAGGAATTTGGAGTGGTTTTGACTGATTTTATTGTTTTTTTTATCTTGTGATGCAGTACGGCAGCGGCTCAGTGTCGGGGAACGTGGTGGTGGACACGGTGACTATCTCGGGGTATACGGTGGACAGTGTTCGCTTCGGGGTGATCGACGACGAGAGTGACAAGCTGCAGGAGTTTTTGGCCGACGGGATCTTTGGACTGGGCTTTGAGGGGCTTGCACATATCAGCCGCCCCACGGTGTTCGCGGCACTGGCAGGGGAGAACGCAGACCTGGAGAACATGTTCGCCTTCTACCTCACGCCAGAGGCGTACCGGGCAGGCAGCGAGTTGCATATCGGAGGCTACGACCTGTCGGTGGTTGGGCCCAATGCTTCGTTCCACTACACGCCCGTGGTGAAGCTGCCCGAGTTCGACTCGTTCATGTACTGGACCATCAAGATGAACGACTTCTCCGTCCTCCCTCCGGTCGGCAAGAGCAGCAAGAGCAGCGACGCCAACAACGGTGACAACATGGAGAGCGACGTGGCCGCCAACATGTGCGATCCGTTCTGCTACGCCATCGTCGACACGGGCACGTCGCTGATCAGCGTGCCGGCGGGCCAGTTCGACGAGGTGGTGAGCAAGATCACGCGCGGACTGGACTGCGTCGGCATCGACTGTGACGCCGCGGACGTCAAGGACTTCCCGGTGCTGCACTTCGGCATGGAGCCGGACAACATCTTCCTGCTGCAGCCACAGGACTACGTGCTGTGCTCGGGCTGGGGCCAGTGCAAACTGCAGATCCAGTCCACGACGGACGAGTGGTGGATCCTCGGCGACGTCTTCATCAAGACGTACTACACGCTGTTCGACGCCGAGCGCATGCGCGTGGGCTTCGCGTGCGAGGGCGACATCTGCCAGGGCGGGCGCGGCAACATCTACGGAGACGACGGCGAGGGCGGCGCGTTCGGCGCGTGGGAGAACGCCTTCCTGCTGGGCTCGTGCTTCGCGGCCGCGTGCATGTTCCTGTTCGTGTTCCTGCTCAACCAGCAGGACGAGGAGCCGTACCTGAACCAGGACGAGAGCTTCCTCGGTGGGATCATCGACCGGCGCACCAACTCGCCGCAAGGGTATCAGGTGCACGACCCCAAGCGGCCGCTGCTGTACGACGACGAGGACCAGCACGCGTACGCGACGTCGTCCACGTCGACGTCGCAGGCGTCCAGCTACGCCGAGGCGCGGCGCAGCTTTGCGGCGCTGCCGTCTCCCCCGGGCTCCACGGACGGCCACCAGAGCGATGGCTCCTGTGTTGAAGTTTAGATGGACACCTGGAGGACACTCTGTCCCGTTATTTAAAAATATAGCTTTCCAGATCTGAAATATTTCAGAATCTGAATATTGTCTGGATCTTTGACAGCTGTATCAGGTGAGGCTGCAAATACTAAGGTTTATGTATGCAACCCGCCGTCTCGAAATATAGATTCTTCAAGGGAAGATCCTACCAGCTGGCACGTGCCCTTTCGACGCACTCCTAGTTCACTCGGTCGCTACAATCGATAGGAAGGAGAGGCCTGCACGCGGCGCTCGGCTGCGCGTGCGGCAAAGCTTAGCAAACCGGGTCGGACTCGGACTGCATGAACTTGGCGAAGCTGCCGACCGACCTACAGGCAGCGTTTTGGCCAGGGGGGCCGTCAACACTCGCAGTTGGAGAGACACCCTAAGTGCGCCCCTCTCTCTCCCATACTTACTTCCAGTCATTTTGCGATGATTTCAGTGCGACCCCTAGCCCGCGCTCCTTAACCGCGACGCTCGTTCTGTAACTCGTCGTTCCCGTTCCCCCGCCCGATAAACGAAACTGGGCACCGAGAGGAGAAGGAGGCGGCGCCAGATCTCGCGGCGCTTGCTTGCTTTTCCACTTCCCACCTACCTAACCGGGGACGCCAGCCGGGACGCGGTTAGCACTAGCCTAAACGGCTTCGACGGACCGGGGACGGACGCGGGCGATTTAACACAAGCCTAACCGAGCGAGCGAGCCAGGAAGGAAGGAGAAGGGATGCGCGCCCCGTCGAGACTGCTGCTGCCGCTGGTGGTGGCCGTGACGCAGGTGCAGGGCGCCGAGGCCGCCAACGGCTCGCTGCCCACGTGGCTGGCCTACGTGACGGGCGGGCTGCTGGTCATCATCATCGTGTACTACTGCTGCCGCCGCGCGCGCTTCGACGAGAACCTGCAGCAGCCGCTGCTCGGGGGCCAGTACACGGAGGACGGCCAGCCCATGACCCGCCAGGACGTGCAGGAATCGTACGTTGTTGCTTGCATTCTCTCTCTCTCTAACCCCCTGTCGCTTTAACCACTGCTTAAAATGGTGGCTGGGTTAGACACCACCTAACCGAGTTTTAGACACATTTGCTTGCGTGCATGTGTGTCAAAACCCATTGGGGTGCTGGTGTTAAGCCCGCGCCACCATTATATGGCAGTGGGGAAGTGCTTCCCTCTCCGTTCGATATATTGTCGTGTTCTAACTTCTAAAAATCTGTCCATTCTAAACTTTTAGAAACGACGAGGTGAGCACGCAGTGGCAGTGCGAGGTCTGCGACTTCCACAACAAGAGCTCGGCCAAGGCCTGCGTGCTATGCGGCACGGAGCGCGGCTTCAGCCTGGGCCTCAACTCGCCCGTGCGCCCCGCCAACACGGGCCCAGTGGCCGTGGAGACGGACGTGCCGAGGGAGAAGAGCTTCAACCGCACGCGGTCCTTCGCCATCCGCCGCCTCAACATGCTCAACTCGCGCCAGCGCGGCGCGCGCAACCGCCAGGACTGGGTGCGCAAGGTCGGCATGGACGGCAAGCGCTACTGGGCCAAGAGGGAGCTGCCCTTCCCATTGGGCAACGCCAAGCCCAAGGACGACAAGGCTTCTGGAGCTGGAGACGACGACAAGCCCGGCGCCATCCGGATCGACATCCCGGCCTCAGACGCCGACATGCTGTCGCCCAAGGGCGCCGGCTCGACCACCGCCGCCTCGTCGGGCTCGACCGACCCGGACAAGGAGCTCGTGCACCAGCAGTCGCTGGCCTTTGTGTCGCAGCTGGCGCAGACCCCGCGGCATCCCGAGGGCCGCATGACCTTCAAGGAGTACCGTGAAGTGGACGCGCGCGTGGCCTCTCGAGGCTATGAAATCTCGGAGCAGGACCTGGAGATTCTGGAACAGGTGGCGGCGCTGCCCTTCAAGGACAAGTACGCGTGGTTCCTGGAGCAGACGTCGGCGCTGATCAAGCCCTGGGAGGACGGACACTTGAAGATGCGCGTGCACCGCGAGAACATTCTGGTCGAGTCGATGGAGCAGCTTCTCGGCGTGCAGATGGAGCACATCCACATGCCGCTGCGTATCGAGTTCATTGGTGAAGTGGCTATTGATGCCGGCGGTCTGGAGCGTGAGTGGTTCTCGCTGGTGACGGAGCGGCTGTTCGATGAGACGATTGGTCTCTTCATGTGCGCGCACGTGGACTCGCTCGCGTACGTTATCAACCCGAACTCCGTGGAGGCCTCGGCCGACCACCTGCTGTACTTCCGTGGCGCAGGTCGGTTGTTGGGTCGCGCTCTGCTGGAGGGACAGTTGATGAAGGCTCATTTGGCCCTGCCCGTGCTGAAGCACTTGCTTGGTGTCCCGATCTCGTTCAGTGACTTGGAGTTCTTCGACCAGGAAGTGTACAACTCGCTTAAGTGGATGAAGGAGAACGACGGCGTGGATGCGCTGGGTCTCGACTTTACCGTGACGAACCGGAAGCTGAACGGCGAGGTGGAGACGATCGAGCTGAAGGAAGGCGGCAAGGACATTGAGCTGACGGACGAGAACAAGCAGGAGTACATTTACCTGCGTCTTCGCTACATCATGCTGGACTCGTACGCCGAGCAACTGCAGCACCTGATGGCTGGAGTGTTCGAGGTGATCCCGCAGGAGCTTATCCTCGTGTTCGACTACCAGGAGCTGGAGTTGGTGCTGTGCGGCGTGCCGTCCATCGATGTGGACGACTGGAAGGCGCACACGCAGGTCTCGGACGAGCTGCCGGAGGAGCTGCTGTCGTGGTTCTGGGAGATAGTGGAGGCGTTCTCGGACGAGGAGCGTGCGCGTCTGCTGCAGTTCACGACGGGTTCGTCGCGTGTGCCGGTGCAGGGCTTCAAGGCGCTCACGAGTTACGATGGCCGCATCTGCCACTTCACGCTTAAGGCCGTGGCCTTCCCGGAGAACGCCTACCCGCGAGCACACACGTGCTTCAACCGCATCGACCTGCCGCTGTACAAGTCGAAGAAGGAGCTGGAGGACGTGCTGTCGCTGGTGATAAATATGGAAGTGACGGGCTTCACGGACGAGTAAAATGATGGTATTTTGTACAGTTGAAGGCATTCATGCCGCGGCTGCACCATCCTCCGCGTCACATCGTGCTGCACGCGTCGCCGTCGTCCGGCGTTTTGAGTTCGTTGGGAGCAGACCAGCCTGAACAAGAGTGGGGAAGCTTGCCCAAGGTGGAGATGTTATCAGCAGCGTCGAAGGGGATACGCGTTGGCGGTGCCACGCAGTTGGATGACAAGCAACACGCGGCGGGACCTCTAGGGAAATCGAGCATGAACACGCAGAAAACAGGAAAACAAAACAAAAAAGATTGAACGCTTTACTCTCGGAATTACGGTATCTTTGCGTCGTGGGTGTTGACTTGATTGATGATGGCCCACAATTGATCTGCAACTTCTAATCGACTGAACGATCACCTCACCACCGAGAGATAGCGACTAAAGGAAGCCCGGCATATATTTTCACTCACTCTCCCACCGTAGTCCCATTCAAAATGAGCTATCGCGTGGCCTTCTCTTCCCGCCTTTTGTTTCGCTTTCGCAGTATCGGTCGGTAGCTCCTGGAAATGTTTCAGCACACAGAATCGACTAACGCCATCCTTCGCTCGGGTTTAGACATCAGCAAGAGCGCTGTTTACAGGTCCATATCCTCCACAACAGTCGACGACGGCGGCCGGTCACTCGGCGCGAACTGGAACTTGGTCGGATCAGCACCTGCAGCCGCAGCGGCCTGTTGCTGCTGCTGCTGTTGCTGCTGCATCGCGAAGGCCGCGGCGGCCTCAGGCGTGCCTACATTCACGATCACCCACACGGGATCGCCGAAGAATCCTGCCGAGCAGTGCAGCCTCCAGCTGCCAGCGTACTGACCAGGCTCCGATGGCATCAGCAGCGGCGCTTGTACGTCTATCCGCTGTCCTGGCGGTACCGCCGTCCCTGGAATCTGCTCCGGTCCCTGGAAACTTGTGCCTTGAGCAAACAGCAGCCGCGTATCTGCCGGCCACGGCTCACTGCCAGTGTTCACAAAACTCCATTGCTACAGCAAAACACAATAAATAATAATATAAAACTCAGCAAAATCTCCACAGTCGCTTTCCATCACAACCTCAAACTCCCTCACCATTTGCACGGGCGTGTCCGGGGCGAAGAGCATGCTCTGCGAGGCCGACAGGTCGCTGACAAACTGCGCCTGGAACGAGGCCGAGTTGGGCTGCTGGTGCTGCTGCTGCGCCGACGACGCGTCGCCCTCGTCCTCCATGTCCAGGTCGTCGCCGGCCGTGTCCATGCCCTCCATGGGGTTCACCACGGGCGTGCCGCTGGCCTCCATCGTGGCCAGGTAGTTGTTGGCCGCCGTCTCCACGTTCCAGTTGCACGACTCGAGGAAGAACGTGGCCGTGTGCACGTCCAGCTGCAGCAGGTGCGCGAACTGGTCCACCAGCTCGTCGTGGTCGCTGGTGGTGATGCTCTGGAACATCTGCAGCAGGTCGTCGGCCATGGTTGCGCCCGCAGTGATGGGATTTAACTAGGAAGAGCAAGAGTCAAAGCGTTAGTGGGCTTCAAAGCGAGTTTTCTCGGGGTTTAAGGGGAGTTTAGACGCGGAAGCTACACGTGCGAGAGCAGGAGAGAGTGGAGAAGGAGGTGCGCGGCTTGGGAGGTTCTTCCGCGCGCTGGGGGGTCGGTGGATGATGGGAGAAGCTGCCGGTGGGGTCTGCTCGCTTGCTCTGCGCCTAATTACGCCGATTGTTGACTTCAAAAAAATGTTTGAAGTTTCTGGAGTACCGGTAGATGGGCAGTATACCGGAATAGCGACGGTACGGATCTCGACCAGCTAATGACAAAGGTTGGGACTATTGAGTTTTGTGCATTTTGATGTGCTTAAGGTAAAGTGAGAGCTCACATCCGTGACTTAGTGTAGGAAGAAGCAGCGCCCATGCGTGTCCTTGGAGACTCTTCTTACTGTCAGTCTTTCACCGATCAACTTAGTTGAGATAGCTATGTATATTTTTGCACCGGACCACATGCAGCCGACAGCTCCCTAAGTACTACTCGGTGTCTGAGCAGTTTATATATACATGGCTCACACGTTCGTGTGCACGACCATCAATAATTGCGAGCTTTTTATAAAATGGCAGACCATCCCAATCCATAGCGCCAATACAAAACACGTGCTGAGGCCACGTGAAACGGATGGCGGGACCCCGGGGTCCCGCATAAAATACCGCTCACTTCGGGAATTATTTATTTTTGTCGCTGCAGGCCAAATCCCCCTGGCTCTACCAGTCGAAACCACTTTGCGTCCGTCGGCATCCGCATCAAGCATGCCGCGGGAGGCTCTCAATCGACTGTTCCTCCACGCAAGCGGAAGAAGCGGGCGGATCGTAAGGAGGCGGCCTACAACCGCGCTGTTGAGCTCCTTGGCGAGGAGAAGGTTCAGGAAACTCGACGCGAGTGGGATTCTTGGGAAACGGAGTTTGCAGGGCGAGAATGGGAGCAGTCAGAGGGAGTAATTCTGCAACTCCTCCAACAAGGATTGTCAGAGCGAGTTATTCGGGCCATTCCTCCTGTGGGTGGAAGTCGAGTTGCAAGATTAAGGAAAGTTCTAAAGGAGGGAATTGATACCTTGCACACCCGTCGTAGTCGCGCGGCGCCGGTGCATGCCTTTAGTGACTCAGACTTGGCTACATTCAAGAACCACTGCTTGACATGGATACTGGAAGACGGCTTTCCCTGTCCACACAGACGACCTCGCCAGTTCTTCAACGAACCAGGCCTTACTTGAAAAGTGGTCCATGCTCGATACGAAGACGATGTCAAGCGTGAAGACCCCAACGCTCGCACGATGAGCTACTCTCGTTTCATACAGCATGTTCACAAGTTGTACCCCGGCGTCCATCTATCGAGAACTACTGAGGATGATTGCGATTGCTGCACTCGGCTCGATATTCAGCTTGGCCAAGATGGCATCAGCGACGAAGAACGGGAATGTCTCCTTCTTCAGAAAAAAATGCATCTTAGTGAAGCTATCGCACAAAGACGCTTTGTTTCGACTTTCATCAGAAACTACTCGGCTCTTCATGCCCCGGAACAGTATCTTCCGCGCGAAATTATTCCAGATACAGCCAATGATAACGATGCTGGTAGGCTTTTACGGATGAATCACAACCAAACGAGCATGATGTGAGCTGCAATAGCGATGACAATGGTGATAGTGATGCTCCTATCGCCGAGCGAGGTGGACCAACCTCGTACCAGAACTGTCGGGTGCAAATGCAAGCGGAAGACTACGGTGGTGGAATATCGATGCCTTATTTTGGTCATTCGCGTCCTTCAATCGACTATTACAACAGTAACCTCATACTGCAGAACGTCGTGGCGGACATCAACCACAATGTGAATCACGTTTTCCTCTACGACGAGCGCGCTCAGGGCAGGGACGCTAACGCACTTTGCAGCTTGCGACTGTTTTATCATCTCACCAAAGTCCACGAGGCAGCCAGTAAAGGGCTTCCTGCTGCGGAAATCAGCTTCAGCTTGTTGGACAATTGTGTTGGGCAAAATAAGTCCAAAGCTGTTCTGATGTTTTTCGCAATGCTCTCGATTGTGTTCCCCTACAGAAAAGTTGTTTTATGCTTTCTGCTTCCGGGGCACTCTCATAACGTTGCTGATCGTGTCGTTGCCTGGTGTCGTAAGGCAACTCAAACTTTGAATTTGTACACGCCGTCCGACCTTTTGAAGGAAGTGAACAACGCGAAGGGGGTGAGCGGTGTGTTCTTTGATCACAATGACCCAAAGAGACCGTTTTTTGTGGGATGGAACGATTTACTTAGCAAATATTTTCTACCGCCACCGTCCGGGTACACTGCTAACTATTTGTTTGAGATTGATCAAGGTATTTGTACTGCTCGCAAAACGGTTGACTCACCGGACTCTGAATCGATCTTTCAGGCGTCGATTGCGTCAGTCCAGCTTCCGCGTCACCCGATCAAAGAGCTGCCGGAGAAAAAAATGAAGTCGCTGGCGGCCAAATACTTCACAATACCACCGCAATACTTCAGCTACTACCCGAGTGTACCTGAAGCCATTCTCAATGCTCCTGTTCAAGATGGTACGACTCCGGGTGGACTCGACACTGATGATCAAGGAGCTCACAAGCAAAAACAAAAGAAGCGTAAACCAGGTCGACCCCGAAAAAGCCCCGCTCACCCCCGTAGCAACCAGCCTTCCATACCGCAGTTTTTCAGCGCAAAACCAGCTAGTAGTTAGGCCAGGACATCCTAGTCCGTGCATTCATTACCCACATACATAATACATTAGTACTTAGGAGTGTGATATGGTTACCGGTTTGTGGTGAGAGCACCGGAGTCCGGATGGGACCCCGGGGTCCCGCCATTCGTTTCATGTGTTGATATTCTGCCCACTACAGCTTCGCTGTTGCTGCTGCTGAGTAGAAGTTGCTCCATTTGCTCCATTTGCACCAACATTTGTCCACAGCACTCCCCCGGTATACCGATTCGTCCACCGATAAAAAAGAATGTTTTGGCCGTATCTTTCACCGCAACCCTTGAAGATCGGTGTCAGCAAATGAAAAGCTACGCAGTGCAAGACGCACGCAACGGCGTCCTTATCCTGGTCATTGCGCAACTCGCCGGATCCGCCTCAAGCCCCCGCCTCGATCCGACACCTGCACCTCTCCGCCATGTCCGTGCTGCTCCGCTCCACCGCCAATGCTGCGCGCAGCCAGCTGCTCAGGGCCGCGGCATCACGGGGCTTTGCCGCCGCTGCGACTGCAACCGGCACGCCCATCATCAACTCGCACAACGAATGGGACCCGCTGGAAGAGGTGATCGTGGGCCGCGTGGAAGGCGCCACCATCCCCGAGTGGCACGTGGCCGGCAAGGCCGTGTGGCCCAACAAGCACTGGGATATGTACAAGACCAAGGCCGGCCAGCCCTTCCCCAAGGAGCTCATGGAGGGCGCTGCCAAGGAACTCGACTACCTGGCCATGGTGCTCGAGGGCGAAGGAGTGATCGTGCGCCGCCCCGAGGCGTCCGCGGACTACTTCAACGAACCGGTCACGACGCCGGACTTCACCAGCCGCTCGCAGCTGTACGCCGCCATGCCGCGTGACGTGCTCATCGTCTTCGGCAACGAGATCGTCGAGGCGCCCATGGCATGGCGCTCGCGCTACTTCGAGTTCCGTCCGTACCGCAAGCTCATCAAGGAGTATTTCCAGAAGGGAGGCAAGTGGACGGCCGCGCCTAAGCCGCAGATGAGCGACGAGCTGTACAACGAGGACTGGAAGGCCGAGAGTGGCGTGTTCAACTCGGTGGTGACGGAGTTCGAGCCCACATTCGACGCCGCCGAGTTCACGCGCATGGGGCGCGACATCTTCACGCAGCAGAGCCAAGTGACCAACAAGTTCGGCATCGAGTGGGTGCGCCGCCACCTTGGAGACGACTACAACATTCACGTGCTAGACTTCCAGGACCGCAACGCCATGCACATCGACGGCACGTTCGTGCCGCTAATGCCCGGCAAGCTGCTGGCGAACCCGTTCCGCCCGTGCATCACCGGCCGACCGGTCAAGACGTACTCGTACAAGAACAAGGACTACGAGTACTGCCTGCCGGAGATGTTCAAGGGCTGGGAAGTATTCGTGGCACCCGAGCCGGAGCTGTCCAAGGACCACCCGCTGTTCTTCACGAGCCCGTGGACCGCGACGTGCAACGTGCTGGTGGTGCGCCCGGGCACCGTCGTCGTGGAGGCACACGAGAAGAAGGCGCAGCAGTGCTTCAAGGACTGGGGCTTCGAGGTCATCCCCGTGCCGTTCCGCAACTTCATGCCCTTCGGCGGCTCCTTCCACTGCGCCACCTGCGACGTGCGCCGCACCGGAACGCTGCAGTCCTACTTCGACTAGACCCGAGAAAGCGGGCCGGACGGAAGGCAAGTGGCAAGATGAAGGAGAAGATAAAGGCCGCGTTCATGACGCGGTTGTGCTTAGCTCATGCATATGAAAGATTTCTCGTAAGGTAACTCGAGGGTTCAACTAACACTCACCAACTTCAACGCATCCATCAGTCTAACTGTAGCCATCTTTCGCTTTGTAGCCATTCGCACTTACCACCACCGCGTACGGTACTTCTTTTTTCAAAATTGGCAGCACCGTCCACTAGATCCACCCTACGATACGGCCTTGCTCCCGGTAAGATTTTTACCCTCGGATTTGAAACCGCTGTCGATTCGTCGAAAAACGGTCTGTAGCCATGCTCCCATTCGCTGAAACCCCGTAACGACGCGGCGACGCCCGACGAACCTGTTCTACCGCATATTTTCAAAAGGGGGGAGAAATTCGCGACGGGGCGGGGGTCTCCGAGAGAACGGGAAAAGGACTCGCCCCTGTGCTCGCGCAACGGCGGCGTCGCGGTGTCACTACGCCACAGGCCGGTAAGTCTCCCTGTTCTACGCTCCGCTCCATGTCGATCGCCTGCGTCTGCCCCCTCGAAGCGCGTGCCGCGCGCTGTCTGAATCGCTCTGGGGGCCGCGCTACACTTTCGGCGACTTTAACGCGCGATTTGGGCATCTTCCCGGGCTTGGATCGACGGGGGGAGCGCTGCGTTGAAGAGAGCGGCGTCTCCTCTGTCGATTGAGCCCCCGGAAGCGCCCGAATCGGCGCGTTTTCGGCGATTCCGCACCAGTTTCGTGCGTCAACTCGGCGCGCGGCGTGTATTGGGGGCGACCAGGGCTGCGCCAGTCCAAGCTGACGCCTTGTGTGTGTGTGGCCGTGGCTGGGCTCAGATGCAGTAGCGCCGCATTGCGGGGGAGAGCACGCAGCACGTAGGGCGGAGCATGGAGCTGGAGCTGGGCTGCAGAGTGATGGTCGCTGATAAGTGTTGTTATTGTATCGGTTATGTGTTATCAACTTGCAGTTAGGAACCCGCGATGGCGTCGGACAGCGACGGCAGCCCCAGCAGCGCCGTCGTCCTTAGCTCCATCCGCGAGAAACTTGTAGAATATAAAGAATCGCTCTTGCGGTATGTCTGTCAGCAGCGTTCGTGATGTTGGATCGGGGTTAAGTTCTAACACGAGTGTGGTGTTAATTAACCTACAGGCAGCTGGTGGACGAGCGGGAGGCGGCGCTAGCGGCCAGCAAAGAGCAGGAGCGCGTAGAGCAGCAGCAGCAGGAGGCGGATAATAGTGTAGCAGAGCAGGAGACGGCGTCTCCGGTGGTGCAACAAGCTCAAGACGAGGCTGAAGTTGAAGTTGAAGCTGAAGCTGATGAGTCCAAGCCAGCAGATGATGTAGAGCCCAGCGTCCCTGTGATCGAATCTCCGGTGGAAACTGAAGCTGCTAGCACTGCTGCACCAGTTGAACCAGTGGAGAAGCCGTCTCCTGTCAAGGCGACGACTGAAGATGAAGTCGTCTTGAAGAAGCGGCGGATTGCCGAGGCCGAGACGGAGGAAAATGTTGCTCCAGCTGAGAATGACGGTGCACCCGTTAAAAAGGCGAAGAGGAGTAAGGCAAAAACTCAGCGACAGGAGAAGCAGACTGTGAATGTTAGCAGCGAAAAATCAGGCGAGAAGGAGGAGCAGGCGTTGATGGAGGTGGACGCTACGGGGGAGCAGGAGGCTTTGCCGCCGGGAACACCGTATCGCGTTGTCCGAACCTCAGTGCCCCCAACCAAGTATTTAATGCAGAAACGACGAGAGGAAGAGGCCTCAGACCGCGAGGCTCTTCTTCAGCAGCAACAGCCAGCTCTCCTCGCTTCGTCAACACCCGGATCTTCTGGCCACGGCGCCTGCAATGGAGTCAAGCGGCGTGCTGCAACGCCTCGAAGTACCTCAGTATCTATGGACTCGGCAAACGCAGAGTTTGAGCGGAGGCTACGCGACTCCGTGCGCCTTCGTCGTGAAGTAAATCAGCGCAGTGTGTCGGTCACGCGGAAGCGACAGCTGCCTCGACTACCAACACCTGCGCGCGGCAAGTCTCATTGGGATTTTTTGCTCGAAGAGATGAAGTGGATGGCGACGGACTTTGCACAGGAAAGGAATTGGAAACGTGTCATGCAGCGTCGCTTGGCTGCCGATGTAATTGTTGCCCAGAACGCTGAAAGTGTTCGTCAGGAGCAAGAAAATCGACAGATGGCTCGTGGCGTTGCGCTACAAATTTCAGCATTCTGGAGAACAATGGAACGGATCGCTGCACGATCACGAGTGCGATTTGAGGCTGCAGGTACAGAATCTTCAGGTCAGCATGATACGGATGATCCGATGGTAGGGGATACCGCTGGAGATGACGGCAAAACTGAAGAAGGCATGGATGGTGATACAGACGGTATTTTGTCTCTGGGCTATCACACGATCGATGTCGTATCCGGCAAGGAACTCGACGCGCGCAGTGACGGAAAAGGAGACACTAAGACCGATTCAGTGCTCAAGGCTGCAAAAAGTCAAATGACGTATGTTGTGACTGCGGGGAAGCGAGCACGTAGTGCTATGAGCTGTTCGTTGACAGACACCGCTGCTGGTGACAAGTCAGCAGCTTTATCACTACGTGAATCCGCCTTTCGGGATCTTCAAGCACGGTGTACAGCCTTACAAGCAAAGGGGGGTCCTACGATTATTTTGGCAGCCTTTCAGCTTCTTGCGCTGCGATGGATGCTGGACTTGTACTCCAGTGGCCTCAATGTATTTCTGAACGATCAGCTTGGCATGGGTAAAGCTGCAACAATTGTTGCGTTTCTCAGCTTGATAGAGATCGTGAGCTCTCAGAACCAGCAACTGCAGTCGCGAGGTGAAGACTCGGCGAACGCAACTACAACAGAGAAGTTAAATGGTGGCACGTTGATAGGTCCTCACCTGATAATTGTTTCAGAAGAGGAACTACACAAGTGGCGGTACTATCTTCGGATATGGCATCCAGACCGACGCATTCAGCTTTATGATGGTGCCGGTAGCTCAGTTTCATATAGAAAACAACTGCAGCGTGAGTGGAAGATAAAACCTCGAGCCGACGCGAACAAGAGTGAAGACGATTTTCTTATAGCGCCGCCCAATGACGGTGATGACGACGACTTGGACGACGACGAACGTGCTGAACCTGTGTATTGTGTGCTGTGCCCTGTGAGTGCATTCGCCGAAGACCACGAGGTTTTTGTGGAATTCGATCATTGGCAGATGGTTGTAGTGGAAAACGAACACGGTGGGCATTTTGATGACCCAGCTTGTGTGACCGCGCTGCAGCAGCTTCGACAACAGCAACGGCGGGTCTTGTGCAACGGCCAATCGATTGAGAATTGGAAAAACACGGCATTAATGCTGCAGTACGCTGAGTTTCTGGTGCGCGAAGCTCCTTCCCCAGTGAGCAGTAGTGCGTCCCAGCATCGAGTGGAAGCGTGGCCTGTGCAGCAATTGCTGGTGGAGAGAGCATCGGTGGCGCAAGTGATGCAGTTATATGGTAAATCATCGAGCGTACGTGCATCATTGTGGAAGGCCTCTTCGCAACAGGATGACACGTCTCAGCACATGAACGCGTTACTCCTCGCTCTGTCGTGTCTAAGCTTACGGCGAGTCCGAAGTGAAGTGGAGCCTCAACTTGGCAAAATCGAAGAGATCAGCGTCAGCTGTCAGCCGAGCTCGTCTCAAACGACACAGTATCGCAATGCCCTGAGTGGTTTTGGGGCAACACTCGATACCTCCGGCGGTCGTGAAGAACGTTTGACCGTCTGGCTTCAACTCTTGCTGCGGCTACGCGAGATCTGTAACTGCGTCGACATTGTGAATGACATGGACAAACTCGGGCATGCAGATTTACGGCTGCTGACTAGCTGTTCGGCTAAACTGGAGGCGTTGGAACCATTGCTGCAGCGGCTTGCTGTCCAAGAAGGCAAGAAGGTGGTGATATACTGCCAGTTCAACGCCATGTTCCCCATTCTGGAGGTCTTTCTGTCTCTATTAGATATTACTTTCGTGCGCGTGACCGGCTCCGTCAGCATGCAACGTCGCGCGCTTTGCCATTTTGCGGACCGCCCCGTGGTTCGTGTGGCACTCGTATCTACTCGGTTATCGATGTCCAATGGCAAATGGGCTGCATCCGTATTTGGCGGCGAAGCTATCATTGTCGTGGATAGTGACTGGAATGCCACGTGTGACGCGAAGCTGCGTGCTAGCTGGGCTAAGATGGCGGTGGGCGGTGCGGATACTCTTCCTGTCTACCGATTGCATTGCGAAAACACTATCGAAGCGTCGTTACTACGTGTGGGAGCTTCGCTGACCGAGAAGGTCTTCGGCGAGATGAACCCTCAGGAACTCCTTGCAGTACCGTCGGACATGGCGCTGAGTATGACGATTGAAAAGCCTAGCTGGTGGTCTTCGACCGCTACCAGCAGCGGTGGAAGTGGATTATCGAATTCAGGAACGATAGCTTCGCTTTCCAGTGTGGCCCAGCAGGTTGAGAAGGATGGAAAGTACTGTGGGGGCTCAAGTGACTTGGAAATGCCGCTCGCGGTGCACAACGTGGATCTTGATGCGGAGGAACATCTTTTGCTGGCCAATACGGACGAGCTAACGCCTGTGGAATGGTACGCAGTTAACTACGTCCATGGCGTTACTGACAAAAAACAACAGCAGCGTGATGAAGGCAAAACTGTTGAAAGAGACGTGGACGGTTTGAAAGAAGATTGCGGCGCTTCTTGGAACGACAACAGCGCATTCTTCCAGTCTGATCATCGCTCGTTTGAGGAAATGGCAGCGTCGGAAGTCAATCGTCAGTGGCAAGACGGTGATGCCGCTTCACAGCTCTTTTACAAAATGGAGTCTGGGCGTGACGGAGTGGTCGATGAAAATGCACTCGAAAAGCTTTTCATGCGTATGCGCATGGATGGTATGGAGACCCATTTCGACTTGTACAAACCTCCACAACCCCCACTACCAGAAGCTGCGTCAAATGCACGCTTGTCATCAGAAGCATGTCCGACATTGGACAACCAGATGACGTTCCGTGTATCTTATCGTGTGCCGGCGCCACCACCACCGCAGCCTCTGCCTGGAAAGTCAAAGGCGGAACATGGTGTCGGGCAGCATGGAGACCTGTCCAAGCTCAAATCCAACAAAAAGCAGCGATCAAACTCTATGGCCTCCACACGGCCTGGGGCGCCTGGTTCCAGTTCGGCACATGCGACGACAGCGTCTGCCGGAGTTAAACGTAAGCTCGAATCCCAACTTGGCGGCATCAAGTCTGGATCTCAAAAAGAGCAACGTGTGGATCTGGAGGGCATTCCTGTTCCAGACGTCTCAGAGTTCGCTGATGACGACTTCTGGGGTGATACGAACTTGGATGCCCTTGACTCGGCTGAGTGGGATGACCCCGCACTACTTAGTGGCATACTGGGCTCTGGTGTCGGCACCGGAACTGGAGCATCTTCTACAGCCTCTTCGTCCGGCACAGCATCCAGCGGAGCGGGCGTGTCGGCGACGCCAGGAGGGAGTGGAGCGGTGGGGAGTGGAGCTGGTGCAGGTGCTCACGAGGAAGCTGGTCATTCCAAGACAGGTTCTCAGAAATGTACCAAGAAGTCAAAGAGTGCAACGGGGCGAGCTCGGAAGAGCAGCATGTCATCGGATTCGGGGCGCGATGCCTGGAGTGTGCATGATGACATCGTCCTGAAAAAGCTATTCGATCTCTATGGCGCCAACTGGACCCTTATTGCCCAAGTATTTAACTCGGCTACGGCGGTGTCTCGCTTTGTCTGCAAGAAGCGTTCTCCCCGTCAATGTTATGATCGCTACGGCAAGATTATATCCGGCAGCCTAACCACGTCGTCGACGGCGTCCGGTGGCTCAACTGCTACATCAAAAGACAGCAAGTCTGGTGCCTCATTGAAAGCACAGCGTGCAGCTGCGGCTGCCTCTGTTGCGGCCGCACAGCTCACGCCTATCGTACTGGACGCTCGTATTGGATTGCCTCACAGTGAACTGCTGCTCAGCTTCCCGCTACGTCATTCGCTGCCCGGGTTGCCGCCGCCGTCTTTCATGAGCGCACCCAGCTTGGTGGAGATGACGCTTGCTCACAGGAAGAAGCAGGCCGCAGTCGAAGCTGCTGGTAAGAAGGCCACGACGAGCAGTACGACGACGCCGAGTGGTGGACTGGATGATTTGAAGTCAATCAAGACCTCGTTCGATGCTATTATCCAGTGCATGAAGCACAAAACTTCGCCACCTCCAATTCCCATCCCTGTCGGGACCGGTGGAACTTCAGGCGCAGCTTTAACCTCAGCGATAACGACACCTATCGCGACAGCAGACTCAGCAGATCTGGGGACGAAGGCGTCGCTTACTGCGGCATCAGCCCCACCTCCCCAAGCTCCTGCCGCGGTGCCGCTGACCGACACCAAAGCAAACGTCATGAAAACTTCCGTTTCCCCGGTGGCGGCTGCGGCTGCGAAAGCGACGCTTGTAGTGGTGCCACCACCGCACAAATCGCATACGGATATGATCTCGCTGCTACCCACCGCGGTGCTTGGTCCGGACGAAGTGATCAAGCGCAGCAAGGAAGCTGCGGTAGTGGCCGTGCAAGCTGCGGCAGCCGTTGCGTCTGTGGGACGGGACGGGTCTCCTCTTTCGGCTAGTGCCGATGTCATGCTCGGTGCCGGCTCTGGCTTCGGTGCGTCGCTGAGCAACTCAATGCCTCGGCGCTCACATGCTGCGAGTCTCACGAGTGATATGAGCACGGTAGGCGTGATGCCCCCATCGGCTTTACCGCCTACGGTCGCAGGAGCAGGAGCTACGACTGCGGCGACGTCGGGCGCACCAACTCAGACTACCGGGGAATCGGCAGCAGCGTGGGGTGGCAAGTTGGTGCAGGGTTTGGACACAAACGGACTAAACGCTGGCAGGCCGATGAATATCAGCGGCGCTTCCTCCGTTCCTGTGGCAAGCGGCAGCGAGCCACCGCGGAACGGGCCCATGCCCGTGACTACCTCTACACTGCTGCACGTGTTGGACCGCATGCCCGAGATCAAGAACAAGATCCAGTCGATCCTGAACCGCACCGACTGCTCCGAGTCCCAGAAAGTGGCGATGATCGCGCGGTTGCTGAGCAACACGAACGCCATCAACAACACCAACGCGCTCGGAGCAGCTCCCGCGATGGTGCCCGCTGCATCCACCGCGAGCAACAGCGTGCTGTCGGCGCTCACTGCCGACCCCGGCATGCTCAACTCGTCCGACATGCTCATCGACACCGAGACGCCCATCCCGATGCCGGCGTCACTGGGCGCGCCTTCCCCGCCGAATGTCGCCACCTCATCCGCCGTGGCCTCCCAAAGACAATTCCAGCCTCCTGCGTCGTCCCAACCATGAGCGCCGCAGCGTATACACAACAGCCAGAGAGATCTCGCTCTGTAGTTGCTTCGTGTATCTATTGTATGCAGCCGCACAGCCCCGGCCAGCAGACCAGCTAAAGCTAACGAAAACAAATAGACAACCAAATAGTCCGATACTCACCTACGTGGACATGAGCTAGGAACCCGCCCACTAGCGGAAGACTTCCCCAACGACAAGTGGATCCAGCGGTGGCGAAACACACAGAGCTCTCCGTTCAGCGGACTCAGGTATAATAGTACTTGCGGATTCAGCTACTGCGCTGGAGGTTAAGAGGACAAGCCCAAGGCGACCAAGAGAATGCCACCGCAGGAAGTGCGACACAAGAGGAGAAGGAGGAAACCGCTGGTCAATCGTCGGGGAAGCGGGAAGGACGCAATGAGCTAAGCGGTGAGTCGGCAAAGCGCCCCAGGAAGGAAGCGACAGCGAAGGAAGTTTACGGATAGATCCGTGTCTTCCTGCTCGAAGACGCTCGTTCAAGGAGCGTGCAGACATACATAAGGACCAAGGAGTCCTTGGTCCTGATGTATGTCTGCACGCAAGGCGACCTGGTCGGACAGCGTTGCCGTCCAGGTTGAATGCTTATCCAGCGGCGCAGTGTCCGCTGCCTTTGGCGGCGCCAGGAATCTACGGCTGTCGGCGAGCCGCGTGCGTGGCACCGTAGCCATCCGGAACAGAGACAGCGCCGCCGCGCTCCCCATCTTTGCAGAGAATCAAATTTCATTACACTTTAATCCCCATCTTTGCAGACGCAGCAGCATAGGTGCCGGCCGGCAACACCCGCGGATTCTGCCGGTCTGCTGCAGTATTAGGCGAAGAGCTGCAATGCAATGAACGGCACCGCCACGCATAGAGCGCAAGTTGAGATGCCATGCATGCATTACAGCCCTGAGGCCAGGAAGGCTCGACTAGTCTAAAGTAGCTGGCGACGAACGTAATTATCAGATAAAAGCACTGACCCGTTATCTATCATCCTAATCCACTGAATTAGTTGCCATTTTGGCTACTGCATCACCTCTAGCACATCATGACGTCATATCCTGTGCTGTGATTGGCTGCAATGGTTGGTGTGCGCCACACTGACTCATCTCTCTGGCCCTTCTATCTCCTCGATGGCTATAAATAATCACACTCACGACGGATCCCGCAGGTCGTGCCACCACCACTGGTAGACTTGCGCTTGACTTGGTGTCAGTATGTGCTCGACGCTCGGCCACAGCTTCAGCTTCAGTCCCCGACTTTCCAGCCGAGCCGCAAGAGTCAGTAAGTGAACCATGGTGGATGGCCCCAAGACCAAGCGCCTCATCTCGTGGCAGGAGATCCAGCAGCACTCGACGTACGCCAACGCGTGGATCGTCATCCACCACAAGGTCTACGACATCTCCAAGTGGGACTCGCACCCGGGCGGCATGGTCATGCTCTCGCAGGCCGGCGAGGACGCCACCGACATCTTCACCGTGTGCCACCCGACGAGCTCCTGGAAGCTGCTGGAGCAGTTCTACATCGGCGACGTGGACGAGAGCACGGCCCCGGGCACGACCGGCCTCTCGGAGGAGCAGAAGGCCAAGAAGGCCAAGACGAACGAGTTCATCAGCGCCTACCGCCGCCTGCGCATCAAGATCAAGGGCATGGGCCTCTACGACGCGTCCATGGTCTACTACGCGTGGAAGATCCTCAGCACCTTCGGCATTTGGATGGCCTCCGTGGCGATCTGCTACCACTTCGACAGCTGGCCCATGTACATGCTCGCGGCCTGCGTCATGGGGCTCTTCTGGCAGCAGTCGGGCTGGCTCGCGCACGACGTGCTGCACCACCAAGTGTGGGACAACCACATGATCGGCAACGTCATGGGCGTCATCATCGGCGACGTCTGGATGGGCTTCAGCGTGCAGTGGTGGAAGAACAAGCACAACTTCCACCACGCCGTGCCCAACCTCATCGGCGACGAAAAGACCAAGTACCTCGGCGACCCGGACATCGACACCATGCCCCTGCTGGCCTGGAGCAAGCACATGGCCTCGCGCGCGTACGAGTCGTCGTGGGGCCCCTTCTTCGTGAGCCACCAGGCCGTCATCTACTTCCCGCTGCTGCTCTTCGCGCGCTTCAGCTGGCTGCTGCAGAGCTACTACTACGTCTTCAAGGGCTTCGCCTTCGGCAAGTACGACCCCGTGGACCTCCCGAACGGCGAGAAGCTCGGCCTCTCGCTGCACTACCTCTGGAACGTGCTGCTGCCGGTGCTCACCGGCATGTCGGTGGCCCAGGGCCTGGCCTTCTTCATGCTCTCGCAGATGTCGTGCGGCGCCTTCCTGGCCGCCGTCTTCAGCGTCGGCCACAACGGCATGTCGGTGTACGAGCGCGACCAGAAGCCCGACTTCTGGCAGCTGCAGGTCACCACCACGCGCAACATCACGCCGGGCTTCTTCATGGACTGGTTCTGCGGCGGCCTCAACTACCAGATCGAGCACCACTTGTTCCCCATGATGCCGCGCCACAACCTGCAGAAGGTCAACCCGCTCGTCAAGTCGCTCTGCAAGCAGTACGACGTCAAGTTCCACGAGACGGGCTTCTACCGCGGACTCGTCGAGGTCGTGGACGAGCTGGCCGACATCAGCAAGGAGTTCCTGCTCGAGTTCCCGGCCATGTAAGGCGGCGAAAACCCACGCGCGAGGACGCACACTCCATGCATGTATTCGATCTCTTGTAAGTAGAAGTTGGCCAACGTCCGACGGTCTCCCGCCTTCAACAGCAGATACCCAGACGTCTTCAACCTCTACATCGAAATCAAAACCACAAACAACATCATCAACCAAATGCGAATCAAAGCACACACTATAGTATTGCAAGTAGGTAGATGAGATGAGATGAGATGAGAGTAGAGTACCGACACCAGTCTCCAGCCAGCAGCAGCTCTACAGATACCGCAGCTGCGGACGCGGCGGGGGCGGCGCCGGTTGGCTCTTGCCTGCAGCGTCCCCCACCGCGAACGTCAACTGCAGCGTGAAGGTCTTGCCGTCCTTGTCCCAGTTGCTGAAGAACCGGCCCTCGCTCTTGTCGATGTCGTCGTTGGGGATCTTGAACGCCACCGTCTCGTACGGCTCGCACGCGAACAGCAAATACTGCCAGCGCTTGTCGGGCGCCTCCATCTTCTGCTCGAACGCCGACATGAACCGGTGCCGCGGCTGCAGCTTGTCCGCGATCTCCGGGTACGCGATCTGGAACAGCAGGATGCGCGCGCCCGAGTCCGGGTCCCGCTGCTTGGTCACCTTGTAGCCGGGCAGCCCGATCTTGAGCGCGCGCGGACGCGCCGCGGCGGCGGCGGCGGCGGCGCGCGCCGCCTGCAGGTTGGCGGCCGCCGTGGAGTGCACGGCGTCCGCCGCCTCCTTGGCCGCGCGGCGCGCGAGGTTGGTCTGGTGGCGCTTGCCCTGCGTGTGCGCGAGGTAGTTGCCCTCGTTGTTGTGCAGCGTGAGGCAGAGCTTGCACTCGTAGGAGCCCAGGTGGTTCTTCATGAAGTACGGGTCCTTGGCCAGGTCCACCGTCTCCAGTGCCAGCTTGCGCAGCCGCTCGCGCCGGTCCACATTGCTCTGCGAGTCGGACGCCACGCCGCCCGCGCCCGGCTTGGAGCCCACGCGGTTCTGGAAGTCCATTATTGCGCTTTGGTCCGGAAATGCGACTTTGGTCCGAAATGCACCGGGAACCAATGAGGAGCAGACTAAAGACTATATTTTGGATAGACCTTTATTTTAAGTGGGATTTTTTTGTGTGAGATCTAAATATAGTCTTTGGTCCGTTGTTGAAGTGAAGCAGGTCAGTTGTTTGCCCATGGACATTTCGTTTGGGCGCCGTGCTCGACGTTCTCGCTGGTTTCCCAGACCACGAAGGACGAGATGGCGTTGTCGATGTTGAACTGGCTGAGATTCTTCACGTTTGAATTGACAACGATGTTGTCTTTGAACTCGATGGGGAAGTGGACGTGCGGCCCGACGCACGTTTTCTCCGTGTAGAAGGCGACCTGCGCCTTGCCGTCCGTGTAACCTGATGCGGGAAACTGACCGAGCCATTTCACTGATGACGCGTCCTTGAACTCGCACAAGCTGTAGCACTTGTTGGACTGAGAGACGTCCACTGGGAAGAGAGTGCCACCGAAGTTGATGTCCGTGTAGAAGTACACGCTGCCCTTCGTCACCGCAGCGACACGACCAGCACGAAGCATAGCCCCAACAATGGCGAGTGGTGATATGAATCTCCTCATTTGCGTACTTCGAATGGAAACTGACAGTAATGAAATGAGAGCGAGCTGCCGCTGTGTTAATACAGGTTTACTCCAATAAAAAGAACGAAAACCTATTTTATGAATATCTTTAACTATTTAGTAAAAAATGAAAACCACCCATTGTGCTTCGATCCATGTCATGCGTAGGGTAGTGGATGGTTTGCCAGATTCAAAAGAATGCAGCAACTCGATATATACACGACCGTACAAGTTTCATGTTTCTCCACCTATGGAAACCTCCTAACTGTACAACCCTTTGCACAACGTCGTGATGCCGTTTATGACCTTCTCGCTCGTCTCCCAGATCATGAATGACGTGAGTTTATTGTTCATGGCGTACTTCCCCAAGTTGATTGGGAAGTTGTCTCTCTTGCCATTGATGAACGCGTCCGTCGGCAGGTGGATGTGGGGCCCAACACAGTCCTTGCTCGTGTAGAACGCGATGTGTGACTTGCCGTGGATTTGGCCCACAGTAGGCAACCCGACTCACTTGACCGAGGAAACCTTGTCGTCGAAGCAGAGCATGTTGAAGCACTTTTGCGTCTCGGAGATGTCGAGGGGGTAAAGGCCCCCACGAAAGTTGGTGTCCTTGTAGAAGTAAACGGAGCCGTACCAAGCTGCCACCGTCGTATTCGACAATAACCACAACACAGCGAAAATGATGGCGAGTGAATTCATTTCTGAAAGTGAGCAGTACCCGTCGTACTGCTCGTGCTGAAAAAAATAAGATACGGCAGTAATGGAAGCAGCATAAAGGATTTATGACAAGTTTCCGAAGATACGCAGTTCTACAGTATTTTGTTTTTTTACCATCCAGAATGGGGGGGGCGATCTTTTCGAAACAAGTTGTTTCCTGTACATGCATGACTCATTACTTGGATATAGTGTGGGCCTGACTGACCGTAGTTCCTTGTATTATTGGCAGGCTGCTCACGAATATAAGAAGAAGGCCACATTTCTTCGACGGTGGGACGTTAACGCCGTGATAGACCAGCCTCCGCACGCGGAGATTTAAAGACGGTAAAATGGGTCGTTGAGAGCTATTCGTTGGAGGAATTCCTAACAGAGGTCGTCTCGAGGGCTGCACATAAGGGCGACAGGCAGATATTGACATATTTGCGGGAACATTATAGCAGTAATTGCTACTGGAGAGGTGTCGAGCAGGTAGAACTACATGACATGCAGCCACCAGGACATGATGGAGTGGTTAATAACGCGTGTTGCAATCTATATTTCTAATTAGACGAGCATCAGCGCGCGAAAACCTGGGGATCGCGCAGTTCCTGTAGCAGCGCAGTCTGCCCAGTCTTGCGTCCAATACAACAGCCAAAATATTTGGTGTAGAAAGTAAATTTCTTTAAGCAACCGCCTCAGTAACAGAACCGGACACCCGTTCGAGTCGAACGACTTATCTTCTAGCCGATGCTTACGGGTAGCTTCTATGGATCGAATCGTAGTAAGTCTTGTAGCTCTTGTAAATCGGGAAATTCTTGTGTTTGGTCATGGGGTACACCAGCTGCAGCTCCTCGACCAGCTTTTCTGGTGTCTTACCACTCGCATACCAAGCCGGGAACTTTGCTCTCGCTATCTTCTCGCGCACGGTCTGGACCACCTCCTTCCACCCTCTCTCTTCGTCGTCTCTGGCGTCCCCTTCGTCGGTTCTCAGGAATCTCTGTTGGTTCTCGCCGGTGTCCATGCGAGTCAACGACCGAATTGAGACGGAGTCCGTTGCGATCATTGTAGTATCTGTGGACGCAGACTCAGCGTTGCAGCCAGACAGGGTGCAGGCGAGGACAGTGAGGAGGGCATAGGTCAGCTGCATGGCGTTTGGGATTCTTCTGTAGCTTGTCATCTCTGGGGCGAACGCAAATTGCAGAATGGCGTCGCAGCTCTATGATAGCTTCGATCGTGGAGGCTCACTGGCGAAATGGTGCGCTGGTTCTTCGCACCGAGCATTGCTGATGTGATCCAAACCACGATCTTCGGCACAGTAAATGTACAACTTTCAGTGATCGCAGAGGCGAGATCGTTTCTTCGGTAGAAGCGATGCTTCGTATCTGAAAGTTCGATTTGACCAGCACAGCGCGCCTCCGGCGTAGCCGCCATAACCGCAACAAATACAATATAAAAATTCGATTTGACTTTGCTGTGCTGGTCTAATAAGCCCGTACAGTACATGTAGTACACTCGGCAAAGAGACCGTGTGACAGCGAATGCACAGATATCAATATCCTAGATGCTCAATCTTACTTGTCCTAGTTTTGTGTTGTATATTGAGCTTTGTAGGAGCTAGTGGCAATTTATCGCTATCAATGAGTACAGTATCATATTAACTTACACTTATTGGCGGCTTCGTTTGCGATAGCTTGCCATAGGCGAGCATCGAACAGCATTCTCTGCATGAATCGTTCACCATCCGGTTTCCAGGATACTTTGCCAATCGATCGTCATCAAAGACGAACGATACGGATACTGTCATTGTCGATGACGTTAGATTCTCAATAACGGCGAATCTCATTTTTTATGTACTTGTGAAAGTCGATTAGTTTGTCCTGAGTCAACCAACTAGTAAAGCATCGATGGATTTACAATTCAATAGTACGCAAAACTGTATGAAAAATACAGATTTTAATTTCTATATATTTTATTAAAATATAAATTCAGTCCACCAAGCCCCCTTCCTATCGGACGGTACCGTTGTCGATCATGGCTTCGTCATGGACGATACCCACGACCAACTCTTCTCCACGATCCCCATGAACCCTGTTCCGGACACTTTCTCTTCATTCTCTGGCCGGAAATCCGTTGCCATGGAGAAACTTTCGTCGTCGCGGCTTGTATTCGCGTTGTTTTCATTCTCCTCATTCTCACAGTCGTATTCTTCGTCCAACGCGAATTTCTCCAATTCCTCCAGCACGTTCTTCAGCTCAGGGCGATCGCAGGTGTCGTACGCGATCATTTGCTTCACCAGACCCCATTGGCTTGCTGTCATAGCTCCCGGCTTCTCAACGCGGATCTCCCGGTTACGAAGGCACTTACGAACCGTATCCGAGTCGAAATCTCCCCACGGATTCTCTGTGCCATTGACAGCGGCAATGATACACATTCCCAGCGAGTAAACGTCGGACGCAAACGTCGGTCTCCCCGCTGTGTTTACCACAAATTCTGGTGCGCGCCATTGCAACGCCCCCAAATGATCTCTCATCTTCATGACGGAGCAGGACCCAGAGTCGAGGAAGCTGAAGCCGAAATCCGTCAGCATCGCAGTGCCGTTCTTGCTCACGACAATGTTGTTGCCTTTCAGGTCTCCGTGGATGATCTCGTGGTCGTGTAGATACTGGAGCCCAGCTGCGACCTGGAACATCATCCTCCATGTCACGCCCTTTACGGACTGCAGGTAGCTACTCAGTGTTCCGTTTGCAGCCAGCTTGGACACGATGAAGAACTTGTCCTCAGAGAGACTGGCATCGAAGAACGGCACGATGTTGTCGTGGCGCAGCTCTGACCAGAGCTTCACCTCCTTGAGGAACCGCTTCTTCTCCTTGCCCGAAGTCACTTCGATCTCCTTCACAACCACGTCAGTGTGCGACCATCTCGCTCGATAGACGGACCAAAAGCTTCCCGCTGCGATTATTTCATATCGAACCACCTCTTCCGACCGGATAATCCACGCGGGGCCTTCTCGTTGATTTTTTTCATGGAGAAGAGCGTTCTCGTTGTTCCCTGGCTCCTCTTCAAGCTGGAAAAGTTTCACCACTTCTTCCTAGTTGAATTTGTTCTCCAAGAGATCCACAGGCTGCGCGCGCTCGACCTTCCAGAGATCATTGGCACCTTGAATACTCGTGTTCAACGCGTAGATTGACTCTTCAGCCTTTTGACGCAACATACAGACGAACGCGCGGTCTGGAGAGCGGTTAACCCTCCTCCAACGTCGCACTCACGCCACTGATGGGTGACACTCTCAACGTCGTCATCGACCGCCTCAATTCCCTGTTGACTCAGCGACAAGACCTCCCCAGTAGTGACGTTCTTGTAGACAAAGTACGCTTCAGAATCAGTCGGAAGACGCTGCCAATGCTGAATAGTGGACGTGACGCGCCTGCCTCCAGCCCGAACCTTGTCGTTATCTTGCTCGAGGTATTTCCCCGACTCAAAGTTCTTCAACGTGACTATTGTGTCCCCAGTGTCGGTGATATTCGAGTGGTGCCAAATCAGACACCAGTGTCGCTCGCCGTAACTGCAGTCCTCGCCGCTCGTGCGGATCTCGCTGAACCCCCCGTGATCGATGAACAGTCTGCTGGCCCGATTGCGAACTACGATGAAGATATCGTCCAGTTTCGTCTCGAACCAGTGGTGATTGGGGTCCTTCAGGTCGTCGCTTATGGCTACAGTGTTGCCGTGACCTTCCTTGGCGTCCCAATGATCCAGAAGTTTGCCCGTGGCTACGTTCTTGTAGGCAAAGTAGCCGCTTCCAACGGGGATACGATACCATTGGTGGGTGGGGTCGTCCAGGTTCGAATCAAGCGCTTGGATCGAGTTGTCGATGGGATTCTGCTCCAGTACCATGCCCGTATGGCGGTTCATGATGGACACGACGTCGGAAGGCATGGTCAAGGAGTGCGTGCTTCTTTGGCAAATCAGCAAATGAAGTTGGTGGACGGAGGACTCCACCCACTCCACTCCCCCGTAGACTGGGTGTTGGGAACATGCTCAACGGCAGGCAATCATTCTCGACTAGATTTACTTGCTTCACGACCGGGTAAGGACCAATAAACCTTGGCGCAAGTTTCTTCGCCTGTGCAAACCCCTTGTGACGAATGTCCAAGTTCCGTCCATCCAAAAGTACCATATTCCCGGGTTTGAAGTCTTGAGAAAGTCTGTTCTTGTCATAATACGACTTCATTCGAGTTTGCGCCTCACTCATCGCGTCGTGTGCCATTTTCAAAATTGCGTCTTGCTTGAGCAGGAAATCCTGTGCTGACTTCTGCAACTGCTCAAACTCTGGGTCCCCAGCCACCTCATCTGGCATATAGAGCACATAACCCAGATCAGCCTCAAACGGTGACATACTGATCGAGGAATGGACACGTCTGTTGTACGCGAATTCGGCGAGATGTAGGTATTCATCCCAATCATTCTGGAATGGGTTCACGACGCCTCGTAGATAGTCTTCTATAAACCGATTAGTACGCTCGGTCTGACCATTCGTTTGCGGGCGGAAAGCGGACGACAAGTTATGAGTCGTCTCTAATGTCTTAATCACCTCCTGCGAGAACTTTGATGTGAATTTCGAGGCACGGTCTGAGACGATCGACTTCGGCACTCCATGGTCTTTCACATAATTGGCCATGAATAGCGCAGCAGTCTCTTCTGCTGTCGCCGCCGTGTTCGTGGCAATGAACTTAGCACGTATCGTCAACCGGTCCACAATAACCATAATGGCGTCTTTTCCGGCTGCCGTCTTCGGTAGTGCAACCATGAAGTCCATCGTCACATCAATCCATCTGCCTCCTGGAATCTCCAACGGTTGAAGTAGTCCCGGCGGCTTCGTTTGGCGTGCCTTGTTTCGCTGACAAAGCTCGCACGTGTTCACATAACGCTGAATGTCTTCGACATCTTGGGCCAGTAATATTTCTTCTGGACGCCTAAGTATGTCTTGAAGTATCCGGGGTGACCTGCCGTGACCACATCGTGGTTTTCACAAATAACACGGTTCTTCAGATCTTCATTGTCCGGAATTACCAGTCGAGCATTTTCATCATCTCTCGTTTGGTAATACAGCAGTCCATTCTTCACAGAGTAGCGTGGTACCTCTTTACCACTAGCGATACTCTGCAACAGCTCTTGAACTCTTCGGTCTGTAGAGTACAGGTGTTTGGCCGAGTGCGTCACAGTTGCACTGGTCGTTTGGACGCTAGCTACAATTTCACGGTTTCGAGCCGCTTCAATGAGCTCACTGAGACTAACCTGAGCGGCTTTGTGCTCGAAGAGTGGGTTTCGAGACACTGCATCCGACACTTGGTTACTGTCGCCTGGAATCCATTCGAACTGTGGTTGGAACTCGGCTAGTTCATTGAACCAGCGAGCCACACGACGGTTTGTTGTCTTCTGCGTCAATATAGTCTCAATACTCTTGTGGTCTGTCTCCACCGTAAATGGCCGATCGAGCAGGTAGACTCTCCACACCCGAAGCGCATGCATAATAGCCAGCAATTCCTGTTCGCGAACTGGGTAGTTTAGCTCCGCTGGTTTCATTTTATGACCAGTGAATGCGATCGGATGCTCGAGCCCTCCCTCGTTTTGAAACAAGACCCCCCCTATGGCAAAGTTCGAGGCATCCATACGAATACCGAACGGTTTTTCGAAATCAGGAAGTTGCAACACGGGAGGGGTGGAGAGACGGCGCTTGAGTTCATGAAAACATTCCAACCGGTGCTCAGACAAATGCAGCGTTTCCTTTGGGCGCAAACCCTTAGTACTTTTATGCAATGGTCCTGCGAATTGCGCGAAGTCGACGCAAAAGCGCGAGACATAGACCGTAGTACCCAAGAAGCTTTCCATTTGCTTCTTTGTCCGTGGAATCGGCCACTCGCGAATCACACGCACTTTGTCAGGGTCCATTCGAACACCATTGCGGCCCACAAAATCACCAAGACAAGGGATCTCTTCGACACAGAACTGGCACTTTGACAACTTGACATACAGCTGCTGCTCTTGACAGCGTTGGAGTACTCTTTCCTACGCTTCGACATGCGTCCGAACATCTGTGTCTTGAGTGAAAACATAGATGCCATCAAAGTAGATGCGCATGACATCGCGTAGGTCGCTAAACACCCGCTGTAACAACCGGTTAAAAGTGCCAGGACTACCGCTCAAACCCATAGGGGTGACAAGATACTCAAACAGCCCATCGGGCGTCGAAAAAGCAGTAAATGGAATGTCAGATTCACGAAGTTTAACCTGGTAATATCCCCACAAGAGGTCCATGCAGGAGAACCAGTAACTACCCCCCATTGCGTCGAATGTGTCTTCCTTCCTCGGCATGGGTATGGCCGGCAAAATGGTAGAGCTGTTGAGCTGGCGATAGTCGTGCACAATACGCCAACCCACGGATTTCTTGACACAAAAAGTTGGGGCACTGAATGCCGAGGTGCTAGGGCGAATGATTCCAGCCTGTACCATCTCCTTCGCCCAATCTTGGATGACCTTGCGCTGCTCTGGGCTTTGGCGCCACTGTTTCACCGAAATCGGTTGCGTTCCCGGCTGAAGCTGAATTTCGTGCTCAATCCCTTCGCGGACAGGAGGTGTGGTACTCGGCAGCTCAGTGCGAAACACAGTATCGCGGTACTTGAGCAAAACTTCATATGCCGGATTGTCCACTAGCGCCTCCCATCCTTGTTGCTTAAAACGCTCAGCCTTTTCTGAGTCGTGCGGGTTCACAACAACAACAGCTTCAATACCCTTCCCTTTGCGAAGTTCTGTCATAAATTGCTCCGTTGAGATCAGCTTCGTTTCTCCGAACGCACCGGTGTGGCCATGCTGCCGGTAGTAATGGAATATTTCACGGTTCTGGTTTGCATTCTTGAAACGACGGCCTCCAATCATACGTGCGGGAGGTCGGTTAGGTACCACCAACTGATGGGCCGGGGGTTCCTCGGTCCTATTACGTGGACGCAGTAGTAAGCGTTCCCAGTCGATGTCAGGGTTATTCTCCCGAAGCCACTTCATTCCGAGGGGCACGTCCTTGTCTTCTGGAACAGGCATGACCGTAAAAGTCTCGCACGTCACGGGGAAATTCGGAATCTGTAGCATCATTTCGACGGTACGTCTTGGTCTTTGCACGGTTTGGTTGTATCCCAGACGAACTGTCATCATGTCGTCGGGATGCTCCGTGATTTCCAATTGTAGTCGCTCGGCTAATGCTTCCGTGACACCGTTGAGGCTGCTGCCATTGTCGACGAAGATCGAAACTTCTGCGGGGGTCTCATCCTGCTTGAAGGCTAAAGCGCTTATTTCCAAAATAGCATAGAATGATCCGCCAACATAGTGGTTCATCGCCTTGGTGGACGTACATTGTGGCTTGATATGGCCGAATTGTCCACAGTTGTTACAAGTGGCTGACTTTCGCCAATCCTCTTTCGGCACACACTTCGAAGGTGGCTTTCGTTCCTGTGGCTTGGCCGTACTGTTAGCCGCAGGTTTCACAGACGAAACTGCTTTCGACGAAGGCTGATGACTCACTGCAGGTTTTACCGATAGCCCTCCATAGTGAGCAAACTCAAAGTTCGTTGCAATGTCAATGACTTCATGTAAGAATCTTGGACTGAGTTCCTTCACCTTCTTAGCCGTCTCCGCACGAAGCCCATTCTGGGAGTAGAAACGCTTCTCCATTTCTGAAATGTCCAACTCGGATTGAGACATCAAATCCTGAAACGACGACACGTATTCATGGATAGTTCCGTGTTGTTTCAGTTGAAACAACCGCTCACGCAGGTTGTATTCAAAGTCTTTCGGGCGAAAGCGCTCGCGCAACATTGCCTTAAACAGTTGCCATGATTTCGGCATCCCCGCCGCATCACAATCCGACGAAAAGGCACGATACCAGTTCAGCACAGACTTGCCTAAACTGCTTGATATCATGGTCACAAAATCGGACGTATCGGCCTCCATTATTCCTCGTTTGTTAGCGTAGTACTCCTCCGTAGCAAAGATCCAAAGGTCCAGGTCTTCGCCAAATTTCCCTTCATACGTGGGAGGATCCTTCTTCCGTCGTTCACCTTGCGAGGCCAGTAGTTGCTCAAAACGACTGTTGGCCTGTTGTATTTGCATCTGCAACTGGATCTGCATCTGATTCTGATACATTTGCTGCTGCTGTGCAATCCACAACATCAACTGCTGCATCGACATTGACCCAGGCGCAGGGGTTGTCGTCCCCGCTGATGGGGCTTCACTTTGCGCTTCTTGTGGCGTTGCCGCCTCCGTTTGAGCCGTTCGCGGCACTTGACGCTGCCGCGGGTTAGGCGAATCACTCTCACCCGCCCTACTCCTTGTCACAGGCATTAGGTCTCGAGCAGATGGACTTTTCGGTGAGTGATCCGTAAAACGGTACAATAAAACGGAGACGAAGTGAAGCTAAAATTGTGTTTAAAGCTTAGTGTTTCTGAGGTTTTAGGCGGATAAGCCCGTTAATCTTCGCAGCAATGTTGTCCTCGCAGCTCTTAAGGTCGAGAAGAGCTAAGTTGAGTTGTCGATCAACCTTACCCTCAATGCTGTCGTCCTTGATACCCCAGACCTCTTTGCGAAACTTAACCAGGACCCTATCGCTAGCGTATGTAGTTGAGCAGCTTGGACATTTCGCTGGGTGATCGAGCTTCTCAGTTGTGTACAAAAGTCGTGCATTTGAAGGATTATTTTCTAAGTCACGTGGTTTACCAATTCATGACCTCTGACCAGTTCATGGACTAAAGCGACTATTATCCAATCCAATCTTCTTATTTGGACTAATATTGCTCTGATTGGCTCAATATTTTTTAACCAGATCTTGGCCTCACTTTTCCTTACGTCAGATATCGAGTTCACAGACACAGCTAGAAGAAGCTATCGACCGCGTCCTCGCAGGAGAGAAGCTCGCAGCCGTGGCCGACCCGTCACCAGTGTCGTTGTCAACACTAAAGCGCAAAGTCGCCGCGCGCATCGAAGGTCGATCTATCGAGCGCCAACGGCCCGGACTTGCCCCCCCCCCCTGCTGCCTCCCGAGTGTGAAGCCGATCTAGTGACATGGATCGCTGCAATGCAGCGTCGTCTGGTCCGACAAGCAATGGTGCAGGAGCTGCACTCCAAGCGCGTGACAACAATGGCGCCGAAGTGCCTGCAGTGGAGCCGCTGTTCATCATCGAGAGCGCAACGGTTTGAGTTTGGTATGAGACTTTGTATGGGATCGCGTCGGTCCAACATCTGGTCAGTGCGTCATAAAAAAATAAATTTCCGCTTTGTTTGCTTCGCTGTTGCTTGCTCATATTTGCTCATAAATTGGTGCGAGGACCCTCAAAATTAAGCGTACCGACTGCTTGTATAAATGCTAGCGTTGTAGCATCGCTGCTCTAAGATTGGTGTCATCATCGACGATTTCGCATGAGGTGCTGCTGGCGGGTCATGAATTGGTAAACCACGTTATGAATTACTTAACACCTTGGCTCCGAACGTCGTAAGTTACGACATGTCTGTTTTTTTATGTCGTAAGTTACGACATTGAGCGTGTTATACTAGAAAAACGCATAGAGACGATTTTCCCATACTTTAATCAAGTTTATTTCAAGCAACCGCAACCTATAAGGTGCGAGCGGTCTCTGCGACAAGTTCACAGAGCCGGGTCAGAGGATGGGTTCAGGTGGGTGAAAGATTCCAGGTTGGTCCGGAGTCCGGACAGTACGTCCAGAGTTGGACCGACAGGTATCGTTCAGTGAAGGATAAGTGAAGGGCCTTCACCCAGCACACGAAGTTGACTTTAGACACTTTTGGCGGCAGCTCAGGGTGACCGGCTAGACCTGGGGAAGCGCGTCGTGTAGGGCACGCCCGGCAAGAACACAGGCAAGCACAAGAAGACACGGTAGGAACTGCAGCTTCCCCGCGAAGAAAGAAGCGATGGTGGGCAATAAAAGCAATGACAGTGAGCGTGTAGGTTGCGTTTCAGTTAGTCAGTGGTCAGTTTCGTGTGGTTGAATACAAAGTTTGTTGAGCAATGCACCTTCTTTCATGTGATTTCTGATCGGAGCTGCAGAACAGTGCACCTCCTTAGCCATCTGTTGACTGCAAGTGGGGTCTGTTACGACATTGAGCGGCGATTGCTCTATTTCTATGTCGTATCACTTACAGCATTGGTGAGAAAACCTGATGACAATTTATACACCTATCCCGACGAGAAACACATGGTTCATACAAATATCAATTGAATATGTAAGTCGTAACTTACGACATGCGCTTACGCGTCTGAGGCGAGTACCGTTCGGAGACAAGGTGTTAAAGTAATACGCTAAACCTCCACGAGTTTCAGGAATCTTTGGGCAACAAGTATTAATCGGTAGAGCTAACAGGGTTTACTTGCTTATATGTTGCGGACAGAAGACTTGTTTGGTCGCCATGTCGAGTAGTTCATAGCAAGGTTTGTTTTCGCATTAGCTAGGTGCAGTTGACGATGTCATTCAACTGCGCAGATACGTAGAATGCCTCATCATTAGATTCAATCTAGGTTTTTGCTAAGCCACCACTACGACAAGTCCATTTCGCAGGTAATACCACAACTAAATGCTTAAAAAATACGTTATGGGCCGCGCCTTTGAATCACGCGGGCCGCAGTTCGCTTATCACGGCAATTTGCATCGGTACAGTACCGATGCACCAGCACTTCACATCGCACGCAATGTAACCTTGCCAGAAAAAAATACTACTAGAAGTACTTGTTGTACCTATCCAACTTTTCCGCATCCACCCTCAACACTTGTGCGTGGGGCAAGGCAATCCGTTCATTATTAGAGAAGGCAAGCCTCAGCTCGGGGCTCGCAGAGAGCTGAGCTGAGGCAACCCAGGGTAAGGTGTGGTGGGTTTTGCGAGCGCGCAGTGGCAGCGACTCATGCTGGGCCGCGCTCGGTGTTGGTCTTGGGTGCTGCTTGTCCGAGGCGAGGGAAGACCACAAATGAGCGGATTGCCAAATCTAATCCTACCTAGCGCTGGGAAAACCCGCCCAGCTGGACAGTGCATTCTGCAGGGCCGTATCTAAGCGGGAAACCAGGGCACCTACACACACATACACTTGATTGGCCCGATGAGCGGCGAGGATGGGACCGATGTTGCAACGCGGCAACGAGGCGCGTCGTATCGTCGAGGCTTGGTTATGAGTCATGACTCATGACGCACGAAGTCTTGGCCGTTCAGCGGAAAAACACTTTTTTTCCCTACTTGAAAAAGTACCAAATCGTCATATCTTCCTTTTAATTAAAGAACCTTTGTCGGAGGTAACGGCGAGCGCGGCCGGAAGAGGAATGGCCCGCCCCGCGTGCAAGTACAGCTCCAGTGATGGTAGTGGTAGCGGCCAGCCGTACGATCTGCGCACGTCACCAGCGCGCCTCGCACAAGCACGGAACCGTCGCGGCGATCAATTGCCGTGCTCGCCGTCCTTACTACTAAACAAGTCGCAAACATGTTTACCAACTGTGACGCTAATCATGAACCGCCACACGGGCATGGTGCTGGTGCAAAATTCAATGGACAACTCGATCCGACGCTCGATTCGGGCCTGGACGACCCCACGCACCAATGGTATCGCATCCCCGTGAGCAGTGGCTACTTTGCCTTCAAGAACGGGGCCACCGGTAAACTCCTGGACCATTGGCACGCCAAGGAAGGTTACGGCAACACGGTAGCCATTAGCGACGGCCTGAAGGACCCCAACCGCCAATGGTTCTAGATGAAACTGAGCGACATCTTCATCGTCCTCCGGAACAGGGTCAGCAGACTGCTCACCGACCCCTGGGGTCAAACTTGATCCGCACAAGCGGCAGCTACGTCGAGCGGCACTGGTGTCTGCCACACTACTACCACCAACACAAAAAACTTTTTTTTTGAGTCGGGGAAATACATTGAGCAGGATAACGACAAAGCTCCGGCTGGAGGTAGGCGCGTCACATCCACTTCACGCCATTGGCAACGCCTTCCGAGTGGTTCCGACGGCTACTTCGTCTACAAGAACGTCGCTACAGGGAGCGTTTTATCGAAGCCATCGATTACGACGAGAAAGTGTTATTCACCAGTGGCGTGAGTACAACGTTGGAAGAGGGTTAACCGCTCTCCAGAACCGTGCGTTCGTCTGTATACTACGCCAGACCGACGAAGTGTCCATTTACGCGTTGAGCACGACAATTCAAAGCGGCAACAATCTCTGGAAGGTTGAACGCGCACACTCTAGGCGAATGGATTCAACCAAAAAGAAGTGGTAAACAATTTCCACCTTGAAGGTGAGCCAGAGAACAACGAGAAGGCCCCGTGCGGTTTTTCCGGCTGAAAGAAGTGCTTCTTATCAGCTAGCCAATCCCAAATTGATTTCATCTAAGGCCACGGCAAACCAAATTGGTCTACAATCAAATTGTCACTTGTTTTCTGACTAGTTGCACAGTGCATTATCCATACAAGCAGGGCTGAATTGGTGCGGACTATTTCTTGGTGACGTACTTCAGTGCGCCTTGATTTTCGTGTGGAATGATCGACATGTATTAATTTCAGTTAGACGGAAGTACGAAACTACTACAGTAGAAGTATTACTTGTAGAGCGTGAAAACCCAGTACGTGGTTGGCCCGGCCATTCCTATGGGTATTTAATGTGGATCCGGTCGTACTGCTCTTGGTAGCTCTTGATGACAGGCCACAGTTTGTGCTCGACTAAAGGATACGACATTTTAAGTTCATCAGCCACCTCCGCCGGGGTCTTCTTATTCAGTAGCCAACCAGGAATCTTAAGCTTGTGTACTGCCACCTTGACAGCATCTTTCAAGCCCCTCTCCTCGTCCTGAGCATCCTCGTTGACCTTCTCGTGCCTCTTGCCACCCTCGGCATAGCTCGCAGCACGGATTGAGGTGGCGGTTCTTGAGACGATTGCTTCGGACTTGGAAGTGGCGGAGACAATGTTGCAGCTCGAGAGGAGCCCGAACACAGCCACTAGAAGAATTCCGCGGAGGTGCATCCTGTAGTGGTTTTGCTTATGGGAGGACAGGGGGTATCTGGGTCTTGAGGTCTGGATGGCAAAAAGCGGAATGAGTCCAATGGGCATTTCTCTACGTCGATACAAGGCTTACTGAAAACTGCCCGCGCTCTTCCGATTTGCCAGTTGTGCGCGCCATTCTTGTGCAGGGACCTTCACTCTTGCTTCTTTCTCTCTCGAAAACGGGAGGCGCGGGGCGGCTCGTGCCTCCCACCGTAAGGTAATTTATTGTCGCCCTCTCCTGACAAGTTCAACCCGAACCTCGAAAAAGGCTATATCTGGTCTACTAAATCTTCACAGGATTCGACTGCAATTACACTGAACGGGGAACACCGTTTTGGTGGTAGCAACGTGTGCCAGATTTGCTTGCAGAAGTGGTGGCTTCTCAGTGAGCTATTCAATGAAAACCTGGCGCTCATCCAAGAAACGTTATTAGCACATCCGATTTTCGATCCCGACATCAAGGAAACGTTATACGCCAAGTGTAAAAATGCTTGACGGTATAATGGAGTGATACTGTAGACTTTTACACATCGTAGCTAGACCACTACGGTACATCTACGAGCGCTACATGCATTTTCACAGTTTGCAAGGATTTGTTACATCAACTTTTTGCAGTAATTCGTTGTACAGTGCCATTTCGCACTTGGGAGCTGGTCGCGATGGTTCGACAAGTGGCGATGCAGCAATTCTGTATTGAATTTCGCAGTTCGAAGAACTGTCGATTGGGGAAGGTTTTTGGATGACATCGAACGACATTCGCGCTACATTCGTAGCTTCCCCCGCCGGCGGATGACATCGAACGACATTTATGCTACACGGGACCGTCGGCATATCTCCAATCAACATAGCGATCTGATGGATCGATCGATCGATATATAGTGGATGTTGAAGCCGACTAGAACAATTAATAAAGGTGCAGTTGTGTATATTATACTAAGTAGATATTTCTAAGCTGTGAGATTCGGAAGACTGAAGCTCGACAAGAATGCAATGATTTCTGTTTCACAACGACTGGGCTTCGACTCAAACCAGTGAGTTTGCCTAAAGAAAAGTAGTCGAATTTGGGTTCCACATCAAAATCCAAGTTGCCCAAGTAGATATTAATACAGTTTACCGTAGCTAGCGACACGGTATGTAAAAAAATAGTGAATCAACTTCTTCATACGAAAGCATCATGGTCGTGGTGTGATGATAGTGCAACATTCACCCTGGAACCGGTGCGCTCACGCTGAGTGAAAAGAACTATGTGTGCGTTCACATTCCTGTCGAGGGGATCCAACGAACGACAGCTTCGCCAAATATCGACACACCAGTGAAAGGCAATTTTCCATGGTGATAAGTGAAGAGCAGGGAATGAGTAATTCAATTTGATAGCACTACCGGCATCCTCCGTTCTTTACTGACAGTCATGTTTGGCTACTTAGTACAAAAAGTGGGTAAAAAAGTGATGTCTGCCGCCGCATTGTGAAACACTCATTGTTTCATCGCAGACCGAGCTGCTCTCGATGGTATCATGCTCGACAGCCACAGCTCAAACTCTATGATCTACCAGGCTCAGGCTAGAAAGCTGAGCGATAATTTCACTAGCTACAACGTCTACTTTCTTCACTAAAGGCTGTGGCATACATGTAGTCATCGCCTGCTTCCAGGGCCTGTAAGTGCAACATCAAAGCTGAAAGTGGTACGCCCTCCCCACGCAGTTCATTCATCCATACCACGAGCTTCTGCTCAGCTTCAGCGGGGAGGGCCATACCTGTGCCGCTCGTCCGAGCATTCTTTTTGAGAGCTGTCTGTCCATGAGCTTTCGCCGCGGTTCGTGGACAAACTCATCTAGACCGCTGTAGAAGGCGTTAAAAGCCGCTGTGATGTCACCGCACGGTGCCCAGGCATCGAGCACCTCGAGCTTTCTGCTGCCGTAATTGCGATCGAGATCTGCTAGACCTCAGTTTCGACTTCTCAAACTTGAACAATTGCTGGATTCATCCGTTTACCCAGCAAGTCCAGTTGAGCAGTTAGCCTGGCAGCGCTAAGTCTTCAAATGCACGGATTTTTTATTCTTTTGTCTCCCCCGGTAAGTTTCCGAGCATAAGATTCTGCCTAGGCATCAGTGCACGTTTCAGTGGCAGGAAGGAAGGAAGTTACGTTGATTACGATGATCGTTCTGCCAACTAACGTTACAAAAGAACGAAAGTTAAAACTAAATCCGTGAAATCTTGATCCGACGAGCACGAGGAGCCCGAAGCGATGAAGTACCAACTGAACTAAATCTGCGTTGATGTTCAATCCATTGGAGTGACGATATATAGACTGGCAATGCCATTTGAAAAGAAGCAACCAAACTTGGTACACTTGGTTGTACAGTGGTAGATTAGGCAGATGCAGGAGATGCCCGAATACATCGTTTCCCTTTACAATTTTCCGTACAAGCTAGCTTCGAACTGCGAAACCCCCCGGGTCCACCACCCGGGTTTTCAATCCTTTCAGTGCCTGTGATGCTTTGGCTACAAGAATGCCACCATGGTTTAAATTTAATAAATGAGTATTTTTTATTTTGCTTCGCTATTTTTCATCCGTTTACGCCGTGAACCCTTGAAATTTTACGGAGGCGAGTTTAGCATTAAAAAAATCGCATGGAAACGGAGGCAGCCTGCGTCTGGAACTTATTCCGTGAGGTCTATCCGTCGCCCAGTTATTGTCGCATCTTTACGGTGTAGTGTTATCATTGACCTGTCCATTTGTCGGCCGCCGGACTTCCGAGAGGTAGCCATTCAACCAGGCGTCATTGTTGGCATCTCGCCCGTTGAGAATTGTTTTGCCGTACTGGTAGCGATCACACGGGTATCCGCCACCGTTCTCCATGGTGACGTCATTGCCTCGATATCCTTGCGGACCACGATAGCTAGCGGGGCAGTCCATGCAGTCGCTGATCTGCTGGAGCCCCTCCGTCATGGAGTACTTGCCATTTGGACACGGTCCCGAGCACTGGCTGGTCGTGAGACCTGTCGATGACCCGTACAAGCCAGCAGGGCAGGGCTTGCAGTCCAGAATGCTCTTGGCGCCTAATTTGTCGTTGTACGTCCCTTTCGGACACTTGGCTGTACAGTCCTTGGACACCAATCCCGGGCTGTCTCCGTAAACCCCATGCGGGCAAAACTCGCACTCACCGACTTTGATTCCCGCTCCACTCGGGCGATATATCCCTCGAGGGCAGTCGGCAGGTCCAGGTTGCACGCCTAGGTACAAACGCACTGCAAGGAGGCAAAACATACTCAGATTAGTTCATAATGATACAAACCAAAGCTATTCAAGCATATAGTGACTTACTTGGGACGATCTGGTGCAGCTGGCCGCCAACGCGTAAGTGCTGCACTGGTTGTAGTTGCCCATGCTGCTCAAATGCTACATATCGGAGAAGCAATCAAACATCCGCTTTCTAATTCTTTTGAATTGGACATACAAACCCATGAAGACTGCGCTGACGAGGAAAGCGAGCCAAAGTTCGTTGAAAGACCTTCCGAACGTCGCCATTCATCTTCATCGCTCTATTTGAAGACTGCATCTAGCGATGAAAGGCGTGAGTTGCTATTTTCTCCTCGTTTAGGAAGGTCTGTTTTGCGATACAAATTTAGAAATTCTACTATTACGCGTTCGCCATAAGTATTGGTCGAGACGTCCATTTCATTCGCTGAATTTCAAAAGTATTCGTATTGAGCGCGAGAATATCCCAAGACGTGCGAAGCGTTGCAACAAAAGTGAGATGCCAGCACAATGCTGCGAGAGCGATCCACAAGTTATTATCAACGGATGTCTACGGACCCATATATTTGGCTGGCTGCACGACCTGTAGAACAAAGATTTTGAGAATTTGCTAAAAGCATCAATTTAACTTGGTTATAACTCTCAAAATGGTGAAGAAGAAGTAAAAAACGCTATCGCGGTGAACTTTTGGACTTCAGTTGATGTCTATGGGTACGGGGGGAGCGCTTATCGTACTGTTCCATGTAGCTCTTGAGAACGGGCCACATTTTGTGCTTCGTCAGCGGATAGACACCATGCATTCCCAGTTCGTTAGCCAGGCTTCTTGTGGTATAGCCAGCCTGGGATCTTGGTCTTAGCGAGGGCTCTTTCAATAGCATCGTAGAGCCCCCTCTCGTCGTCCTCTTCGTCTTCGTCGCCCTTCATGTGTAATCTCAAAAACCTCTTGTCGAAGCGCTCAGCACTTGTTGGCGTGGAAGTTGCCTTGGATTCAGTGGCGGCAGCCGCAACGTCCCAGCTTGAGTGGAGACTGGCCAAAGCAACGATCAAGATGAACTGCAGACGCATGGAGGTCGTCGCAGTCTCGGATGCTTGGGGACTTGTGCTCTAGGCCGAGAAAAGCAGGGTGTGGATACTACCCAGCCCTGATATACCATACACATTTCCTAATACTACACCTCTGTAAACGTATGCAAATCAAAATCATTTAATGAAATGTAAGGGCGCACTTATGACTGAAAAATGGCTTTGAGGGTAATGCGAGGGTGGTGAGTCACCACTGGTGACAATCCCGAAACCTCTCTGTAAAATTGTAATATTGTTGGGCATCAATATTGTATTGTAGCGATGTCATCAATATCCACTATTTATTGTCAATATTGTTTAGGAAGAAAACTGCCCCTACCTTATCGTAAGAGAGCACCATAAGCTAGTTTTCATCTCCTTTGTCCGTGGCTGTTGCCTATTGAATACTTCTGACAGCCTTAATAGCACTTCGCTGGTCATCAGACCCCAATCCATCGTCAGTACTTAATCGAGTCTCAGTTTTTTTCACGTTTCGCGTCGAGGGGTCGATGGCGCTGAACAACCGAATTAAGTATACGTAGACTTGCTCTCTTATCGAGCTATGGTTTTCTCCATGTGAGTAGCCTTGAGGTCCGCAGGGCTGCACTTCTGTTTTCTTTACAGCCACGTAATGGCACCAACGTGTATACGTAATAAATTTGAGCAGATACTGCGACTACGTGCGAAAAGACTTCGTATGCGTAGGAGGGGAGACACCTAGACCTCAGAGCTGCAGCGTTACTGCGGTACCTACGTCGGTGATAATAACTTGGCTTGTGTCCTTGGCAACAGACGTCATGAAAGAGGGAGAGGTACCCCAACCGAGTCTCCAACATTGCTCGTCGATGCTTCTGTCTGGTCACTTTCGCTTTAGACACTAGGAAGACCGTCAATCATGTTCGGACACGTACAGTTAGGGGTAAAGGCTCGCTAACCATTGGGGATAAGTGCCATGACGATTCATGCTAACATTACTCAACGTGCTCATATACTCTAGTACAGTACAATATATCGCCATACTAAAGGCAAGTATGGCAATATATTGGGGCAAATATTGATATTGGTACAATATTGATTGTGTTGACCGGGCAGGCCGGACAAGACGTGGCAACGCGTCACCGAGGCTGATGTCATCCGAATGGAAGAACAGAAGCCCGTGGCTTTCGTCAAGGAGCTCATGACGCGCGAGAACGAGATGTTCCCCCCACGCCCTTTGTCTGCGTACGATTTCCCGTCTCCTGACCGCGTTGGAGCCGGCGACGTGCATATTTTGGTAGTGAAGCCTGGGCATATTCCTGTCGAGCCCGTGTAGAAAGCGATTCTTCCCTTGGTACCCAATATGGAGGGCGGAATGCTCAGTTTTGTGAATCGGAGTGCTGCCGTCAAGAAACTTCAGAAAGTTCAGCACGCTAACTTCGTGGCTGCTCAAGACGACGGCATTCGGCACTCTTGGCAGATCCCTTTAATCGATAATCCTCCAGGCTCGGGGAAATCTCACTTCGGTCTCGAGTACATTAACGAGTGCAAGAGGATGCTGAAAGCACAAGAAACGACAAGCGTCGCGACTACTACGATTCAAGGTCTGCAGACTCCTCGATGCCAGAGTGAACATAGGCGGCCAACACGCCGCGATTTTCTCGAGCAAGTGTGCAAGTGTCGTACCGTCATTATCCGGGGGAGCCCAGGTGAATTTGTTGGCGATCAGTCGAAATCCATGACAACTTTGGTGCATTCCGCGTTGGTCGAAGCTATCCGCGAGATGCTGGAGCCTGGCACCATGCCATGCTTGACCGCCACGGACTCGCCCTGGCGATTCGCAACGAAGCTCGTGCAAGCGCTGGGGCCGCTTTTTGTTGTACTGGACGATGCTCTCGATTGTTTCGAAGTCTCTTTCAGCTGTATTGACCGCTCTCGTGGGGATATGGAGTCGCGTGCGCGCTTTATCCGCTTCTGTGAGGACGTGCTGGTGACTTGGGCGCAGATCCCGCAGCTGCAATTTGTTGTCCTTGGCTATGGACGCTATCTGCAAGTGGAGCGCGAATTTACCGTACTTGACGATTTTTCTCGTGATCTCTTCACTATTGTGCGATTGCCGTTGATGCTCATGCGCCCCAACGCCATCAAGCAAATCCTGCTGAAGACACAAATGACGAGCACAGATACCATGAAACTTAGTGACCGCTGGGAATTAACCTCGGACGAATCTCTGCAGAACGCCGCGTCGCTGTTGTTTACCGCTTCGGCGGGTCATCCACAGGAGATCGTGGCTATGCTGAGAAATCATTCTTCGCTTGATGACTTCAGTGCGTGTGTGAACGCTGGCGGCGACTACCACATTAGCCTGGCGCAGATTGATGCACTCTATAGACGCGTTCTACTCTGGCAATCGACGCTCAGAGAATGGTTTGGCTGGGACGACGTCGAGACTTCCACGTCTCCACCACGCGTCAACCTTATGAAGGTGGTGACGGATATCAACGGAGAGGAGGAGATGGCGACGACGGTATTGTACCTACCTCACGTGGGAAGGAACTCTGGACAATGCTCAGATCTCTGCGCATCGCGTGATCGTTGATACAATTGTAGGCGTCTTACACCCGTTCCGAGAGTACGTGACTGGACTTGCTCGAGCAATGCCCTTTGTGACGCCACAGCGCCGAGAAGTTTTCCACTGGATGTGCTTCAAGAGACTCAGCGAGTTGTTTTCACTCGAATCGTCGCTGAAAGGCGCGCTACCCTTGTTTTTCGCTGACACGGAGCTTTTGACGCGTTTTCTGGGGCTCGCGTTGCGCCGTGGGTCGAGATGCTACCAAGCAGTGACGATGATGCGGATTACTTGTATGAGCCTAACACGGAGCTGATGGACTCGAAATCAACGCATCATACTGAGTGGCCGACGTGGTTTAGACGACTGCATCTCGAGCTGGACAATCTGACGGACAAGCAAGTGGTTTCGCTCAAATCCCTGTAACCTAGCTTGGCGCCTGACGTGTTTGTCTTAATGCGAGTTTACTACGCCAGCGAGCAGAACAAGCTGGGGGAGAAACGCATCCCCAAGATCGAGATGCTGGTTGTGGGGCTGGCAGCGATAAACCAGACTACACCGGTCAGTGGCGCAAGGATTTACAGGGAATGCTTGAACTTTGAAAAGGTTCTTTCAAACTTTGATGAGTTGACTGAAGCAGCTGACACTGTCACCAACGTGCTGCTGGTCTGCGCAACAGCGTACGCGGAGGATGTGCTCGGGGATTTTGCGGGTAAAGCGTCTGTGAGTTTCGATCCTGAGGCGTATGACTGCGGACGCATTTCAGAAGTGCTGGTACTCAATCTAGCGCCGCAGGCGTGGCGGGAGCAATTTTTCGGAGTAAGTGATGGTGAGTTATTGGAGAATTGTGTGGAGTTGCTCGTTTCGAGATCCAAGGAAAACTAGTACTACTGGGACCCTGCAGCCAATCCGTTCCTGAAGCGCTATCCATCGATCAAGCCCCCGTGGTTTATGCGGAAAACCAGCCCGGCCTTCTTTCGCCTGATTCGGCGTTGTATACACCTGGTGGTTTCTCGAAAACTTTACGTACTGTACCTTCGTCAGAGCTTCATGGTGCCTAGCAGTCCGAGAGAGGGGGGCTACTTGAGTTACAGAGTACTGCTAAGATGTCCGTGTTTTTTAGCGACAAGAATGAATATTAGTATTGCCTTACCAAGATTTGTGACTGTGTAATGACGGCATTAGCATGCTGAAAGGTTCTTCTCTTCTTTTCGTGGTATCTTCAGCTGAATTTAAAAAACATTTGTATTGAATGTGACAAGATAGATACCTGAAGAATTACAACAAAAGTAAGATGCCAGCACCGGACAAATAACCCTTGGTGACGAAGAATGTGGACCAATGTCATGGTTTTTACTAGAGTGCAGGTTGCATCAATTCGACTTGGTGAAACGAAAAATCGCTCTCATTGTGAACAAACTACAGCTCACGCCTATGGGTACGGAGGGAAGCGTTTATCGTACTGTGCCTTGTAGTTCTTCAGAACGGACCACATCTTGTGATCCGTCACCGGGTAAACGCCACTCATCCCCAGTTTCTTGGCCACCTCATTCGGAGACTTCCCCTTGCTTAGCCACACTGGAAACTTGGCCGTAGCGGCGGCCTTTTCAACAGCACCAAAGAACCCTCTCTCTTCGTCCTCGTCATCTTCGTCGACCGTCCTGTGCGACCTCAGAAATCTCTTGACATCTTCGGCGTAGCGCTCCGCACTTGTTTGGATGGAGGCGCCCTTGGACTCGATACCGGCGGACACAACGTTGCAGCGTGAGTGGAGGCCGACCAAAGCGACTACAGTAGAAAGACCAAGTGCAGACGCATGGAGGCAGTGCTAGTGTCGGGTTCTTTTGAGGACTTGTGGGCTGGGTCGAGAATAGCGGAATGCCTCGGTGGATGCACAGCAAGCTGTGAAGAGCACAGAGAGCACATCTCAAGATCATGAACCTGTACGCAACAATGGTCAGACTCTTCAAATTTGAGTACCAGCCTCTCAAGAGATCTGTCGAGGGTAGGAGCCCCGGCGACTGGTGCAAGGCTGCACAGTGCAGCCTTTGGACCACCCTGCACGAGTCGTACACACCTTAAACGAAAGGATACGGTGCGAGCGCACCCACGCCATCAGGATTGCAGCAACAATCCGTGCGAATGACGTTGTCATGATCGGAAACCCGTCGTTATCGCTAACGTTGAGTCTAATACAGGACCTGTCGTAGATTCACATCACATGCAGTGTCTTGCGATGCGCTGCGCTAACTTACGCAGCAAATCCGCAACTATGTCGTTCAGACGTGAGCACGCTACCGTCCAGTAGTCATGTTCATTTTGACTGACGGCTTAATTGAAAAGAGTGGAGCCCAAGGCCTCTTCACTGACAATTATTCCCAGCGCTTTCACTACAGTCCCAATGCTCGGACGCTGCTGAGGCTCAAAGGCGCACATGTACGTCACCAATTTCCACTGCAACGGCGTAAATGCCTTGGGCATTTTCGGTAGCTCCCCATGTCTGACTTTATACGACACGACTGGATCGAGAAAGGCTTTTCCCCACGGGAACTTCCCGCTCACAACCTGAACGATGCACATCCCAAACGCGAAGATATCCGCTTCCATTGTTGGAATAATCCCAGAATTGTTTTCCTTGGCAGCAATTAGTAACTCCGGAGCCTTCCAGCGCACAGCACCAATGGGTTTACCTATTCTCCCGGTCAATCTGCGTGGATTGCGCCCGAGTACATTCGTACTGAGACCAAAGTCCGTCAATTTGGCGCGACGATCAGTTCCCACGAGAATGTTATCACATTTGAGGTCTTGGTGGACAATTCCACGCTGGTGTAAGTACTGGAGACCGAGAGCAGCTTCGTAAAGTTTGCGCCAAGCTTCGGGAACGTCAACTTTGTCATTGTCTTTGCCTGGCCGACGACGTCGCAGGTAAGTATTAAGGTTCCCCAAGCTGGCGTGTTCACAGACGAAGAACGGCTTGCCACCTAAATGGCACGCGCCATAGAGGTTGACGATGTGCGGGTGATTGAGTGAGTACCATATCGAAACCTCGCCTCGAAATGAGTCGCCGCTGACGTCGTGCTCCACTATCACACTCTTGACGACGATCTTCGAGTCCAGCCACTTCCCGTTGTGCACGGTGCCAAAGGATCCGCGACTGAAGGGCTGGCCTGGGTCGAAGAGAACTTCTTCCGGTGGGATGAACCACTCGGGCAGTGGATCGCTAGCTTCTGGTACCGGATGCAAGTTCCACGCGCTCCCAATGGCAGCGAGCACAGCACCGGTAGGAACTTGCGTCGTTGTACTCCGTCGTCTTCGACTCCACCAGTAGACTCGAGCTGAAGCAGTAGCTGTGGTTGATGCGGAGTCAACGGAGGATGAGCGACGAAGACTGTGCGCTTCAAGTTCGTGGTCTGGATGATCGACTTCGTGATTGCAAGGCTGAGTTGTATCTGTCCGCTGTGTGGCGACACAAACCTGCCGTCGACGCTGTTCTTCCCACGCTTCTTGCCATTCATGCACCTCGGCGGTCCGAGTGGCGTGCAATACCGGCGTTGAGACCAGCAACCGATCCAGCGTCGTGTGCAGCTCGTAAACTTCCTGTGCCACCCGCGTGCGGCTAGCGCAGAGCATCGCGAGAGAGTTCACAGGCTCTTGGGCGGCCACCACGAGACAAGCGTGGAATTCCTTCAATACCTTTTGCAGTAGTTGGAGCGCTCGACGTCGTTCGTCGAATGAAATTGACGATGCTGGTGGGAGTTGAGTTAGTGCGAGAGGAGAACTGGATCCTTGTATCTCTGCCGGTGCACAGATACACCACTGCGCTATCCTCTCCAAACTCCAGCACCATCCCTCCCTCTTGTCGTTCTTCACCTTTTCTCTTTTGGCTGCTTGTATGTGGTGTTGTGCTGCACAAATCCACCACTGTCGGGGCTTGGCGCTGTTATCAGCTAGAATTCCACTCCAAGGTGACGCAGCAATGCGTAACTTGCTGTAAATGTCCAGGAGTCTCGCACACATCTGCTCGTTCATGGCACTGTACTCGCTGACGGTGCCGACCATCGATTGCACAGCGCCTAGCAAGTCTGCAATGGCGGTCTCCTCCACCATCCCTGTTGGTTCTGCCGTATCACTAACTCCATCACTATCACAGCTTTCCATTCCCCCAGATAACTTCGTCATTTTCCCTTTCTTGGGTTTGGCAGCAGCCACCTCAGCGGCACATTCCGTCACGAATCTCTCCAGCTGATGCACTACAGACGAAATGTTGGGACGTCGACGAGGATCCAAGCTGCACATTTGCCTCACCAAGCTCCATTGCTCGTCAGTAAAGCCGCCTTGAGGTCGAGGTGGTAAGGTCGATCCCGTAGTCATTGCGGCACGGACGTCACAGTCCGGGAGGGGTTTCCAGGGCGCCTTCAGTGTCACAGCCTCCAAGACGCACATCCCAAGCGCGAAAACATCGGCCTCCATGGTCGGAGGAGCGTCGCACTTGCTCACAGGCCCAATGCCAAATCGCTCTGGAGCTGTCCAGCGAAGAAGTGGGTCGCGCTTGGTCTTTTCGACGCTGGAATTCCTGCTGCCAAACACTGTGAGCTTCGCCTGTCCGTCATTTCCAACCAGAATCTCGCGACATCTCAGTCGGCCGTGGACAATCCCTCGTTGGTGGAGATACTTGAGTCCCAGCGAGGTCTCGTACAGTTTAGTCCACGTTATTAGCAGTCGAGCGGATTTGGGGGTGCCATTTTGTCGGTGGTGGTGAAGCAACTGGCGTACTGTTCCAGTCGGTGCGTATTCACACACGAAGAAGCGGAGGCTAGAGCTCTCCACTCTTCCAGCTACTGGTGAGTGAGACGTATCGATCTCACGTAATGAATCATCGCACCCGCCGAATAGTTTGAGGATATTGGGGTGATCCAGTCGAAACCACGTGCACACCTGACGGTCGAACGCTTCGTCGTCTTCTCCTCCTCCCTCTTCGAGGCTGCTCGAGTCGTTCCCAGCCAACTGAATCGCCACAGTCGTGTCCAGCCAGCTGCCCTTGAAGAGCGAGCTGGAGGACAAATCGCTCGTGTCCTCTTTCGCATTCCACGACGACCACGACGTATGGAAGTCGATCTCATGCGCTGGGATGTATTCTTTGTGGAGGGTTCCCACGGTCAGTTGCGGCTTCTTCCGCGGCTGCCAGGGCAACAAAGCTGCTAAATCAGAGACTCCAGTGTCCTTTACAGGCCCTTCACCGATGCTTGGCCGCTGAGATTGCGGCCGCTCGACCTCTGGCTCAGGCTCTTGAGTTTCCAGCACAGCCAACACCCTCTGAAGTAGCTCGCTCCCCTCCATTACGTCGCTACTAAATAAATCCACAGACCGGCGAAACTCGAGTAAAACTCCATGTCTTTCACCGGGTGGCATCTTCTCCGCTTCACGCCGCAGAGCTCCCAGTTTATACTGCTGGAACTGCTCGTCACAGCCGTCTCGCCACTGAGTTTTCCAGTCGAGATCAGCCTCTTCATCAGGTAAAAACACTCGAACGAGGTCATCAACACGCTCATGGGCCACAAATGCAAGTTGGGATCTTGCTATGACATCGAGTAGAGCTCGTAAGGGAGAGTCTTTATGCTGAGTTGTATCTGTGGCTCGAAGCAAGTGCGACCGATTGAGTTGGTGCAGCAGGTTGACGATGGCTTCGTCGCCTTCCACCAGCGTCTCGAGGTCTCCATACTCCAGCAGCAGCTTGCTCAGCACGCGAAGCCGATCCAACACGCCAGCGAACGCCACGAACGGTCCTTGGCACCGACGACGCAACTTCTTGAGCAGTTCCTGGGTGAGCAGGTCCACGGTCTCTGCTAGCGTCAAGTCTTCCATGGGGATGACCCCGGAGGAAGAGGAGAGCTGCAGCTTTGGTTTGGCAGTTCGTAGCCTCATTGGTGGCGTCTCTTGGGTCGAGAAAAGCAGAGTGGGGATGAGGGAGGGGTGGATTCATTCCTGGTACTGAGCAGCTACTAGCTACGGGTTCAGAACTAAAAAGTGACGTGGTGTGGATGGGATTAATCCAGCGACTTGAAGCCAGAGTGACGTTCTCCACTGATTAATGGTTACCATGGTGTTGTGTTGTCCACAATGTCTGCGTTAGTCGGTCGCCTGACTTCCGAGAGGTATCCTGTCAGCCAGGCGTCGTTGTTGGCGTCTCGGCCTTTGACGATGGTCTTGCCGTAGAGGTAGTTGTCGCATGGGTAGCCTCCTCCGTTGTCCATGGTGATATCGTTGCCTCTGTAGCCCTGTGGGCCGCGGTAGAACGACGGACAGTCGATGCAGTCGCTCATGGACTGCAAGCCTTCTACCATACTGTACTTGCCGTTAGGGCATGGCCCTGAGCACTGGCTATTGGTGAGACCAGTGCTCGCCCCGTACACGCCGGCGGGGCACGGCTTGCAGTCCAATATACTCCTGGCCCCGAGCTTGTCGTTGTACGTCCCCTTTGGACACGGAGCCGAGCACGCCTTGGTCACGAGGCCAGGACTGTCCCCGTACACCCCGCGAGGACAGAACTCGCACTCGCCGATGGCAGTGCCAGCTCCAGTGGGGCGGTACATGCCTCGAGGGCAGTCTTCGGGGCTGGGCTGCACTCCCAGATAGAGACGCACTACGATACAATACAGCAAAGCAAACGACTTAGCCTCAAACCAAGACCAAAAAGAGTGATCGGGTTAAACGCGTACATTGAGCGAACTCGTGCGGCGGCCTGTTAACTCGAAGGTGAAGGTGCTGCAACGCAGAAGGATGCTCGAGCTCTGCACAGTTTTCACATAAGGACCACAAGAATGCAAGGAGTTAGATGAAGCTTAATGGGGCCTGGGCCTTGTGATGACAGACCGAGGAAGAGCACGCTGGTCAGCAGCGAGGCGGCCGCCACCACAGCGATGCGCCGGAGGAACCTCCCAGTGCCGACGTCCATGGTTTATTATCGCGGGTGTAGTGAGAGCTAGAGCTATTATTGGGGCGTCCCTGGAAACCAACGACGCGTCGTGGATGCTGGGAGGACTGTCCGTCATCGTCACTGCGCGTCTGATAACACAGTGAAACACGGACAGCAACACGCAACAGTGAACAACTCAACGCTGCCAATGCACTGATGTATCTCTTTGTTGCTAGCTCCTAGTCGTAGGCTACAACTCGTAGCTCTGCGGTCACCGTCCGTCAGCACGGCAACTTCAACTTTGGTCTACTCAATTCATTTTCGAATTGCAGCGTGCATTACTTTGAGGTACGATTGATGTGTTCATGATGTAAACGTCGACCCATCTTGTGTACACTTGGTGTGTCGGAGCTGCCTCCCTCCTTGCTTCACGTTGTCGCAGCTCCATAATCAGCAAAGGCGAGAAGCTCTGCAATCCTAGCTCCGCTCTCCTCTCCAAGGCAGCGATGGCGTCGTACAAGCCCACGGTGGTGATCGACAATGGCACAGGGTGCGTACGGTAGAGTCCTGCAAACCACCGCTCTTTCCCCCCTCTCTATCTCTATAGCAACAGCCCCGACTGTATCAATCTCCTCGCGTGTCAAAACCTCTCTGACCCTCCTCCCTCCTTCTCTACTGCTATAATGCTACAGCTACACCAAGATGGGGTACGCCGGCAACGCCGAGCCCAGCTACATCATCCCGTCCACGATCGCCGTGGGCGGCAACGACTCGAGCACCGTGCGCAGCCGCCAGGGCATCGACGACCTGGACTTCTACATCGGCAACGAGGCGCTGGACCACGCGTCCACGCACCAGGTGAACTACCCCATCGCCCAGGGCATCATCCAGAACTGGGACAACATGGAGAAGCTCTGGCAGCGCTGCCTCTTCCAGCACATGCGCTGCGAGCCCGAGGAGCACTACATGCTGCTCACGGAGCCGCCGCTCAACCCGCCCGAGAACCGCGAGGCCACGGCCGAGATCATGTTCGAGACCTTCAACGTCCCCGGCCTCTACATCGCCGTACAGGCCGTGCTGGCGCTGTACGCGTCCTGGCCCAAGATCAAGGACCCGTCGCAGCGCTCGCTCACGGGCACGGTCATTGACTCGGGCGACGGCGTCACGCACGTCATTCCCGTGGCGGACGGCTACGTTATCGGAAGCTGCATCCGCCACATCCCCCTGGCTGGCCGCGACGTCACGCACTTTGTCCAGAAGATGCTGCGCGACCGCGGAGAGGCCGTGCCCCCCGAGGAATCGCTGGAGGTGGCCAAGCGCATCAAGGAGTCGCACAGCTACGTGTGCTCGGACCTGGTCAAGGAGTTCAAGAAGTACGACGCCAACCCGAGCAAGTACTTCCTCAAGTACTCGGACCTGCACCCGCGCACCAAGCAGCCGTGGGAGATCGACGTGGGCTACGAGCGCTTCCTGGCGCCCGAGATCTTCTTCAACCCGGAAATCTTCTCGACGGACTTCACGACGCCGCTGCCGAACGTCGTGGACGAGGCTATTCTCAAGTGTCCGATTGACACGCGCCGTGGACTGTACAAGAACATCGTGCTGTCCGGAGGTAGCACCATGTTCAAGGACTTTGGCCGTCGTCTCCAGCGCGACATTAAGCGTCTCGCCGACGAGCGGCAGGAGGCGAATTTGGCCCTGCACTCCAAGTACCAGAAGGTTAACGCCGAGGCGCTCGAGGTGAACGTGTTGTCGCACCGCATGCAGCGCTTCGCCGTGTGGTTCGGCGGCAGTATGGTGGCCTCCACGCCCAACTTCCACAGCGTTTGCCACACGAAGGCTCAGTACGACGAGGAAGGCCCGCGCATCGCGCGTCACAACCCGGTGTTCAACGCTACGATGTAAGGCAAGAAGAATACAAGCAGCAGCGCGTGGATGAGGCGAGATGAGGTGGTAGACAAGCAAGGCAGGCGCGTTCGTCGTCCAGTACGAGTGAATACACGGAAGGCGTAGACGGGTGACGGCAAGCAGTTCAAGAAAATACAAGCACTCTACAGGCCATGCATGGTAAGCGAAGCCTGGCGTTGATATCTCACGTGCTTCTTATGTATTGCTGTGCCTTGAGGTCTACAGGGTCAACCACTGGTAGTCTCCTCTGTCTTGGGGTCTTGCTGTCGCTGGGCGATGTGCTGCGAGCAGAAGTTGTGGTTGCGCTCGTACGCCGCCTTCTTGCAGCCCTCGAACACGCAGCGCTTGCCGCCTCCGTGGGCCCAGCACAGACTGTTCGACACGGCGACCTTCGAGCAGTCGCCTCGCGAGCACTTGGTGCCGCCTCCATGGGACCAGCAAAGGCCGCGCGACTTGCCTCGACGCTTGCAGCCCTCCATCTGACACTTGACCCAGCCGCCTGAATGGATCGATCGCCAAGCCGTCAGTGTGTACACCTGGTCATACAACCACAGTGGCAGACCATCGTACCGTGGCGCCAGCACAGTCCGGCGTTCTTGGCGCTCGACGTGCAGCCGTCAGCGGAGCATTTCTTGCCTCCCTGCGTTACGTTATTGTGAGCTTTGACGCCCCGAGTACCACCGCAAATTGTCTAGACATATCCATACCCCGTGTCGAAAGCACAGCCCCTTGTTGATGATGTAGTTCTCGCAGCCGTCGACCTTGCACTCGCGGCTCTTGCGCTTCTCACTGCTGGCTGGCGATCGGGTCGAGGAGTGCCTCGCCTTGCCAACACTTGAGGCGGGCGCGTTCGCCTCGTCTTGGCTGTTCATGATAAAGGCCACCGAGGCCTTGCTGCTGCCACTTGAAGCACTTGACAACGTCTGCATTGCGTCCGTCCACCAGTTTACCTCGAGCCGAGCGAGACCCTCCACGTCCGTTGGCGGAATGACACGGACGAGATCTCATTCTCCTGGCGGGAACCGTGGTGGGGTACAGATCGATGCGAGGGCCACGGAGGCGGCGTCGTATTTCAGAGTCAATCAATCATATATTGCGCTAACTAGGTAGTGTGTCGCTTAGGCCGTCTCCTCCACGACGAGCTCGGGCTTGGAGAGCTTGGCGTCGAGCTTGACGAGCATGTCCTCGACCATCGAGTCGAGGTCGAAGTCGTGCTGCCAGTTCCAGTCCCTCCGCGCGATGCTGTCGTCGAGCGAGCGTGGCCACGTCTCGGCGATCTGCTGGCGGAAGTCGGGCTTGTAGTCGCACTGGAAGCTGGGCATGACCTTCTTGATAGACGCCACGACCTCCTCGGGCGTGAACGACACGGCCGTGATGTTGTATGTCCGCTGCGAGAGGCAGTCGTTGGGCGCGTTGATGAGCCCCATGGTGGCCTTGAGGCAGTCGGGCATGTACATCATGGGCAGCTTGGCGTCCGGCTTGAGGAAGCACGTGTACTTGCCGTGCTTGAGCGCCTCGTAGAAGATCTCGACGGCGTAGTCCGTGGTGCCGCCGCCGGGCAGCGCCTCGCTCGAGATGATGCCCGGGTAGCGCACCGAGCGGAAGTCGACGCCGAACTTGTTGTAGTAGTACTCGCCCAGCAGCTCCACGTGCACCTTGGTGAGGCCGTACATGGTCGTGGGGCGCATGATGGTCGTGTCGGGCGTCTCGTCCTGCGGCGTCGAGGGGCCGAACACGGCGATGGTCGAGGGCGCGAACACGCGCAGCTGGTACTGCTTGGCCAGCTCCAGCACGTTCTGCACGCCGCGCGTGTTGACCGCGAGCGCCAGCGACGGGTTGGCCTCGCCCACGGCCGACAGCAGCGACGCCATGTGCACGATCGTGTCCACGCCGTGCTCCACCACGATGCGCGCCATGCTGTCGCGGTCCTGCACGTCGCAGTAGACGAAGGCGCCGTCGCGCGCGGATGCTCCAGCGGGCGCCTTGATGTCCGAGTTGACGACGCTGTCGGCGCCGAAGAGCTGGCGCATGTACGGCACGAGCTCCATGCCGATCTGGCCCGTGCCGCCCGTCACGAGGATGCGGCGCGGCTCACTGGCCGAGGAGGAGGAGAAGGCGCGCGCGACCGGGCGCACGGCGCGCTGCAGGCGGGAGGCCGAGATCATCTTGGTCGAAGGCGAGGAGGAGGAGAGCGGAGAGCTGCTGCGCCGGAGCGGGACGAAGGAGAAATGACAGCGCGTGCGGATGGCTCTGGGGCCTTGGCCCTGGTCAGTTCGCTCAGTCAGACGTCATTCGTGTCCGTTGAAGGGGGCAAGGATGATGCGCCTAACGGGTAAAGACGGGGCGGCGCTACGATTATGCAATCCCTCTATTTTTAAGTTCCCCTGCAGGTGCAGATGGTGGTGTTATTTCCGTTTTGCAGTATAAATAGCTTGGGTGGAAGCCTGCGAGAGCCGATAATAGCCGACACTGGATTGTTAACTCGAGTTGATACAGGTGTGCAACGCGGGGTTCGTCGCCACAGGAATGGGAAAACGTCAAAAGGTGTATGCGTTGGGAAAACGTTTGGCAATAAGTGTAGTGGTCGTGGGCGTCACGTCGCGTCATGTCTCATCATACACGTACTGACACACGTTTTGGTTGCCGCGGTATTTCGGCCGAGGTCGGGTCATACAGACCCGCAAGTTGCATCAGGTAGAAGCCTTCCTAACCCCGGGTTTTATGGATTTGGATCTAAGCCCACACACCAGTCACCGCATTCGTTGCTGATGCAGCTTTATGATGCACCTTAGTGCGCTTGGAACCACATACACATACTGTCATACCGACAACCTAGCATACACCTAATGACACGAGTTAACCGCTTTTGACAAAACGTTTCAAATTCATACACCTTTTGACGTTTTCCCCACAGGAATATGCGCTGAGCCATCTCGTGGTCGCCGACGAGGCAACCCCAAGCAGCGGCCGAAAGACCCGTCGGAAGGCGGCGAGCAGCTCTGCCGGGGCAATGCTTTACGCGGTGCCTTCCGTATGCTGTAATGTTGCAGCCGCCTGAACGGTTTGCAAGAGGAATGCACTCGCGCAGGAACTTGAACGCGCGTCGAGCCGTGCTGTGCCGATGGGCGGCTAACGCGTGGCGCAGCACTAGCAAAAGAGATTCGGAGGCGATTGATTGCCAGCAAAGGGGCTGCAGCACCGGCACGCCGGTGGTCGACACGTGGCCGCAGCTCCAGACCACCGAAGTCTTCCGGCCTGGAGGCCAAAGCAATGCCACGAGCAGCGGAGCAGAGCGGTTTGCCGTGTTTGCCGGCGTGTTGCCTTTCGCGTCTCCTCACGGCGAGGCATCCAATCAGTCCCCATGGGATGCCTGATTACCCGCCGCCGTGGCTGCAATGATAGGACGCCAAGCGGAAGCGAGATCGGCGGCATTGGGCATGACCTATCCGCTGCTTGCTGTGACGTTGCAGCGCTCACTGCGCCATCGGAGCTGCTGGTTGGCCCGAGGCGCCAGTCGCCACCTCTCGCTCTTTGCTCTGCGTGTAATTATCAATCAAGCAGCGAATCTCTTCCGGGTCAGAAAGCACGCGCTCTCAAGCTCTCAACTGTCTACCAGAGCGGGCAATTGCCTGCTACATGTACATGTGTGTGTTGCCTTGGTCTAGTTGCTGCCGCTGGTCATCCGGAGCAGTGTAACGGTCGCGCTTGAAGTTGCCCTTTGTGTAGCCATCTTCCCTGCTGGAAGCTCGCCAAAGTACGACGGTGCTGACCAGAATAAGGGGGCGAAATGGAGCACGGATCCTCCGCCACGGACCTCGAGACGCAGCGGATTCTGGACGACTTGGAGACGGTATGCCAGCGCCTTCTGTCTCTACGCGGGGCTCGTCGAGAGGCTGACGGTGGTGAACCGCGTGATCACGGTCTCTGATGGCTGCGTAGTCTCGGAATTGACCCCGAGTCGGCGGTTGTCGATGTTTTACGGCTGCTCCAGTCGACTATTATATAGAAGACGCTTGATCGGTTCTACGCTGAATGCTGAGTACTTTGCGCGACTTGCGGGACTGTGAGCGGCATTTCGAGTTCTTTGAGTCTGCAGTGGCTGCTGACAGTGGAGACTTGGCTAGAGAAGTGCTGGAGGCCACGGCTCAGGGCAGCTGCGTGAGCTCTGGCAGCTCGTGTCCTTCTGGATGGCGCAGCCTGCTCGCCTCTCGGCTGGTGAGCAGCAGCTGCTGAGAGCGGTCGCTCAGGTGATGACCAAGACGGAGCAGCTCGAGCTCGAGGATACGAGGGTTCCCTGCCGGTCTCGTGCTGGTGAGCAGCAGCTGCTGAGAGCGGTCGCTCAGGTGATGACCAAGACGGAGCAGCTCGAGCTCGAGGATACGAGGGTTCCCTGCCGGTCTCGTGTGTGGGGATCACCTGGTGCTGGTGAAGAAGTCGTCGTTGCCTGATTGGCGCCGCTCGCCGCTATCGAGCAAGCGCCACTCATCACAATTGGGTAAGGAAGTATCAGGGGTTAATGAGCTCCCAACGTGGTGCATGAGGTGCAGCTAGACCTCTTGTGTTGAGTCTTCGACGTGGTCGACTGCCACCGTCTTCACGAGCTTTTTCGACGAGCCAGCAGGCTCTTGTGCAACACATGTGCCGACTTCGGCCTGAAGATCGACCGGATATTCGTGTTGTTGTTCGTGCGCTACGACTTGCAGCGGAGCATCAGGCGTTGAAGGAATTTGCTGAAGACTTGCATTGATTTAGTTACTGAATAACGACGTGGTCAATTGACATCTATCCCGAATTCTGTGATAACTCGTAGCACGTCTCCATAAAGTGTTTTTGCAGCAAGATGAAGAATCTGAATCTACTGATTATCGGAACAGCGGTGTATTACCGCGTGAAGATCGATGAAGCGAGAACCGTTCATGAGGTGAAAGTGATGGTCCGGGACGCGATGCGGTACGACTGCGCCGCCAGCGAGCTCGTGATGAAGGCGACCGGGGCCTGGTTCGACGCCAGTCTCCCTGAGCTCAAGGTCATGGAAACGGGGACGAAGGTCCCAAACTCAATCAAGAGCAAGTGCGCCGAGATGAACCCGCTCGCTCGAGTGCGTGACTTTGGGCTTCCGGACTGGAACGGCCTAGATTTGGATATCCAAATTCTGGTGTTAGCTCCCCCACGAATGGCGAAGAAGAATCAGGAACTCTTGAAGTACCTTGCATGCTGTCGTCCACGTAAGCAACATCGTCCACCGTCCATCGATAAAGTACTTGGGGAAGTGATCGATCTAACATTTTTTGTTTTGTGCATTGCAGCACACGAGTCCTCATCGACGTGGAATTTGCTCGTGCACTTCTTCTCAGCGGTGAAGGAATTGTGCTCACCAAGGAGCAGACGTGTCCACCACGCATCCATCTGAGCTTGCTGAAGCTTGTAGCTGCACAATGGACAGCTTGACATGTGCGAATATGGAGTTATGAGTCTACTAAACGACGGAGCGCTCAGCAAATGGATTAACAACGTAGTAGTCGGATTTACACAAGGTACTTCAAGTAACGAGGAGCAGCAAATTTCTGAGCAAATGAAGTGAGCGCTAAATTTCGTCGGATCACCCTCAACCCACTCACCTCTACGGCATCTGGGGCTTGCACGTCGATAGCTATACAGTACGTAGAAAACCTTCATGCGGGATCAGAAAGCGAAGAGTTTGTTGGGTAATAGCAACAGCATCGTCAATCCGAGCGGTCTCGGTGATGTGGCCACGAAGTCTAATGGTGGGGAAGAGGAAGATGCTGTAAAGAAAGCTCGAGACGCAAATTCTCGCTTATGCTACCAGAGAATCCGTGTTTAAAATTGGTATCGCTAACGGTTTTCGTTTGGACGAGGAAAAAATAGTTGCACGACCGCCTTTCACTCGCGTGAAGCAGTCTCCAAACCGAGCTATGAAGATGAGCGTCGACGTTCGGAAGGTGATTCAACGAGTTCTCGCTGCATCATGCAGTGCATTCGTGACCAACGCGGTCTTCGTAGGTAAGAGCTATTCAGCAGGATTTAGAGAACTCTTTGGCTGGACTACTAACTCTGTGATTGTTTCTCTCGATGTTAATTAAGCATTTGAAGAGCATCAAGAACTACAACCAGTGCGGCACTTGCGCGGTTGGTGGGCAACCGCACCAGATTGTGCTAAGTAAGTCACTGTGTGCTTGAATAGTGTGGGTTGTATTATTAAATGAACGAATCTGAATATGATGTGCCTCCTTGCAGTGCGTCTGTACCTAGGCGTGCAGCCCGGTCCTGCCGATTGCCCTAGAGGAATGTACCGCCCGAGTGGGGTGGGAATCAAAGTCGGTGAGTGCGAGTTTTGTCCCCGTGGGGTATATGGAGACAGCCCGGGACTGGTTTCGAAGGATTGCACCGCCAAGTGTCCATAGGGGACGTACAACGACAAGCTCGGGGCCAGGAGCATCTTGGACTGTAAGCCGTGTCCTGCGGGCGTATACGGGGCGAGTACAGGCCTCACAACCAGCCAGTGCTCGGGGCCGTGTCCAAACGGCAAGTACAGTATGATGGAAGGTTTGCAATCCCTGAGCGACTGCATCGACTGTCCGTCGTTCTACCGCGGTCCGCAGGGCTACCGGGGCAACGACGTCACTATGGAGAACGGTGGCGGGTACCCGTGTGATCGCTACCAGTACGGCAAGACAATTCTCAACGGACGAGATGCCAACAATGACGCCTGGTTGAAAGGCTACCTCTCGGAAGTGCGGCGGCCGACAAACGCACAGGTTAATGATAACACTACACCATGATGACGAAGCTTTGTGCTACGGCAGCTTAAGTAGTGATCCACTTCAAGGACGTTTGCTAAAATTCATCAATAGAAATATGACTTGATAGTACTTCGAAGCACATTCGTTTATAAAACTTGAAATGAACTCGATGCGAAAAATCACTGCTTCGGATGACGAGATAGAAATATGGAAACGCCGTTGAAGCACATTTCGATGGTTGATGTTACAACGCATTTCGCGTCGATGCGTTGATGAAATCTCTAGTGTAAACAGCTTTTGTAATTAGCGTCCGAGCCCCGAAGACCGTGCATGACAAGTCTGGCGCGAATGTTGAGGGTCGTACTTGGCATCCTAATCGTGGTGCCGCGATGGGCAAGCAGGTCTACCTCGGCTCTAATAAGGCAAGAATGTATGACTTCACTTTGAAGCGGTCTCGACTGCCGAAAAAGGAGATCTCACCTGAGACGAGGCAGGATTGAAATTGCCGACGGCTGGAGCGAGCAACGTGTTAACGTCAGCTCGAATGTACATACTCGCTGCCTCCATTGTAAGTTTTGATTACATGTAGTATGTACAGCGTACAGAACTGCATGCAGCTCGTTGCTATGATCCCTTGCAGGCCTTGACAAGTACTGTACAATAAATCGCGACGTCCATAAAGAGACCTGAACACGGTGCAAAATGCCGATACGTTCTCAAGCTGCCGTCTCGGCTGTAAAGGCTGCTACGGCTGTCGAGGACGCCATAGTCACTATCCTTTAGGCGGCCTGGGCGGGCCTTGCCTAGGTCGCGAACTGCACGGACCTTGCTTGCCTTGCGAGACGCAAGTTGAAATTCGATGGTCGTCTCATTTCGCGTTAGGTTCGAAACATGATTTGTAAGCCAAACTGTTAAGTTCGAACTACGCTTGCGTCATCATTCGATGCTTTTTTATTAAGCGCTGCTATTAGTTAAAGCAAGTTCATGTTCTCCACTCTACGATTCGCAAGAAATCCAAGCGAATCAAAACCTCGATTATGTGACGTGTAGCGAATGATATGGCTTCAATTTGCGGTGTCACGGCGTGTCGCACTTAACCTCGCCAGGATTGGGTATTATGCAAGTGCCTGCTCATCCCCGATTCTTCACATAGCCGGGCCGCCTAAACATATTCCAAATCTTCGTCGTCTGCGGTCGGACTGACTGCAACCGCTTGCCTGCTCGGGCTCACTATTCAACTTGCCGCGTCACGCCCAAGCCGCAGCCGCAGCAAGTCTCCACATTACCTCCTCTTCATCACCATGGCCCCGCAGCCCAGCCATAGCCACCTGCCCGTGCGGCCCGTGCTGCTGGACCCGCAGCTGGCCGTCGTGCACCAGTGCGGGCTCACGTTCTCGCCCGTCAAGCGCGGCTCGCGCGACATCCTCGACACGCTCAAGCACCAGTGCGACTCCGCGCCGCGCGCCGTCTCCATGGGCGAGTACGTGCCCAGCCCGCGCACGACGGCGGGCCACGTGCAGGGCTTCGCCAGAGAGTCGGACTACCTGCTGGCCGAGCCGTCCTACGCCATCGACGTGCACAAGACGGCGCCCACCGACGTGGCGCAGAAGGAGGCGCCGGCGCACGCCACCAGCTCGATCTGGGGCTCCACGTTCACGCTGACCAACACCATCCTGGGCTCGGGCACGCTGGCCGTGCCGTTCGCCATCGCGTCCAGCGGCTGGCTGCTGGGCAACGCCATCACGCTGGCTATTGCCATGATCACGCGCTACTCGGTGCACCTGCTGCTGTCTGCCAGCGACCGCGCGGGCAACAACTGCGCCAAGACGTACGAGAGTTTGGGGCACTTTACTATGGGCGCGGTGGGCACGTGGCTGGCCGAATTTACGTTCATCTTCGGCGGTTTTGGTACGCTCGTGAGCTACCTCATCTTCGTCACGGACCTGTGCGCAGCGGTGCTGGCCGTCTCGGCGCAGAACAAGTGGATGATCACAGTTATTCTCGTTGCCTCGGTGGTCTTCCCGCTGTCGCTGAGCCGCCGTATTGGCAAACTGTGGCTGGCCTCGGTGCTCGCCATTCTCTCCATCGGTTACGTCGTGGCGTTTGTTCTCGTGGCGTTCCTGGCTGCGTATAATGCTGAAGGCGCGACTATTGCGCCTGGAGTGCAGGCTGTTCGACTGGAGCCCGGTAGTGTCTACACTGTCACGCTGCTGATCTCCGCGTTCGCGTGCCACAACACGGCGCTGCCCGTCTACGAAGAGCTGAAGGATCGTACGCTGCCCCGAATGAACCGAGCTGTCGTTGGAGCCATCAGCGTCGCGTTCGTGCTGTACGAGATCATCTCGCTGTGCGGATACCTTCAGTTCGGAGCGGAGACCAAGGACAACATCCTGCTCAACTTCTCGCCCGAGTACGTGGCGCAGCACAAGTCCGTCGCGGCACCGCTGCTGGTCGGCCAGCTCTGCATGGCGCTGGCGCTTGTGCTCACTACGCCCATTGCCATGTGGCCCTTCCGTTCGTGCGTCCTGAGCGTCTACCTCCGCGTCAAGAACGGCGTGCAGACTCCGAGCCACGAGGCTTCATACAAGGAGTACGTGGGCGTTACGGTGCTGAGCCTGGTGCTCATCCTGACGTGCAGCATCTTCGTGCCTTCGGTCAAGATTCCGCTGAGCATCGTGGGCTCCGTCTCGGGCTCGCTGCTGATCTTCATCATGCCGGCGCTGTTCTTCCTGCTGCAGTCCAAGGGCCCCATGCTGACGCGTGAACACGCTGGACCGCTGCTCATGCTCAGCGCTGGCATTGTCGTCGGCGTCCTCGGATTGTCATTGACATTGTTCAAGCTGTACCGCGAATATTATTAAGATAACGAAGTAAGTAAAAGTTCATATATATTGCCCTTCCCATTGCTCTCTCCTGTTCTTCATCGGTCTCGTGTACGACGCGCCGTACTCCTCCCTCAAGAAGTCGACGGGGTCAGCCACCGTATCGTACTCAACGCCGTTCAACTTCACCTTCGAGTACGGTAGGATTTTATCAACCGGAATGCTATCATTCCTCCTATGTGAGCGCTCGATATTCCAGTGATCCGCTACTTTGGGGTCTGGTTCGATCCGATACAAGTCAAGATACGGCCCTGTGCACGACTCGATCGGAGCTTCCAACATGGGATCATACAGTCGATCGGCCAACGGGTGCGTCGGTGCCACGCAGACTCGCCAAACACTGTCCATGAAGACATGGTACCCTCTCTCCTGCAGTCGTCGGCGTACAATGGCCATGGGTTCGTCCTGCACCTGGTAGCCGATATCTGCGTCTTCCGTGAACGGGATGATGCCTCCGTCCCTAACAGCTCCCAGTAGCGTGCCGAACACAAGAGCAGGTTCGCCTCCAGCACGGTCCAGCTCAGCGTACACATCGACCAGCAGCATGTGCAGCACACTGGCCTGACACGGCTGCCGCATCGTGGACAGCATGTCAAGGCGGTCGGCACCTGCACAGTCTTCCACGTCGAAGTTCGTACTGATTGGCAGGCAGTTTTCCCACGTCGCGTAGTCCTTGGAGCTGTCGTCGCACAAATAGTCGTGGTGGCCCTCGAACCGCGGAGCTTTCGTGTCCAAAGCTGAGACCCATCGGTAGAACGGGTCTTTGACGTCGGTGATTGGGGCCTGGTCGGGCGAGCAGCTCCAGTCGTCCGACGCGAGTGTGAAGTGGCGGTCGGCGAGGGTTGAAGACGCGGAGGCCAGCACCGTCAAAAGTGGAGCGGAGATGATCATGGCGAGAGGAATGACGATAAAAAGCTGTAGTGCTGGAGATCAGCTGGGGAGCAGTTCGGACTGGCCAGCTCCAACTTGCAGGGTACCTCTACCGAGCGGGGTTGCTTGGGCCTCTGCCAGGTCGGACGCTGCGCATTCTTGCTGTTCTCGAGGTGGCTTGCAGGCGTAAGCTTTAAGTTTTTGGCGTGGAGTAGCAGATACCTTTTCCGGCCTGTACGCAGGACTTGACTGCCTCCAGTGGGCTCTAGGTGAGACCGTGGTGGCAGTGCGCAGTTGCGGTCAGCCTTGCCTTAATCGCATTCAGAATGGATGGTCCTCCAATGGCGCGCTGCGCGTGGACTGCGTCTAGCATCGACGCAGCCTGCGCCGACCACCGCACTGGCAACGCCGTTGGCATAACGGCCCACGTTGAAGTGGTCCGTTTCCCCACCCGAATGGCCGCCAGTCTTATCTCTTCCCCGAAAGCTCTCGGCGGTAGCTTCGGCGGACGAACGGGCTGAGATGTCACACGGACGGCAAAGCGCGCGCTGCATCTCGTGCCGGGATTCCTCGCCCACGATGGATTCCTGCTGCCGTCACCAAAGCCAAGACTCGGCTTGGCTTGTTGAGCGGCAGAGCTCTCGGTGTTGGTTCTCTTGGCAGGGGAGCACACTGCAACCGCAACTTGCATTTCCCTCTTGAGAGACCTTGTCTTCTCTTGCCTTCTCGTCTGCTGGATCCGGGCGCCTGGCCGCTGACAGCCCCAGACTTTGCCGGCATGGCGTGCTGCTGACACATCAGGTGGCTGGCTGGCTGGGTATGCGTCCAGCATCGAACAGCAGCGGTGTTTTTGAATGGTAATTTTTACGTTAAGTTAATAGTACGCACGTGATCCACGCAACCGGCAACGGCCAGGCTCATACCATGGCGTGAAGAACCTGGATCCTCTTCCTCGTCTCACAGCGCGAGCTGTGGCTGTTTCTTGCCGAGCTTCAGCGCGCCGCGGAGCGTCGTCGTGACGCCCTTCCAGCGCTGGCCCAGGCTCTTCCTATCACGAACCACCATGGCGGTCTCCTCGTGGCCTGCAATTTGGTGGTAACTCGAGGACTTGGCGCCCTCCACCACCGCAGCAGCCAGCGCCTTCCAGAAGCCCTTCTTCTGCATGGCAGAGGCCACGGCCGGCACAACCGCGCTCTGTCTTGATCTCTGCTGCTGCTGCTGCTCCTCCTTCTCCTGAACCGGAGGGAACTTGCTCAGCGCCGTGGATACGTGGCTATGCCAGCGGTGGAACGCCGGCGCGTCCGGCATGTAGAGCTGCACGCTGTCGACCGTAGCGGCGTCTCGGAACTGCAGCAGCCGCGCGTCGGCGCTGGACACATCCAGCGTCGTGACGCGCATGCGCACCAGCAAGCTCTTGGCCGACGCGTCCTCGTAGCGGTAGAGCCACAGCAGGTTGCCGCAGAACACGGCGAAGACTCGCGTCCAGCAGTTGGGCAGCGCCACGGCGTCGCGCTGCCAGTAGACCCAGTCGCTGAGCGGCCGCTGCAGCTCCACGAACACCTGCAGCTCGGTGCACTCCCGGTCGGCCTCGGGCTCTTGATCCTCTTCCTCGAGATCCTCTTCGAACGATTCGCTGCCGCTCGTCATCCACGTGGACCGCAGCGACTCGGAGCGCGCGCATTTGACGGGCGAAGATACTTTTGCTGCTGCATTGTTGGGGGTGGAGCGCTGCGGCGCTCTCCGCTTGCAGCGGTGCACGGGCGTGGCCACATGGCGGCGGCTCAGCGTGGGGAACGCCATGAGCCCTAGCGAGCCAATTGCAGAATGGCGCAGACCTTGGCGCTTGCCGCTGCCTGCTGGCTGGGAGCTCCTCGTGGGACAGCGGCAAGTGGCGCTTCTGAATCTTCACCTGATAACCGGCTGATAACCGCGCAATGTCCACTTAGACGCGCGCTGATTGGGCCGCGCAAATAGATTATTGCGGTAAGGTATAATTAGCCGACTGCGTTTCCGGAGATTGTTGACACGAGCGGCGTACAGAGGAGGGGTAATACTATCCGCTTTTGCCCAGGCAACTGGAGCGCGACCGGATTCATCCAGTTTCCGCCCACAAGCTCATGGCGTTTAACGGAGGCAGCAATAATATATCACCAAAGGCATCCGCGACTTGATTCCCTGCGGACGGAGACTTTGGATATCCTTGGCGGCACGCACGGCAGACAAAATGGGCGATTTGCCGCTTCCGTGACGATCTCCTTTGGTTGGTCGACCCGCTTCAACTTGGCCGGAGGCATCAACAGCCGACGTTGCTCCCGTCGCTGCAAGGTCCGCAGCGAGCTTGGGGCAGCTCCACGGGATCGTCGCTACGCTGGCCGCGCGATCTCGATCGGCCCTGCGCGCCGGCCGCGCTGCAATACCCATCTATCACCGCTTATTAGACGGGGAGTCGTTCTTGTAGCGGTACCGCGCAGTTGAAGCTTGCTGCTTGTCTTTGCCGCGTGGTGCTTGGAGCCCTCCCTGCAACGTGAAGTGCCGATCCGACCGACGTTGCAGGATGAGTCGGGGAGCCATCATTTAGTTGATCGGTGCCTGTCGCAGCCAAGGCTCGATGGGGGTAGAACAAAATGGAGACCGGTAGTAGTCTCACGGGTCGGACCAGCTGCAGCCTCTAGACCTCACCTTCCGGCTTCCAGGCTTCCAGGTAGAACCCAGCGAAAGCACATTCAGCATGGCACCGTCTTACGTGGCATTCCGATTCAATCTACCTATTTACTACGCACCCCGCTTCATTCGCGGTGTGCTGACTCATATCTGTTCTACTCAGCTGTGTCTTAGACTCCAACATTTCCCGGTTGCCGTCTCCAGCGTCTTGTCATGTGGGCGAAGGCGTCTCGGCACCTCGTCCGCTTCGAGTCCCGGTTGTAGTCCTCCAGCGTGCCTCGATACGTGCTCCAGCGCGGGAGGTCCGTCACGTCCACTCCACTGGTGCGAAAGAACGCGTTCGTCAAGTCGGCAGCTTCAATCAGTCTCGACTTCCAGCGCTCGAAGGCAGCGGCGTCGTATAAGCACATGCAGAGCTGCTCTCCGGTCGGATCCACCACTTGCAGTATTCTTCCGTCACCTTCCTTAACGCTTGCGACAGCCACTTACACCAGCAGACTTCGAGGCGCGGAGTCTTCTCGCTGGAAGAGCCACAGGAGCGCGTTGTCCAGCACGGCGAACACCTTGGTCCAGCAGTTGGGGGATCGTCTTGGGTCGCGTTGCCAGTACACCCACCCGGTCAACGGCGTAATCGCAGCACACTGCTGCATCTTCAGTTCGACCAAGTCCACTTGCTGTGCCACCAACTTGCGCGAGAAGCTCGGGCTCATGTCGATTAGAAGTCGCTCCTGTGGTGTAGTGAGCAAGTTGCGCAATGACAGCGGTGAAGCTACGGCAACAAAGTCCATCACTCATGGCTGTCAACGGAATGGGTACAACAAGTACCACTTCAACCTTCACTTCCGGGAAAACGTCCACTTTGGACGTTTTTACCGTACTACTGAAGTTAGAGAGCGGACTGCAAAGGCAAAATAGCGGTCGGTGTTTGTTGATATCTCTTTTTCTTTTGGTGCTTGTCTTTTTTCTCTCTTCTTTGTGCTATGGTACGACTTGACATTATCAACAATCCTCCTTCGGTTCCGCTTCTTCGTCGCCCCTTGCTGTCTGCAGTGCTTGTATACTGTGGTGAATGCGTCTGCTCAGCAGCTCACTTACTTCGCCCACCTGGCAAAAAAACTATAATGTCTGCTCGCTTGAAGGCAGGCAGCCTCTGCACTAAATGGTACGTGTGTTGTGATCTGCACAGCCACATCAAGAGAATTCGTTAGCATAACGACATCGCATACATAGAGATCCAGGCAGCAGACTTACCACTCGATGACACGTTTCCCTCTGCTGATGCAGAAGCTGCTGCCGCGTTGGCATTGGCTTCCTGCAGCAGCAGCTCCTCCACAGAAGACGAGGTCAGCTCCCCCACCTTCATACTGTTCGCATCATCGTGCCTGTCAGACTGAGACTGCGCAATTCGCCCTCGGACGCGGTCACCCCCACGACCACTACCTGACGCACCTCGTGACGTTGACGTCCCACTGGGCAGCCCTGAACTTGTCGACTGCGACTTCTGCTGCTGAGACGTCTGCGAGTTCGCAGCCGCAGCGATGGCCGCAGCAAGTTGCTGTTGCTGTTGCTGCTGGAGTTGCCGCTGCTGAAGCTGCTGCTGGAGCTGCTGCTGCTGAAGGTGGGCTTGCTGCTGTGACTGCGAGTAATAAAGCGTCTGCTGCGGGACGATCTGGTTGCCGACGAGCTGGTAGCCCGTAATACCCGCGCTATAGCGGCTCTGAGCGTTCAGCGCCTGGTATTGCTTGTCCAGAGTCACTTGCTGCCCCCTGTGCATCTGCTGCATCTGCTGTTCAAGCTGGACCTGAGCAGCGCGGGCCTGAGCATTCGCGATCGCCTGAGCCTGCGCGTGTGCCTGAGCTTGTGCCTGTGCCTGAGCGTGCGCTTGGGCCTGTGCGTGTGCTGTCTGCTGTCGGGACTGGGTCGTCGTCATCTGCGGCATGCTCATAGCTTGGGACATATGCGGCGGGAGCGCGAACGACCCTGCCAGGTACAAGTTCGGGTCTGCAAACATGGCGGTCGCTGCGTTGCTGTTCTGCACCAGTAAAGCTGCAGCCTGTTGACTTGCCGATGTCACCGTCGATGGTGCTCTGCTCGATCCACTAACCGCTGCAGATACCGCAGCCGTCAACGCTGCAGACGACGACTGTGTCCTAGAGGTCGTCGCGCTGGTCGCGACTGACGTTCCGGTGGTCGCCGCACTGTCCGACGTCGGCGTAGACGCAGCCGACGTCCTTCGACTCGCTGTACCAGCTCCTGCACCAACGGGACCGCCTCCACTAACCAACAAGGACGACGTGGCGCCCGCCCTCCTCATAGTCCGGAACTTGTCCTTGAGCTGCACGTTGGATCTGTCGTTGAACTGCGGGCCCAGCTCCTTGTCGATCAGAATGAGCGACCACACGTTCCTCTGGCCGTTGTACTTCTTCACTCCCTCCAGCAGCGCGCGCTCTTCTGTGGCCGAAAAAGGCCGGTACTTGCGGTGGTTCTTGCGGTTCTCCGTGTACGCTGCCAGCTCCGGTCGGGTCTTGATAAGCGTCCTCCACTTGTCCTTGAGGTCGACTCCGCTCCGCCCGTGGAACAAATGCCCCAAATGAGGGTCTCGAAGGATGGAGCTCCACGGACAACTGTCGTCTGCGTATCGCTGCACGCCCAGCACGAGCGCTGTGACCTCGTGGGGGCAATACTTCCGCCGCTTTCCCTTAACGCGTTCCCCCACATTTTCACAGGCAAATTCCGGCGAGTTGCGCGGGAAAGCGTAGCCTCCTCCGGCCGTGGCGCCTCCTGCTGTTGCCGCTGCGTTGGCGGCGTTTGTTGCGGCTTGCACGGCAACTGACACGAGGTTGTTAGCTGTTGCGCTTTGTCCTAACGTGCCCGAAGCGGCGCTCATCCCCTGCGTATACTGAAGCTGGTTTTGCTGTTGCTGTTGCAATTGTGCTTGTGCTTGCGCTTGTTGCTGCTGTTGCAGTTGCAACTGAGCCTGTTGCTGGAGCTGGTACTGCTGCACTTGCTGGTACTGTTGCATCTGCAGTTGCTGCATCTCCGCCTCCTCCTTCATGCGCTGCATGTGCGACACTGGCTGTGCCTGCGTCGGCGCTGTCGTTGCCGGCGGGCTACTCACGCCCACGGTGCTTGCCTTCGCTGGCGGTCGCGGCATTGTTGCTGTTGTGTACACGGTTAGACTCTGGGCCTTGCAACATGGCGGCAACAAGAGCGACAGGGAGGGAAGGTTAGAGTTGGTCAGTTAGTTGCATATTGGAGCGGCAACTCGGCGGGCGCGAAAAAATCTTGCTGCACTTCATCGAGAGGCAGACTCACCTCAACACGCTCGTCAGTGGCTTGCCCCTTCCCTGCGGCGCTCGGGTTGTGGGCGTCTGCTCGAAGAATGCCGCTTGGGTCACCTATACACCGGCGGCGTCCCCTACTCGTTGGTCACTGGCGGTGGTTGCCTCCTGGTTTTGCTGCTCTGCAGTGTTGAGACTCGGGTCTCTTTGGCTCTCTGCCGTTTCGCCTACACACACAATCAAGCCGCCAGCCGACTAAATATACCGCTTGTTGCTGCTTGTTGCTGTTGCCGTGTTGCCCTTGCGGCGGGGTGCCGTCCTCGGTATAAAAGACCCGCGGTTCTGAGCCACAAAAAGCGCGGCAAAACAAGACGTCGCCTTTTAACGCCTGCCGCTGGCTGGGACGAGGGTGCAGAGCCTGGGCCAACCACAAACGCGCCGGCCTTCTGGGTGCGCCCAAACACTACAGATGCAATGCAGTTGCGCCGTCAGTGGTGGTGGTGAGACACATTTCCTTTTGTCTTGCTGGCCGCAAAGGCAACAGCAGGTTGCCTTGCGGCCTTTTGTTGCTTGTTGTACCTTAACCGGGCAGGTTGTCTGTTGCCTGTCCGAATTCTCAAACTGCGCGCTTGTTTGGCCTTGCTTGGCGCGCGAGTCGAGTCGAGTTGAGCTAAATGGGGGGAAGACGCGGCGGCAAGAGTGAATGTCAGCGGCGGATATCCCCAATGAAAAAAAGCTCGCCCAGCTGGCATCACACACGTGGCGAGCGCCATTGACTGCGAGTTGCCTGCGCCGTACCGGGAAGGACTGGCTGTTGCAGTTGCAGAGCGGTCGGGGCAATGGGCTGGTTGGGCTGGGCGGGTGCGCGTCTGCGTCTTCTGCCGGCGCTTGTTGCTGTTGCTGTTGCTGTTGCCGGTACTGACCGAGCCGACTTGAGTTGAGTTGAGTTGCCGCGCGCGCTTCGAGCCTGGAGGCTGCCGGCTGCGTTTGAATTGTGTAAAGGGGAAGGAGAAAGCCCCTTACCATCGTGCGCGATTGATGCGAGCAGGTCGCAGGAAAAGATCAAGTGAACCGGGCACCATCATTGCGGCACAAACGGAGAGAATTGATTGGAGGAGATAAAGGTAGGGAAGGGTGAGGGTCAGGGGAACCACAGCCGCAAAACGCCCCCTGTCAAAGCTGATCGCGGGCTCAACAGGCGAGATGGGGACCACGTCGGCTCCGCTGCTCATGCTGCTCACGCTGCTGCCCGTGGCGGCAACGGCTCAGCCGATCGGCGACGCGGAGGCCGACGCGGGCGTGACCTTCGCGGAGACCGTGGCCCACTTGGGCGGCCTCCCGGCGCTCGCGGGCGCCGTGGTGGTGCTGGCGCTGGCGTATCTTGCGCTCGTGGGGTGGCTGCTGCCGCGTGGGCGGCGGCTGCACCAGTTCGACGCGCCGCGGCGCCAGATAAAGTCAGCGCGCAAGCGCGAATGAACATACCGATAACCCCGAGCGAGAGGCCGAGCGGCTCCGCTGCTGGCGGCGGTGATGCGAACACGTGGCGGAAGGAGCCCGGCAAGTGCAGGCTCCCAAGAGGATCAAATCAGACAGCCATCCGGCAGCACATAGCTGGGCGAGGCGTGAACCAAGCCAAGAGGAAGTCGACCGAACCAAGCCACTCGTAAACTACAGTAAATGCGATACGATAATTCACGCTATAGTCTGTTGGATACTGCTGTGGATATCGTACGCAGGGAAGTGTGTCTTCTGCGATCCTCCTCAGCAATTTAATGCATACAGAACGAGTACGTACTAACCTGTATTGGTAAAGCCAATTTCAAGAGCGCCATTCGCTGGTTCAATCTCGTGAACGCTGCGGCGGACCCAGAGTATCTGCTAAAGGGTGTTGAAGTGCCCTCCGCGAGCTTGTTGACGGCGGCCATTGAGACAGTGCCCTCACAGTGGCTATCCACAGTCGTGACATCGCTCCAAGTGAGTTTGTCGATTGCGCGCTCGGCGTGCAGCTACATCGTGTCCTGGTGGCGACGCCTAAAGCTCTCGGTGCGTCCTCATTGTTGCCGTGGACGGTGTTGAAGCGAGCGCCGATGCAGAAAGGGCAACGCGGGTTGTGTGCATTCGTCTGCAGGTCCCTAACTCCCTCCGATGCAATTTCCACCAATAGACGTCCCGAAAACACATTTTCAACTAATCATAAGCCGTCGCGACCTTTGGGGCAAACGGGGCGGCGGTCTCCACAATCAAACGCTGTAGCCATCTCGTGAGCGGTACCTGCAGGCGGCTAGGGCAACAGCTTCAACTCGCGCCATACAAAGCGCAAGTGACTCGCATGGCTAAGATCCAGCGGTTACGCACAACACGTTGTGCAGTACAGGTCACTTCAATCGAGCGCGTACGTATGAATACAAAAGTAAGTCAGCAAAATTCGTTGTATCCAGCGTCAGCAGCGGTGAGATTTTATTCTTTTTTGAGCGCAGCAATCGTCATTAACGGAAGCTACGTTCTCAGGTCAGGGTCTCACGCAACTAGAGCTCATTGTTTAGAAGACTCAAACTAGCGTGAACTGAGCTTGGGAAGTGGCCCAATCACCGAGTAGCTTCCGTATCTTTCATGGTTACGAGGCTTTGGAGGTTTGGCTACCGCTGCATCGTAACGGCGCCAAAGACGCGTGACGAGTCTCGTTGGAAATCTATGGGGGTAACGAATGACAGCAATGGAATCTGAATTCATGTTTTATTGCATGTATTTACCATTAGTCAACAGTTTTGGGTTTTGATGACCCTTTGCCAACGGATAGCTTGTCGTACCAAGGACTAAGGGAGCGCTTCCCACCTCGAAGCCTTATCTAAGGACGTGAGCTATTTGTAGCTGGGCAGTACAGTATTTTACTAAGAACAAAAATACTAAATACCCCAGTTCACTCTACACTACTGTGGTATCGCCTTCACGACTATATTGCCACTCCGCGTTCCACACCTAAATCAAAGGCTTCATTCGACCTCACCGGATAAACTAAAGCTCAGTGAAGCTCCTCCAGGAAAATGGCAACGAAACTCTCGGTCGCTGCAGCGTTGGTCGACGATGAATCAACGGTGTTGCTGGACAAAAGCGTCATGGCGGCGATGGGCGTCCAACACGGCAACGTGTTGCTGCTAACGCACGGAGGAAGGAAAACTGTAGTCATCGCGCGCCTGGACGAAAGTGATGAAGCGCAGTCAGAGGCGGCACGCTTGAGCACAATAATGCGGCGCAATCTCCGCTTGGACATCGACAACGAGGTCGCAGTAAGCACCGAGTGGCGCAAAGTGGCATCTGTTGCTGAGAAGGCTGCGCTGAGAAGGCTATTAGCGAGTACCAGTCACGTGCACGAAGCAGCTAGTGTACGTGATGACCATCGTCAAAGTGCAACGAGCGACGCGCAGCAACTGTAGCCAAGGCTCTGAGTGCCAGGATGCTTCCAAGGACCAACAGAGCTTCAAGGAGAGACGACCCAGCAGCAAGGACTACAACAGGAACAGGATCGAGGACGGACGACGCAAGGAGGGTACGCAAGTACTGGTAAAGATATCCGAAGCGGCGGCGAAAGATAGCGAGCAGCAGTCAAGACGGCGGCGGCGACGGGGTGAACAAGCGGAGGAAGAGTCGAAGAGAGCATGACATCGAGGATAGCACACAAGGGGCGCGGAAGAACGAAGGGGTGAGCGAGGCAACGCTGGAAACTCGCCGACGTGCCACCTCACCCAAGGCAACGACCAAGACCGACGATTGACCAAGGTGTGCTGGTCAGAAGCCGTTGGCCGGCACCCATGGGCCCACGCCACCAAGTGATGGCAGTAAAAGTGTAGTCAGAATCGAAATAGCGCTGTAGGGTACAGATCAACCCATACAGTAGAGCCAAGCAGAGTGTAACGTCAATACACGAAGCAGTTGGCCGTAGCAAGTCGACTAAGGTCAAAGTGCAGTCGAAGTGAAGAGCCCGGTCCGAGGTGACGAGCAGCGTGCACACAGAGTCACAGTGCACACGTGCGTCCATCGACGACCAGTACCCCGCGGACGCATCCGCCGGAAGGGAGAACCCGCGAGTTGTGCGCGCACGTGGGCACAGTTCACAGAGGGACAGCTCCAGTCAGCTATCGCCTACCTAGGCCCGATAAGAAGCGGAGGGGTCGAGGATCACGTGCGAGCACCTCGGATTGGCGACGTACAAGGCGTTGTGCGTGTTGGATATCGCGTGGAGCGGTGTATATTTGTATAGGTGACGAATTGGCGTTGCTAGCCGCCGAGGACCCCGGCGCTGCAGAGCCGCGGACTCGGACAAGGTGCGGACGGTAGCTGCAGAAGGGCAGACCGCTTACTTCGCCGTGACGAGCCTTGGGGGCGATGTGCCCGACGGGAAGTCCATCCGCGTCCTCCCCATCGACGACACTGTGGACGGAGTTACGCTGGACGAGAAATTGTTCGACAACTACGTGGAGCCACACTTCGCGGGTTCCTTTCGTCGTCCCGTTCACTCGGGCGACTTCTTCCTCGTACGCAGCCTCGTTAGTGGAGAACCAGACGTCGAGTTCGTCGTTGTCGAGACTGACCCCAAGCCGTACTGCATCGTGGGGCCCAAGACCGAAATCTTCTACAACGGATCACCAGCGTCTCGCGAGGACGTCCTGTGAGCTAGTATCAGGGTCCCCGTGCTCCTAAAATGTTCAACCTTAATGAAAAAAATGCACCAGTGCTGCATTTTCATGCCTATAAATTTCTTGAAGGAACGAGCGAGCATTGTTTTCTACTTACGATGAAAATTCTTACTTACAGTATATTGGAAAGAATGACGCTATTACCTTGGCGGTCGACAGCAATGACGGCGTTTAGATCTGACCAGAAGTATATGTAGGACGAATGTTTAAGTGCTGAGTAAAAACTTCCATATATTTGAGTGAGACCAGGCCAAAAAACAAGAATTCAATCCGAAGAATTCAAGCTACGATACCAACGATCGAGCAGTACGAGGTCGTGACAGTCTTGGTGCCACAGGTGATCGTCAGCATGTCTCCTTCCTCCAAAAGTACGATTGCATCCAGAGATGTGGACACATAATGGTTGCTTCCCATGTATGCGCAGTAGTTTTGCTGGATGCAGACGCCATTCTTTAGCAACATGACAGTCTTGCCGTAGCTTGTGGGCGCACAGTTGACGACTCCCCCAATTCTGTAAACCCCCTGCCGGAGAATCTTAATCACCCCATCCTCGCCATTCACAGCAAACTCTGCACAGTGAGCCTTGTTCCAGCACAATCTCGACTCGAGACAGGAGAGTGTCGAGTACTGCCGTGTGCGAGATGCCTCGAGCCGAAGAAAAGGGGGCGTTTGTGCGGCACTCAGCTCTCCACGAATCCGCTCCAACGCATCCTGCTGGTCACGCAAATTTGACTCCACCACATCAATCCGCTCCAACGGCACAGGCTCGAGATCAAACGCATACTTCACCACCCACGTAGATCGAAGAAATTGGAGAGTCATCACCAGCTCCAGTCGAAACCCACCACCATTAAGGGGCTTTAATCTGCGTTGCACAGGGCTGGAGTCGCTTATTTCACATTCTAGCGAATCAGACAGACACTAGAATCGGCATAAGTTCACATGACGACAAGAGCATGGGTAACCAGCATGAACTAAACCTTACCTGGAAATAGTCGGTCAGCGATGCGCCAGGAATTGTATTGGCGCTTGTCACGTAGTCTGATGGAGTCATATCCTTGGTGCTCCTGTAAGGGCAGCATATACACAACGTGTATCAGAAACCTCAAGCGATACTCGAGAACACAGGGCACATAACTGTACCATTGCTGCTTCCTCGATAGGTCTTCCAGCCAGATACTTAGAAGGTTGCCTTTGAGCTCAATTGCATAGCGATAGCGCCGCGCCAGAGGTGCGGAGAAGGTGGTGGTTCCTTCGCTTTTCGTATCTCCTGAACGCAGCATGACAACGAGACTAAAAATGCAGAATGACGCGTTGGAACTAATTCATCTGGATGGATGTTAGTGGTCGGCATTCCAAGAAATACACTCGAACAAATTCTTGGGATTGAAAATGAAAGAAGATGTCGAGAACTCTCATATCCCACCAATTTCTGCTGCCAGAATTTGCTGTCGACCAAATATATGGTTCGCCTGTTCTGCTGTATCTACGGCGAGAAGGGTAGTGCGTTCTGTGCGAGTGTCGATGCTGAGGATATTGTCGGCGAGCTGAAGGACGTGATCGCAGCGAAGCTAAAGGTGAAGTTCCCCGCAAACCGCCTGCGGCTCTTTTTGGCGTATCACGACGGCGCATGGCTGAAGTCCGAGTCGGACGATGTCAAGAAGCTCAACAAGGGTAGACAGACTGCTGTCCTCGTCGCGCTCACTGCCCAAGACAAAGAGCTAAGCATGTGCGAATACGTTGGTGAAGTGTTGAAGGATAAACCAAAGCCGACATGTGGACAAATTTACCTGCTTGTGAAGGCTCCGCGTGGCTCAATCTGGGATGACTACACATGGGACCCACCTACAGTCGAGCATAAGATTCTATCGGCCTCGCAGCAATCCGTGGTCAGACTGTCGTCTCCTGTTGGCTCAGGAGCAGCTTTAGTTGTGGACCGAACGACGACGCACGTGTATTTGATGACCAGCTTACATTTGTGGATTGACGAGGCATTTGCCGAGCACTTGAGCGACAAATTCAAGTAAGACATAAGATAATATTTCGAATACCATCCGAAGCTGAAACCGAGCGACACGAAAAGAAACAGCAATAATGCTCAAGTTGTGGTCGCGCAAATGGCCCTCGCCTGATAACACCGACTTGGAAGAGATCTTCCGGTTTAGCATCGACAGTTCCGTTTGTTTGGAAAGCTCCGGGCATCTGGACTTCGCGATCTTCGAAGTCGCCGTGCCACAAAATGTTAAGCTCGTTTGGGGTATGCTGTCTTGGGATGACACCCCTTGTGTGCCAACCAGTTCCGATTTACGTACTTGGATTCCCAGATTCTCACAATTCCGGGACCTACTCTATGATTTCTGGTGAAATATCTGGGTGGCAAGGAAACACTATCGTTATCTCTCTATCAGCGCCTTGCGTCGCCAGGAGTGGCGTCGTGTGCACTCACGACGGCTTTGCAGTTGGATACGTAGGCGGAGTGCTGGATGATGAGTCTGCGGAGGGCGAAAAGTACGAGCTGTACGCCTACCCGCTCCATCGAATGCCTTTGCACTTGCCGAGATATTTGCCATCAGAAGACGATGACGAAAACGAAGACGAGGAAGAGGAAGATTGAATTTTGTACCGCATTAGTGCTGATGGCTCCTGTTTAGCTCGTACTGACCCCAAGTTGCACTGCATCGTTGGGCCCAAGACCGACAGATCTTCTACGACGGATCAATGTCAGGACGTCCTGTGAGTTGGCAAAACAAGCCCCCACCTCCTAAATGTTCAACCATCAATGAAAAACTTTTTAAGTTTTCAGTTTTAAAAGACTAAGGGCATCTTCATGAAGTAATACAGTCATCTGTTGAAGGGACGGTCGTTTCGATATTTCATTTCTCGTATTTTGTCTTTGGCCATGGCGACTCCAGCACCCGGCAGCAACCAGCGTGCCTCTGCAGATGACGAGGCAGCGCGGAAGCTGCGGATCCGCGCAGCCTTCGACATGTTCGACAAGGAGAAGAAAGGGAGCGTCATCCAAGAGTGGGTGCCGTGCTTCAGGGAATCAGCGATGAGTGTATACTAACATATCTTTTGTCTTGTAGGGAGGTGAGCACGATCATGCGATACCTCGGCGCCTACCCGACCGAGAAGGATATCATCAAGAAGATCCTGCCAGAGGTAAGAGTTTGGACTATCGGTGACTTTACATTTACTTGATGAATCTGCTGCTCATTGCTGCTGTGTCGTATTTCTCTACTCTTAGATGCAAGAGGACGAGCCGTCGACGTTCGTGACGTACGACCGCTTCGAGAAGAAGATGCTCGAGGTGCTGTACACCAACGAGTACGAGCCTGACGCAGACGAAACGCTGCTCGCTGCCTTTCGGGTACTGAGTGAATTTCATGGTAAGATACACGGGATGATACTTCGCTGGTACTGAAGTACTTTGTCGCTGTTGAGTAGGTGATCGACACGGATAAGAAGGGCTACATTGAAGCTGAGGTGATGCGTGAGTTGCTCACCACCAAAGGCACCCCGTTCCGAGAGAAGGAGATGGAAGGTAAGAGGCCAGTAAACCTAATTGAAACTTAAGAGGATCTGTGCGCAAATTGATTCCTATCATGACCTTCGTCTGTTGGCAGCTTTCTTAGCGTCGGCAAAAGACCCGCCGACAGGACGGATCTACTACGAAGACTACATCGCGCTACTCACCCAGGCTCTGGACCCCAAGAAGGTCTAACACCGCATTGATTTAGGCAGGCTGGCTGTAAAGATTCTAGGAAGGTGATTAACAGTGCTGACTCCAGCAAGGCTCGGCAACTTCCGGTGAACACGCTGTTTTCTTCGATTCAAAGCGCTACTGTGACCCTACGAACTGTCTTTGGTACTGCACGAACAGCTAAAACTCGAGGTGCCATCGTCTGTTGCTGCGGTTGACTCTGGATCCGACCGTCAGCATGGTTAGGTCCTTCGATGTGTGAGATATTGAGAATGACCGGGCATTCCGAGCTATTCGGCACGGGAGCTCGTTCAGGTGCTAAAGACGCAGTAGTAGCGTCAACGCTGACCTGAGGCGCTGCAGACGCGAAGTCACTCAGGTTCACGCGCACCTGCACCACCTTCCTCGGTCGCTTTCCCGGCACCGACTCCGAGCGTGGCCTCGCATCTTGTGCTGGCTGAGTAGTTGGTTGTTGTTGTTGCTGCTGCTGCTGAGACCGATCGGCAGTGCGCTCAAACCCAGCAAACGATGCTCGAGTTTCGGCGGGCCGAGGCAAATCTTGAGAATGGCTACATGTATTAGCGCTGCGGAGACGGGAGACGGCCGAGACCCCCAAGGTCTTGCGGATGAGGTGCTCGGCGCTCTCGTGCATGCCGATGCGGCGCTTCTCATTGCGAAAGCCACCCGCGCTCTCCATCTCGTCGTGCTGCAGCGCCAGAGTGTACTCCTGAATGGCTTGGTTGAACTCGCCCTCGGAGTTGTAGCAGCCAGCGCTGTTCAGCCAGCCAGACACAGTCACTAGACAATTAGCTTCAACTCCCCACCAATACACTGATGCGGTTCTTGCCGCCACCTTACGTACCGAGCGTAGCGCGCCATCACGTGGTTGGGACTCAGCTCGAGCACGCGCGAGAAATCCCGGTGCGCGTCGTCCACGCGGCCGCTCTGGAAGAGAGCCATGCCGCGACTGAACCGCCCGTGGACGTCGTCCGGTCGGCTGCGCAGCAGCTCGGAGAAGTCACGCACGGCCTGGTCCCAGAGCTTGGCCTTCATGCAGGCGTGGCCCCGCACCGCGCGCGTATGCAGACAGGACGGGTCTGCTTGGAGCACTGCATGGCACTCGTCGATGAGGCGGTGGATGTCACGGAGACCCGCGGACGGATTTGATTCCGACGCGGTGTCCGACGACCAAGACGCTGTGATGGAGCTGCTCATGACTTCAGAATAGCGTCGTTATGGCCTGTCCTCTCACGGAACCGTGTTGAATGATGGAATGCAATGCAAGTGGAACACCTTCGAATGATAAATGAAAGTCAAAATGGCTCGTGTATTGAGGTAAAACTGCCGCTCCCATAGTATATAGACACACTGCAGCTATGGACCCCTCGTCGGACATGTACACGTAACTGTTACGTGGCTTAGCAGTCCACGAGCTTCTGGTACAGCGAGCCGAGCTCCGTGATGGAGAAGTCGAAGCTGTCGAGCTCGACGATCTTGATGAGACCGTCGTTCGAGTCGTCGATGAGCGTCACGTAGACCGTGGTCGAGTCGTACGGGCGCGGGGCGAAGTTGTCGCCGCCGGGGCTCAGCACCGAGCCGTCGTAGAAGTAGTAGTGGGTCGTCACCTTGTCGCGCGCGTCGTTGGTCTCGATTACCTCGGCGATGTCGAGCTCACCGCAGCCGCCCACGGGGCCCATGCCGCGGCAGTTGCAGCCGTACTGGTTCGAGTGCATGACCTGCGCGTTGAGCATCCAGATGGCCGGCTGGTTGGGCTTGCTGCCCTGCGGCATCTTGACCTCGGTCACGAACGCCTTCTTGCCGCCGTTCCAGCCCTGGTAGTCGTTGTCGCCCGAGAAGCCGAGGCACTGGCCGTCGCACTTCTGGCCGGTCATGATGTTGATCTCAGCGCCGGTGGAGATGCCCGGGCCGCCACCAATCTGCGAAGGGTCTGAGGCCTCGTCAAGGGTGCCCTCGAAGACCGTGGGCTCGTCGACCTTGGTCTTGCCGTCGGCCGAGGCGTAACCCTGCGGGCCGTGCTGGTTCTGGCCCGAGTAGTCGATGTTCTTGTTGTTCATGAAGACCAGGTTGTCGGTCTTGCCGTCCTGGCGCGAGTACGACGAAACGCGGCTCCACGTGCCGTTGCCGCCCTCGTCACTGAACACGGCGATGTTCTCGATCACCTGGGGACCACGGAAGATCATGGACACGGGCTCCGACATGGGGCCAACGGGGCTGTTGACGCTCACCGACTCCTTGCTGCAGGACGTCAGGTCCGTCACGCGGTTGTACGAGCCGGCCACGTTGCCGGCGTTCTTGCCCTTGTACTCGTACTTGGCCTTGACCGTGCCCAGGTCCGAGTAGCTCTGCACCGTGCCCTGCGAGCCCTGGTTGGCGTTGTTCTGGCTGCCCTGCTCGGGGTTCTGGCTGCCCTGCTGCGTGGCGCCGCGCTCCTCGTTCGAAGGAGCGGCCGTGGTGGCGGCGGGCGTGCCGATGTACACTTCCACGCCGCCCTTCTGGTACTGCTGCTGGGACTGGTCGGCGTTGTCGCCATCGCCGCCGTTGCAGAAGGTGACGTCGAGCTCCGTGCCGGACGGGCAGTGGTGCGTCTTGGTGTCGTCCTTGGGGAACTGGTAGGCGTCGCTGCAGCCGTCGGCGGGGCAGTCGAGCGCCGCGCAGCTTCCCTTGCCCACGTTCGACTTGGGGGTGACCGTCATGGGCACGTTGAAGCCGATCTTGCCACCGACCGCGGACTTGCACGCGTCGAGGCTCTCGCAGTGGCCCGATCCGGGCGGGATGATGCTGATGTCGTACCAGACGGCGTGGTCGCAGGCCACCTCGAAGAGCGTGGCCGAGTTGTCGCTCGAGTGGCGGTACATGTGCGCGGGGCCGCTGGCGTCCGCCGTGTAGGTGGCGCCCGACGCGATGGATGCGATGCTGGCCGAGGCCGAGCCCGTCTGGCTGTGGTGCAGGTCGATCGGGTACGAGCACTTGTTGATGAAGTTGACGGTCGTCGCCGACGCCATCGCCGTGTAGAGGCACGCTGCCAGGGCGAGCTTCGCGGGCACAGCCACCTTGACCATGCTTGGAAGTTGTGTGAAAGCGGGGGGGGGTCTCTAATCTAGAGCAGCAGGCGACAAGCAAGCAGGACGCGAGTTCCGGCCAGCGAGCAGAATGCAAAATGAGCCCTGCTCCAGACCCGTGCCCGCGCCATGGCAGACAGACAAGGATATCGCATCCTGCCAGCAGTTAGGAAAGCCCCGGCTGCTGCCTGCTCGGAGGATCGTGGTAACGGGCGAGAGCGCACCGTGTGGACTGACTATCTAGGAGTCAGAGCCAAAGTTTCCGCTAAAAAGCCTCGTGCCACTATCTTAAAAACTGCAATATCAAATAAAATGTTTCGTCACTTTGTGACTTCAAGCAGAATATGGCTCAGCGTGAACCTTTGATGTCGAATGTCCCCGTCGAAATGGGTTTCTGAATTTTGCTGTGCGAGCGGGTGCTTCACAACTTTACGACGCCGTAATAGAGCCCGCCCGGTACCATTCTTGAAGCCCGCAAAGCGAGGGCGCTGCTGTAATGTCGTCCGAGCCTCTGAGGTGTCCAGAGAGATCTGCTCGAACGGCGAGAAGTTGTGGCGTGCGAGTGCGTGCGGCGCCAGCTGGGCGCGTTATCTCCACACGAGCGGGCACGCGTTTGAAGCTGCAAAGGTTGCCAACGCAGTGCGTTCGTTACGGCACTCGGCTCCCAGCAAGGCAATCAAAGGCAGCGTCAAAGTTCCCAATGCCGGCGCATCTTTCCGAGCCGCGCGACTGGATCGGCAACGCGAAAATCAATCAACTCTTTGCAGTCCGCTCTTTGCCATTACATTCTTTGCTTTGCATTTGCATTGCACTCGCGAATGCTGAAAAACGCTAACCGGGATGGATTGAGGGAATTTGGCATGGGACTGACCTCCCCCCCCCCGCCAAGCCCTAAAGACTTAATTTGTCCCCGGTCTCGATACTTGTCAAAGTTCTTTTTTGGCTAATACGCCTGCGCCATCGCACAGCTGCATTAGAGTGAAAGCTTCATGGAATTCGTGGGGAACTTTGGAAATGGGAGAGCCTTGACATCTGCTCCGGGGGCAGCAGTCTGGACGGACGACAGCCCCGCGCCGGCCGGAGCAGCTTGTCGCCCTGTCCTCCGTGTCTCGTGAAAATCCCTCCAAACTTTTTGAAAAGCTGGTGCCAGTGATGCTGTGGGCACTTGCGCGCGAAACTCTCGAGTGGAAAAACTGCCCCCCTTTGGCCGCAAAGCGATGACGGCGCCGGTGCCCGTGCCGATCGCGCCCCGCTGGGCACGTAAAGGCGTTTTCGCTAGCATTGGGCTTGAGTTGCCATGGAGAGCTCCACGTCGGCACGACACCCGTCGGACTTCGCTCGCCGCGTAAGGTGATTGGCGCCGTATCTCTCGGTGGAGCGAGGAAGAACTTGGGGCGGAGCATTAATCACTCTGGCAAATGCATCAGTGACTGGGTGCTGGCCGCAGTGTCAAGGCCTTCGCCGGCTGCAATGCAATGCTACAGCAGCCTCAGGTCATGGATACCTCACCATCGTTGACTGGAGTCTGTGACAAAGACAGCAGTCCCTCCGAAACGCTGGTTGAAGCGGTCGTCGCGTTGTACGTGAAACGCTACGACCGCCCAGGATCTTCGAGTCACGCATGGCACCAGTCCGGTGGTTGAATGCCACCGCCCTTCCCTTCCGTTGTGCCTCTAGCTCCGAGCAGGCAGTGCTCGCGAAAGAGGCACCACGGGTACGCCATAAGACAGTCTACATGCATCCAGGTGTTCGAGTTGGCGATGTTCCGAGCGATAGGCTATTTCTAGTCTAGGCACCACTCGGGTGTTCGTTCGACTGTCGCTCGGAGTTTTTTTTCTAGGCGCAGGCGAATGCGCGAGCGATCAAAGAAGCAGCACACGCAGCAACGCATTCCGACACAGTCATGAGCTCATTGAGCGGCTCCACCGCAACTTGGTCGTCGGACGCCGCGTCGGAATCAAATCCGTCCGCGGGTCTCCGTGACATCCACCGCCTCATCGACGAGTGCCATGCAGTGCTCCAAGCAGACCCGTCCTGTCTGCATACGCGCGCGGTGCGGGGCCACGCCTGCATGAAGGCCAAGCTCTGGGACCAGGCCGTGCGTGACTTCTCCGAGCTGCTGCGCAGCCGACCGGACGACGTCCACGGGCGGTTCAGTCGCGGCATGGCTCTCTTCCAGAGCGGCCGCGTGGACGACGCGCACCGGGATTTCTCGCGCGTGCTCGAGCTGAGTCCCAACCACGTGATGGCGCGCTACGCTCGGTACGTAAGGTGGCGGCAAGAACCGCATCAGTGTATTGGTGGGGAGTTGAAGCTAATTGTCTAGTGACTGTGTCTGGCTGGCTGAACAGCGCTGGCTGCTACAACTCCGAGGGCGAGTTCAACCAAGCCATTCAGGAGTACACTCTGGCGCTGCAGCACGACGAGATGGAGAGCGCGGGTGGCTTTCGCAATGAGAAGCGCCGCATCGGCATGCACGAGAGCGCCGAGCACCTCATCCGCAAGACCTTGGGGGTCTCGGCCGTCTCCCGTCTCCGCAGCGCTAATACATGTAGCCATTCTCAAGATTTGCCTCGGCCCGCCGAAACTCGAGCATCGTTTGCTGGGTTTGAGCGCACTGCCGATCGGTCTCAGCAGCAGCAGCAACAACAACAACCAACTACTCAGCCAGCACAAGATGCGAGGCCACGCTCGGAGTCGGTGCCGGGAAAGCGACCGAGGAAGGTGGTGCAGGTGCGCGTGAACCTGAGTGACTTCGCGTCTGCAGCGCCTCAGGTCAGCGTTGACGCTACTACTGCGTCTTTAGCACCTGAACGAGCTCCCGTGCCGAATAGCTCGGAATGCCCGGTCATTCCCAATATCTCACACATCGAAGGACCTAACCATGCTGACGGTCGGATCCAGAGTCAACCGCAGCAACAGACGATGGCACCTCGAGTTTTAGCTGTTCGTGCAGTACCAAAGACAGTTCGTAGGGTCACAGTAGCGCTTTGAATCGAAGAAAACAGCGTGTTCACCGGAAGTTGCCGAGCCTTGCTGGAGTCAGCACTGTTAATCACCTTCCTAGAATCTTTACAGCCAGCCTGCCTAAATCAATGCGGTGTTAGACCTTCTTGGGGTCCAGAGCCTGGGTGAGTAGCGCGATGTAGTCTTCGTAGTAGATCCGTCCTGTCGGCGGGTCTTTTGCCGACGCTAAGAAAGCTGCCAACAGACGAAGGTCATGATAGGAATCAATTTGCGCACAGATCCTCTTAAGTTTCAATTAGGTTTACTGGCCTCTTACCTTCCATCTCCTTCTCTCGGAACGGGGTGCCTTTGGTGGTGAGCAACTCACGCATCACCTCAGCTTCAATGTAGCCCTTCTTATCCGTGTCGATCACCTACTCAACAGCGACAAAGTACTTCAGTACCAGCGAAGTATCATCCCGTGTATCTTACCATGAAATTCACTCAGTACCCGAAAGGCAGCGAGCAGCGTTTCGTCTGCGTCAGGCTCGTACTCGTTGGTGTACAGCACCTCGAGCATCTTCTTCTCGAAGCGGTCGTACGTCACGAACGTCGACGGCTCGTCCTCTTGCATCTAAGAGTAGAGAAATACGACACAGCAGCAATGAGCAGCAGATTCATCAAGTAAATGTAAAGTCACCGATAGTCCAAACTCTTACCTCTGGCAGGATCTTCTTGATGATATCCTTTTCGGTCGGGTAGGCGCCGAGGTATCGCATGATCGTGCTCACCTCCCTACAAGACAAAAGATATGTTAGTATACACTCATCGCTGATTCCCTGAAGCACGGCACCCACTCTTGGATGACGCTCCCTTTCTTCTCCTTGTCGAACATGTCGAAGGCTGCGCGGATCCGCAGCTTCCGCGCTGCCTCGTCATCTGCAGAAGTGCGTTGGTTGCTGCCGGCTGCTGGAGTGGCCATGGCCAGGGGCGACGCGGGATGTGAAGTTGTTCTCGAAACGCCCGTCCCTTCGTGTGAAAATGTGAAGTTGTTCATTGAATGGTTGGGCATTTTTGAGAGTGTTACTAGCTCAGAGGACGTCGTGGCGAGACAATTGCTGCTCCGTTGTACTTGGGCCCAACACGTATTCGTCACTAATGTGGCACCCGTATTCCAGCTCCCGAACTGCCGATACAAAACCTGACGATTTCTTCTATTGTCGTCCTCCCTGGCGTGGAGAGCTGCTCGATCACAACTTGGGGCTTATCCGATATCGGGTTTACATCATTGTTGCTGTTTGTTTTGGTGTCGCTCGGTTTCAGCTTCAGGTGGAATTCGAGATATTCTCTACTGTCTTTCTTGAATTTGTCGCTCAAGTGATCAACAAACGCCTCGTCAATCCACAGGTGTAAGTTGGGTCATCAGATACACATGCGCCGCCGTTCGGTCCACAACTAAAGCTGCTCCTGAGCTCACACCCGAGTCGGGCTCGGTAAATTCCAATATACGTAAGAATAACTCGCAGTAACTTACGGGAACAACTGACTGATACCCCGTCACCAAGTTCGTGCAATAAGAAAAAGGAAGTCTGGCGCAGAAATCTATACAACTTGTGCTTGGTATGATCACTTCCCCATGAATTCGACGGCAATTGGTGTGCAAGAGGCAGGGTTGCCGAATATTGCATTGTTATCTATGGCAAGCAAGAAGAGAGAATAGATAATTGAACATCAAACTAAACAAACTAGAATATCGACATACTTCACACAGCAAAATAGAATATTGCTGCAATGTCAGTGTTTTGATGGGTTACATACCTATCATTTACTCCGCGCTCTCAACAGTGCGCGCGTCCCAATAATCGGCATTCTGCCGCAGGAACAGCAGCATCTCCAGCGTGTACGGCTGCAGTGCGTGGCGCTGCAGCCCAAACGTGGACCGAGCGATGCTAAAAAATCGCTCGACCACGTTGGAAGTGGGCGGAATGGACGTCAGCAGTTCGTAGCATGTTTGATGCTCTTCCAGGCGCCGACGCTTTTACAGCCGCTCCACGAAGGCGACGCTGGTCTCCTCATCCCCCTCTTCTTGCTCGCCCTCGCCCGCTGGTGGAGCCGCCAAGAAGCGTCCAGCGCCGCCTTCTCCACCCGGGTCAGCCGCTTGGCTTGCTCCTTGAGCACCTTGACGCAACCCGCCTCGAAGTCGGGGCTGTGGACGATGTCAGCCCGCGGTGCTACAATACAATACAAACAAATGAATATTATTAAATGTACCAATCTCGCATAATAGACAAAAAACGTACCGAGATAACGGGCGTACGAGGGCTTCGCGGCAATGAGCCCGTCGAACCAGACGCAAACGTCGAGGGGGTTTGCGTCAGCGCGCTGGAGAGCCTTCGACACGGACTCCACGTCCTTCAGCTCGCCGAGCAGGTCTCGAAGCCGCCGCTTGGACGCCGCCGGGGGAAGGAGCTCGGCCAACTCGTCATCCTCCGCGTCGATGAATGGTAGAAGCTCGAAGTAGCGGTTAATCATCGCAAAGGTCGAACCCCAGCGGGTTTGCTGGCGGATGATTGGTCGAAGGTCGGTCTTGAACCTGCAAGCACCAAAGTGTCACTTTCAGTTAAATCACACTAAATAACAAAAATAACAGGAAATATACAAATACTAACCGGAGTTTTGCAGAATGGTGGAGGGTCCGCAGCTTTACCATCAGCGCCTGTACCATATCGACATCCTTAGCGCATTCGCTCAGCCGGGCGGTGACGACAGGTTGAGTCGGTGGCTTGCACACCCGACTAGCGGGAGGCCCATCAGCGTAGCGAGGCGGCGGTTGACGCCGCAATTATCTCCCACCAGGACGAGAACCTGGTCCAGGCGCTTCTGATAGTCGCGCGCTAGCATCGTAGCCAAGAAGGCTTGATGACTAGCCGCGGAGAAGTCGTCGGTCTCGTCGTTGACGAGTGGTGCCATGCAGAGCAAGGGGCACCTCAGAACCCCATCAACCTCGTAGCACGCGAAGACCGCGATGCAGTGCTCCGAGTCGTGTGCTCCACCCGTCAAAGATGAGACCAAACTCCTCCGGCATCTCAGCCGCGATCGAGTGCTCGACGCAGCGCGTCACCGCGTCCATGACGCGCCGAAGCGTTTCGACAGAGACAGACTGGAGGCGCGTGTAACTAGATGCAAAGTGTAAACACAGTATTAGTTAATTTCCAAACAGTACATATTCAGTAGAGAGCTGGGTCGTACCGTCTTGCGAGTTTGCTCTCGCAAAATGATAGCGGTAGGTTGCACTTCACCAGCCACTCCAGCCAACCGAACAAGTACTGGGCAGAGTGGCGGACGTAGTGAGCAAGAGAGCCCGTCTGACCGGGTGTTGCGGCCAGCATCTCCTCCGAGTACGAGGGGTGCTCGCGCCTGATATGCTGCATCAGGTTTGAGTACCCCGTCCCGGTGACTCACTTCCGGACCGCGCCGCACCGGCAACGGTAGTACTCGAGAATGACCTCGTCGTACTGGTCGCGGCACGACCGGAAGTAGAAGTTGGAGACCTGCCTATTAGTGAAGGCGGCCGTGCGAGGCGGACGGGGGGCTGCGAGCATTGTGGCGGCTCGTGGTGGGCTTGGTGGTGGGTTGTCGGCTTCCGGTGGAATGAAAAGTGGGGAGAGTTGGTATGGTCGAGCTCAAGCCATGGGTTTGGAGGATGGTTGGCTGCAGTAGCCCCCAATACATAATCGAAGATGTTATGCTCAACTCAAAAGATAACTGGTAGATAGCGGTTAAGAACATGTCAATAAATTATTGATTCAAATCTATTGCAATAATTTCAGCACCAATTTATTTTTCGGCATCCCTGGCAAGAGGAGTTTAAAAACACTAATAAGTAAATAATAGTATGAAGCCGTTGCTACTTACTTTTGCTGTTAAAATCCTACAGAAATCGAGCTCAATTGTAATAGAATGCGATATACTAAGAACAAAAACTTCGAACCCTTGTGAGGTTTGAATCTGACTTACAGGTGTATGGGATCTAAGGCATGCTTTGGTAAGCGTAGAAATGCTGTACGATGATGGGTAACCGAAGTAAATTATCCACCTTTGTTCTCACCTCTACACTTGAGTTGTGGCTACATTAGTGGGGGAAAATAAGAAAATAACCCAATTATTAATTGGGGGAGGTTGGAGAGTCCAATCAATATCGTATTGTATTTTGCTTAGCCCTGCACCCGACGACACTCTGACAATTGATTGCTGTGAGGTCGATAGAACGTTACCCTCCACTGTAGGCGGATCCCGCATACATGTACAGTAATCCCGGATGGAGTCGCGCGGAGCCTGCACCAGCACGTGAATTTGCATAAAGCCCGGTTCCCTACGCAGTCAGATTATTTCAGCTCTTTGTCTTGGGCAGTGAGCGCTACAAGGACATCGGTCTGTCCACCCTTTTTAAGCGTCTTCACGTCGTCAGACTCGGACTTCAGCCACGCGCCGTCGTGATATGCCAAGACGAGCCGCAGAGGTTTGCTGGTGAGAGGTGCTGAAAGTCGTGTACTTGCTGTCTGCAGAGCTGTAGGCGTAGCAGAGTTGATCTCAACACGAAGGTGCGGGCAGAAGACGAACGGAAGGTAGGAGACTGAGGTTGCCTTGGCAGAATGCCGTGGCGGGAACAACCAAGGCGGCGGAGCTGGTTGTGCTCCTGCTGGTGAATGCGGAAGTGAGTGCCGAGCTGCGCAGCAGCTCGGCGCCGCCGCCTTGGGACCCTTGCTCGTGTTGAAGGAGTTTCCTAACCGACCTATGCTTTGCTATGCTGGTAGGTGCTGTTGCTGCTGCTGAAGCTGCTAATGTGCTGCGTCTGTCAGTTGCTAACCGCTGCCGCGCGGGGCAACGAGAGGTAGCGACCTCCCACAGTCGCAGCGGTTTCTGTGCTGGCGAACTTCGCCTGCGACCGCGTGCCGTCTTTCCGCGCTGCGGAGCACTGCTTGGTGGCGCTGGTACCGCTGGTACCTCACAGCTGGAAACTTGAACCTGCGATCGCGTTCTTCAGCTTGTCGACTGCATCCTCGCCATCGACACGCACGCCAAACGCGCTACCCTTCTCGCCGTAGATATAGCAGAACAGGCGAATAATTACAAATTCGGGAATGAAAGTGTATTGTTGAAATTTAGCAGAAACTGATGCATCCCACTGTACCAATATTTCTTGTGTACTTCTCGGAATTGAAAATGGCACGTCCATCCAAACAATCAGTTAGTTCTAGGCATTCTGCATTCTGTCGTCGTGATAGTGATGAGTTCGGGAGGCACGAAAAGGGAGGGAATCACCGCCTTCAGTCCACCTCTAGCGTGGTGCTGTCGCTATACTATTGAGCTCAAAGGCAACCTTGTAAGTATCTGGCTGGAGGATTTATTGAGCATGGAGCAATGGTACAGATGTGTGCATGGTGTTGTCAATTGTCGCTAGATATTTCTGATATACGTTCTTTACAGGATCACAAAGGATATGGCTCCATCAGACTACGTGACAAGCGCAAATACAATTCCTGGTGCATCGCCGGCCGAGTATTTCCAGGTAAATTTTGGCTCATACTTTTACTGGTTACCCCATGCTGTCATGCCGATTTTTTGTGTCTATCTGATTCGCTGGAATGTGAAATAAGCGACTCCAACCCTGTTCAACGCATACTAAAGCCACGTGGATTTGGCGAGTTTTGACTGGAGCTGGTGGTGATGAGGATCGAGTTTCTACGATCAACATGGGTGGCGAAGTATGCCGCTCCTGTGCCGCTGGAGCAGATTGATGTGGTGGATTCGAACCTGCAGGGTGCGTTAGAGCCAGACCTCGGAAAATACAGTATCATATTGAATTGCAAAAGTTCGGTCTCCACAATAATCATTTCAATATATCATTCACCAATAATATGTATTTATTTCAATTACTTGTATATGGAGATTCACGTTAAGCTTGGTTTTTGTAATGTTAAACATTTTACTGAAAATTGGGCTTCAATAATAGTAATTTCAATACGACCGGCAACCAATAATACATATTTCCGTACACAAATACAGTAATTGCAATGGAATTATTATTTTTCCGAGGCCGGATTCGTGGAGAGCTGAGTGTCGGACAAACACCCCCCTTTCTTCGACTTGAGGCATCTTGCATAAGGCAGTACTCGACACTCTCCTGTGTCGAGTTGAGATTCTGCTGGAACGAGCTAACTGTACAGAGTTTGCTGTGAATGGCGAGGATGGGGTGATAAAGGTTCTCCGACAGGGGGTTTACAAAAGTGGGGGAGTCGTCAACTGTTCGTCAAGAGGCTACGACGAGACTATCAAGTTGCTAAAGAATGGTGTCTGCATCCAGCAAAACTACTATGCAAACATGGGAAGCAACCATTACAATTGTACTTTTGGAGGAAGGGGACATGCTGTCGATCACCTGTGGCACCAAGACTGTCACAACCTCGTACCGCTCGATTGTTAGTATCGTGAGCTGAAGCTCAGAAAATCGGGTACCGTTATGGAATTTTTTACTTTCAAGATTGGCACTTGTTTAGATTTACCATTCAGCTATCCCATTACTGGCACAACTCTGTCGGAACATTACAACGTATAGGCTATTACATTGTCCCACCAACAAGTGGAGATGATGTAATACAGTGACACCTCCCTAAATGAACCCCTCTAACTGACTATGTGTTCCCTATCTGGTTAGGATTCCTCGACTGCAAACGGGATTATATGGATTTCAAAATAGGTGTTCTATAACTGATCAAAAACCTCTTTATTCTCTAAATGGTCGCCATTATTGGCGCCTCAACCCTCTAAATGGACGCCGTAGTAATAGATCCAAACTCATATATTTTTTTCTCAATCACTTGCCTGCCTCCTCCCACGTATGCCATTGCTACCACTACTCCCGCCACAACAAATCGAGCGAAGAGAGAAATTTTATTTGGGATGCTAAGTTGGAACAGAGTTTGCAGCAACTAAATACTGATAAATAAGCTAGCCACAGTATTTTACATTCAGCGCAGCGTACATATATATTTTACGAAAAACTAAAATATTATGATGTCGAGACAACTAGGGGTTATGCAGTAGATACCAAGCAAAAGATAAAACTGCAGGCATGGTGGCAGGATATCGGGACAACAAATATTCCCATAACCTCACTGTATTGAAACTCACGTACAACCTGAGGGGATGCGATTCTGCTAATACCAATGAGAAGAAGGAGTAGGAACAAACAATACCGCGCCTACCGTTATTGGTTGAGTTCTAATTGTGTGAAGACGAAACAAAACAAGAGTACGAAAATGCGGGAGGGGTACCAGGTAAAGAAAACCCTTGTATTGTGAAAATGTAGTCATTAGAAGTGTAGCCATTTCTTTATCTGATCAATTCTTTAACTGAAACACCGAGCGAACTAGGTGTCATTTATAGTGGTGTCACTGTATGCTTGTTGACGATCATCATCCTGCTTTTTAGATCTTTGCATGCACTCACACAAAACACAAGTAGATTTCCATGGTTTCGTTTGCGCAAAGTCCAAAGTTTACTCCCTCCCTCCTCGTAAACAGCGACCTGGGCTCCGATCACTTTTGAATTTGCAGCTCACTCGACTATCAAGATTACAAGAAATGCTTTCGATCACTACGCAGCCTCAGCGCGTGAATCGCCTGCGTGAACTTATCAACGGCGACGACCTTGTGCTGATGCCCTCGTGCTACGACGGACTCACGGCCAAGCTCATTGAGCGCGCTGGGTACGACGCGTGCATCATGACCGGCTACGGTGTTTCAGCTGTCCACGGTGTGCCCGACACGCAACTGCTATCGTACGGCGAGATGGTGCGCAGCGCTCAAACTGTGTGCTCTACGCTCAAGAACATCCCGTGTCTTGGCGACGGCGACACGGGCTACGGCAACGCCATGAACGTTAAACGGACGGTGGCAGGCTACGCGCAGGCTGGAATGGCTGGGATTCTGATTGAGGACCAGGTATCCCCGAAGAGATGCGGTCACACGACTGGCAAGGCTGTCGTGAGCCGCGAAGAGGCTTACGACCGCATCAAAGCTGCGGTCGACGCGCGTCGTGAAGGCAACTTTGACATCGTGATCATGGCGCGCACCGACGCGCGGGCCACTGATTCACTGGAGGAGGCAATTGCTCGTTGCCAGGAGTTTGTGCGTCTCGGAGCGGACATCACGTTCCTGGAAGCCCCGCGGTCGGTGGGCGAGATGAAGGCTTTTTGTCAGCAGGTACCCGGCCCCAAGCTCGCTAACATGGTCGAGATGGGGATGACTCCCGTCTTGCTCCCGGAACAACTGCACGAGATCGGCTGCAAGATTGCTCTGTACCCGGTCACGCTGCTCAACGCTAGCATCAAGGTGATGGAGAAGGCTCTCGTGGAGCTGCGCAACCAGACTGCAGGCACTGATACGACCGCAATGAGCACTGCCAACGCCACTCCAAGCGCCGGACTTGACGAGTTGCTCTGTGACTTTGAGCATGTCAAGGACGTCGTGGGCTTCACGGAATATTACGCGGAGGAAAAGCGCTACAGTACCAACGACTAGAAACATATCGGGACATCACGAAACGCTTCAAACCCACAAGGTATATCGCGAATTGTGCTTTATCCACGTAGCACACACTAGTACACAATCTTACCTGTACGCTGTACTGCTAAACCTAAAATGCAGAAGCTTGAGTCGAAAAGGAGATTAGATTAAATCTGGAATCAATCGGTGAAGGAGCAAAGCTCGTGTGTACTGGATAGGCATAAAATAGCATAGACACTCGTCAGACTAGAATGCGAACCTTCCGAAACTAGTGTGGACGGTGCTTAGCTGTCTTGATATGAAGCCGTCTATAATACAGGAGGGAGACTGGGCGGCTTGCATTGACTCGATTAGTCAGTCACCCGACCCATTTCAAAGAAGGACGTAGTCATCTTCATCATCTTCCCCGGTGCCAGATACCCCGCCTGAAGCACTTGCAATTTCATCCTCGTTCATGTCGTCACCCGAGAGGCAATCAGCCATGAGCAGGTCGCCTCCACTTGCAGCGTAGTCCGGCCGGTGAGCAGCGACGGAGAACGGGCACATGCCACCATCAGCCTTTACTTCATCGTGGAGAATACGTACGCGCCTCTCGAAGTCCTCGTAGTCAGCACGGTTGTCACACAAGAAGCCCAGTGCCAACGACGGATCGATGCCAGTCACGTTCATCACGAGCGGGCGAGAGGAGTGCACTGTGCGTAAATGTGTCTGTCAAAAGGTCACAAACACAAAAGATCAGTTGATCAGCTCACAATACGCTCCCCATACAGAGCTGATACAATAGCTTACGGCTGTGGGGAAGGCCGGGTTGAGTTCTGGAGCGGGATGCACGTCGTGCGGATCCAGGAGATGCAGCTGATCTTGCTGCGTGCCGACGAAATACACCGAGTGACCCTTCTTGCCTCCAATGATGCCGACGCTCTGCGGGAACGCGAAGGTCTTCTCCAGCGCCGGCACGTAGCGTTCGTTCACCTGGTCGAGTCCGAGTCTTAGCGGGATCAAGATCAACAGTGCCGTGCTCCAGTCACTGCTGTCCTCGGCTGTGGGGGGATGCAGCAGAGGGTCAAAGAACTCGGGAGCATTGGCATCCTCCGCAACAGCCTTCTTCTCCTGCTCCTCCTCAACCTCCTTCTCCCCTGCATCCTCCTCAATATGCGAGACACAGAGCCTCGTCACGTCGTCCGTGTACACCACACCTTCTTGAGGCACGTACATGGCCAGCTCCCCTCCAAACTCGCGGCGGTGGAGGTTCACCAGGTCCCTCAGCACTTGAGCGGCCGTCGTGGGGCCGTACCACTCCCCCGGCAGCTTGTCGTACTGCATGCCCAGCTTGACCATGTGGTGGATCGAGTATCGGCACTCGATGTCGGGCGAGTCCGCGAACCAGCGCAGCAGCGTCACGTACTTGTCGGGCAGGCGCGCGTCGATCTCGGCCTCGAACAGCGCCGGCAGCCGCCAGTCGCGGCCCAGGAGCCGGCGCTGCAGCGCCTGCCCCAGCAGCATCTGCGCCGAGCGCAGCATGCAGCCCCAGCCAGCGTCCGAGGTGAAGTCGTAGGGCGTCATCTGCGGGAAGTCGCGGCGGTACGTGAACCACAGGATGGCCTCGAAGCTGCGCTTGTAGGCGTCGAAGTCCGCGGCCGCCACGTCATCGTAGCGCCGCCCCAGCAGCCACACGGGCGCGCTGAGCGCCGCGGACGGCGTCACGTCCAGCGCCGAGATGCCGTGCGCGAACTGCGCCATGCGGCCGAGCAGTCCTCCGCCCAGTTCCCACGCGGTCTGGCCGAGCACGTCCCAGATGGCCGCGGGGTCCAGAGTCGCCGCCAGCGTGGACGACACGGTGACCGACGGGCGCGTTGCGAGGTACGACGAGAGGGAGCAGACGGCGCGCTACACGATGAGGGCGGCGGCGGCGTCTACGGGGCGGCAGAAGAAGAGATAGCGCTGCGCGAAGCTTGGCCGACGGTCGGGCGCGGCTCAACCCCAGTTCAATATCGAGAGCTGAATGAGGTTGTGGAAAGAAGCGCCGTCTGATAATCGATACCCGGCCTATAGATCGAAAATAACAGGGTATGTGGACAACATACGTTACGTACACCACACCACATTGCAGAGTGATTGTCGTGCGCACTCAGCCATCCCCTCGCCAGATTCAATGGCGCGCGCAACGGCCGAGACGCCGCGCTCGGCGGCGCACGTGCTGTCGTGGCTGCGGCGCTGTCGGCGCGAGGAGCTGCCGGTGGACCGCGTGCTGGAGAATGTGCGTTCTGTGGCGGGTTTGGTGCCGCTCGGCGGGCGCGTGGGCGGCTCGGACGGCGCGACGCCGCCCGCGACGCCCCGCAACTCAACGCTGACGCTGTTCGAGGCGGGAAAAGACGCGGACAAAGGCGCGGAATCCACGACGGACCAGAGCGACGAGAAGCGCTGGAGTCTGCTGCTCTCGAGCTGCCAGTTGCCGTCCTCGGGCGGCCAGCAGGAGCTGAGAAAGGCCCTCGAGACGCTGAACAAGGAGGAAGGAGACGCCAAGCGCCTCAACGTGGAGCGCCTGAGGCTCAAGTTCTTCGCGGCGAGAAGGGACTTCTTCGCTGTGCGTATCGAGCTGCTGCGTGCGGCCAGGAACCCGCAGCACCCCAACGCTCAGGCGGCCGAGGAGATCGTGGACGAGCTGCTGAAGGAGGGGCTGAGGGAGGCGCTGCTGGACGAGGTGCACGGCCGCCAGTTCTACCAGCCGCCGAGGTTTACGGGAGTGGGAGCGGCTGAGCGCAAGGCGCTCGTGGCCTGGGAGGTGCAGTTTCTGGAGGAGGAGGCGCTGCTGAGAGAGCTCTTGCTGCTGACGGTTGTGGCTTCTAGGGAGAAGGCTACGTTGGAGAGTGCTGTGAGGATCGCCAAGACGGTGCATAGCTGGGAAGTTCGCGTGTTTGAGGATGTGTTCACGGCCAGCACTCTGACGCTGCCTGTGGCGCAGCAAGCGGCGAGACGGTTGACGCAGGTGGGCGTTTTGGTGGCTCTGCGGTTGCTGCACTCCACGGGGGCGATGCAGGATCATGCTGCGTTGCAGCAGGCGACGATGACCTTCTTTTTGACGGATTTGTGTGCAACCGACGCAGTACCATCGCCTGTCCCCGGTGTAGTGCTGCTGGCTTGGGCCACACTTCTGGGACGACAGTACCGTGCGATTGCTGGATTTAACAGGCAAAGTGACGAGACGAAAGAGTTGGAAGCCATGCTGCAGCAGACTTTGGGGGCGGCGGAGCAGCAGCACAGTTTCCACTTCTTGAACGCGCTGCTACGTTCGTTGGTGTTTGGTAACGATGATGGCGACTCTGAAAATGCTAGCCGCCAGCCATTCTTGCAACCTTTGAGTCTTCACACGAAGACGCTGTGGGCGCTGCCAAATGTAGCTGCCTCGACCGGGCTACGCGGTGCAAATGCGTCCCAGTCACAGTACGAGATCAGCTCCGATAGCTCTTCAATCTATCAGCATGTGGTGGCTGCATTTTTGGATGAGATGTTGGCGTCGTTGGGCTACATGGAAAATCTTGATGGTGCGCAGCAGCTGCATGCTATGGTGAAATTTGTTTTGCCGGTTCTCTCGAATGCAAGTGTTGCCCAGCAAACTCTTGGAATTGACGTGGAGGACAGTAACATGACTGACGTGATTGCTAGGGGAGAAAATGCTGCGCTGCGTGAGTTGCTGACCAAAACTAGGGCCTTCTTGCCCAATAGTTTGTTATCGTGCGTTCAAATGTTCACGGCGCTGTGTTGCAACTACCAGGAAATCTCGTCGCCGGTTGTACTCCGTCAGGTCTTGAAGTATTTCAGTAAGCCTCGTGCGGGTCTGGAAGGCCAATTGATGATTAGAAATGGTGTCCGCCACCAACTGCCTCCCTCGGAATACTATCGGGAGATTACGAGCGGTTCCGACCGTATACAATGTACTCGCTCGTTCGCTTACGAAGGCGGTGAGGATCGGTTAGTTGTGCCTGCAGAAACTGTTGGCGTAATTGTGCGCTCTGGAGATGAAGTACAGGTTGAGTGGCTAATTAACGACGAACGTCAAGCATCTGTGTGGGACTTGCTGATGCGAACTGCAGACAACTTTGTGGCAGGGCTTCAGTCCGGATCGTTTGCAGACTTGCATCACACAAACGCAGAAGATGTGGATTTGCTCACGGCGTTCTTCGAATTCGTCACACAATTGGGCCAGCAACACGACGGCGGGCAGATCGCGTTGGAGGAGCTTGAGCGCCGGTGGGGCGAGGCGAGATTGCGCCGTTGGTGGATTGATCACAAGCTTCCGTCTTCGGAAATTCACGTGAACCAGCTCTTGAGGCGGCAGGTTTCGCTGCCAATTTTGCTGACAGCGTCAAGAGAAAACCTGGTATCGTGGGGCATCCGGGACCGCTACACTCGAGAGCAAATTTTGGCGAATCTGGTCGACATTGAAGACACCGTGTTTGGGGGCTATTTAACATCCGTTAGGAGCAGCCCACCGAGCAGTATCGATCCAGTTGGTGCGGATGGAGGCATTCACATGCTTCGCTTACTCTTAGGGGTGCTGGATGGATTTTTGCATGCGTCCCCTAGAGGAGCAATTGATGACACGATGATGGATGGCGAGAGCGTATGGTCTGGGGCCCACTTTCACTTAGTTACAGCTTCATTTAATGCACTCCGAACACTGCTGGCTACACCTGCAGGCGTGGATCTGCTCACGAGTTCATCTCTTGGCGGCGGACAAGAAGAATGCGTCAATCTAGTTGTGAAAAGCGCGAAGAAGCTGTTCGAGTTGCAGGAGCGAATTGCTGGCGAGTACCCGGTCGTGTTAGCAACGCAAGACATTTTCATGAGCGTGGTGCGATGGTTTCTTTCCAAAGAAGCGCAAACTCTTGCAAATTCAAGCCCCTTGGACACAGACGAGGGATACCACGCGTTTATCGCTACCGAGAGGCTTTGGCTTGTTGGTGCGGCCGAGTTTGCGATCGAAGTGTTGTCCACCCACGAAAGCTGGAAGTTTATCTCCACCTGCGATCGATGCGAGGTCACGGAACGTTGCTTCCGCTTGTTATATGTACTTGTGCTCCCGCGCAAATACGTTAATGAGCGGAACGACATGATCCCAGCGTTCGAGGTAGCTCTGCGTGAAACGCTATCAACCGATATGTCGCTTCTCATGAAGCTGCTGCGTTCATCATGCGCCGTGCTATCGTCGATGGAAGGCCACATGGGTAACTGGAATAGTATCGCCACGGCCGACAATGAGGAAGATGACGATGCATCCACCTCTAAAAAGAGTGACAGTGACGGCCACTTCCCACTTGTCTACGAAACCGATGTCGACTGTACTGGAGTGAATCTAGTACGACTTGAGTCTGTTGTGACGACGAGTTTGCGATTCTTGGCGTTGCTTGTTGGAAATCAAATTGCGTCTGTAAACGCACACGTCGCCCGAAAGATTATGTTGACGCCTATTGATGATGGAGGACCGAAGAAGCGCAAGTCGCTGACGATTGTTACGCTATGTGGTGGATACCTCGGGTATTCTGTGGAAAAAGCTCCTGGCATTGCGTACTGGTCTCTGCAGATCTTACAACAAGCTGCCGTCGTGCTGGATTATCGCATGGAACGACAAAGCCGTGATCTGTCCTCGATGCACTCTCTGGTTGCTCTCTTTCACGGCGATCAGGACCTTCCTCTCGTGCGCGGAATGTTTTCGCGTCTGTTGCGAGTTTCGTCACCCCGGAACCTGGCGCTGCGAAAGGAGGTTATTGAGATGCTGACGTTGTGCTTAGAGCACCAACCAGGATTTTTGGCTCTGCTTCTGTTCGGTGATGACCGCAAGGGCGATGCTACGACCAGCACGGCGGATAGCAAGAATGAGGAGGATCCCTTGCCATTCGTGGCATTGTTGGAACGGTTTTTCGGAGCGTCAGAACAGCTTCTGGAACAGTCTTCTGATCTCTTCTGTGCCTTATTGACATTCCTTGTGCAGGTTTGGAAGGGTGCTCTTATCAACGGCCTTGGCGTTCACTTGAAAATCATGACGGCTATACGTGAGCGCCCCACGTTTTGGCCAAACGTGACAAGGGCACTAAAAATCCATATGCCTGTGGAATCTGTGGAAGAACGTGGATTGCTAGACATGGAGTTAGCTGCGGCTACTGTACAAGGCCGCGGTGATGTGGAGAGTCCATCAGATGCATACACCGGACGGTCTAGCGCGTATGGGTATTTGGCACGCGGTCTGATCCTTCAGTTGGTGTCGTATGAGTGGCATAATAAGGCCTCCAAACAAGGCGGCCATCCCTTGGTTGACGTGCTGGAATCCTTCAGGAAGGAGGGATTGTATTCGCATTGGCTGCGTACCTTTACGCGTTTGGACTATTTCCCTGCTCAGCTGGAGCAATACGCATCGACGATTCGCCGTGCCTGCAACGTGAACACACCCACAACGGACCTTCTGAGCGATGTTCCAGTTGGCGCTATCTCGCTTTATCTCGATGGCCTTATTTGCGACGCCAACACGCTTAAGTGGCAGCTCGGTGCAGGAGGCGACGTAAAAAAACAAGCTTCTCCCGCGGATGTTCGCGCGCTCAAGCTGGTTCAGTGGGGCAACCTGCAAGCGGCCTATCTGCATGCGCAGCTCTTCTCGTTGGCAAAGTGGAAGGTGTTTATGGAGTTGTGCAGCTTACAAGCTGGAAACGCAGCGGAGTCGAGTGACAAGGCAAGTGAATCTACTACACCAAGAAGGCTTAAACGGAAAGAATCCATGATTTCTTCGCCTCCTCGCAGCAGTAGCACGGGTAGTGCAAGCAGCTCTTCACGAATGCGGTTAACGGCATCAACGCATTCTGCAGCCAGTTCGGAAGATGTATTAGCATCCTCACGGTTTACTGGAGATCGCACTTCGTTTGGGATGATTCAGGTACTAGCGGATGTCATCAAGACCAGAGTGATGCAACACGAACGCCAAGACGAATCGCTGGACTACTTCGTGCTACTGCACCTTTATGACCTCGTGCAGCTCTTTGTTTCGATGCTACATCATCAATTGTGCCTTGTTGTGCGCAAGACACGTGACCCCAAGCTGTCACAGACGCGGCAACGTCTTGACGGTTCAAGCGCCGACCCCAACCTTAAGCTCAACGCCGGAGCGACACTTGAGTTGCTGGGTGTTATCGAGAAGACTGCCAGCACCGTGCGTGACTCGATGGTCCAAATTGCCCGCGAGGTGGAGTTGGTGCGGCTAGGCGGCAATGAGAACAGCCTGTCTGCCTCCTCGCTCGACGTCACAGCGGTACCTTTAATTTCACGCCTGGTGACTGATTTTGAGCAGAAGGTGGAATCGGTGACCGACGAGTTGCAAAAGTCGCTTTTTACTGCTGCGTTGCTTCTCATTCGTCACTTGAGTAAGATTAACCGCCAGAGTCACGCCACTGATGGAGATACAGACATGGAAAGTGTGGGTCCACCCAAGCCGCTTTTGCAAGTCAAGTTGATCGCGCACTGCATGAACGCTATCACGCTATGCGACAAGCGACTAAAACCCACGGCGACTACTCAAGCTCTTTTTCAGCTGAGTTGGTGCCTGTTTCAGGAGGTTCTCGACAGCTTTGGGAATGTTGAAGCGCCCAAACCGAAGCTGGTCATGGTAAGTGCGATGCAGCTGAATCCGTTCGTGAAGGAGTTGGAACACGAACAGGAAGGAATTGGGGCACTTTTCCACCTCCTCATTCAGCGTTTCCGCCCTTCATCATACAGCAAGGAGGTGGCTGCAAGGCAAGAGGAGGCGTGCAAGGTGTTGCGAGGTCTGGCGGCGGTTGCGTGGAACCCGGATAATGCCGATTTGTGCCAGCGTGTGATGCTGCGAAACGGCAGTTCGTCCCGATTGCGATTGCTGTCGATGTTAGCCACTCAGCTGCTACCCCTTTTGAAGGCTCAAATGGAGCGAGAAGAAGCCACCAGTAACTTGCGCGGCTACGTGCTATTGACAAGCGACAACATGGAGGAGGATCAAGAGACGACTCTGGCGCGCTCTGTTGCCCATCGCGTATGGTGCCTCGTGCTTGACTTTGTGGGCGGTCTGCTGCGTCTGCAAGCCAATGAGTCTGACGAAGTGGACGTGTGGGATTTTATGTCGCACGCGGAATCACTATTACTTGCGGCGGTGGAGCCTTCATCGAGTCAGCGGCTGACCCATGCCATTGTTGCTGAGCACCAATCTTTATTGCGGTTGCTAAGCGCTCTCAGTGGGTCCGCGTCTCGACGGAAGCACTGGCGCCAAGCGCTCCCGTCCAATGCTGTTGTGCTAATGGAGCAAAGTCGTCAGATCGTGCGCCGCGCTTGCGTACTTCTTGGTAGCTCGTCAACGGAGATCAGTCGACGTCGCAAGGAGCGTACACAAAAGGCAAAATCGCCAAGCAACAAATCCGCGGCGGTGCTGAGTTTAATCCCCAAGTCGCCACGGTCACCTCGATCCCCGTCAGCTTTCAGTTACGCCCACCAGACACTTCTGCACGACCACTTACAGGCTGCCCGGGATGTGGAAAAGCGAAACCTGACTGTGTTCCACCGCGCGATGGAGACGGAACTTGTGGAGATTGTTCGTTTGACAAGCTTGCTCCTGACCAAGTGGACCAGTTCTCTGACGGACCGCGACGCCATCCTCGTAGTGAACAGCGTGCGATATGTCGATGAGGAGCAGCTCGTGCCTCTGCTGGCGTTCATCCCCCCTAGCGAAGCGCGCTCGATGAACAGCGATCTGGGACTGGGCCATCTCAGTCTCGCGATGGACTTCATGCTCGACCAGCTCCTCGCGGACGAGGACACTCAGCCAAAGAACGCGAAGTCGATTGCAGTGTTGGCAAACGCCATTGACACGTGCGCACTGCTCTTCCTGAAGACGTATTTACTCCATGCAGAGCAGTTCGAGCTTGTAAAGCGCGACCGTGAAGAGCTCAGCCACTTCGTCCGCCAGTTCACTGCCCGACTGACCGGAGACAAGAGCGGTGCTACCGTCGGCATTGACTCGGAATTGCTTGGACAAATTCAGAAGGTATGTGCTTCGATGTAGGAAGCTGGTGGAAATTTGCGTGGTACTGACCTCTCCTTTTGGACAGATTCTCGCCGGGTGAGGGCTGCCAGGAAGCGAATGATCAATTAAGTCGAGTGAACTAGCATTCACGTTGCTGGTTGCAGCAGTTTAGAGAGCTTTCCTTCTCGATGAAGTGCATCGTTCCCCGTAAACAAATAACATCGCAAACAACAACTCATGGCATGTAAGTCGAATCTACTCCGATGAACTCTGAGTTTTGTCCCCAACACATGGTCTCGATGAACATGTCTGGATTGGGGATCCGCTAAGGAGGGCCCTCATCGGGAGGGCCCTCGTAATAGAGTCGACATTTGGGAAACAGCCGGTTGTGACAAACGCACATTTGGGTCATTCGTAATACCGTAATTTAGATCTCATACTGCATATGGCTGATTATTGAAGTTGCCGTGTTGCAAAGTGGACACGAGATGTACATGTACCGACGATTTTATGTTCGTTCGTATTCTGAAGTGCATCATGCAAAGTGGTATTTACCGGTACCCTTAAACACTGCTGTCTAGATCTATCTACTCCACGGCAGCTAGCGCACCCGGTTTCGACCTTGTCGATAATTAGATCGCGCTGGTTCAGCCAGTTGTAGACCTGTCGCTTTTTGGCTTTTAATTGGGCTGCCGTGAGCGAAGGGTAGAAGTAGTTGACTGTGTCGCGCATTTTCTCCATAGTAACGACTGCGTCGTAGAACTCGATCACGCTGAGCTTGTGTTGAAAGGAGACAGCAACACGCTTAAACCGCTTCGGCAGCTTTCCTGTTCCTGTTGTGCGTGTCCGCCCTGCCCTCCCTGCTGACCTGAAGAGCGGGACATCACTTTCCGCGGACTTGGCGTGCGCTCCATGGTTGTTCTCTTGCAATGACTGGCCCTTTTTTGCTGCATTTGCTCAATTTATACCCTACGTATTATGAGAACTCAACTGATGAGCTGGGTAAATGGCGCGATATCATTGACTTGTGTCGAGATCCCGCAACCGGGTCGTGACACGCATAACGAACGTCGTCTGATTGGCTAATATTCTCATCACTAAAGGGCAGTACTCACTGCGGGGCCATTGTCGTGCATCTTCGACGGGAACGGTGGCGAGGTAAGACGAACAAGCATCTATCGAACGAGCTAATGTGCTGCGTCATCACGACTAACGCCTTGTTAATGCTGTTAACCTCTATTTGGTGCTTCTAGTGCGCTTCCTGTGACGAAACAGCACACGCCTCGCCTCCGGATTCGACTCGTGGATTGCCTGCCGGATTCGTCGCAGTGTGGTTACTGCTCGCTCGGGCCGTTGCTTCGCCGCATGTGTAGGCGGCTTCATCGGCACATGAGCATTGCCGAGTTGGTAGAGATCGTCGGCTACACGTTGTGAAGTTGGTCGCTGCATTCTCGCCCCTGTACTTGCCTCCACACCAGCGACGATATGTCGGACCAGCACCGTCCATTCCGAAAACATCTTGCGGTTGGTCTTCGTGAAGTCAGATGGCTGCAGCGCCCGGGTATCCGGCAGCAGGGTGGCCAAGCCACCAAATACGCCACACACTTAGCGCATCTAGCTGTGGAAAAGCAAAATCCTGCGGCATCCGATGAAAGCGCCCATCTGATTGCCAGTGATAAACGATGCTGGTTGAACTTGATTGGGCTTCCTCTTGCTGAATGCGCTGCTGCGCCTGCCATAGTCCAGGCTCCTCTAGCAGTACACGGATCGTCGAGCTGAGGTTTTCTCGCGTTACACTTAGCTGACTCACGCATTTCTCGTCCAGTAGCTTAGCAAATCCGTCCAGCAGTAGATCCGGGAGATGGTTCAGCGCCTATCGCGTCTTCATGTGCTGCTCAAAAGGCAGTGCAGGCACTTCGAACTTGGTCTCCATCGAGGCGACCACGGGACGGAGTCTGTAATACAGGTCCAGCAGTAGCAGGGAGGCACAGGTTGCTTGTCATCGTCAGCTGCTTGTTGTGGGTTGAGGGAGTCAAATTGTGAGGGCCAGTGAAGGAGGAGGCCAATGACAGACGCATTTTAAACCAATCAGAGTGGGTAAATAGGTGTAACGAGCACGCGATACGCATTCGTGTTCAAATCTCTTGACGGAGGCTACAGCCATTGCTGGCTGGAAATTGGAGAGATCAAAATTTGTTGATTGAAAACGTAAGATGTCCAGGTTACGGGGGCTTTAATTTGTCTATACTGGCGATACTATAATTGGAGATTGGCTAATGCCTAGTATGAAGTAAGAGATCTGTCTGTAGTATGAGATCTAAATTACGGTAGGTGCATGTACCGAAATCGTCGGCAACGCTCTGTGGAAATGATACCGTTGCCGACGATCATAGCTCTACTATAAATAAGCATCCGAGGCGAAGTTTACTTTAGACTACCAGCAAATATTAAGAGGGATTGAGTGCTTGCCATTTTTCAGATCTCGTCGTGCTGATGGTGCGCCCTGCTTTCCCAGCGTCTGGCTACGCCGTGTTCTACCTGCAAGTTTCCCAAGCGACTATTGATGAGCCCTACCTAGAAGCAGAGTCTACAGACCTGTGTTTCGAGAAGTAGGCGGAGCCGCAGATGACATGTTCAGAAGTCAATCGCGAGTTCAGCGCATGACACCTCCCCTTCGACGTGTTTCCGCTGCAATCCTTGAGGATGCAGCTACCCGCGACTCCAACTACAGACCCTGTGCGTTTTCGTACATGCCCTCGCGACCTGGGGGCTATACCAGGAACCTCATCAAGACTATGCAGACGAAGTGCGAGCTGCTATGCATGCCCGCTACCCGGGCAGCATTCCGGCTAGTGTTAATATTGCCATCCAACCCGGGACAAGACTGCGGTTGTTTTCCCGCTGCTTTGACTTTGCCCGCCCTGAAATGGAGATTGAATTGGAGATCCCTACTGGATATGCAGTTGTGTTTCGTGACGATTTATTTCATAGTGGTGTGGGGTATACTACTTCCAACTATAGGCTTCATTGCTACTTGTTTTTTTCGAGACCTTGGTTGGAGACCAGGCGTGGTGTCTAATTCGCTATTAGTATGCCAATACTGCGGTCGCACCGAACGAGTTTCGGCCCGAATTCGGCAGTACCGGTATTTCTGCCTGCAGAACCCGGATGGACTCGCGCATCGTATCGCTCGGCGGGAGCAGCAAAATCGCCGCGGTGAATATCCCTGCAACTATTGCAGCCAAGTTTTTGAGGTGCAAGGCACGCTTCGTTCTCATATTTTGGCTCAACACGGTTCGACCTCTAGCCAGAATGTTTAAGCTCAAATACATGTTCACTTAGGTAAATTTACTTTGTTTTTGGCATGCGCGTGCGAATGCTTTTTGCTTACAAAAATACTACGGCTTAGCAGAATATTTTATATGACAAAGCGTACTATCTTGGTTACGATATGTACACTTTAATTAATTTGAAACCTAGAATTGTTTTAAAACACGCAGAGACTACTGCCACGGTCTGATGTATACCTCTATCACTTGTGCAGCACAAGTGATAGAGGTATACATCAGAACGTGTTAGTGATGCTAAAAATTTAATCGTTACGATTGGGTATCGCAATTCAATCGGATTTGCACGATCTCAAGTCGACACGTTCCTCAAATCGATCGAATCGGCTGAATCCGATACAAATCGAACAGGCTTAAGACCTGCGAGATTTGGTTTTTCGATACATTGGCATTAAACTAGTTATAACAGGTAAATCATTAAAACGCGAGTCGATACCCAGTCGATTTGAATCGAATCGATTCGATCGAGTCGGGTCGAAGTGCTTATCCGGATCCGGATACACAATCTGGCCTTGAGCCCCTCCCTCGTTGCGACCGTGACCAGGGATGGCCGACGCGCAAGGCGACACTCTCGTTGACGACGAAGATATCCATGATGCTGATGATGAAGGCCACAACAACGCTGTAGAAAGATCCACTACCTCCAGTGAGCTGAGGTCACGCAAGCGTTCCGACATCTGACCATTTATCAAAGAGCTTGGTAATGGCAGATACTCCTGCAAGTGCTGCGAGCGTGAGGGCAAAACACAGGTCTGGAACTCGACGGCTCACACAACAATGCGTAACCATCTCAAGCAATACCACGGAGACGAGTACGGCGGTGGTACGGATGCAAGCACATCAAGGCAGACGGATCTATTCTACCATGGTTTCGAATGTATGGTGAAACAGCGCCTAGGGAGTGACTTCAGCAAAGCCGACGCCGATCGAGCTCTGGTTGACTGGGTCGTGACGAACGCTCAGCCATTTTTGACCGTCGAGCAGCCCAAGTTCATCGCTTTCTGCGCAACATTACAGCCGTCCTACAAGGTACCTTGCCGCCAGACAGTCCGAAGCCGCGCAATCCAGCGCTGGAAGGTGGAGAAAAACCTGACTCGGAAGGTCATCCTGCGCTGCCTCATTTTAGAGGATGTTGGTGCGAGTCATACGAGTATTACCACAGATTTGTGGATGTCCCCAGCGAAAAAAGGCTACATGGTGGTGACGCTGCACTGGATTGACGCCAACTGGAACCTGCGATCCGTCATCATAGGATTCATACGTGTGGAATACCCCCATACTGGTGTTCGGCTAGCTGACCACCTCCTTGACGTTGTGAAATCCATAGATGGAGCGCTTCTACTCACTATCTGGGCGATCACTACCGACAATGCTACGAACAATGTAAGCATGGTGCGGTCGATCAAGGCAAAGCTGCCTCATTCGAGATGTACTGAAGAAGCTGACGGAATCGATTGCGCTGAACGAAGAGCTGAAAAGGGTGTGCAAGGTGTTGAAGGTAACCTTTCGTCAGCCTGAACTCGACTGCGTTACTTGTTGGAATAGCACCTGGGAAATGGTGCTGTCAGCCATCCACCTGCGCAAGCCGATTGAGGAACTGCTCCACCGCATCCGTGAAGGTCACGAAGGTTACACGGACTACGCCATCAAAGCCGACGACCGGCTTGCTTATTCTCTCGGAGACGAAGCCTGGGCAATGCTGACCGAGTTCTGCAGTTTCCTCACACCCGTAAAGGCCGCAACTACCATGATGTCTGGAAAAAACTATCCAACCTTTGGCATGGCTGTGGTCGTCTTTACGCTCATCTCCAATCACGCTGCCAAGGTGGCGCTCCATGCTAACTCCAGCTTCACTGCAGACTTCGCGACGGCATTCAAGTCGAAACTAGACGAGTACACGACGCATGTAAAGAGTCGCGAAGCTCAGATAGCCGCTGTTTTGGATCCACGGGCATAGTTACTTCTCCCAAGCATAGTTGACGACATGGGTACCATCCGGCAGTACGTCTTGGACGTGTATGACTCATCCTACAAAGCCCGATTCGAGCACCAGCAACAAGAGGCAAGCAGCCTCGTCTCACCCAGCAGGAAGAACGCGACGCTGCACTTGGAGAGGCGTTATTCCAGCTGATCGACGACACGTTCGGGTCTGACGAGCCTGCCAGCTTCGAAGGAGAATCATTCGCGTCAGAGCTGGACCGTTGGATGGCTCATCGCGACAAAACAATGAATTCCAAGACGAGCAGCCACGAAGTTTGCGCGTGGATGAGAAGCTTGGACCAGTTTCCAAGAATTCAGCTCATGGCCCGTGACTTTCTTGCTGTCATGGCGACTTCAGTTCCTAGCGAGCAGGCTTTTTCAGCAGCTGGTACAACAGTGAGCAAACGACGCGCACGCCTCGGTGACGACGCCGTCACAGCCATCTCTGAGCTGCAATCGTTTCTGGATTTCAACGAAGCAACTCTCAAACTTGAAGCCGACGGGACCAGCGAATAGTCATTACCCACGCATCACCTCCATAGGGACCCATATCAAACCAAATACACGCTATTGATTCATCATCCCTCCAGTGCAATTCATTTCGACGACTCTGCTGTAGGCGAGGTTCGGTTCGAAGCCGTCTAGACTCAATAATTCTATCGTGAAGCCTTCGTTATCCATAGTTCTGCGCTGCAGAATCCTCCCGGAATCCACGACTACCACATGCGAGAACAAGATGACTGTCGACCAGTTCGACCTCGTTCCTCTCGCGCCGACCGTGCTACTGGCCAGAGCTCGTGTGGTCCTCGAGTTCAACTTGAGCTCTCCAAGTCCGGGCCATCCTCCAATCGACTACATAATATGTAGTACATATCCAACAAATCCAGTCCATTCCAGCTGCCCACAAAGTCGGCCCTATTCATGATCACGGGCGGGTTGTCGACGGTGGAGCTGCCAGCGTCCGCGAACGCCCGCATCGAGTACGGTAAGCACACCGACATGGCGCTCGTGAACCACATGAACAAGCAGCACCCGTTCCACGCGCCTCGAACTCGTACGAGTCTGTACTCCAACTTGAAGCATAGTTTTGATCACAACTTCCAGTCTGCCCTTGTAGCCATCGTCAAGTAAAACGCCGATGTCGCCCACGAGTTTTAGACGGCCGCCAACAACGTCACGAAGCTCGAGCAAAGCCCACATTTCTGCACCGAAGGAGACGGCCACCCCCCACACTAAGTCACCGACGTGCTGTGCACACCCCCAAGTTCGTCGCCGTCGGAAGGGTTGAAATCTTCACGGAGCAGAGTCCTCTGCCCTTCTAGAACAGGGGCACTTGCGTCTTAATCACTTGCGTCTTAATCAAGTGTAAGCATGTACATCAATAGCTCCACATAGGCTAAGCCTTTGTCGTGAACTGCAACTGCATCTAGTCCTGCGCTTCCACAACTTATGGGCTCTTCGTTCCCTCGTGTATGTTCTCGAAGTACGAGAACTCCAAGTACTCGTGAGAACCGCATGGTCGCCAGATTCAGGGGCTACTGGTTCACCAAAAGTGCGCCGTAATGGACTTCTGTTTCTTCCGCACCATCTCGAGGATGAAGAGACCGAATGTCGTGCGCAGGTGAATACCACCAGGGCACCTGGTCTCGCAATGACCAGGGCTCTGCCGGGGTTACCATGGGTATGGACCGCTACCAGGAGTCCTCGGTTGCTCGAACCCAAACGCCATCGGCGCCTGCTTCATCATACCATACTGCACCTAGCGCAGGAACGCCACCACAGGGCTCGCATTCACCTCCTCTTGAATCGACCATGCCGGTCTCCATCTTCGAACCAGCCTCTTCACGGCACAGCACGACCGAAGCCTCCACGAAGCTCAGTGAGTTGATGGACGCGTAATGCTTCTTCGTCGTCAGCTCAAACGACAAGTGGTCACAGACTCTCACCGAGGCCTCGGCAGCAAGCTTCAGCCATGACTTCGCCTTCAGGATCTCCACATCCTTCTGGCGCTTGGTCACGAAATCGTCCGTCGGCTTGTCGATCAAAAACATCGGCTCAAAGTCATTGAACGATCCGCGGATCAGGAACTCGCTGTGCAGCTCCACCAGCGGCAACAGCACCTCCTCCAGTTGCTCGCCCACCGTCTTGCGCGAAATGAGGGCCACCGTGCACGTTCTTGCCGCTGGCGAGATGGGGAGACTGCCGACGTTTGACATGCTCACGAATCGTGAGCATCGTGAGTCACGATGTCGTCGTCAGGCAGGAACGTCGCGGACGCCTTGTGCAATGCCAGAAGCTTGTACGTGTTTCAGGTGCACCAGGTGCAACAGGCCCAGCAGGTTGGCCTTCACCTCCTTCGTGAACACCGACCGGATCTGCGGACGCCACGGCACGATCGTCACGAAGTTGGCGGGGGCACCCTCCTCGTCCTTACTGAGACCCAACGCGGTACAGTACGCCACGATTTCCTCCTTTGTGATGCTGAAGTCGGCCGTGAAAGGAGACATCACTCTTTCCGTGCACGCCGCCTCGCACGACTCCTCTTCCTTGCCCTCGATGGTCACCCAGAAGTAGGGGTAGAACATCTTGTCGATGAAGCCGCTGCCCTCAGCGTGGATCGAGCATGGCAGCTCAGGGTAGTACTGGAACGCCATCTACAGCGCCACGACGCCAGTCTTCCGCCAGGCGAACCTCGTTCACCACAACGACATTCGACGCCTCCTTCTTCGTGATCTAAATTACGGGGCCCGAGATGTCGCTGGGGCTGTCGAACACGCGAACACCGGCGACATCGATCACGTACTTATGGCCGCCGGAGGGAGAAGACGCACCGGGATCACAAGCCACATCTTCTTCTCCACGACGTGAGTTGACACGATAAGCGCCTCCAGCCAGTCCTTGTCGCGCACGGACGCGGCGAGCGCCGCAATCTACTCGTCAGCAGACAGATCGGTGTCCTCCTCAGTGGATATCGACACCTCCACACTGCCTTCGCTCTTCGTGACCTCAGCACCGGCGATGTCCACAATCGGCTTGGCAGCAGCAACCGGTGCGGCAGCAATCGCATCGCTCTCCTTCACGACGTTGATGAAGCCAGTATTGATGCCTCCCTGAATATCCACCTCGGGCTCGTCCACCTCCGTGCCGTAGCGGACAGCCACGGGGTCCTGCAAGATGAACACGCGCTGCTCGTCGCACTCCGACACCGAATCCAATTCCTCCGAGTACCACAGAGAGTCCCATCTTGAACCTTGTCTTGGATTCCGTGTCGATCACAGGCACGAAGTTCGCCGGCTTGCCACCCATGCGGCACAGCTCCAGGAAGAAGTCGCAGTCCGGCACCGACATCAGCGTCGACACCGTCGCAGGGTACTTCGCAATGAATGCGCTCAGCGTTTCGCGCGGGTTTGACTTGAGCTCCGACTGGTCAAACAGTGCACCAGCGCTCTCGTGACGGAAACGCTCCTCCGTGCGCGTGATGAACTTGCTCACGCGCGAGACGTACGTGTCGTTCCACCCAGCGCTGCGGCTTGCCTTCCACCTCCACGTAGGTCAAGTCGACCAGTCGCGTCAACACGTCTCCGTACGACATCTCCTCCAGCTCCGTCGGGACAACCTCGCCCGTCTCGACGTTGCGCTTACAGCCGAAGTAAGGCTTTTGGTAGTCCGCGTTCAGGCGCGCGATGATGTCTTGCTTGTTCAGGCGGAGCACCAGCTCCACCTGTTCGCGCGGGATCGAGAAGTACTTGTCGTTGAACTCCTTCCACAGCAGCGCGCAGCGGTTGGCCACCACGTGGATCGGCTCGCCCAGCTCCGATGTCACCGTGACAACGCCGCCCACGACGCCCGTGTAGCTCGTCTCCCACTCCAGCTCCGACTCGATACCAGGAGTGTCCACCAGCAGCTTCTTCACTGCCGGCGCGGTCGCAGCCTCCTTCGCGACCATCACGCGAGAGCCCATCAGGATACCATCCGCAGGCTTCTTGTGCAGGTGGCCGCGCGACAGACTCCACTCGCCCGTGAGGTACTGCTACGAGTCCTCCCAGTTGCCGAAGCCAGAGCCCACCAGCAGCAGCACGTTCGACACGCGACGGATGGCGGCGTACGTCTCCTCCATCGGCTGGTGGAAGTCCTCGAAGCTGTGGTGGCCACCAGCGCGGCCGCCAGTCCACGGCAGCATCACGGTCATCGACGGCATCGCCGCGGCAATCTTCAGCACCGCGTGGATACCGTCCACCGAACCGGTCTTGAAGCACACCACTTTGATGCCAACGGCATCCATCTGCGACATCATCTCAAGCGCACGCTCCTGCGTTGGGATACCAGCGCCAATTGTGATGCTTTCGATAAGCACGCCGCTGTGGCGCATACGAAGAACCATGGGGAACTGGAAGCCTCACTGCTTCGCGTTCAGGTACAGCATGTTGATCGTGATGCCAAGACCAAGCTTTATCTTCGACACCAGCTCGTTCACCGCGTCCTCGAAGATGTTCGGGCGCGACAGGCCACCCGCCGCAAGCTCGCCGTGGAAACCCGCGTTCTGGATTCCTGCAACGAGGTCAATACATTCCAGGCTCGTCGTGGGCTTCATACCCGCGACCACGATGGGGGGCTTGTTCAGCGCGTGCGTGAACCTGTTGTAGAGCCCGCCCGACGCAGTCACATGCGGGCCGAACTTCTTTGCCCACATCACCTCGGCAGGCGTTAAGGTCGGCGTAGCGTCGATGAACTGCTGCAGGCCGATGTGAGGGGTGTACTTCGTCGATGTGCTCATGACGGGGTGCTTGGCGGTCGCCATCACCGCCTCGATGCCCAGGCCTTCCGCGAACTTGTCGCTCAGCTTCGCCACGCCAAGGTCAGGTCCAAACTCCAGCACGTGAGTCGCGCTCGAGTGGTGCTCCGCGATCTTTGCCCACGTCGCAGTCCAGTCAACGAGCTGCATCAACGGCATGTTAATAAGTTCATCGACAACGTCGTCCACCGTCTGCAGGTTGGTAGTCTCCTCGCTCGTAGCGTACTCGGGCAGCTGCAGCTGGCTGTCCTTGATGGCGCATTTGACACGCTCAACGTCCTGGACCTGCTTCGGCTTGGCCTCAGTCAGCAGCTGTGTGTGTGGAAAGGATCCAACAGCGGCAAGTACGGCAGCGAACCCGTGAGTGCAGGATGCGCGTCTGGTTGGCGTCGGTCTTCGCGAACAGGGCCTCCAGCGCCTGCTTCAGCAGCGTCAGAGTAGCCGCGAAGCTGGTCATGTGCATCATGGTGCGACGCTTGGCCGCCTCGATGACCTTGAGCACGTGATCCAACTTGCGAACGCTCTCGACCAGCATCGGGCCGGCATCCGCGACCTTCTTTCAGCTGCGCGCAAATGAGTCCGAGGGAGGCCGGTCGCGAGCCCTCGCGCTCGCTGTGGCGCCAGGCGCTGCTCTTGCTCTCCGGTCCCGCGATCCTCAAGAAGAACGCTCGCGGGGAAGCGCTCGGGTGAAGTCGTAGGGCCAACAGGGCGAGCGAAAACCTGCAGGAGCCGCAGGCGTGCCCAGGTAGTGTCAGCTATGAGGATAAAGAGAACACATATCTTATTGGTTCTTAATCGCTTGTTTTAAGCCAATTAGATGCTTCTGAGGACCTTTCTATATGAATCCACCTCTATTTATGATCTAGACTATAAGTTATTATAAAAGGTTTTACCTTTGTAATCACATATCGACGAGCGGATCCAATCGACTCGGAGTCGGCGTCGATCGGAATCAGGCGATTCACTGCCGGATCGGGTCGGATTAGTCGGTCGAGGCATCCCGTTGATCCGATTGGGTCGATTTAACACGCCTACTTGTGCTGGAACCACTGCTAGATTCTTCGCCTCGGTCGTTTTTACGAGGTAATTACCTGGCCGTTACATGCTATAAACATAGTTGTACCCGATACGACACTAGAGCTGGCAGTGCTTCTTCGTCTTAGCACCCCCAGCATCCTTTCACCCGCATTGTCGGCAGGCACTACTCTCAGAACACCAACATCTACTCCGAAACGTGCATTACTACCACATCCAGCATCCGACGTGGTGTCGGCAGACCAACACACTACGAACAACAACACCTATCCAGACGCGAGTATCGATGCCTTACCGCCACTCTGATGTTCACTACGAGGCAGCTTTTGTCGGCTGCGCAGCAAGTGAGTTCTCAGCTAGTGCCTCGGCTGGAGTTTCGGCCGGTGTCTCGGTTGATGTCAGTGACCTGGGTTTTAGCGTTCTGGGAAATTTCGACGTTGATAGCGATGGAGTAGCCGCTAGCGTGAACGCTGAGTCGTACCATGGGATTCTGACGACGACGGAGATTGGGAAAGTGATGGCGAAGACGAATACTCTATCATGGACTTGATACGAGAAGACTTCAACATCTCCAGCGACGTCCACGAATTCGACTTTCCTGACTTCAATTTGGACGATGATCTACCTGTCTGTGATGAAATAGATTCGGAGTTGGACTGGGTTGAAGACAAATTGCTGGCTTTGGTTTGTACTCATCAGCGTAATGAGGAGGAAAAGCGTCTCGACAACTCAGCGGTGGTCGATGCAGACGACGTAGCGCAAACGGAGTCCGGTGAGATCGGAATGAGTGGGACCGACCTCCGTATGGTGGACGAAATCTACATTCTTCCGCCACCACCTCAGCTTACGTACGAATCGCACGATGCAGCTGAGGCAGCGATACATCAGTGGACATTGGAGCACCATTACAACGTCTCTCGACGACGGGTTCGGTATTTACCTGGTACCAAAATTGTGTGGGCGCGCAACTATGAGTGCGATCGAGCAGGGTGGCCAAAGTGCACGCAGCATTTGGTGGTTAGCGAGCGACAGCGGTCCATGCGTGGCTCGAAGCGTTGTGGATGCCCCATGCGGTTAAAAATGTGCGCGGTCTCTAATTCTGACATCGAGGGACCTTGGAAAATTGTACACACTCGTGATAACAGTGAGGTACACAATCACCCTGCGGTAGACGATGTTCGTGTCCACGCCGCACACCGGCAGCGTGCTGCAGCAGGTCTATCGCTTACTCAACAGAGCATGGAAACTATTGTCGGTCAGACAGCTGCCGGAATTCCAGTGGCCAAGATTCGAGCGTCCATCCTCCACAGCACCCCTGGTTCTCTTGTGCTCCCGAAAGATATTGGAAACCTCAAAATGAGGGCGAGGAAGCAGGCCATGGCGACGCAGACCCCGCTTGAAGCTCTTTTTACTCTGTTGAACAATCACAATTTTTTCTTCAGATATGAGATCAACCCAGCCACAAACGAGCTTCTGTATTTGCTGTGGGCGCAGCCTGCTACACTTCGCCTGTACAAGTTACACTGTGATGTTCTGATAATGGATGGTACGTCCGAGACAAACAAGTACGACCTGCCACATCGCAATGACTGGAATGAATACTGTTCTGCCCGTGACGCAGTGTTTCTTACCTGGACAAAAAGACAATGACTACACTTGGTTTTTGATGCGATTTCGCGAATTGATTGACGAGCATGTTATCCAACTTCCATCGGTCAATCTAACCGATCGTGAATTGGCCGTGATGAATGCTCTTGACTCTGTGTTTCCTGAGGTTCCGTCACTAGTCTGCAGATTGCATCTGTACCAGAACGTATTGGCAAAGGCTCGCAGCGTTCTCGGCCAGGTTCAAGTGGAGAACCCCCTTCATGACCAAGATAAGTGGGAAAATACTTGGCAGACCGAGGTCTTCATGTCATTCTTCTATGGGGCAGTGGAAGCAAGCACTGAAAGTGACTTTGAATTGCAATGTGCGATTTTGAAAGACTTGTCTCCGGTTCTGGCGGCCTACCTGGAGGCTCATTGGTGGAAGTACAAGACTAAAATCGTCCGGTGTTGGACGAACAAGTACAAGCACTTTGAGTATCGTGATACCTCAGCCGTGGAGGGTACCCATGCCCAATGCAAGCGTTGGCTACAGGACAGCAATGGTGACCTGTACACCGTATTTACTCGGTTACTACCATGGTGGCTCTCTTCAGCAAGTGCTGTAAGCATTCGTGCTGCTCGTGATGCTACGATTCTACCGTACCTCTTTCAGAACGACAGATACACTCAAGTAGGCCGGATGGTCACGGTATGGGATCTGCGAGCAACTAACGAACTCTGGAAGGAGGATATTCAAATGCTGACTGGAGCTAAACCATGCCGTGGATGCACTGGTGTATTTCGGATCGTGAATGGGAGGCCCTGTCAAGCGGTCGGATGAAACTACTTCCTACGATGTATGATCCACACTGGTGGATCTACCGCGACCGGATGGAGGCTTGGCGTCCACGCATCCTCGAACCCGGAAGTCTTCGCACTAATCGCAGGAAAGCCCGATCGGATCGTGCCAACCATGGGGCAAGTGGTACAGCACGAGATCCCACGCTTGCAGAAAGAGTTGACCAAAACAATCCAGCACCAGCACCAGCACCAAGTTTTCTGCGAGGGATGACGAGCCATCTCATTACCAGTTCAAGCCAACCAAGCTTTTATCTCCACGCAATCACGAATGGCGGGATATTCCCAAGTAATGGGCTTGTTCATGTCACCACTGCCTACCAACAGGACAGCTTCAGAGTCGACGCAAGTCTGGCCGGGCCCTACCAAACGTCTCACGCACATCCACGCACTTGGGGATACGCTAACAGACACCCGTTTTAACTTTAACACGTATTCTATAAAGTCTACCTAACGTGTACAAGCACACCCACAACGTTCAGGGCAGTATGTACTACAATCGAGGTTGTACCACTGTACCATACAGAAGTTTCACAGATATGCAATTTGCAGATTTGCACCATACCTTGTACTTTAAACTTTTATAAGGGTTCTAGTGCGCAAGCATGTAAGCGCCAACGCATAAGTACCTTTCTCGTATGTTTCACTTTTAAACATGCAGGTAGATGTCGTTTATATTTTAGATGCAGAAGTGTTTCACTTGCGCGTGTTGCAAAAGTGTAACAGAAATGCACCTTGCAGAAGGGTTACACTTCTGCAATATACAAATATGTACCACTTCGGTATGATGCACTTATGCAATTTATGCCTTTGTAACACTGCTGATGCATTACTTATTAGTAAAATTAATAAATAAGCCTATCAAAACATCAGAAGTGTAGCATGGTTTCCGTGTTAACTTTCTCACTACAGGTTACGTGTAAGTTAACCTAGCTGACGGACTTCATCCGAAGTAATAGTGTGCGGATGTACACAAGCCCTCGGCTTTTTCTTGACTGAAGCCACGATATTTCCTTCGACCCGAAGGATACCGGTCGCATGAGCAGTAGAGGACACGTAGTCACAGGTTCGCTTTTTTGAGCTTGGGCCGCTGCGAGGAAGTTGAGGGCGAGGCGATGAGTTCACATGCGCCGAAGATGGCGTAGTATTAGCGGTCTTGTCGCTCATGACGGCCATCGAGAGGGCGGGATCAGCTATCGCTCCGTCAGAATTAGGGACCGGGACCGGCAGGTCTGGTTCATATGCAGAATGCAGCGAGGAGGCAGCTTCTTCATCCAGCTCAGGTTCTGCTCCCAAATCACCAGTACAGGAAGAATCCGATCCATTTACCGGCACAGCGTTGCCACCGGAGTCAAGCTGGCTCTGCCAAGCAAGGGGTCCCAAATACCTAGCATATCGGGGATTGAACGGCATTTGGTTGTCCACAGCCTCCTTAAATCTTGGGTTGACGCCGCTGTTGTCGGTTGTAAAGTCGCGCAACGTTGCCACGGCCTCTCGAGCCGAGTCTCGCGTCATTTCACGAGCTTCCATCGCTTCAGAGTCACTATGCAACAAATTATACGATCTCGTGGCAGATACATGAGCCGCCGTATCCCGCATCAGCACGAGTAATTTGTCTCGTGCTCCTGCCGAGAAGCTGCCAGCCACTTGCGCACCCAAGCACACAATAACCGCGGCAGCAGACTCAGCAACACCATCGGCATCACGCTTCCGAACAGCCATCGCCATAGCAGCCAGCTCTGCCGACATCGCGGCTCGCGCCACAGAGCCACAGAGCTGATTGCGCTGTCGTAGAAGCTTGGCCAGAGCCTGGTCGGCCGCCGACTCGGGCGCTTGAACTGGGGCGTCGCAGGTTCTACCAACGCGCGAGTCAGTCGAAGTGATAGCAGCGCGGGCTCGATGTGGGTAACGAGCGCCATCTTGGCGCTCGTCTAGTACCCCGTTGGGCGCTTCTTCCAGAGGGAACGTGTCGTCAGCAGTGCTCTGCAAGAAGCTCTCTCTCTCTCTTCTGGCGTTAGCGCTTTCCACTTCGCGCGCAGGGCCTTGCTGGCGCGATTGCTGAGCCATGCCTTGGTGACTGCAGCCTCATGCGCGCCGTCGAGCTCTTCTTGAGCGAAAACCTTCGCCTGGGCAGACACTCCCTGCCCTTGCTGCCCAGGCGAAGAAGGCGCGGTGGACACGCATGAGAGGTGGGAGAGTGCTTTATGAACCGAGCTCTCGTTTTTGTACATGTACCTATTACGAATGACCCAAATGTGCGTTTGTCACAATCGGCTGGTTCCCAAATGTCGACTCTATTACGAGGGCCCTCCTTAGCGGATCCCCTGGATTGCCCTTCACAGCAATTTCTCAAACTGCCGCTCGCAAACTTTGTATGCGAGATAATAATGATGGGAAACGGGATCGGTTTCGTGCAAGTCCTGGTTACTCTATCGCACTGGATGGGCTTGTTGTCTAGGTATACTGTAAGCTCTCTTCAGTTTGTTATCTGCTCGTTACCACTCAAGTGTCCACCAGCATGCGGCTTCAGTGCGTCGTGCTGTTTGCCGCGCTTACTCTTGTAGCAGCCACACATGCTCCTCCTAACGTTAAGACCGTTTTGTCCGCGGAGCAGCACGACATTCCCGTAAAGCGGCTTTTACGCCCTGGCAATCCTGCGGGCAAAGAGGACGAAGAGCGGGGAATCAACTTCAGTTCGGTGCCTGGATTCGAGAAACTCGCGAATCTGTTAAAGCCTAAGCCCGGTTTGAAAAAGCTTTTGAAGTGGGCGGATGCTAAAAAGCCTCCGGAGACGGTCTTCACTCGGCTACGACTTGACAAGACAGGGACGCAGCTATTCGATAACACCGACTTCCCTGTCTGGGCCGCATACACGCGCTCGGTCGCGCAGACCGACTCGGAAGCTTCCGCCGTTATGCTCAAGACGCTGGTGTCTCGATACAGCGACGAGGTTCTGTCGGGTATGATCGCCGCAGCGAAGAAATCCTCGAAAACGGAGAGCATCGCGACGAAGTTGGAGACTGAGCAGATGCGCACTTGGCTGGCGGCTAAGAAGACTCCCGACGATATGTTCCTGGTGTTCAAGCTCAACAAGGCAGGGGACGACATCCTGTCCAGCCCGCTGCTGTCAGCGTGGACCAACTATATGAAGCTGTCGAACAAGGAGAACCCCAAAGCCCAAACGACTTTGATCGCGACGATGACGAAACACTATGGGGATAGTGGCGTATCACAGATTCTTGCAGCTGCGAGGAAGTCCCCGGCAACGCAAAGCACGGCGAAGAGACTGGAAGCGGAGCAGGTCCAGCTCTGGCTGAAGAAGGGAAGGACCCCCGACGATACGTTCACGTTGCTATCGCTTGACAGGGCAGGCGACGACCTTCTCGCCAGTCCACAGTTCAACACTTGGATGAAGTACATCAACTATTACAACAAGGAGAACCCCGACGAGAAGACGACGGTCCTGGCGAAGTTGATGACCCATTTCGATGACGAAGAGCTCACCCCGATACTAGTAGTGGCGAGGAAGGTACCGAGCACGGAATCTACTGCTGCCAAGCTACAGGCTGAGCAGTTCAAGAACTGGCTGAGCGCCGATAAATCACCCGAGGAAGCCTTCACGCTATTGCAACTCGACAAGGCAGGAGACGACCTTCTGACCAACCCGCAGCTCACGAATTGGCTCAAGTACACGGAGAACTTCAACCTCAACAAAGAAATCAACGAACAAGTTACAGCAATCCAGGTTTTTCGCGCGCAATACGTCGACGACTCTCGCATTGCAAACATGGTCATTGCGGCGGAGAAGGTCCCGAATACGCAAGCAATTGCTAAGCGCGTGGAGGACGAGCTGTTCAAGGGCTGGACGGTTGTTCTCAACAAGCCGGACGATGTGTTCATCAACCTCAAACTTGAAACGGTTGGGGAAAATGTCTTCGAAAGTCCGTTGTGGAGTTTCTATACGAAGTTCTTGGAGAAGTACAACACGGCGAACCCCGGCAAGGAACAAACGATGATTAGTGGATTAGCTCGGGGCTATAATGACGTTACGTTGACGAATATGCTCCTAAAGGCGAAGGAGGCCCCGAGCACCAAGACTCTGGCTACGAAATTGGAGGATGAACTGGTGCAGTATTGGCTGGCGGACAAGAAATTGCCAGATAAACTCTTCGGCTACCTCGAGCTTAAGGAGTCCGTGGACGGCATTCTGACGAACCCGGTCTTTAACGTTTGGCTCAAGTACTTGAATGCGTTCAACGACAAAGCCCCCGTCAAGAAAGCGTTGATGATCGATACGCTTAAATCGGCTTTTGGCGATGTAGCTGTATCGAATATGCTGTTCGCGGCAAAGAAGGACCCGGGTACGGCGAAGGTCGCTGCAACGCTGCAAACCGCTCTGCTCAGCAAGTGGGTTCTTGAAAAGAAAACGCCAGGGCAAGTCTCCGCTATACTGAAGGAAGGAGCTGGTGCCGATGTGAGCGCGAAGTTATTGGCGACTTATTCCGCCAAGTTCAAAGTCAGGTGGGGGTAAATGAAGGATTTCTAGCCTATCAGATAGAGAGCACCTCGACTAAATATATTTTCCCATCGAGCACTGGACATTGATATTATTTGCTTGATGATTTTTTTACGTAGAATACTGATCAGTATCTCATGCAGTCGTATTTAGCATTTTGGTGAATGAGATGAATTCATTCTTGAAAAGCTATCTTTTTTCTGTTTTTTTTTACTGAAAATATATACTTAGAGCTAATTACTTGAAAGTCATCCATATTGTGTAGCTCATCTGAGCCCGAATCCGACGTGGAACATGTACGCATCGAGTTACGCTCCGATTCTAGCAGCGTACAGGTACGACGTCCCCTTTAGCATTTTCTCGCACCTGACCGACAGCAGCTCATTCTGCTCGATACGAGCGACAACACTGAGCGTAGTTGACTCATCTCCGGCCTGCACGTCTTGAGACCTTCACGTCGAGTTATCATTCCCTTCAGAACCTCAATCTCTTCTTCTCCATACAATGACTCGTGGTTCACCAGCACCGTGATCTCATACAGACCAGGAACGCGCACACAAATGAGTCCGTTTCCGCAGACAACGCCCTCGTGGCCCGAGACGTCAAAGTTCTCATTCTCCACCTCATTCCAGCAGATGATTGAGCAGCCTGGCTCAACATGGTGCTTTGCTTCCACTTCCAAGAACGGCTGAGAGCAGCCTTTTGGGTCGGGTTTCGCGAGCTTTACCCCTTCCTTCTTCTCTTCTTCGTCACTTTGACAAAGATCCACCACATCTGATCCGTCCAGGTTGACAACTGGGTGACTTCCGACGCGATAGAGGTCGATCTTGTAGTTCGCGGAGCTCACCAACACTCCTCCACACCCAATAACCGCATCGATAGTTCCAGCGTTAACATTCCCGTCTTCAGAGGCAGCGAGCTTGTGCGACGCGTTGAGCCCCGAAGAAGAATAACTGAGTGTATATTGAATCACCTGAAAGACAAGATTAAGATGGATAAATGCTTATCCTGACGCCCGGAAAGTTCACAAGCTACACACCGCGATATAATCATCAATTGACGCGTTCGGGATAGAATTTTCCGGTGTCACGAAGTCTTCTTTTTTCAAAAGATTGCTTCGCCTGCGTATATAGCATTGCGATTTTTTCCTTTTAGTGGCGAAAAATATAACAGGAGAATCATGGACCCTTACCATTGCCATTTCGTTGCAACATCCTCTAGCCACACGCTGAGATGTCCGTTCTTGAATTTGAGGGCATAGTTGTGGGTAGCTGTCGGGGAGGAATGGAACGAGGTGAACCCCTTAAGTTCGTAGTCTCGGGGTGGGGCGGTCATTGCGCCTCGAGGGAAGAAGACAAAATTCCAAAATGAAAAATACGGCAGTTGGGTATGATCAATCCACTTCCATCTTGTTGAAAACAATCAATCTGAGGGTATGCCGGGATCACGATTGATACATTTAGACTTCGTGGCCGTAGCCACCGTTTAAAGTTTTTCTCACAAAGCAATTGGTAGTCCACAGCTCACCTTCTTGTCCGGTTTAAACCATGGTTGATTCTTGTGATATCGAGTTTGATGGTGTTACGGCGTTCGGCACGGATTCGGCCGCAACTTATCGCTACAGCATTGCGCTCAAGGACAGCAAGATGAACTTTTCTGTGGAGGATCGATCGAGCAAGAAACAATGGTACAGTACGGTAAATGTGAGCTTCCTATTCGAGTACGCCAGGTATGAACTGTTCTTCTTACAGGTTTAAGGGCGGCTTGGAAGTGACGGACTATGTGACGGCTGACAACGTGATCACTGGTGCGACAGCTGCCGATTATTTCCAGGTACGTTGTTGATCTGCTGTATTTTCATTTTGATATTTGCGCCTCATATATTTTATCAATCATATTTTCTGTAGTGCTTCAAAGAAGCGCTCTCTTGCGCCCCCGGCGACGACGGCAAAGACTCTCAGCGCAAGTTAAGAATTCTGGAAAGTGGTGATCTGGAACTGGAGTTTGTGCTTACCCTCCGCGTCCTCCGTTCGACGTGGGAGGCCAAGTACACGTTTCAGCTGGCCCCCGTCTCCATGGAACGCATCGACATTCTGGAGTCAAAGCTGCGCGATCTGCAGGATGCCTTTGACAAATGCGCACTTTTTGGGCAACAAGACGAGCGGAAGAAGCTAGTGATGACCAATTCTGTCGCTGAGTTCGTGGCTTTGGCCACGTACCCCGACAGTATCAAACTGTGCTGGACTATGCCAGGATCGAACGGTTCTGCCACGGAATACGCCTCCTGCTCTTTTTGTGTCAGCGGCCTTAATGGCGAGCTGATAATTGTTAGCCCCGGCATATATATCGTTGGAGCGACCGTGAAGCGCAACGAGATCGAAGACGGGGAGTGGACTGACGATACACTTGAGGAATCTGGAGACAGCGAGGACGACGACGATAATTACGACGACGACGACGATGATGACTACGATGACGACGACAGTGAAGAAGGATGTGCTTGTCTGCTGAAGAACGGCGAATGCATTCAAGTCGACTACTTCAATGAAGAGTGCTGCGTTGCGTCACTGAGCCATTTTGGGCGGTTTGAACAGGGGGACGAGCTGATCATCACCTGTAACCGCAAGCTTGCTGGCGCCTCGAAGCTGCACATTTTCCGCCTGGCGGACTAGTGTTGCTGCTGCCCGAGTGAAAGTATGTCGTGTCACTTTGCAGTTCTATTCACGCACCACAGTCAATACTTCGGGTTACTTCTTGCTTTCAATGAAATTCAACCCCGAAGGTTCTTTCTATTATTTTAGTTTTAACACAAAGTGCCTGTAACAAACCGCCAATATTGGCCCTTTTAAACGGAATTTGAAAATGCTACTTAATCCGGTAGTTTATTAGCCCTCAATAGTGCTATTTGATGTATTGTGGCTTTCATCCGTTTTGGCAAATCGGGTAGTCCAAGATCCGATATATCGGGCTGAGGGAAGCAAACTATATCTGGCCCGATTTGTGTCTGGGGGCTGCGAGTTGCGAAGCAGGGGCCAGAAATGCCGCTTTTTGCAGGGACCGCCGCGAAAATATGTCTGGGGCCCTCTCAGATCGAGGTTGCAGCGGCCGTAGATGATCACACAGGCGTTTAGCTGGCCATAGTGCTATGAAGTGGCTATATACAGTGTACTATTGTCCCCAATGTCTTGCAGTTCTACTGCGTCATGAGAGGTGGGGAGGTATGGCCAACTTGGAATGCCTCCCCTCTGATCCTTATGCTACCAACTCAGGTCAGATATAGCTAAATTGGACTAACCGATCATGTAGGAGCTCCATTTTATATAAATCGGACTCCGAGATAACACATCAAATCGGGCGGCAAAATGTTAATCGGGCGGCAACACATCAAATCGGGCGGCAAAATATTTGAAAACCACAATAAGACTTTGCTATTATAACAAAATGAATCCCATCGGGCGCATTTGTATTGTTGGCTTAGCATTTGAGAACGAGCTCGCCGAAAAAGACGTCTCTGGGAGACGACGCCGTGCGCGGTAACGTCAAGCGCATATATCGCACTTACAACAGCATTGTAGCTCTGCTTTACGGCCTTTGATGCCGAAACTATGTCAATCTTCTAATGAGACCTATGTGAACACTTATGTCAATTTTGAGAATGATAGCATTACTCCTTCAAGACCCCCTCCGTAGTGAGCATGCGGTCTGTTAGGGGCATTGCGTGTTAATACTTCAAGGTACATTGAGGCCTTGAATTCGAGAAACTGCAAAATATTGATGCTCATTTTTTGGGACTGTATATATATACTACAATAAGACCCATATAGGTATACTGTATATTTATTGTATCCGTATACCACTATTAAAATCCCAAAATATTATTTTGGCCCCCCACCCCACCCTCCACGGAATGCCGACTTGCGAGCTCCAAGTCGTGCGGTCCGTGCTGCGGCGTTTGCCGCCTCTCGAGCCGCTCTACCACCTCGCCCCCATTGTCTCCCAATTCCTCGGCCCGGCGCCGACTCTGTCGCCTGTGCCATTGAACTGCTCGACTGGATCTGGGAGAGCAGCTGCACCCCTGGCCAAACTCGAGCTAGGGGGTGGTCCCTCTGTAATTATCTACGGTCGGATCCAAGTTATTACCGCTGGGAGTTCGCCGAAGCGTTAGAAGTTGCCGCTGAACGCGGTGATTTAGCGGCGGTGGAGTGGCTTTTTACCCACTTTTCCCGTTGCCTGGTGCCGGTCAACGTGGTCGTAGCGGCCGCGATAAATGGGCACCTTTCGGTGCTGCAGTTTCTGTTCGAGCACGACGCCGGGGAAGAATACCCCATGTGCTGCGGTATCAAGTCTCAGGGGATGGTGATTGCTGGACGGAATGCGTTCCTCAGATGCCACCAGACTGGAGGTGGGCTACTGGATCCGGCAACGCCGTCACCTGGGGAGGGCACGCCATGCTGTACGCTGTGCAAGGGGAGCACTCGAGCGTTGCGTGGTGGATGTTCACACAAGGGTTACACGAAATTGACACGGAGAATGGCGACGAGAAGGCCAAGATCATCGAGGCTGCCTTGCAGACTGGCGAGGTGGAGTTGGCAGCCAGACTGATGTCCCCTCACGACTGGGAGGTGGAGTTCACGAACCGATGTCCCGTTCCGAGTGGAATTAAACTCATGCTGGATCGCGAGTATTTCCACGACAACCGAGACGCAGCGTCGTATGCGATATGGGCTTTGGCTCGGTTAGAGGGGCATTTAGACTTGATGCAGGGGATCGCTGCCGTCTTCGATCCGCCTCCGATTGATGATAACGCGTGGACATCGAAGTGGCGGAGGGCTATTGTGGAAGCTTGCACACGAGGGGACCTTCCTATGCTTACGTGGTTGGTGGAGCACCCGACTGGGCGATATGTTTACGGAAAGAGCCAGGAGCACGACGAACTCATGATGAAAGCTGCAGAGCTAAGCTCTGTGGGGGTGTTGGGGTATTTGTACAGTCAAGGAATTTCAGATGTTTCTGGTCGAGCTGTATACCATGCAGCGTGTAAGGGGAACTTGCAGTCCGTGAAGTGGCTTCTCAGTCACACGACATACGCCAAGCAGGATCCCCCCGGATCAATCGACTTTGTCTTTGAAGGCGCTGCCACGCATGGGCATTTGGAGATTTTGCAGTTTTTGTTCCCATTGGATTCGTCTTCGGTTCCCGGGTACTTGCCTGACGTGACTCGGGCTCGCAATCCCATGGCGTTGGCTGCGAAATCTGGCCACCTAAACATCGTAAAGTGGCTGTATGAGACTCGACGAAGCGGGTGCACTGATGCGGTCATTGATGCAACTGCAGGTCACGGACAGCTACAAGTGGCTCGTTGGCTTCACTTGAATACGGCAGCTGCGTGCACGATAAACGCAGTGGCATGGGCTGCTCGAGACGGCCATTTGGATGCTTTAAAGTGGATGCACACCGTTCGATCCGACGTCTGTACTGCCAAAGTCTTTGAAAATGCCGTGCACGGCGGCAATCTGCGGACTGTCTATTGGCTGGCGAGACACCTACCAGAATATTTCCTGACCAGGATAATATGTCGTGGTGGTCAGAAGACAAGTTCGAAGTGCTGCTGTTCCTGTTCGAGCGTTGTTCGTTTATATTCACGCCGGATTTCATAGCTACGGCTCGACGCGAGGTGTTATTTTGTCCCGAGAAGGTTACTGATGTGGAGGTCGTCAATGTACATTTGGTTAGCTTTTGTAAGTGTAGCTTGTGCGCCTAATACTCACATACGGATTCCAGGGATTTCTTTCCAGACATTTCTGTATTCGATGATGATTCACTTTATGCTTCGATTACGTAGTCAGATGTTGGCTTACAGAATACTCGAATGCAGTGCCAAGCGCTATGAAACCCAACCATTTACTTAAGTATTGCATGTTTAAGAATCCCTTCAGGTATATTTTTGTTGCTTTATTCACTTTTTTTGTAATGGAATGGAATTTAAGACAACCATAGCAGCAACTCCATGAAAATAATGAATATGTCCACGAAGCTTGGTTTCACCGATGCACTAGACCGCAGTATTAGTCCCCCAGACGGGCAATGAACAACGTTGAGGTGCCCGTAATCTTGTATGTGGTGGTGACCGTCAGTTCGTCGCCCTTTTGGAAACGAGCAGTAGTCCTCAGGCTGCACGCTTCAACCAAGAAATCCACTTGGAGGCACTCTCCATTTTTCAGCAGGCGGGCATTTTGGTCTTCGTTGTCCATGTCGTTACCGCTGTGCAGAGGCGCACATTTCACAATCGGGCAGACATTGTAAATGCCCGAACGACGGAATGTCAACACTCCATCGCCATAGCAGGTGACGAGCCCGTTTGGTTCCACGGGTGAGGTCCAGATCAATGCGTTACTGCTGAAGTCCGTTCGAGTAGATTCAAGCTCTACGACAGGATTCGCCGTCGCCTCGATACTCTGCAAATCCATTAGCTGTTCTTAGTAGTGGGTCATGGAACATTACGCCGGCAGTTTTTTTCCTTACCGTAATTTACCACCGAGAACATTCCTGAAACCTTCTTTCGGGACAGCAGCGATTTCAACGACGACCCCTCTTGACCACTTGAGAGCGACAGCCACGTCTTTTCGATATGAGGGTAGTTTTAGAAGACCATCTTGCTGCTTCTTTATCAAATGTTTTCTTTTTTAGTCGATACAAAACCTTTTCACCGACCTCGAACTCGTTTTCAATCCTCTCGGCTTCAGCCTGGTTGTGGACTAGTTCAAATTCAATTACCTTACCTTTAGCTTTGTTGGGGGTCATACCAATCGTCCGATGGGCGTGAGTTCTCAATAACAGCAGCTATGAGCTTCTGGGTTAGTCGCTTTGGTTCGATTTTGACAAGGCGCTGCTTCAGAGTTCTATTGAAGCGTTCAATTTTACCCATTTTGGCGTGATCTCCAGGCTCATTGTTGAAATGGTCAATTTTCTTAGTTTTGAATAATTTCTGAGCCTGTTGGTTCATGAATTCTGAACCATTATCGGTTGTGAGAATGTCAACCTTATGGAGGCGGACAAAACCCTAATTGCTGCTAGTACGGTCGGGCCAGTTTTGTTGGTTAGTAGTTTTGCGTAGCCTAGGCGAGAGTTGATGTTGATCGCAGTCAAGATTGGTCTTTTCTCCCAAAACGCCAAGTCCATCTGCCACGAATTGGGGTTAGTCGATGCGATTTTGAACCCATCGTATCGCTTCTTCTGCTCCTGAAATCGCTGAATATCGCTCTGGTTTGAGTATTCCTTGACGATTTTCATCGTAATCTTCGGCTCCAGTTCTTTAGCCTTCTGGTACAAGGCTTGGGCACCAACATAGCCCGTTTTGGGGTCATAGTATATTTTGGACAACAGCTGATCCATCGCTCTATATGGTTATAAAACAAAAAAATCCCCTGCCAGGTAGTTGCTTATATGTCGAGCGGTTCGGTGGTGATACCATCCGCAAGTACACGACGCTTGTCATAATAGTAGTTTAGAGCTGTTTTAGTCTGGGTATACGTAATGATTGACTTACTCTCCTCACTGAGTCTAAACCCCTTGTTGGTGCCCTGTAGCGTGATGCGATCGCGAACAACTGATTCAAAGCCATCTGGGTTGAGGACGTCGCCATTACGGCCACCACTCTGCTGGACTCCCTTTGCTGAAACCTTGACCTTGTAAGATTCGTCTGGTAGGTAGCAAATGTAGTTCTTAGAGGACAATGATACCATAGCATCACCAGACCACTCATCCTTGAACAAACCTGGCGTTCGGCGATCAAACTGAGCCATCTCTTCGCTATAATCACGTGGGAACCACTCGTACTTATGCTGCTGAAAATGCTCACCAAGCTCGGGCTTGATACACTCAATGAATGGCTTCTCACAGCTGAACGCAATATAAGCCGAGTCTGTGTCCATTTCTTGGTACTGGAATTCCGAACGGTCGAAGTAGAAGTCAATGCAATCATAGTACAATTGCAACATACGGAGCTCAGCGAGCTGATAGATTGCAGTCGATAGATGAATTGGGTTCTTATTGTTGAGCTTTCGCTTCTTCATAGTGAATTCACATGAATCATTCAGCTCTTCCATTCCATGGAAGGTGAAGTGCTCAATCTTGACCTTGATTGCCTTATCGTCCGACTCATACCTGACCTCCTTGTGCTTGCTCATGTCCATGCCAGATCGACCAAACGCACTATTACCAACCAGTTTCATCATCTCAGCAATCATAGCCTTACTATTGCTACCCTCACTAAGCGTTTTCAGCTTAGTCAACAAGTCTAGAACCAAATGAATCTTAGGATTGGTTGTCGATTCATTCATGAATCTATCGATAATGAGCGCATCAAATTATTTAGGGTTCGTAATGATTTTTTTCAACTCTTGGACTAAATCATCCATATCAGAGTCAGATACCTTCTCAATAATGATCTTACAGATGGATTTAACATTTTCATCGCCCTCTCGTCGCGCACTCGATACGGCTTCCATGAATGGTGCAAATGCCTTGTGAGAGCTAGCCTTGATGAAGCTGTAAGTCTTGGTGATCTCCATACCATGAGAAATCTACCATTTGAGTAGCGGTGCATAAATGAGGATCTTCTCACCAAAGTAGCTCCCGATGAGTTTGCGAGCCGGCTTTGCTCGGCTTTGCTTGCGCTCCTCGTTGTACTCGAACATGTGCTGACCGATGACACTCCGATCGCTGCAGTCGATAAGGGTGTTCTTGAAAATTGGGGTCATTTCACTGAAGTAGGGTTTGAGGTGCTCTGGTGTACGGATATCACACTTGAGGAAGCCAAAGATCTTGTCATTTACAATATCATCGACGATCCCTGTGTATGCTTCGATGGTAGTCAACCGTCCACATGGCATCTCATTACCAAGAGCCCACAAATACAGAGCATTAGCATCGTAGCCGATGATCTTTTTGCAGAGCCTACCCCCTCGAATCTTGGTCTCGTTGCGTTTCGCGTATCTGTTCAAGATGATAGAAGGACCACCAGCAATGTTCGCCTTCATCTTGGTGTAGATGTCCTTCTCCTTTCTATCGATACTGTACACCAACCTGTCTGAGTTGAATTCAAGTAGCTTCTTGTGGCGGAAGCCCTTTAGCGGCATGTTCTTGCGAGCAACGTTGCATCCCACACAGCTGATCAAGATATTACCATCGATGTGTCCGAGCTTGTTATTGATTCGGTCAGCCGAGGCAGTATTAGCTGTGAGTTGCTTGTAGCATAGCCCACACAGGTAATTTTGTCGCTCTAGCAAGTCGTTGAGGTGTTCTAGCGTCATATTGAATTCACGATCGGCATCAGCATCCTGGGTCTTATATCCACTTAAGCAACTAGCGGGAAAGTCAAACGCTTCAGCAGGCTCCTTATTTGGTTGCTGGAGGTTGTTGAAGCACGTCTGATACATGACTTTCTCAGAGAGACCAGGTAGCGACACACCATCAGTGAAAATATCAAGTTCGAAACGTTTGAATAGTTCTCGCTGGGATTTGATGGCCTTGATGAAGGGTACTACATCGAGGATGTTGTACCAAATGAGTAGATCCTTGATTGACTTCATGTCATAGTGTTCCCAGACGAACTGTACCCGCACATAGTCCTCATCGCTGATGCTAGTGCTACGAAGAGCACTGTCGAACGCCGACTTAGGAGGGACTTCCGGCTGACTGAGTACGTCAAATGAAGTAATGTACTCGTACGGGAAGATGCCTTTTCCTAGGCCACAGACGCATCGAATCTTGTCATCACACTTGCACTCACCGAGATATGTCGACAAGTACTTTGCATAGCTGGTGCCTGCCGGAACAGTTGCTAATGTCAAGCATTTTCATGTCTGACGTGGCGATGCACATGTAGCTAGGGTTCTTGATGACTGATGTGATGTTGTCAGTACCGATGACTGCAAACAGGTCCGCCTTGATAAGGTTGATGTCGTAGCGTCCAGAGTTGAATCCGAATACTGGTACCTGACCAATGCACTGCTTCAGCTTGCCATAATCCGAGCGCTTCTTACCGAATGTGAGCTTGCTGTGGAAATCGAAGAAACAAGCAAACTCCTCGTTCTGAATCCAAGCATTGACATCATCCATCTTGTACGTCTTACCCAAGTCTAGACCAGGAACCTCAGCGTCAGTCAAACCATGGACGTTGATGATTTTGCGGAGCAAAGACTCGTACTTCGAGACGTTGTACTGCTGAATCTTAGCCGCAACTTCCTTGATGTACTGGAACATATCCTTGAGCAACTCCTTCGGGTCATCGCTGACAAAGCATCGCACCTCCTCAGTCAAGCTGTCGGCCACGGAAACAGACACAGGAATGTGTTCGTTTGTGAAGATAGTATTCTCTCCGATTTTGACACCCGTAGGCTTGAGGATAGCCTCAAAATCATAGACAACGAAGTGATCGATGTAATGGTCAGCATCCTTGATGGAGTACTTAGTCAGCATGGAACGAATGCTGTTCGGAGCGGGTTGGTAGATGGTTGGCTGAGCTGGGAACGATTCGATGTTCACGAGTTCGCATTGGTTCTTAGTGTGGTTGCGTAGCTTATCAGAGCTAACAAACACCATCTCACGCGTAGAGCATTGGTACTTCTGCTGGAGCATATCAACGTTCGTGATGTAGAGAGCGTGATTCTCGTGCGACAGGATGTTGATCGAATCATAGTCCTTGTCCGAGCAGCGAATGCATTCAACCTTGCCCGTCTCAACATCCATGTTGAAGACGTTGATGTTCAGCTTGAAGCACTCCTCAAGCCCATCGAATTGGAGAATGTCGATAGGCTTGAAATTGCGGAACAGACCCAGAGTGTAGGTGATCTCTTTGTACGAACAGTACTGCTTGAAGGCTTGTTTCACCAGAGCCTGGATTCTGCGAGGATCCTTCTTGGCTCCCTCCTGCTTGTGAAAAGCAATGCAGTGGAAGTCACACTTGTTGTTCGTCTTGGGGAAGTTGATGACGTGCTTGTTATCACGAATCGCCTTAGGAATGACAGCCTCGCCATCACCCAGAGCATGGTCGCGTTGGTAGATATAGATTTTGAAGCCAGTAATCCCCTTCACCATGTACCCGGAGCTGGGGTAGTTGAGCTTGTCAGCCAACTCCATGGAGCGAATCTCCGAGATCACCTTCTTACGAATATCAGCCTTGCTGTTGATAGCTACAGGAGTGCTAAATACAGACGTGTTGCTAATATTCGGGTGGAAGTAGCGAGTCTCGCTGTCATCAGTTCTGCTGACAAGCTTGTATCCAAGAGCGATGTTGACCTTGAAGGCAGACTTCTGGGTTGCAAGCACGTTCTCAAGCTTGTCGTAGAAGTCAGCAGGCTGGATTCCCTCATATAGGTGCGACTCCATGTGTTTGCCTTGGTAGAAGCGGTACTTACTGTCTTCCTTGAAATCAACAGCCAAATTCTTTTGGAGCTTGCCTAGACTGATCTTGTACTGCTTCGCTACCAATTTTTGGTTGATGGGGTGGGAAATGTTGCTAATGTATACCATGCGCCCCGTCTTGCCACGTACCTTAATACGGTAGCTGCTACCCCATCGGATTGGGTCAATATTTAATCTCTTAAGACCTTCAAGCTCGTATGCGAACATTGCTATATATCGGTGGCTATATTATTCTCCGAAAAAACGACTTTATAATATTGGGTCTTGTATCAGGATTGACTTTATATCATAGGCGACATTTTATCCGAGGAAAAAAAATTAATTAATTAAGTTCGGTTTCATTATTAAGTTCGACTTCACCATCAATAAGTTCGGTTTTGGGTTTACGCTTGCGAGCTCGAATCTGGTCTCTGTTCTTGTCATCGTTGTCTTTTTGATAAGATAAACGGGCTTCGCGTGTGCGCTGGTAGTAGCGCTTCTGCGCTGCTTTGATTCGTTCCTTGCTAGCTTGGTATTGCTCAGGAGAGTACGCCATCTTTGTATATTACTAACTTTATATTTATCAGGATCAAAGTATGTCAAGAAATCAAATACTACTTCGAAGTATTTAACTCGGAAGCCACATTATTCCATTCAATCGACCGCAGGAGTCATATCCCAAAAGCTTCTCCAACGCTCCGCATTATCGTCGTGCTTCCACCTCATGCACAAACAAAATGTTTCTGGATCCTCCACGTGAACAAACGTCTTCATCATGAGCGGATCGTTCGTCGTGGTTGATCCTCCTTTCAAACGACTGAAAACGCGATCTGTGCACTGAGCATCCAGAACCTTCACGAAGACCTCGACCTACACGCAAATGTCAGTAAACTTACACACACCAGAACTACGCGCTCACACAGTACCTTGCGTCTGTTGCCAATGGATTGATTCTCTTCAACAGATCCGGGTAGCATGTTGACGATGGGAACCTCAATGCTCATACCGTCGAACCAACCATGCATTTCGCGAGAAAGCGCAAGCCTGTTGTTTGAGTCGCGATCGTACTTGGCGAATTCCCGTTTGTGGTCTCTGCTTTGCTTTCTCGACACCAAATGGCAGCTTTCTGCCTTGCCGTACGGTAGGAAGAACTTGTCGTCCTCAATCCGCTGAAAACGAAACTCGTCAGTCGATGAGTCCAGATTCGAAACGCTTGAGGTCAACGATATCGATGAAACTGTGTTTTGAGGAGATTCCGAATCGTCTGGAACGTAGTCGCAGTAGAAGACGCGCTGGAGATCAGTAGACACAGCGTTAGCTGGTGCAACACGCGTCTCAACAACCTGGTTAGTTAACGGAGAGCCCAGCGTTTGTGGCCCAGTCCTTAAGTCAGTTTCGAACAGCAAAGCAGCATCTTCTATAAAAGAAACAGAGTTAGCCCTCAATGAAGCAGTATTACGATGCAGCGACAGCATATAGAAGCACGTACTTGTCTCGAATAAAACATGAAAACACAATTTCTTGTCTTCATACCAAAACGCGACATTCTTGTTGCCGATGCAGCGCGTAGGATCGTAGTATCCAATGCGTAACGTCGCCATCCAGTACAGTTTGCAGCGAATTCCTTTCATGATCAACGCGTTTTCAACGGATCCAGTGACAAGCCACAATCCAGTTTGTGCGTGTTCTTGCTCCGGAACCACCACCAACACGTGGATTTGTCTCGACTTTGGAGCGCGCCCTTTCCGTTTGGTCATATTGTTAGCTGTCAACACGTCCTCAATTGTCCACGTAGCCTTCATCTTCTCTCCATCGATCAACGCTTGAATGTCCTCATGAATCTTTCCGTCCTCCAGATCCAGCGCAGCTTGGTCGTCGTCTGGCAGCCACGCGCCGCGGCCCTCGTCTTTCTTCGCCAGGAAGAGCTGCAGGTCACCTGCATCGATGTCCTTCAGCTTGTTCGTCTTCTTCGCCTTGATCGCGTCCTTCAAGTCGTCCACCGTGTCGCTCTCATCCACTCGCACCGAGAACGCGCTGCCCGCCACGCCAACGATCGCGCAGAAGAGCTTCACCATCTTTCCTCGAGCCGGCAGATTCTGGAATGAGGAGGTAGAATTTCTGGCGTACTTAAGCGAACATGAAGGTGTGTGACATAGATTTTCAACCAATGATGAGACGCCACGTCGCGCTGGTCCGAACTACTAGTAAAATCTGCCGGCGTAATGTTCTATTGGTTTTATCAATGTGGTTTGAACGAGCGGTCCCGAAACGCCCTAAGGTCCAAAAGACGTGGCTCTCGCTATAAAGTGGGCGTCGTCAAATCAACGTCTATTAGATCTGACCGGTTTAGAGGTTCTAAAACTACCCTCATATCGAAAAGACGTGGCTGTCGCTCTCAAGTGGTCGAGAGGGGTCGTCGTTGAAATCGCTGCTGTCCCGAAAGAAGGTTTCAGGAATGTTCTCGGTGGTAAATTACGGTAAGGAAAAAAACTGCCGGCGTAATGTTCCATGAACCACTACTGTTCTTCTTGCTCTTGTGCCATCGTCTTCAATTCAGCGATCTCGTCCTGCTGGTCGCGCAATTTTGACTCTAAAACGTCTATCCGCTCCAGAGAAACAGGGTCTAGCTGAAATTGAAACGTTGCATCCCAGCTCGAACAAAGCACGCGAAGTTTGAGCACAAGCTCGACTTCCAGGACGTCACCACTCAGCATACGCAACTTGCGCTGAGACTCGTTGGAGCTCCCCAAAGAGCAAGACAACGCTTTGTGGAAGCACTACAGCAAATAAATTCCAAAGGAAAGTCAGTCAAAAACAAAAACGTGTTTAGTAAAACATCAGCACTTTACCTCCAGATAGTCGACTGCAGATGCACCACTGATCGTGTTGTCTGTCGTCACAGAGTCCGCTTTATCGATGCCACCCTTAAACCTGCAAAGCATCAGTGGACCATTAGTCCATCAATTTGGAGAGGAAAAACCGACGGATTCGACGTGGTAGTACCATTGTTTCTTGCTCGAGCGATCCTCCATTGAGAAGCTCAATTTCTTGCCCTTGAGAGCAATGACGTAGCGATAGATCGTCGTGCCTGAGCCGTTGGGGAAGGCCGTAATACCTGCGAACTCGATATCGTCCGATAGAATCATGATTCTGGTCGCTGCAAATTGGGTTGTAAGACGCCAGAACAACTCCTGCTTCGTACTAATCTTACCTCCCATCACGTCTTACCTCCATCATACCTGCAAGGATCAATCCTAAATGCGATGAAAGTTAGTGAGCCAGCCTCGATTGATCGCTTCGGATGAGATGGAAGTATGTAGATTGATCTCACCGTTATTTTTCATTGCAGTTCTTCCCTGAAGCCCAATGACCGGACGACCGCGCGATTACGAACTTAAAGGATTCACTTCGTTTCCCACCTCGTGGGGTTCCCCGACAGCTACATACATCTATTCCCTCAAGCTCGAAAACGAACACCTGGCCGTGTGGTTCGAGCACGTTACGACGAAGCGTTAATGATAGGGTCGAACCATAATCCTATACTTGGTTTTCTACACTGAAACTAAACGCTCACGCTTTACAAAGGCAAAGCATGCAACTGAAAAAAGATGACTTGACGCGGGAGAATTCCCTTCCCTTCCGAACGCGTCGATTGGGGACTACATTGCGGTGCGTAATTTGTAAACTGAAAAGTGCTGAGCCTCAGGGCGGTACACAAAATAGAGTTAATCTACTAGAAAGCTCGTAGCTAAAGGGTTAAGTATACCGTTCGTATTTGCCTTCGAGCTGATTCAGTATATGCCCAATCTCCCTGCATGGACCACACGCTCACTGTAACCAGTGCCAGGAAAGCCACGCTGGAACTATCCGTGCGAGTAGGAATATCGTTAAGGTCAGCACAGTTTAAGATTCACCTGTATCGCGTTGACCCCGCCCAACTGTCAGTCTGAACGGGGCCAACGCGGGAGATGCCAAAGTGGTAACGAGAAGAAGGAGGAGGAAGCTACATGAGAGTAATTGGCTTCAAAGTTTACCGGGCACGGGAAGGCAGAGAAATGGAAGACAGAGAAATAGCCAATTTCATTAATAAAATCGTTTATTTTCGAGCATGTTAGCCAAATTTTTGTCAAAGTATTGATGTTTCTAGTCGTGTTGCCGTATGCATGCCAACAAAGTTGTAATAATTAATATGGTATTTTGCTCTTTGAGCTTTTTGGATTCATCTTTTATACAGAATGCATGATACAATAGAAACGCTTGCAGGAAAAAGTTTATTATATGGATCTGCACCTCGCACTGTGAGCTCGTCTAGCTTGGTTTCACATTAGTCGCCAAGACGGACAATGCACAACGTCGAGGTGCCCTCAATATCATAATTGGTGGTAATTGTCAGTTTGTCCCCCTCTTGAAAACGCGCAACCGTCTTCGGTGACACGAGGTTGCACTCTTCGGTCAAGTAAGCCGCTTGAATGCATTTCCCGTTTTTTAGTACGCACACGCTCCCGTCCTCCTCCTCCCACTCCTCTTCGTCTTCTTCTTCGTCTTCTTCTTCTTCTTCTTCAACACTACTATCAGCGTCGTCGTTGCAGGGCACTTGCACACAATTCACAACCGGAGAAACGATGTACAGGCCCGAACGACGAAGTGTCAAGACTCCATCGTTTTCGTTGACGCTGACGAGCGCGTGTGATTCAGGTGTGGTCCAGTGCACTGTGGTAGTGTTCGGGCATGTCTCGGTGGCCTTCAGCTCCACGAAAGTATTAGCCGCCGCGTGGCTGCTTTGGAGCTCCTGTACCTTTGCCTCTAGAACTGCAATCTTTTTCAGCTCATCCTGCTGGTCACGCAGTTTGGACTCCAAAATGTCAATTCGCTCCACGTCAACAGGGTCTAGCGCGAATTTATACTGTGCGTCCCACATCGAATAAAGCACGCGAAGCTTGAGCACAAGTTCAACTTGTAAAACGCCACCACTCAGCATATTCAACTTGCACTGAGAATCGTTGGAGCCATCCAGAGCGCAAGATAACGCATCGTGGAAGCACTACAACAACATTTCTCCAATGTTTTAGCTAAAGCAAGAAGAGAAGTTAGCTTAGACGTTCAGCGATTTACCTTCAGATAGTCAGCTTCAGATGCACCACTGATCGCATTATCCGGCGTCACAAAGTCTGCTTTATCCATGCCACCCTTGAACCTACAAATTGCCAGTGGACAATGCTTCAGTGGTCGCAGAAACACGTTCGTTTTACTTTGATCGTACCATTGTTTCTTGCTCGAGCGATCCTCCATTGAGAAGTTAAATTTGTTGTCCTTGAGAGAAATGACGTAGCGAAAACCCGCGCCAGAGTTGTTCGCGAATGTGGTAACACCCTCGAAGTCGATATCACCCGATGCAACCATGATCCAGATAGAGCCCAAATTGAGTAGTGAGGCGTTTGTAAGTGGTTGCCATAGCCCTTTGCGTTTCATATCAATCATACCTCCATCACGACTGCCAGGATCAATCCCATAAAAAATATGAAATTTTGAAAAGGATAAGTCGACCCGTTCGTAGGGGCAATCTCGCTAAATGATCAGCAATAGGTTCTTCACCGAGCTACTATCGTTGGGCGCAGCAAACGGTGCTACACAGAGAAGGAGAAATTACCGTGTTAGGTACAGACAACGACTTACAAAGCCGGCAGACACAAAAAGCCGGAAGACGAAGTCAAGCAAAGCTTAACATGAGCAAACCAGCCAATCAGATTCAATCAAATGACTTCATCTTTGTATACCATCTGGTTTTGTGTACTTTATATGCTTTCTTGTGTACTTTATGCAACACACCGTGTGTTTTATGACAGTTTTTACAGATTTGACGGGAGGGAATTTATCGTTGTTTTTATATAGGAGGATGGCATTAAGCATGCCGGCGTATTGTTACTTCTCGAAATGAGTCCTTGGTTCCTAGCCTAATATACAGGTGTCTGCTTGATAAAAAATGTTGGGGTGGACCACGGAGAAGCCCTTGGGCATCCACAGTGGGCAAAGAGCAAAAAATCGTGGGTGTTCTGCAATCAAGCGGCCGAGATTCGTCGAAGCCGGAAAGCGACAAAGGCAACGTGAAAAACTTGCCTGGTTGGCAGGGCTAGAGGAGCACAGTAAAGCTCATCAATGAGCTCCAAATACCGGATACACCCGATAGAGGGTCGACACTGCGTTGAGTGCAGGTGCGCCTTCAAACTGGCGCAGTCCAATCGGTGCTACACAACATTAGTGGGTCTCCAAGTTGCTCCAGGCAATCATCCAAAGTGAATACAAAAAGGTAAGATAGAACATGAACACGAAGAACGCGGGTTGCCAGAATAGGTACGAGAAAATCCCTATGAAGTTGGTGATATGCTTCCACATTCGTTCACAGTCTGGTTATTGGCGCTGCAGTCTTCGCCAGGAAGCTTGGCCCCGCCCCAAGAGATCTGTAAGCCGTGTGATCACGAAGCTGTCGCTGGTCCGCGAATATTTGTCAGGGTTACTGTGGCACCTTGTCTTTGCCCAACACACTGCATGTATCCGTTTGCTGACTATGTAGCCATCTCCGTATTATCGCGACTGCTAATGGGTGCACGGACATTAGAGCGCTTAAGCTACAGGACCAAAACGTCTTTCAGGACGAAAAAAAACTTCATCCCAATATTTCGTACCGAATTTCCAAAAGGGCGCTTAAGCTAATCACAACACAACGAATCAAATCACTTCAGAACTCCCTCCTTGCCAGCCATATCAGAGACAATGGAGAGCGACAGCTCCGGCGAGATACTCACCTTGGGCTCCACTGCGTCGCTTCAGCTTGGCCCAGACGACCCTCCCCTGTCACCAGTGCAAGGCCCTGAGTCTCAGCAACAGGCTGCTGCGCCCGATGATGTTGAGGATAGCTCCGAGGAAAAGAGCTTTGAGGAGGTTGACGAGCCGGAGCAGCGCTCCCGCTTCAACGCTACCAGCGACAAGGCTCTGTTAGCTGAAGTCCTCGCCACGCCTCCATTTGCTGCTGACCGTAAAACAGTAACAGGTGTGTGGAAGGGAGTGGCTAACCGACTAAGCTACTCTGTCAGAAGCTTTTACCTTTCGAGCGTGCAGGGACCGCACCAGTCTTCTCCTACGGAAGTATGCAGTGCGGAAGACGCGAAACGAAGCCGCTAGCGGCACCAGCGAGGTGCACACAGAGAACGATGACATCCTTGAGCAACTTCAGCAGCTCAAGAACGCAGCCGTGGCTGAACAGCAGGAAAATAAGGCAAAATCGACCTCTAAAACGCAGGAGCTGGAGACTGCAGGTCATCTCCTCATGCAGGCAGCAGAAAAAAGGTAGTCTCGTAATGTTGTGTTGACTGCAATGTATTTCGTCTAATTTTGAATGCTTTTATGTAATTGTATGAACAGGGTTTCGGAGAGGCTGGCCGCTGGTAAAGATTCAGGCCATCCTAAGCGCCGTCGTCTCTCCACGTTGATTGACCAGGAGCTTGAAGAAGCTATCGAGCGTAGGAAACTGGAAGCGGAAAAGGTCGAACTTCACCGAGAAGAGCTGCAACTTCGTCGAGAAGAACTCGAGCAGCAACAACGTCAGCAAGACCTGCTACGCGAGCAGATCCAGCAGCAAGCTGCTCAGACCGAGTCCATTTTATAACTATTAGCTTCAGCTATTAGTAACAAGTGAATCTAAAATGCATGTATATTGTGCTGTTAAACGGAGAAGTAGCTTTCTAGCGACGGAGGCTCCACGCCAAAATATCTGCTGTTATTGTTCCCTCCACGAAGAATAGTGATACAATTGGTCAGAACCACTGCTGTTTTGTACAGCTTTGCTACAGGAACTTCTCCCAAGCACATTTTTCTCTTGCAGTCGACACCAGCCCAGTAGTTGACAACCTGGCCGTACGGCCATTCCACGGACGTCCTGACCTTCGACGTGGAGGCGTTTATTGCAGCTTGAGCTGGTGTTAAACTTGATCCTTTAAAAGGAGATACAAACACATCGGTACGGCCGTACGCTTGGTCCCCGTGGACAAAGTAGCCTTGAAATCTCCCGTCGCGGCGGACTCGTTCCTCCAGTCCGGACTCTCGCAGCAGTAGGATGTCGTGTCTTCGGCCTTCAGCCGGCCCGTGTAGGTGGAAGATCATGCCGTCTGGAGTAACGACGGTCTGGAACTTGAGCGCATGCTTGCGTTTGTGACCACTATACACACTTTGCTGCCCCCGAGCCCCTCCTGGCCTGCAAATACCCCTAACGGTTCCGTCCACGAACCCCCAAATACGGTCCAACTCAGCGCCTTGGTCGTAGATAGCTTGGCTAAACTCATGCAATCTAGAGCTCACATAATCTAAATTCCCCTTGAGCAACCTGCTGCATCTCTCGCTAATAAAATCGATCACAAAGTAGAAAATACTACTTAGAGCGCTGGGCCACCGGCCGTAAATACCTGACATCTCCATCCATCGCGTTGGGTAGCAAAGTCTGTGTAGGGTGATGTAGAGTCCTTCGAGACCTCTACAACACGTACGAGAGCTCGCGCCCGTGCGAATGACGTCCGGCAGCTGAAATGAAGCTTGTAAACGGCGTAGATGGTGTTGGGTGAAGCGGTAGAATAGCTGGCAGGTGTCGTCCGTGACGTTGTTGATGTCGAATCGGACACGGGGTATAGAGTATCGTGGCGAAGCCTCCGATAGCAGTAGCAACACGCTGTGGCGCAGCCTGGATGCCGCCTCCCAGTCTCCATGTAGTCTCTTCACGCGTGATGTGTCCAGCATCTCCTTCGCCGCCTGGCGGTAAGCGAGTACATCATCGTCGCTGTCGCTGTCGCTGTTGGAGTCCATCGTTATGGCTAGACTATAGATTTCACACTGGCTCCGCCTCTGATTCCGTTTCGTCACAACAAGCTCTTACGAAAGTTGTCGTCCTCAGACAATGAGACGCAATCGAGAGAACGAAAAAATATCAGATTTTCTCAGATTTTTATCATATTTTCGTTTCGTTCTGAACTGCGCACTATTATTACCGTTCGCGAGCGAGCCCGGCTCAATCTTTGCGATTTGCTTTCGACAAAGTCACGGACCCCAACACCCGGTTGCGGCATCACCATTGCCTGCCAGCTTGAAGCCTCTGCGGATAAGCTACAGCGAGGTCAGACAGCGCCAGCTTGATTTTCCTGGACAGGCTTGGTGCTGCCTGACTTAGGCGCCAGCAGCGTTGAGCCCGTCTCACTCCGGTTCGCGTGTCCAACGGCGATTTTTCGGACCGCACCACCAGAATGACGAGCCGCGCTAACAGCGCAACGCAATCCCCCAGTTTGACAACGCGGCGACGTGCTAAGCCATCGATCGCCAGCTCATTCCCCAACTCGCCTCGCAGCCAACAGTGCGTCCTCTTCACTACTGCCAGCCAGCCATGGAGTCGAGCTCCTCACCCCACGCCAATTACGTCCCCGTGCTGGAGACTCGCACGCTGGAGACGCAGCCGAGCCTCCCCATCCTGTCGTCGTCCGGTGGACGCAGTTCCAATGACGTTCAAGAAGAGGACGAGCGCATGCCGCCGCTGTCTGCCACCAGCTACCAACTCCAGTCGCCCACGCCGCGATCGCAGCCTTCTACGACGAAGTACTCGGCGCTACCAACTCCAATAGGGAACCTGCTGCGGGCCTGGCTGGTGTTGCGCTGGCGCCTCTCACGCAGCGTCTTCGCCGTGCCACTACCTCTCCTGACGTCCAACTTCGACGTGAAGCTTGGAGACCTCATCCTCACGCTGCCACTGAGTGTCGCGCTCATTGCCGTGACCGCTCTCGGAGCTAAAGACCGAGACGTCGCGGGCACGGGCTCCCCTCCAACCATCGCCATGCTGTTGGTCTTCGCCTTCGCTGTACGCAACAACTCGGTGTTGTTGACACTTACGGGCATCTCGTTCGAGCGAGCGCTGCTGTACCACAAGATCGCGGCCGTCGTCACTATAATATCGACGGCGCTGCACGGACTGGCGTACGTGCTGGCTCGTGAGAACGACGAGGAAGAGGACCAAAGCAGCAGGGCGTTCACCGGCATCGTTGCCTTGGGATCCATGGTCGCGCTCTTCTTGTTCTCGCTGGGCCCGATCCGCCGTAAATTCTTCGAGTTCTTCGTGGATCCTCTTCATCGTGGTGATCGTGTTTGCGGTCATCCATGGCGCTGGGTTAGCGTTGGTTGGCGTCGTACCGTGGCTCATCGACATGCTCTTCCGTCTGGCCTACCGTCCAAGAATCTATTCCAAGGGATCCCTCCTCAACGGGAAGAAGGCCGACCCTAACGATGGTCCGGCAAACTTAGTCACGGGCAAGCGCCTGGGCGTTATCGCGCGTGATCAACTCTCGGTGTCGGCGTTGCCTGGCGACATCGTCGAGGTCAAGTTCCCTCGCGTCCGCAAGGATACGGGCGAGGAGTTCAAGTACGAGGCTGGGCAGTACGCCTTCCTGTGCATGCCGACCATCTCGAGTCTGCAGTTGCATCCGTTCACGATCTCGTCATCGCCGCATGAGCCCATGGTGACGTTCCACATCAAGGCGCTCGGCGACTGGACCAAGAAACTGCAGGCCCAGGTCTCCACCATCGGCAATGGAGCCAACGCTTCCCCGTTCGACGTGCTGGTCGACGGCCCGTACGGCAGCGTGTCCATTGACATCGAGAGCGTGAGCACGTACTCACACTTTGCGCTGTTCTCGGGCGGCATTGGCGTCACGCCCATGCGCTCGATCGTCAACTGGCTGCACCACGACGTCAACACCCAAGGACGTCCGAGTGTCGAGCGCGTGCACTTCGTCTGGTCCGTGCGCGACCGCGACACCATCGAAGCCATGGTCGGCAACAGTGAGCTCAAGCCCGGCTCGAGCTCCTACTTCCCGCACGACCTCGCGGCAGCCCAGAGTGGGGCATTCACCAGCGAAATCTACCTCACGCGTGGCGAGCGCGACTTGGAGGGATCCTGGGTGGACCAGCAGCTCGAGAGCTGCCTGCGCTTCAACTGCCGCCCGGACATCGCAGCCACGCTGCGCAGCCTCGGCGAGCAGGCCAAGCAGAGCGGCAAGCAGCGTGTTGCAGTGCTGGTCTGCGGGCCGTCCGCGATGGTGCGAGACGTGGTTGCCAGTAGCATGGCGCTGGGCAGGGAGATGAAGATGCACTTCGACGTGCACAGCGAGCTGTTCGAGTTCTAAGGAAGCCTCGAGAGGCGTTAAGTATTGTAGCAGCAGAGAGAATAGAGAGCGGTAAGACGGTATGACTCCATGCAACAGCACTTCTGCACTTTGGTCGTCATCGTGCGCGTGAGAAGGGGATGGGTACAGCCGCTTGCTCGATCTTCTCAACCGCCAAACTCGATAACGTTTGGTGTTGAAGTACGAACTAAATTACTCTTCTCACTATGTTGATACCGACACGAGTATCAGTACCTCTTTTCCATGCTATACCTGTAATATTGCATGTGGTGAATCTTCATCACACATCGTGTCGCTGATTACGACAGCCCTGTCTCACGCACGCCTATGTCGCCGTTGGCCGGGCTCACCTGGCTGCCAAACTGCACTTCCGCACTCATTCTCGAATTGGCCAGCTACTGCTCAAGCTCAAGCTCAAGCTCAAGCTAAAGCTTAAGCTAAGGTAAGTCGCGCGTGACGCCAAGAATCGAAGATCCCGATGGCCGACGTGTCGCCCAAAGCCAGCGACTTCAAGGAGGTCTCGACGCCCTCGGCGCCCGACCCGACGATCCCGTTGGCCACGCCCGTGCCCTCCGCGCCGTACGAGTCCTGGCAGCCGCGCGAGCACTGCGCGTGTCTGCCCGGCCGCCTGCAGACGCTGCTGCGCTCGTGGATGGTGACGCGCTGGTCGCTCTCGCGCCGCGTCTTCTCCGTGCCCGTGCCGGGGCTCACCGCCAGCTTCGACGTCAAGAAGGGCGACCTGGTGCTCACGCTGCCGGTCGTGGTCATCCTCGTGGCGGCCAACGCCGTCTTGGCTGGTACTAGATCCGTTGGAGGCTCCGGGACTATCGCCACACTGGGGTTACTGCTGGTGTTCTTCTTCGCTATCAGGAACAACTTACTGCTGCTGGAACTCACGGGCATCTCGTTCGAGCGGGCACTGTTCTACCACAAGCTCTTCGCCTACACGACCATCGTGCTGTCGGCGCTGCACGGCCTCAGCTACTTGCTGGCTCATCATCATGGCGACGAGCAGGACAAGGGCAGCAAGGTGACCACTGGAACCATCATGTTCGTCGGCATGGTGCTCATGTTCGCCTTGTCGCTCAACTTCATCCGCCGCAGGTTCTTCGAGCTCTTTCTCAGGATGCACTGGGTGCTGCTGCTAGTGGTGTTCATCGTCGGTATGGCACATGGGGCAGCTTTGGCACTAGTGGGGATCGTGCCGTGGATCATCGACCTGCTCTTCAGACTGGTGTACCGTACGCGGATCTACAAGCAGGGCGCGCTGTTCAAGAAGAAGGACGCGGACAATGCCAACGTGGACTCGAACCGCAACGTGCTCAACGCCAGCAACGGCTTGGGCGTCATTGCACGCGACCAGGTCTCTGTGGCTGCGTTACCTGGACACATCACGCGCGTCAGCTTCCCCCGCGTACGTAAAGATACGGGCGAGGTGTTCGAGTTCGAGGCCGGCCAGTACGCGTTCCTGTGCATCCCGAGCATTTCCAGCTTGGAGTGGCATCCATTCACGATCTCGGCGTCGCCAAATGAGGACATCGTCTCGTTCTACATCAAGTCGTCGGGTGACTGGACTGCGAAGGTGCTGGAGGTTGCGTCAAAGAGCGATGGCTCGACGGAAGCTCCGTGTGATATTCTGGTGGATGGACCCTATGGCCGCGTGTCGGTCGATATCGACACCCCTGAGACGTACTCTCACTTCGCGCTGTTCGCTGGAGGCATTGGCGTGACTCCAATGCGCTCCATCCTCAACTGGCTCCACTACGAACGCTACACGCTCGGTCGATCGGAGATCAAGCGAGTGAACTTCGTGTGGGCTTTGCCGAACCACGACGCTGTCGATGCGCTGCTAGACAAAGTGCCGAATGGTGAGGAGGGCGCTGGATCCGCGGGTTACTTCCCTCAAGAGATCGGGCGCAACATTTCCTCGGACAACACGTTCACCAGCGAGTTCTACCTGACAGACGCGGAAAGAGACGTGGAGAATCCCATGGAGCAGCAGCTTGAACATCGCCTACGTTACGGGTCACGACCAGATATTACCTCCATTCTACGTTCGTTGGGAGACCAAGCGAAGCAGGATGGCAAAGATCGTGTTGCTGTTCTGGCGTGCGGCCCGATGCCCATGGTGCAAGCTGTGCTTGACACAAGTATGGCTCTGTCGAAGGAGATGAAAGTGCAGTTCGACGTGCACACCGAACTTTTTGAGTTTTAACTTTTCCTGAATCATAGGTATGGATCGAAACCCGGTAATCTAATTATTTGCACTTCCCAAAAAAACTTCGTTGCCATGCCAATCTTGATGGAAAGCAAGCGTGTCACTGAGATCCATTGCATCAAGTTATCCACATTCTATGCTTTATCTAAAGCACTCCCTTATACGCCAGCTTTCTGATCGAAACGCTTACGGTGTGGCATACACGTACGGAGCCGCGAGCTCCGAGAGCTTCAGCATCTGCTGGCCGTCTTCGTCGAAGTTGCTCGACGCCAGCCAGCGCTCAAAGGCGCCCTTGAGACCGCCGTTCCAGTCCTTGTCGATGATTGAGAACCACGACGTGTCGCGGTTGCGCCCCTTGTACACGATCAGCTGGCGGAACGTGCCCTCGTACGTGAAGCCCAGGCGGGCGGCAGCACCACGCGACGGCAGGTTGCAGCTGTCACACTTCCACTCGTAGCGTCGGTAGCCGAGTCGAAAGGCGTTGGCTGCGAGCAAGTACATGGCTTCGGTGGCTGCGCGAGTCTTCGCCAGCCGAGTCGAGTAGAAGATGTGGCCGATCTCAACGACGCCGTGGCTCGGTACAATGCGCAAGTAGGCGGTGAAGCCGACAGCACGCTCGTCCACGATGATGGCATAGAACTGGGGGTCATCGACCTGTTCTCCCTCTTGAATCCACTTCTCGAACTCGCCGAACGAGGCAAATGGCCCGTAGGGCAGGTACGTCCAGCGAGCAGCGCTGAGGTCCTCGGACTGCGCATCCCAGAGATCCTTGGCGTGGACAGATGCCTTGAGGAGTTCGAGACGACAGTATTGCCCTGTCAACGTCGTGTGCGGTGGGAACGGGGGAGGAATCCAGTTCTCCATCGCGAACCCGACTGGCTGTCCAAACTCATTGGTCGTAGTCGCATTGGCCATTTGCAATGAAGCGCAAAGTATGGTTTGTGGATGAGGAAGGTGAGATGATGCGAAGTGTGTCGATGGAGCTTACCTGGATCGATCTTTTGTGCGGTCTTGTGGGCGGTACCGGGAAATATGAAGAATGAGGTGAGCAGCTAGCTTTGTGTGTTTGAGCAAGAAGGTGACATAGAATGTCCTGTGTCATCCTATCAAAGCACTTCAACAGTAAGACCTTCATTCAGTGTGTCTGGAACGTGCTCGTGGCTGACGTGTACACTCCGAGAGTACCAGATGAATCAGCAGAGGTTGAAACAGAGAATATCTGGTGAAGGCAAAGCTTTACATGCATGAATGGGGTGTCGGCAGACCCAACTTGGTTCGAGAGCTCTCGAGGAGCTTTTCCCAAAACCAGTACCAGTCTGGGGTCCTAATCCCAGGACCAGTATTGTGAATTCTGGCCAATATTGCCGATTCGGGTCGGTTTACCATATGGGTTGAAATCGCTGAATACAAATTTCAAGTCTTTTGGAATCGACCGAGACGGCCTGAGCGACTTCTTATTTCGTACTTTATTGTGTACATAGTAACCTCAAGTCAAATCAAAATCTCGGGCGGTTTGCTGGCGATTTGGCTCGGTCGATTCAATCAATCGACTTCGGAAAGTTCGACTAGAACGCGCAATACCAGTCCCAAAACCAGCAGCAGTAGTAATCCGAAGTAGAGTGGACCACTTGCATTTGGGGCAGCGCGGTGTTAATCGAGAATCATGAGTGCGGCAACTGCGCCGCGTGCACGACGGACTACATGCTACTGCGAAGGAGATGACCGGATCTCTTAGTACTGTGGTGCAGGTACGCGTAGTCGTAGCGTGCGAGACTGGTGCAAAGGCACGGGGGCTCATCGTTGTTGGAATGCGGCACCACAAAGCTCACACGCACAAAATGCAACTTGTTCACTTAGAGGTCTTCTGGGGAATGACCTCAGCCAAACTCCTTCTCCTTCTCTCCTAGACATGCATACGACCGTTAGTCTACACTACCTACTGCCTCGTCCCGTATCTGCGCCAGCAGCAGTTCCCTGCAACTTCAACAGCAGCAACTTGCAGTGTTTTCCAACAGTCCTCCCTTTGCCGTGACTTTGTAGCTTGCAGCTTCACGGCCGGCAAACCAAACTCAGCTAGCCTTGCTTCTCCCGCGTGCACATGCCAATCTTGGCAGACAAGCTCTCGAATCTGACCTTCGCCAGAGGCTTCGTGAAGAGGTCCGCGGGGTTGTCCTCAGATCACACCTTCAGCATGTACAACTCTTTCTTGCGCACTTGCTAGCGCACGTAGCGCCACTTCAATTCGATGCGGCGCGTGCGGCGCCCGAACGTGGGTCACATAGGACGACTGGGTGTCCACACACTGTGTAATCTTACGCTTCATTTCAGGCAGCATCTCGTCCAAGATGTTCATCAAAGTCTTGCCTTCCATCGCTGCCTCGCAGGCTGCAATGTACTCGGCCTCTGCAGTCGATTGCGCCACGATAGTCTGGCGTCTCGACGCCCATGATATCGCTCCACCCATCAATGTGAAGACGTATCCAGTGATACTCTTCCGTGTGTCCATATCATTTGCCCAGTCACTATCCGAATGTCCTTGCAAGTGCACTCCGATCTCACAAGTCTCACGGTTTTGGTAGGTAATCCCCTTTCCAACAGTGCCCAGTAGATAGCGCATTACGCGCTTCAGCGCGCCAATGTGCTGCTCGGTAGGATGATCCACAAAGCCACTAAGCTGACACACCGCAAACATCAGATCTGGCCGTGTACCAGTTACCAAATACATCAAACTCCCCACTGCCTCACGGTATCGTACCTTGCCGGGGGCATGATTGCAGGTCCCTTCATCTGCATGTTCGCACTTTCTCAGCTTCGTAGTAGTCTCCATCGGGATGCCGCTCTTGTTAGACTGTCCCTCCACCAGGTCGAACCGTTCCAGGATCTCCCGAGCACACTGCTCCTGGTCCAGCACCGTCTCCGTCTCCGTCTGACGGACTCGAATGCCCAAGTAGTTTGTCAACAGTCCCAAGTCTTTGAAGCCGTAGTCCTTATCCAAAGCTGCAAAGAACTCGCACTTGAACTCCTCCGAGTTTGTCGTAATGATCACGTCGTCCACGTAAATCAAAACGAACGCCATGGCATCACCCTTGGCGTAGAAGTACAGACACGGCTCCGTTTCACACGGCGTGAAGCCATACTTCTTCATCCAGCTATCCAGCTCTTCATTCCACTCCCTGCCCGACTGCCTCAGACCATACAGCGCTTGATCCACCCGATACATAGTGCTGCCGAAACCAGTAATGCCTCTTATGTATTGCTTTATCTTCAGCTTTGCATTCAGGTATGCGTTGTTCACGTCTCCTTGCCAGATCTTCTACCCTAGCTCCCGTGCCAGAGCCACCACCAATCTGAAACTCGACAGTCGTGCCACAGGTGAAAACGTCTCCTTGAAATCTAAGCCAGTCTTCTGCTTGAATCCCTTGGCTACAATCCGTGCTCGAAACCGCACGATGTATCCCTCTTCGTCCACCTTGGGGTCGAACACCCACTTCGTCTCAAGCAGGTTTGCACCCTCGGGCACTTCATCAATCGGCGATAGCACGCCCTTCTCAATTAGCGCCCGCACCTGATCGTTCATCGCAGCGAACCACTCGTTGCACTGCGGCGATCGCATCGCCTGCCAAACTGTCTTGGGGATCTTGACTTCACTCGCCTTCCATCTCCGCTGACCAATCGGTTCTGGATGCAGTGTCGAGTTCACGATGTAGTCTTCCAGGTACTTCGGTCGCTAGCGCTCGCGAGGCTCGTATCGCTGCCGCTTGACCTCCCTGCGACCAGCAATCGAGTCACGACCACGCTTCTCGCGCTGATTCGGCTGCTCGCTGAACGACCGAATGCGATCTGCCAACGCACACTTCTCACTCAGCCAGTCTCAACATCATCGGCGTCCAATCCGTACGTCTCAATGTTCATTGGTTGGGGAGGAGTGTCATCAACGTTCTCCTGCTCAGCTCCAGGTAAATCACCCTCAGCAGCAACATCATCGTAATCCCGAAGCTCTTCTTCATTACCATTGTCTTCATACGAGTGTTCGTCACGTGGTACTACAGACTCCTCCTCCTCAACATCCTCGGATGCAGGCTCGTCACCAGCGGATGAAACATCTCCATGCTCCGACTCCTTGACTGACCCGCCCTCTCCTCCAACTCCTGCACCCTCGGTCACTCTCGTCTTCCTGAACGTCATCGCCGGGTTTGCTGCTTTCAAGCTCATCTCGGCTTTCATCACTGACTTCATGTTCACTCTCAGGTGCATCAGCAGCTTCTTCCGTCATCGGACGCAGAAAGACTCGTGGGTGCATCAACGTCGGCTCGCCGACCTCTGGTCTTACCTCCTCATCTTCGTCAGCAACGTATCCTCTTCAGGTTCCTCGTCACTGCTCTCATCCGAGGAATCCTCACCAAAGCTCGTCTCGGGGTGCTCAACAGCTTCATCATTTTCACTGGAAGATACACTCTCCAAATCCACTTCCACTAGACTCTCCTGATCGCTTTAATTTTCGTCATCCTCGCTATCCCCCCCTTCAACATCATCTTGTTGATCATCGGGCCATCCATTGTCCACAGAGCTGGGGATCGAGTGACGATCACGATACAGGATGTCCTCGTGAACTTTCACGGTGTACACGACGCGCGAGACGCGATACTGCGGGAAGTACACCTTACACCCCATGCAATCCTCCAGATAGCCAAGTAGAAATCCAGCCTCACTTGTATTTGCCATCTTCTTTCTCAGATGCTTTGGGATGTGCGCGTACACTAACGACCCGAACGTCCGAATCCGATGCAGGTCCGGCTTCTTGCCGAAGAGCAGCTCAAACGGCGTCCGCTTCGTCCCCTTGCAGAGAACTCGGGTGCGAACGTAAGCTGCGTTCCTGAGTGCGTCCGGCCAGAAGCTCTGCGGAAGCCCCGAGTGGCTAAGCATAGCCTTCTTCGTGTTCCGCAATGTCTGAATTGCACGCTCTGCATAGTTGACCGAAGACCCATCCGGTGCCACCGGGACCATACTGATGCCTTGTTCTGCACACCAGGCCTTCGTTACCGTGCTCAAGAACTCACCTCCAGTATCCGAGACATCACGCTTCACAGGTTTCCCAATCGGCTGCTCAGCCCACGTCACGTACTGCTGAAAGTAGCCCGAAGCTGCGGTCTTGTCAGTGAGCACGTACACAGTCATCCAACGCGAGTAACCCTCTACAATCACGAGAGCCTGCGTGTAGATCGTGCTATTCTGTTTTCAAGGATCCATCAAGCCCATGAAAATAGTTTCATTTGGTTCATCAAAACCGCGCTCAAATCGCTTGTTACGCTTCTTTCTCTTCTGCTTTGTCAACTCACAGGTCCCGCACGTCGGAAGCTCGCGGCCCTTAAGCAGCATCCCACGGACAAGCTCCTTGTCAACCATCTGCTTCAAATGCTGTGCGCAGGTGTGGCCGAGCCGCGCGTGCCACATGCAAATGTTCTCCACGCCATCGGCGTTCGGGAAGTTGGCCATCTCTCCATACTCCACAACGTGTCTCGGAGGGTCCTCAATCCATGCATTGTGCGCCTCAAAGTCCCACACATTGTTTGGTGCAGGTTTACTGCGCAACACCAGCGTATCATTCCGATACACCTTGCATTCACCCGTCCTGCCGTTCTTCCGCTCGACGAATCCTTGCTTCATCGCCAGGCCAACGGAGTACAAGTTCCAGTTCGCGTTCGGAACAAACAACGCTTCCTCCAAAAAGATAGTCGTTAGAGCACCGTCACCCACATCCGTCGCGAGTGCAACAACTCCGACTCCAAGTGCCGGTGACTGCCCACCTTTCGCAAACCCTTGGATGTCTCCCACAGGTTTTTCAAACTCATGGTAGGCAACAAAATACTCCTTAGCGCCCACAATGTGGGTACTCGCGCCGGTGTCATAGACCCAGTGACGGGGGTTATAGCTCGCAACCTCCACCACCTTCTCCGACTCGTCCTCGGGGTCGAGACTATCGCTGTCGATAGACTCCTTGCGCTTGCTGAAGCGGCCTCGCCCTCTTCCATCTCCACGTCGACGTCCTCGAAGTCAACGGCGTCGTTGACTACAGAAGAACCTTCGAGGACAATCTCTGGTTGAGTTGTCCCCGCCGCAGCCTTGGTAGCAAGAGCGTCACGCTTTGCTTTGAGACGTTCGCGGTACTCGGGGATAGAGAGAGTCTCTATCCCTGCGGAGGGCTTCCCCTCTGCTGCAGCGTCGGTCTTCTTCTGAGGCGGGCTCATTGCGGAATGAGCTCGAGTTTTCTTTCTCCCAACGTGAAGAATTGACGAATGGTCAATTTCCTGATTGACGTGCCGTGACTCGGCGCGTCTAACCTTGAGGGGGGGATGGTGTAACAGGGTTACACGCACAAGTGGCTACAGTCACTTGGAACTCTAACAGATACGAAGTCTGTTAGAGGTTCGAAAGACTTTCTCGACCTTGGTGTAGACACACCAAAGGCTTCATACATTTACGACCACCACGACGGGTGGTCCATAGAGACTTAGGATTCCTATTGGCTGAGAGCAGCATCTTTTAGCCAATGAGCGACATGCATAGCATTGGAATTCTGCTAACCAGCCGTTGGTAGATTCCTATCTTAGAATATTACATTTAGAGGAAGTCAGAAACATAAAACAAAATAGCAGTTCTCATTTTAACCCAAAAACATTATTTGGATCGTTTATTTAGATTAATCTATACTCGGAGGCCCGAGTATAATTAACTCTAATTTAAACTAAGCTACGCTTCCTCACATACACGCGCACACGTGTAAGCTAAAGTAGTGGGTCAAAGTAGGCCCATTACAAGATGATTGTCAAGTGATAAAATAAGGTTTGAGTAGTCAATGGCATGCAGCGAAGGTGTTCACCGCCCAATATCTCGGCTTCCCCCGAGTGCAGCAAGGTAAGCTTGACGTGAATATTCTTCAATTTGTTTGTTCTACCTATGTGCCTAATATCGCTACCCAGTAAATTCTAGCGCAAAAAATGTAATTGTTCAGCTTACCGGGAGGTCCTGGAAAACTACAGTTGTATTCTGAACCGATTGTTAAATATGATTTCTTCTTACATCCAGCGCCCCTTTGACCAGCGTTCTTTGGATCGTCAACATTAAATCCCGTAATCACTGTGAGAGGGCAGCTCCTGGACGAAGACGAAAGAAACACTACATGTATTGTGCCTTTCACTTATTCTGCCATGATAATTCTGGTATAACTCTAATCACTTATCGACCTTAATTATGCCCCGAGTTAGCTAATTTTCATGTTAATTCCGGGTCGCCCATTCGTGGCCGAATTAGGAGCGGCGATGGTGAGGCCGAGTTAAGGCGGAATAAGCTAATCCAGTCTGCGTTAGGCGGAAACAGAGCGATTGGCGGTTTCCTACCCGCCAATCCATGCCATTCTGCTCGTATCTCCGTCGATTGGCTCTTAAATGCTGATCGCGGATGTTAGGGGAAGCGCTCACAATCTTAGGCAGAATTAGCACTAAATAAGCGTTGATCGCCCTTTTATGACTCTAATTCCGCCTGAATTAACAGCTCACCCGCCAAAATACGTGAAAGGCACAATAACTTAGCTTCGTATTCTGCCCGAATAAGGAACGGGTGTACAACTAATAGCCTCACATATTTAATATTATTTTTCAGTCGATGTGGCGATAGGGGTGTGTGCAAGGTACTGAGGTACTAAGGTGAAAAATCTAGTGCCAATCATCAGCTCTCCACCCTCGTTTGAAAAATGGCGCGCATTTAGCGATCTTACTAGACTTCAAACTACATGTACCGTAGTGGTAGACTCGCACTTTTGCTTTTGCACCTCGCCCCACAAGCCCCACTCCACCCATGAAGTCCACACCGTCCAAGCGTCTCCGCCTCACTGAAAATGATGCGACCGGCTTGGTGAAGGGCTAGATAATCCCTACGAGGTCGACCAGTTGACAGCGCTGTTGTGGTGCGAGGGTGCCTGGTCAAAGGTTAGTGCTTCGACCATACGTCACTGTTGGAATCATTCCGGACTCGTAGGTAAAGCTGCTCTTCAGTTCATTTTGAAATAACTAAATCAGTAAATTGGAAAAGTATACTCAACTTAACATCAATTTATATATTCTGCGTCTTTATATATATCAGGCGTTCCTTACTCGGGCAGATTACTATACATATAAATGAGATGTTGTGTGAACACAACAACATTGTTGTGTGAATCAACAATCAATAAGGAATAGGAACTTCCTGCTTGCCTATAATAATCATAAATTCGTAGGCAACCGCCAAAATATATTTCGCAAGATTTTTCCGCATCCACTCTCAACACTTGTGCGTGGGGCAAGGTAATCCGTTCATTATTAGAGAAGGCAAGCCTCAGCTCGGGGCTCGCAGAGAGCTGAGCTGAGGCAGCCCAGGGTGAGGTGTGGTGGGTTTTGCGAGCGCGCAGTGGCAGCGACTCATGCTGGGCCGCGCTCGGTGTTGGTCTTGGGCGCTGCTTGTCCGAGGCGAGGGAAGACCACAAATGAGCGGATTGCCAAATCTAATCCTACCTAGCGCTGGGAAAACCCGCCCAGCCGGACACTGTATTCTGCAGGGCCGTATCTAAGCGGGAAACCAGGGCACCTACACACACACATACACTTGATTGGCCCCGATGAGCGGCGAGGATGGGACCGATGTTGCCACGCGGCAACGAGGCGCGTCGTATCGTTGAGGCTTGGTCATGACGCACGAAGTCTTGGCTGTTCAGCGGAAAAACACTTTTTCCCTTACACTTGAAAAAGTACCATGATACCAGGCTGTTACTTTCTTTGTCCATTTAATGTACTTCGGTATTGGCGATGACGGCAAGCGCTGGTGAGATTTATGTGCGTGTCATTTGAGCAAGTCTGCCTCGCAGGCAATGAATGATACGCTGCTGTCCACCACAAACTGCGAAATATATCGGCTGCAATCCTCGACATCGTATGGCGCTAAGGTGCAAAGCTTCTAGACGCCTTCTTCAGATTTGTCAGGATAATACATGGCAGTCAAGCCCATTGAGCCTGCCCTGCGAGCCCGAAACGTTGACGCAGAGCAAAATGCACACTACGAAAAGGAGCCGCTATCGTATCCTTGCTTTGCGCGACTTGGATACAAGCTATCGCGTAGCGGTGCAAAACTTGCCTTACCCAGCGTATAACTATTGCAGTTCATTCTTAATTTGCCGCCTACAAGTTACATCGCATCAACTCGTTGCTCGGTCTCAAGTGCTCCAACACGATGCTTCACAGCATTCCGCTCCTCTTCGCCATCCTCCTTGGAGCCACCAATGCCGGGCCGTGCGATATCTACAAGGCACCTGACACGCCTTGTGTCGCTGCTCATAGCACGGTTCGAGCGCTTCTGAACGCGTTCACGGGTCCCATGTACCAAGTCACGCGCGCTTCGGACTCGAAGACGCTCGATATCAAACAGTTGAATTCTGGCGGTATTGTTGATGCTGCTGCGCAAGACAAGTTCTGCGAGGGCACCACTTGCGTCATTTCGACCATATACGACAAGTCGGGCAAGGAGAACCACTTGACGTCAGCCCCGGTAGGAGGCAACAAGCCGACACCCAATGATCCCGCGAACACCAACAGTTTACCGGTTATCATCAATGGTCAAAAGGCTTACGCCGTCTGGATCGATGCTGGCAATGGCTACCGCAACGACAATATCAATGGTATCGCGACGGGGGATGACGCTGAAGCCATCTATATGGTGACGAACGGCACGCACTTCAACGACGGCTGCTGCTTTGACTACGGCAACGCTGAGATCGACAACACGGATGACGGAGCTGCCACAATGGAGGCGGTGTACTTCGGTAACAGCCACGACTGGAGCTACGGCGGAGGCGATGGTCCGTGGGTGATGGCGGACCTGGAGAACGGTCTCTTCGGCTGTGACTCGAATGGCCAATGCTCCAACACCCCGTCAGTTCAGTTCCAGTACGTGACTGCGATGTTTAAGGGCCGTTCGGGCGGCACGTTCGCACTAAAACAGGGCAACGCTCAGTCTGGCAGGCTTCAAACCACGTACGACGGAGCTCGCCCAAGTGGCTACGAAGTGATGCAGAAGCAAGGCGCTATCATTCTCGGTATCGGTGGCGACAACAGCAACGTCGTCATCGGTAGCTTCTACGAGGGCGTTATGGTGCCAGTGACGAAGTTGACGACAAGGTTCAGGCGGGCATTGTGGTTGCTGGATATGGGGTCGGTTCTTCCGCCCAAGGCGCTGGCACTTCGAACCCTGGTGCGGCTGCATCTGCCTCGGGCTCTATCGGTGCCGGGACGTCTATGAACTAGGACGGAAGCATTGTATGTCCATCACATCAGGTTGAAATGCTGTTGTTCCGTAATCAAATGTTCATCGAACCGGAAGTCAATCTGAACTTCCGCTCGACGGTCAATTCACTCCCGGTTCGATGTCCTCTTTGGCATTCTTTCGCCAGCACGTACTATTGATACATGTAGATTAAGGTGACCTGCCTGACTATAAGCAAGGAACACGGACATCCAACTGGGGCCTGTGTCTCGAAAAGAGGCGTCTGGATCTAGAAGACTTCTGGAAGTCTACCAAATGGTTGACCTTTGTCCTATAGTATTGGTCCAATACAGTATTGACATGAAACTCTGATGCCATATCGAAGGCTCCCAGCGCTCACCCGCCCTACATCATGCAGGTACATGTATCCTGGCCTCCAACTTCAAACTTCAGGAAGCGCCATTTGGTATCTCGGAAAGATGTCTCTGCACAAACTCTGCACTGTAAACACCTCTCGGTGGGAGCTGTCCGAGAGAGCCTTAGATTTGAACTGGAAATACTTGGAAGTGAACTTAGACACTAAACAATGAACTCAGCTATTTGAAATAGAACTGAGGGCCTCACCGTTGAATCATAAGACGCTACGATTGAACTGAGCGGTATGGTTTCCTAGCCCGTCCGCATGCTGCTCAGTGCCATGCTCACAACAGTGAGTACTACGATTCAAATACTTCAATAACAATGTACAGCCTCGCCCGCAGAACATGTATTTTAAAAACGACGTTGTCTAAGTTGCAGACGTTTGCACAATAAAACTCTTCAGCGCCTGCATGAAGTCACCGTAGTATCCAAACCGCGAGGGTACCTTTTTTCGTTGAGTATATAAATACCGGTGTACACTAGGAACATTTATAGCCGCTAGAGTCACTAGCGCCGGTTTGGCCTACACAGCCCAGTTTGCAGTATTTCCGGCACTTCCTTCCATCTCTGTGCCTTCAGCCGCGATTGCCTACGTGTCGCGGTCAACATCGCCCAATGCCGTTTGAGTACGAATGGCAGGCAACCCTCCAAGTCCAAGAGACACCGGCGGCTGATAATATGATAGATGCCCTGCGTACTCTCAAGGTGTACACGAATCAACTACGAAGGTGTACATCATGCTTGGACAACTACGACGACCATCAAATGCGATACCGAAAGTGGTTTTGCCAGTCTTCCACCTGCTCCGAAACTGCGCAGAACTGTTCGTACTGGCTGAAGGTGATATCCCGCTTTCGATCGGACACACACTACTTTTTTGAGCACGGATATCACAGCAGTATGCTTAGCTCCCCCCGGCAGCGGCCGCTCACTCGAGCAATGAAGGCAGAAATAAGGACGATGGTCAGCTCCTCGATGAAACCTGCACGAATTCGGAATAGATTAATTGATCTGTTCAACTTGACGGCGACGACGGTACCTGAGCTGAAGACGATTCAAAAGTTTGTGTACAATTACAAGAACAGTGTTCTTTTCCACAACGACGTTGTTGCTGACGTAGTTGGCCTTGCTCTTGACTCCCGGTACAGCGACGATATGGACGCGTCGGTAGCTTTCTCTTTCGGATACAGCCTAGACGAAGATGGCAATCCTGTTCTGGGGGAAGGCACGGAAGCGGATCCTTTCGTGCTGGCGTTTTCAACGAAACTTCTCTTGAAAAATCTCGATCGAGATCCAGATACGTTTGTTTTTCACATGGACGCTACGTTCAAGCTTACGAAGCGCAAGTTCCCTCTCTTCGTGTGCGGCGTGTCGGATAAAGCGCGCTCGTTCCATCCTGTTGCTTTTTTCATTGTTTCCCAGCGGACCGAAGCTCAGTATTCAGCAGCATTGGCAGCAGTTTCAGAACAGTATTTGAGGGTGGTGGGGCGTCCGATGCGCATCAAAACATTCATGGCAGACGTCGAGGACGCTCAGTTCAACGGATTCACCAACGATATTTCTTCTGTGATGAAGGCGTCTTATTTGATGTGTTTTTTTTCACGTTGTGAAAAACGTGAAGGACAGACTGAAGAATCTACCGGAGCTAGCTGTGTACCTGGCGTACCGCTTCATTTACGAGATAAACACGTAGCCATCAATAAGTCCCCAGCGCTGATCTGGTGACGTTCCTTTCGTATATCCCAGCAATACCGAGTGGTAAATGAGAGGACCAATGTAGACCACGTCACCAGGTCTCTGCACTACCACGACAGTATCTTCGTGCGCCAGCATGCGATCAAAATCCTTGGCATCGCAACCGAACGAAAATTCTTTTGCTGCGTTGAAGGATTTAAACGCAACCCAGATCTTGAACGTCTGCTGTAGACCTGGGGGAATGTAGGATAAAACACGTCCATGGTCAACGTGTCCTGGACTCAGCCGATTTCCGGCCTGCAACCAGCACTCCCGTTTAAAAGTATATCCTTGCGTGATATCAAGGTGGAATGCGTCCTTGTACACGTTCAAATCCCAGTCACATTGACCTGGATGTGCAGGATCCTGACGCAACCGGCTTGCGTTAACCCTGTTGCGTACAAGTGCCGGTACGTCGTTCGTCCGTAGAGCCTCATACAGATGATCCGGTGTCGATGGCACATCCTTGTCATTAAGGTCCCGAACCAAGGCATTGTGTGCCTTACGGTACACCAGGAGAGGATGCTCCGTGTTCACAGCTTCATGATAACTAAAACCGCCGTCGACGTAAAGAACAGTAGATTGCTCCATTTGTCAGCGATAGCTTCACGGCCGAACTCTACACACCCGAGATCTCCCTCCATAACGAGCGTTTGCAACTTCTTGATATTCATTATTGCTACAGCACAAGCATCACTCATTCAAATGTTATATCATTTCGACGATACAGGAGTAAAATAGGCGATAACGTACCTTAATGTACACGAGCGGTGCGTGGCAAGCTCCTCCCGCCTGAGTGTCTGCAGCTCGCGTGCTGTGCGCTCCTGCACTACTCGTATCACGAACAGCTCTGCGTGCCTCTACCCGCTCTTCGGAGGTGGCCGTGCGCGCTTGGTCGGAGTAGACGGTTGGAGTGTGCCGCTCCTATTCCATCGCGTACCGAAGGATGCGCTGTCTGCACCGTGCTCTAGGTCGTGGGGTAAGTGTCTGAGCGTGTCGACTTGCAGGGAGTCTCCTGCCGCAGGCGTCCTGCAGCGCTACCGACGGAGGCGTGGCACGACGCGTACGCCGGGCTCCCAGGAACTTCTTGTTTGCTTAGAGCGGTCTGTTTCTATTTCTGTGAGGAATACGCTGAACTTACCCAATTCCATATGGGTTCGCCAAATGGTACAGAGAGCCTATCCACAGCCTATCCCTTCGATTGCACGATAAGGTTGTCAGTACATTTCTACGAAAACGTTGTTCACGATTAAGGTTTTCTCGAGCTGTCCTGCTCACGCGGTTTTGAGACGGTCGGCTCGCACGGCTCGATGTTTGTTTGATTCACTTGTTTGTTTGTCGATTTCGCAGTCCTGACCCCCTGCAGGTGTACAACAATCAATGTATTAAAAAGTGACAGATGCTACCTCGGCGTGCAAACCTTCCCGAGGCAGGAAACCAAAACGGAAAACGTCAAAAGGTGTATGAATTTGAAACGTTTTGTCAAAAGCGGTTAACTCGTGTCATTAGGTGTATGCTAGGTTGTCGGTATGACAGTATGTGTATGTGGTTCCAAGCGCACTAAGGTGCATCATAAAGCTGCATCAGCAACGAATGCGGTGACTGGTGTGTGGGCTTAGATCCAAATCCATAAAACCCGGGGTTAGGAAGGCTTCTACCTGATGCAACTAGCAGCGAACACGGTCAACTAATAATAGCATATAGAGCAACTGTACTCGACAACTTCGCTATTGTGGCTACAAGGAACTACCAACGCAAACCGCAAGCGTCTATAGCATGACTGTACTAGGTAGGTTTTGCATCTGAATTTTGGAGGTGAAGGAGCTCTAGTGAGAGCCCCCAACCGGGGGAGAGTGTAGGTATTGTAGAACTGTGGCAACGCTGAGGCCTGACTACAATGGATAACGACGTTCATTGTAGTCCCTCAGTCGTACAATTCGCTATCAAAGTCATGGGCACCACGAACCGGACGAGCGCGTCGTTAATAAACTACTAGAAGACTTAACTAGTTGGCTATGTACTGCGCAATTCAGTTATGTATACCAATAGCAAGCAAAAAGTCGAAATTAGATAAGAGGAGCGCTATATCTGCACGCCGTCGATATATTTTCTAACTGCGCAACTGTGAGATAAAAAGACTGCAGCATTCCATGATAAGATGCCGATCCGAATATAATCAGCTTCTAGAATCTTTCCTTTTAACAGTGTAGCTTCGAATTACGAGCTCAACAGCGAAACAAGGCTAAAAGAAGAAAGCTGAGAGCTTATTTTGATGGTTCAGCCCGCTGAGGTACTTAAGTACACATATAGATAAGGCCTTGTATGATTCGTTGAATGCTCTCATTTCAAAAATGGCGCGCAGATGCCATCTCTGCAGGAAGGTGTTCTCCAGCATCAGCAGCCTTCGCCGACACCTCGAGCACCGCTTCTGCCAGAAGCCTCGCCGTGCATCGTTGACGAAGGAGCAAATCAACGCCCAAGCGCAGGTGCGATATCACCAGCGAAAACACGGAGCATCTACGTCTATCCAGGTACAGGCTGCTGCCACTGTTGTTGCTACTACTGCCGATGGCGTGTCAACCACCGTCCCTATCGAAATGGCTACAGTGGAATCTATGATCAGCGATACTGCCCTCGCTGCATCGCCTCCGGCGACTCCGCCGATAGCAACCCTCGAGTGTGCTATATGCTGCGAAGATGTAGAGGACCCAATTTTGGGGACATCGTGCCAGCATTGTTTTTGTACAACTTGTCAGCTTGAAGTGTACCAGCGTCATGGGAGTCGCGCTGTTTGTCCCATGTATCGTGCTCTCCTCAACCTGTTCAGCGCTGACATCGAGGATTCTGTCAACGAGGCACCTGTTCCAACTCGTCCGGTAGCATCTTACCCTCTGCCAGCATCTTATCCGGTGCCTGATGTCGTTGACATCACCGCATCCTCGCCATCATCCCCGGAAAGTGCGCACGACTCAGACAGTGACTACATTGAATAAATATCTCTACAAAATTATAATTTATAAAATTTAAAAGGTTTATATGATAATCTTATCTTTTCGTCAACCCAAAAATCTTATTCGAGTAGCACCGTGACTGGCTGTGCATACTTTATCTAAGTTAGCTTTAGGTGCATCCAAATGACTAATTTCGGTGATGGAACGTGCTTACTGAAGTTAAGTCGAATACTTGGTGTCAATCTTATGCCTTTTCAATGATCGATTGTTCATACATACTTCTAATGACTTTTTGTATACAAATGTCAAGTCAGTTCGATGATCCATGGTGCATACATTGTTTAAGTGTCTAAAACCCTTAAGAGTGAGATCACATATTAACGATTGCAAGCAATATGCATGTATGTATTGAATGCAGAAAACTAGTAGTGAAGTTTCACTACTGTGGGCTCATGAGCTTAAAACGTCTGCGAGAGTTCTTGGGAGCCCATAACAGTCGAGGTCTGAGAGCCCAGAATCGCGCTAAGACCAGAGCATGGGCTTGATCCGGGCGAGGAGCTTGTCGTCGCACTGAAAGAGTTGCGGGCTCCGGTTGTGCTGGCATGGGATCGTGTGCGCGTGCGCATGCTTGAGTGGGAGCTTGAGCTTGAGTTGGAAGCCGTGGACTCGACGGACAAACGGGCACTGGCTCGCTTGGCTTCCGCAACGACGCGATCGCGTTCGCGCTTTTTGCGCTGAGCCTCAGACATCGAGACGTAACGCGTCAAAATTTGCGAGTACCGATCCTGGTCATCGGCCCGTAGAGGATGCAGCTTGGCGTGAATGTTGGTAAGTGCCACGCAGATGTTCACGATCCTGTCGAACTTTGCCTCACTCCACGTGAACGTAGTGCTCACCACGCGCCAGAGTGTCGTCATGCGGCCAAAGTAGTTCTCCACCAAAACACGATCTGATGAAACGCGCCGGTTACGACTCTCCTCGTCGTACGTCAGAGGTCCGCCACGAGGACGACGCTTCGGTATGATGGCGCGCACAGACTTTTCGAGCCCTTGATAACCCTTGTCGGCCAGAACACCCCACATGTTGCCAAACGACGTCGAGCCTTCTCCGTAGTCGTTTCGCCCAGCCTCAGCAGTCGTCTTGTGCAGCAGCCGCTTGTGCACTTCCAGATTCTTCATACAGATGGTTATGTCGGACACAGATCCAGGGTAGTGCTTCGACACATGCACCGCCAAGCCTGGTGGTACCACCGCACACTCGATCTTGAAGCCGTACAACTTGTGTTTTCCTGAGAAGTAGTGTTTCTGCTCAGCGAAGCGGCCGGATGGTCGATACGCGGGTTGGAACTTGACGTCCGGTGCGTAGAGCGCGCAGGGATAGTTGGTGAACTGCTGGTTGCAGCGCTCGTGGCTTGTCATCGTGACGTTCGTAACGTTGCGCTCCATCAGCACTTCTTCCACCAAAGACCATACCTACGTGCACAGACAGTGAGTCAAATATCATGCGCTCATTCTTGTCTGCACTATGACGTGTTCTTACCTTGTTGACCATCTTCTCGAACGTTGGCGGCAGCATCCGGAAGTCCGTCGCGTGTTTGAGCCAGCTGTCGTGATGCTTGAGGACTGTCAGGGACATGAAAAACGCGTCCTTAGCGCTGACCTTGTGCCGTCTGCCAGGGCCAAGATTCCAGGCTTGTAGAAGATTCTCCTCCACCTGCTCCCATAGCAGCGAGAACTCGTCTTCGGTGAAGTTCGTCATGGACTTGAGAGCGTTGGGGCCCATGTCGTGGACGAAAGACAGAATGACAGGAGCGTCGTCTTCGACAGTCGGTTCTTGTTCTTGGTGGTCCAGATACTCGCTGAATTCATGGTGGGAGAGCGCAAGGGAGTTGGTATGCTCTTAACAGCCGCGCTAAGGTGTCGGCGACCGACGGCTGTTGGCTTGTCATGCCGTTCTGAAAATGACGACGTCTTTCCGTACGGTCAGTGACTTCGGCGCCAGATGAACGGATGGTGCTCAGAATACTAGTCGGATTGGATGGATAAGAGCTGCCGGGAAGCCTTGATTGCACAGATCGTCATGGCACCTCTTACCACCACCTACTCCACTTACGCAGTTACAGCTGTAAGCATTGTTCCGAGAGTTCTTATTCTAAATCTTACTTTCTCCGTAATGTGTGTCAGATTCGGTACACGCTGTAAATTTGCAAGACATAACGACTTTCGCAGTTTTTATACCTAAAAGTAGTTGTATCGCACATTGATTAGTTCGATCATGAATACAATGTTTTACCATTTCTTGTTCAGTTTCGGACCATTTTCGAATTCCTAGCTGTTTTTCGTTGTGGCACAGTCAGTAATATGTTACGAGGAAAAATCAATTTTAGGGGACAAAATCAAATTTAAGAGTATTTTTTCAGTGTATCCATATATTGTAAATCGGCGGGTTTATTGGCGGCAAAGTCACATACTTCGCTGTAGATACGCAATTGCCTGGCACGTCTACTGTGCTTGGAAGCTCGATCCTGGGTCTGTATGACCCGACCTCGGCCGAAATACCGCGGCAACCAAAACGTGTGTCAGTACGTGTATGATGAGACATGACGCGACGTGACGCCCACGACCACTACACCTATTGCCAAACGTTTTCCCAACGCATACACCTTTTGACGTTTTCCCCTAGCTCAAGCGCCCCAACTTTCGAACACGGTGGCTCACCATCCCGTGCTCAAAACCCATGAGCCGGTTCGCACGGCAAAGCGAACATTGCTATCTTGGTGGATGGACTGGATGCATTTTGCGGTCTGGAAGCGATCGATCCACTTGACTCTGACAATCGCCTGTGGCGTTAACGCCTTCACCGCAGTGGTCGAGAGGCAGCTCGAGCAGATCATTCTTCATTTGGCCGTCCCAGTCACAAGTCTCCAGCTGATCACCATGCTTCGCGGTCTTTCACTGTTCGCCGCTGTCCTCCTCGGCGCCGCCAGTGCCGGCCCGTGCGATATCTACAACGACGCCAAGACGCCCTGTGTCGCTGCCCACAGTACGGTCCGCAGTCTGTTGGATGCCTTCAACGACCCCCTGTACCAAGTCAAGCGCGCGTCGGACTCCAAGACGCTCGACATTAAGCCATTGAAGGCCGGCGGAATCGCAGACGCTGCGTCACAGGACACCTTCTGCCAGGGCACCACGTGCGTCATCTCCATCATCTACGACCAGTCTGGCAAGGGCAACCACTTGACTTCGGCCCCTGCCGGAGGAGCCAAGAACACGCCCGACGATCCGTCTCGCGCTGACCGTCTCCCCGTCACGATCGGCCGGGAGAAGGCTTACGGCGTCTTCATCGACGCCGGCAATGGCTACCGCAACAACAACACCACTGGAATCCCAACGGGTGATGACGCCGAGGCCATCTACATGGTGGCGGACGGCACGCACTACAACCAGTACTGCTGCTTCGACTACGGCAACGCCGAGACCGACAACAAGGACGACGGCGCGGCCACGATGGAGGCCATTTACTTCGGCAACAGCACGCAGTGGGGCTACGGCGAGGGCAAGGGCCCCTGGGTGATGGCGGACTTGGAGGACGGCCTCTTCGGCTGCGCGGCCGGCAAGCAGTGCACCAACACCCCGTCCGTGTCGGCCACCCCGTACCTGGTCGCCATGCTCAAGGGCCGCTCAGGCGGCACCTTTGCTCTCAAGCAGGGCAGCGCGCAGTCCGGACCGCTGCAGACCACGTACGACGGACCGCGCCCGAATGGCTACACGGTCATGAAGAAGCAGGGCGCCATCGTGCTCGGTATCGGCGGTGACAACAGCAACTGGGCCATTGGCAGCTTCTACGAGGGCGTGATCGTGAGCGGCGACCCGACCAACGAGGTGGACGACAAGGTGCAGGAGAACATCGTGGCCGCTGCCTACGGCGGCGAGAGCGAAGAGCCCACGTACACGTTCAGTAACGTCGGCAGCGCCAGCGTATCTACACCCTAATTTGTATCCAGCACACGAGAGGTTTGTGCCAACTTTTTTTCCTCCACAGTAGTAGTAAACTACGCGAGGACAGTTTAAATACATCCAAGCGTTCAATTCAATCGCTTCCTATTCACTTTCCGCAATGACTGCAGTCACTGAATTCGGGTAGCGAGTCGGTTTTGCCCCGAAGAGCTGGAGTCCTCCTCCATTCCCACCATGGCAGGGCGCTATTGCGAGTTCGAGCCTCTGAAAGCAGATCTCCATGCGGGGTCCTTCTGGGCCGCCCAAGCCGAGGATCCCAACAGTGTTCGGTGGAAGCACACGATGAATGGGCCGTTGAAAGACTACGTCTAGATCAAGACGCGAACGCGTTCCAGCTCGGCTACCGTTGATTCGAGTGGAAGTGCGGCAGCTGCAACGTGGCTTCGAGTGCCGCTGCGAGTCAACTCGGCTTCACGTACATGTACGAAGGGAAGCTTCGCCAAGCCATAGTCTACAAAGGCCACAATTGCGATGCTTTGTGGGTTTCCACCATCGATGGATACTGGTCCCAAGAGCGCTGTCCAAAGCTGGTTGAACCCCAGCAACTTCGATGCAGAAGTTGAAGCTGTCGGAGCTCACGGCTCCATTTGGAGCGTGAATCCATGTCAAGTCACCTTGGAAATCTACGGATGTTCTGCTAAGGTCCAACCACGATTTGCTGCACGGTACCCCGCTCAAGAAAGTTCTGACGGTCTACACTCGAAGCAGCAAAGATATCGAGCTGAATCACCGCCGGTGATCGTCATTCTACATTTGTTGCTGTACTTCACAAGCTGATCTACAAGTTCCGGTACAAATACAATTGATCTGCACTACCTTGTTACCACGCAGCTCTCACCTCTCGTTACCTACCACAACTCTTATGTAGATGCCAGAGCTAGAGGCAAACTCCCAGGACAACTTGACTCCTGTCAATGAATTCGGCCAACCGGTTGGGTTTGCCGTGACAGGTTGGAGTCCTCCGCCGTTCCCGCCCCATTCTACCCTGGTAGGCCGCTACTGCCAACTCGAGCCATTGAACGCAGCCCGCCACGCTCGAGACTTCTGGGACGCTCAGTCGGACGACCCGAAAGGTGCGAGCTGGACGTACATGCTCAATGGACCGTTCGCCACCTTCGAAGAGTTCGAAGAGTACTGCTTCAGCACGGAAAAGGCTCGTGAGCCGCAGATCTACGCCATCGTCGTGGACGGCCACGCCGTCGGAATGATCGCGTACATGCGCATTGACCCGAGCCACGGTGTGATGGAGGTCGGACGTATCTACTATACGTCACGGCTGCAACGGACCCGTGCGGCAGCCGAAGCCATGTACCTCCTCGCTGCGAATGCCTTCAAGCTCGGGTATCGTCGTTACGAATGGAAGTGCGACAGCTGCAACCTACCGTCACGCAATGCGGCGACGCGATTCGGCTTCACGTACGAAGGGCTGTTCCGCCAGGCGGTTGTCTACAAAGGCCGCAACCGTGACACGACGTGGTTCTCCATCATCGATCAAGATTGGAACGCCGATCTGAAGAAGGCGTACGAGCGTTGGCTCGAGCCGAGCAACTTCGACGAGAATGGTCAGCAGAAGCTGAAGTTGTCTGAGCTGACAGCGCCGTTCGTGCATGCCACGTCGTAGACATTGAATGTCGAACGACGAAGCAAATTGATTGATCTTGTACGTTTGCTCTCCCCTAAGTAGTAGATTAACAGAGATCCATGGGCTCGGCGCTCAGTCGGGTTATCGATAGGTACGAGGTGCACGAGAGGTGACAGTCGTGGCACTTGATCGCCAGCGTCTCATCCTCTTTGAACCGTGTCAATAACGCCCATCGCGTAGTGGTGGTTGTACCGTATAAGGCGTGTATTGGCGAAGAACGCTGCCGTTCTTCCGCAACGAAATCGTGCTTAAACCCGTGAAAATTCCGCGAACAGATATTCGGACGGTGTATACGCCCGATTCGCGAATGCTCACCATGCCATCTTGCCCGTTCACGATGAAGTCCACCGATTTGTTGTGTTTCCACTGCAGTCTCGACCTGCTATTCACTTCCGACGCTTGCAGCTGGATGGATGAAGCTACAACTCCATTTCGTAGTTCTGCCAATTCCCGTTGCAGTTCCGACGTTCCTTCATCCGCTTCAACTCACTTTCTTGATCGCGCACTCTCAACGCCAACGAGTCCAACACGGTCAAGGTCGAACGTGTACATGTACTTCATCACCCACGTCTTGGACAGGAATCGGATGTTCAAGGTGAGTTCCAGACGAAGCCCTCCACCTTCCATCGGTGTTATTTGCCGGTGCACATCACCACTGGACTGCGACTCGAGCGCTTCACGACAACACTGTAACATGGGTGGCAAAATATTTAACCCGACAATAAGCAGCACACCCACAGTACTCATTTCTACTACGAAAAAAAACCTCGACATCATCCGTTGCAGATAGATCAATGCCACTGGCTGACTACGTGGCATCATGCCACGTAGTCAGCTTTCTCCATGCCACTCTTGTACTGTACCTTGAAGCAAACGTTACAAGAAGGTAAACCTATAGCAACGAACGGCAACACCATTCTACTTACCACTGCCTGCAGGAAATACGACCCACTTCTTGCAACCACATGCCCATTCTTCCCTCCCTGAGCCGAATGGAGTATTTGTAGTCGCGCGCTGGAAGCTGGTTTAAGAGCGTAAATCTGCCTTCGGCTTTCATCTCCTCCTTCGATGCCATTGTTTGCTCAGGGGAGATACGCTTCTCGGGATACATATCGCCATGTTGCTGATGTCTTCAGACAACTCCAGATTGAGGTGGACTGGTTAAGCTCCTTCTCATTGGTTTCGTTGTGAAAGAAAGAACAGACCCAACGTAGACAACAGAGGTCAAATTTGGCTAGATACGAAGCAAATTCATTGAGCTTACACTGTACTGTCCTCCCGTGTTCCTAGAACTCAACAGAGATCGATGGGTTGCGTGCTCAGTCGAGCGATCGACAAGTACGAGGTGCCCGACGCTGGAAAGTTGTGGCACCGGATTGACAGCGTGTCGTCTTTATCGAATCGTGCTGTCAAAGCCAGCATCGTTGGTGAATGTTTCGACCATTCTTCCAGAGCGAAATTTTGCCCGTAACTTTGGAAATGCCGCTCACACAGACCCCGATCGTGTAAACACCCGGCTCGCGAATTCTGATGTCACCATGCCGGCCGTTCAATACGAAGCTATCCGATCCGACTGGTTCCCACTGAAGTCTCGCCATTGTATCTCTGTGCGATGCTTGAAGCAGGATGCACGGAGCCGCAACTTGTGCTCGTAGCTCGGCTAATTCGCACTGCAATTTCGTCTCGTGCTGCTTCATCCGACTCAATTCATCCTGTTGATAGCGTACCTTTGACACTAACGAGTCCATTCGGTCTGGAGCAAAAGGTTCGAGATCGAACTCGAAATTTATGGCCCAAATCCTGGACAGGAATCGGATGTTCATGGTTAGCTCCAGACGAACACAATCTCCTTCCATTGACGTAATTGTCCGGTCAACTTCACCGGATTGGCATTCCAGCGCGTCTCGTAAACACTATGGCAACAGGTTAAGAGTTAAAGAAGAGCAGTCACCCCCTCTGCAATGTGAAAACTACAAACCTCCACATAATCCGTTGGTGTCAGAGTAGAAATGACAGGAATCGCATTCGCAGGGGTCACGCAGTCAGTTTTCTCCATGTTTCCCTTGTACCTGAAAAATTATTCAAAAGCGGATCAGGCTCTTCAACACACCGCTGAGCTAGCACCTTACTTACCACTGTTTGCCGCTACCAAGGCTTTGCAACCAGATCCCCATTCTTTCGTCTCGGAGCTGAACCGAGTACTTGTAGCGAATTCCTTCGAGCGCAATTTCCCCTTGCACCTCGATCAGCGCCATTGTTCCGTTGTCGCGAATTCACTTCTGAGCGGGAAATATCAAACCACGACTTCTGAATTGAGGTAAAAGGATCGAGTGATTGATTTTTGAAGGCTTATGAGAGGGAGGCTAGGTCGAAGAGCAGATCGTAGACGTCGTCGATCTGGATGAGGTGGCTATCCGTCGGAATTTCCAAGTCAGCATCCGCATCAGCCTTGGTCGAGTCTGCAGAAGTTCGCGTCGATCGAGGAGCTGGCGTTCGCGCTAGTAGAGGTAATAGCACCGCCGACAGCTCTCGTGGGAACTGCGTCGTCGCGGCTGATCGAAGCGCATTCGTTAACGTATCGGCAGGAACCACAGCGGAGATGCCGAAGCTATGTGGCTCCAAAGCTTGAAAGAGCAACGTAGCTGCGTCCAGGAGTTCTTCAAGAAAGAGGCACATTTGTACGCCTCGATGAAACCTCGTAAGGCCCACAATTTGACTACTTGTCGGCTCCTTGGAGCTCGTAGTATTGGGCAGAGAGAGCGCGGCTTCGATAACTCGCGTCTGTAGGTGCTTGGGGAAGTCCACACTGAGCTGCTGCAGTATTTGCAGGAACGAAGCCTCGCTAATAGTGGAGGGTCCTCCAGCGCGCACCTTTCGAGAGGGGGCAGAACCTTGATTGACTGTCGAGTTCGAACGCGATGGTAGACTGTCGGTGCTGCTGCTGCTCGATAATGAGGAAGTGGTGGCTTCAACCGCTGCCAGGTCATGGAACACCTTCTCAACCGCAGAGGGGAACGACGGACTGCTCGGGTGACACACGCGCAGACAGGAAATCGCCGCAGCAGATCTGTTCGACACCAAACCTTGGAAACTACAGGTGCATGCATATCAAAGAGCATTGGAGTAAGTCGTAGTAGGAAATTATATAACTCGATCTTGGCCACGTACTGAGCAGCGAGTAAAGCTATAGGGACTCGGGGCCGCAGGGTTAGCACCTCTGCCATCGCCGCCGCGAGCATATCCTTCGCCCCGGATTTCACTGCTCAATACACAAGGATCCTGTCAGTCCTTACTCCCTCAAGGTTAGCGGAGATTGCATTCACGCTCCTAGGTAGTCTTCAGGCATAGCTTCACTCGATCGGAGCCGGATCTTGCCTCAATTGGCTCCAGGGTCGCAACAAGAGTGACGCTTCAGCTTCGAGCAAAATACTATGCCTGGGCCATGACACCTTGCAGTGATCGTCCGATGACAGCATTATATTGTACAATATCAATGATTTCCTGTCTAGTTGCGGTGACGAAGGTGCACCTGCAGCTCTTCCTCACCTTGCACCTGCTCGCGAAGGTTTCGCGCGTGGTGACTGAAGCCCTGGAGCTCGAGCATACTGAGCATAAAGTACTTGGCGTCTTCGTGGAAGCGACGGCGCGTCTGCACGGCGATGTTCTTGCGGTCGGTCAGCTTCAACTCGGATCGCACCTTCAGCACGGCGGAGCAGAGGTCCGAGCTGCGGTAATTCGCTGCTGGCGGAGGCAGTAGCAGCGAGTCGTCCGGCACCAGACTCCGGTACTCGGCGTGGGGCAGTGGCGTCAACTGTTGAGTGGGGAACACCACGCCCTCGGCGGGCCCCGACACGAACTCGTTCATCGGATACGCGTCTGCAGTCACGATGACGCCGCCAGCAGCGCGCGCGAGGTCGAGACAGTCGTCCTCAGCGGTCGGACAGACGAAGAACGAGGCGTCCCCGAACTGCTTGGAGAACTTGGTGGCGTTCACCACCTGCACCTTGGTCTCGCTGTTTCCAGGGAATGGTTTGTACAGTCTCGAGCCGTCGTTCTGCTTCTTCTCATGCAGAGCTCGCAGCAGATACACGTCCAGCGGCGGCAGTTCGGCCTTGTGGTTGTTCCAGCAGCTGAAGACGTCCTGCGTCGTCTTGGACGAAACGTTCCACGTCGTGTGGGCGAAGCGCGTGTAGGCGAAGTCCGCCACGTTGTTCTGCACTGGTTCGTCGTCGCGCATCTTCCGCGCGAAGGTGACGGGATCGGGGGTGATCTGACTCGTGTACAGCACTCGAGTGCTCTTAACTGCATGGGCCTTCTCTTCGTCGTTCTCCTCGGTAGCTCGTCGCGTTAAGAACTGCTTGATATCTTGGTCGCAGCGCATGGTTCTGCAGAGCACGACGTCCGTGAGCTCCAGTACCGACCTGGTAAAGTTGGCAGCGTGAGGCACCGGCTTCGTATTGAAGTCTACCGCCGGCGCCATGAGGTACACAGGCTTGGTCTTCGGCCAGGACGCCGAGTTCACGAGCTTAAGCAGATGATCGGGAGACAAGAAGAGCATGGGCGTCTGCGGACACAAATCCCAGTAGTTGCTGCTCTGCCCCGTGGCGATGTCGTACATCTGAGCTTCCAGCGCCCAGTCGGGCAGCAGTCGAGACCGCAAGTACTTGAGCGGCCCCACAATGGCCCCGCACCCGGCAGGACCCCGCGCCTCTGACGGCAGGTAGATGTCCACGTCTGGACATTGCTTCAACTCCTCCAGCAGCCGCGGATCTCCTCTGTGCAGCAGCGACGTGCTGGCTTTCGGGTTGGGGAACGACCGGTCCGCGGCGTTGCCCGGCGCGGCGAAGACCCACGGCAGCACCGAGGCGTTCTCCACCTGGCACGCGGCCTCCAGGAAGCTCAGGTGCAGCAGGTCGTCGGGTGACACCTCGGCGTTGGCGCTGCCGTCGATGGCGCGCCACTCGGTGGATTTGGTAACAGAGGCGGGCGCCGCCAGCGTGAAGAGCTCGGGCCGCAGGTCGTCCGAGAAGAAGGCGCTCTGCGCGTGCAGCGCCGCAAGCTCCCACATGACGGAGCACGCCCCCGTGGTGAGCAGCAGCGCCCCCAGCGAGTGCAGCCACCGCGTGGAGTCGCGCTTGACCTTCTTGCCCATGGCCTGGCGAGTCCGAGAGTGTTGATTGTGGAGCTCTGGAGCTGCACGCAGGCTTTGCGAGCTGCGGGAAAATAACACGGGCGAGCGATCACCGTTGCAACGGACGCTTGGTGCTGCTTGGTTGAACCCAAACGCGACAGCGGGGAAGCTTCGCAACAACAAGGCAAAGGCGGTTCCATGGGATGCCGCCGATTCGAGGCGGTAGGTAAAGTGGTGCGTGGAAGGATGGAAGGGAGGTTCGATCGTCGAGATGAAGGAACCTCGCTGCTTCCTAAGCTCCATTGGAGTTGTGAGCAGTGTAGAAGCGCTTACGTCAGCGAGGGCGTCACCAAACGGTTCCGGTGGAGTGCAAGGTTGCCCTTGCTAACAGCAAATCGTCGAATTAAAGCCCATATGGTGTGGGTGTTACATGTTATAACCCTCGCTTCAATCTGGGTTTTATGGGGAAAACCGTGCTGTAATCACCCAGACTAGATTCTAATACCACGAGTACTATCATGTGATATCACAGGTAAACCTTGCATATTACATGTGGGTGGATGGATGACTCCCTTCTAAGTGCGATTGCGAAAAGGGCGACCAGACGAACTACGCACGAGACCAGACAGGCCGTCAGCCTCCTGCTTCTCTGCACTGCGCTCTCTTGGCGACGCTCTCGTGGACGACAGCGCCAACTTCTCGCCCGGCGGCGAATACCAGTCGCTAGCTGCGCGTCTTGGCTTCATTTTGATCCCTCGCAGCGCGCACAACACCCCGTATTGACCGAGATATCGCGAGTTCAGTGACCAGACCAGCTCAGCTCCAAGTCGCCGCGAAAATGGCGCTCTGTCGGCGCAATAACGTCGTGAAGTGGCCGCAGCTTCGGATAACGGGTAGTCGGCCGCGCTGCAGAGGATGTCACGCCGGTTGCAGCGCGCAGTTCCTCCTGGTTGCGGCGCTGCTGGCCGTCGTAATGACACGTCTAGTGACCAGCGCCAGCGCTCAAGAACCCATCATTTCTCAGGCCCAAGAGTCCTCCGAGCACGCGTACGTCGCCGGCTCGCAGGTGATGACGTGGTGGGGCCAGCGGGGCGACGTGGAGGCCGCCATCACGCAGCTCGGCGGCGTCCAGCAGTGTCCAGAAGCCGTCAACGCGCGTGTGGACCGAGATCTCCTCGAGGACGCGGCGCTGGGTCCGTGCAGACAGAGCGCGGCAGGCTACGACGTCAAACAGCTCTTGCAGCCTTCAGCGGAGATTTTAGTGCCGTCACAGGAGCAGACGACGAGGCTGTGCAGCTCGGAGGCGTGTGCGGCGTGGATCAGTCTCGCCGTCGACGCGACGTGGCTGCCCGACTGCAGGCATCGACAGTCACAGGCCAGCGTCCGATCATTAGCGGAGACGCTGCTGCGCATTCGAGAGGATTTAATGGCGTCGACAAGTGTGGAGACAGCAGTGGTGGCCCCTAATGCAAGCTTGTTCCGGGAGTTCTACCAGTTGAATCAGCTCGTCAACCTGTGGAGCTCCAGAGAAGACATGCAGAACGACGTGGGCGCGCCGGTGATGGAGGTGGTCCGGCATTTGGAGAACTTCAGCCTGATGGGATCGGGCGACAGTCCGGAGCTCAGCGCGGCCGTGGAACCTCCCGAAGGCTCCGAAAGAGCGATGAGTGCAAGCAACGCCGGCTTGAGCAGTCCCAGCAGTGCCAACAGCGCCAGCGCCTCCAATAGCCTCAGCGGTTCTGGAAGTTCCGGCAGCAACGGCAGCTCCAGCAGTTCCAACAGCGTCGGCGAGTTCCCGTCAGGTAGCGATTTCAACTCGAGTGATACTGCTGGCTTCACGAGCAGTGGCGTCGGCCCGCACGCGTCTTCGACGGCGACGACGAGGGAGCTGACGCCTGCTTACGCCTACGTCGTGGGTGCTTGGGTCCTATTTAACGGCAGCTACTTCTTTCTCATGCGAAGAAAGTGATCCATGTGTCCAGGTTTATTCTTCATCGTACATAAGTGTCAGTTTTGTTCTTAATGCTATAATATCTTGTTGTTCTGCAAAATGCGCTTCTTGTCCACGCTTGCCAGCTTTCATGTTATGATCGGAGGACACAGTTCCACTGGGTGATTTTGCGAAGTACAGGTACATCCATTTTGCTTGCTCTTGGGTCTTCTCACCAAACTGCCCGGTCCTCTGTCCTTGGTGGCGGGGTGCACTATTCAAAATCACGAAGGGATCTGCAAAACTAACCTATGGGCTATGGGGACGACGTTCGTGAAGATACGGACGTTGGTGCCGTCGTGACTGTAGCAACACCTACTGATCGTTCGGATCTTGCTGGCCGCTGAGCTGACGTTGAAGACACAAACGATGGACAGGGCGAGGGTACTGCTTCCATTGTCCGTCTTCGAGAAACGCCACTTCGTGATTGTGTCGGAGCAGGAGAGGGACGCACACCACCAGTCGTTAACGCACGTCTTCGTGCAGCTTCATTAGCTAAAGCGTCGTCCTCTTCATCGCCAGCATCTTCAGCCTCATCATCGTCATCGTCCTCGTCATCATCTGGGAGGTAAATGTTACGGCACATTTCACACTGAATGGACAAAACGAAGCAAATGTTAGCGTTGTACTGGACCCAACTGGTGGCAGAAATGCAGGCTGCTCTTACCTGCATCGACAATGGTCGATTGACGAAGGTGCACGAGGGGCAAGACCACGGCTCCATCGGTACAAGCATTGAGGTTTTGCCAGAGTATCGTGCATCAAGATCTTGAGTCATTCGATAGGAAGAGGCGGGCGATGAACACATTGAGAGCGACGACGTCCGGCCCATTGCGCCCTCCCAAGGAGCACGCCCCCCGCCAGCTGTAAGTCCGTCAGCAAACCCACTCGGCTGCGCGGTTGTGGCTGCATCCACCTGCAACGCGGTCTGTAGGAAAATCGCCGCCGAGTCCAGCAAAAATTGGGGTCGGGAACTGTTATGGTCTCCATCTACCTTGACAAGGTTCTTGTCGCCGCCGTATGCCGCGAAGATCTGGTCACTATGGTGTGGCGCCACGAATGAATCGTGCTCTGCAGCGACGAACAGCGCTGGGACAAAGGACACGGGGGCGTGATCTATCGGAGCGAGTCGCCGCAAATCAAAATGAGCTCGCTTCTTCACCGAAGAGCGGATAAACTTGAGCACGATCTTCACCAAAAATCCTGGCAGCGTCAATCCTTCCTGACGTCCGCGTTCCACCACTTCCTCTACGAGCTGCTCAAGACTTGCGAAGGCGCTATCCACGACAATACCTGCAATGGACGGGTCCCTATCTGCATGCAGCAGCGCTGTAGCCGCCCCCATACTGCGCCCCCACAGCGCTACAGCTCCGACATTCCTCTTTGCACGGAGATGCGTCACCACATCCCTCAAGTCGTCCCGCTCGTAGTATCCCAGCGAAATATACTCTCCGTCCGACTTGCCACACCCCGCCGTATCAAACGCCGCAACCGTAAGTCCAGCAGCCAGACACGTCCGCAGCACGCCCAGCGCCTCCAATCTGCACGACGAATTGCCGTGCAAATACACCACACACGGCATCAATTCTTGTGCTGAGGGAGCAGCAGACGACGGCGCCGGCCGCCAATGCGAGCACACAAGCTTCTGTCTGCGGTCGTTCACCACCACAAAGTCCTCCCTCACAAAAGCCCTTCCGGCGAAGGAGAACTCGTCCGGGCCGAGGTCCTCCTGGTCGTAGTCTGTGCGTGGCGGCCGGATGATGAGGTGCACCAGCTCCGTGTAGCCGTGCTTGATCAAGTACCAGTAGCTGAGCTGCGACGACGCCTCCTCCGTGGCCTGCTGCCCCCTCTCAATGCCTCCTCTCTCTTGCTGCATCCTGTCGTCGCTACTGGAGCTGGAGCTGCTCGGAGGCCGTCGAGAACGCCGCGGACGCGGCACGTGGCGTCGGTTCGCTGCTGCTGCGACGTCCCGATCGCTGGGCATCGACGCCGAGCGCCGCTCGCCGCGGATACCTGGCCCGCCCATATCCGATGAGTCCACACTGGACTGCGGGGGTAGCGAGCGCCGCACGGGGCGCGAGGAGCTCGAGCCGGAGGACGACGCTTCCCGGGACTCGGAGTTGCCCATGGTGGAGTCGTTCTTGGCCGGATCCTGATCCTCACAGGGCGATTCTGCAGACGGGAGAACTCTGGAGAGATAGAGCAGACGCGCGTGCAGAAGATGAATGTAACTGCAGCGACTGCAGAGCCTTGGAAGCGGAGATACAAGCGGCCGACGCCCGTCGAGGTGCCGTCGCGGGCAGCTCGCGTCTTGCCGATTGCGTTCCGCAGCTTGCGGTTTTGAGCTCGAAGACTGTTATTTTCAGTCGAGGGGTCGGGTAAATGGAGTTTTCGTCGAATCAACACGCGGGAAGGCACTGGATTTCGGCGAATGAGACGCGTGCGCGGCCATAGGGTGGACTGGCACTGACTTGACTCGGTCTGTGTCCAGTTGCCGTTCGCACGCCCAACGTAGCAGCGCAAACGATGGCAAACCTCCGAGCTTACAATATCCTAAGCCTGCCTGCCCGCCCTGTTGTTTTAAATTGCGTGCAAAGTGCATGCAACTTGTCGATACATATCGTGGCTGCAATTCGGTTTGACGGAAGGCTCGACGCGGGTGACGTCACGCTTCAATTTCATCTCCACTGTTGACGGCGGTGATGAACATGTTGCGGGATCGAACGGAGCGGTGCGGCCTCGACTTTGGCGCCGCGACGCGTCGAAGGCTCCGCCCGCGAGATTTGAATCGCCGCCGCCAGCGCGATCCCTGGAACCGAATGGAGGCCGCATGCAAGTGTGTGTGCTGCTGCTCAACACGAACTTCGACCACCAGCGTCAACTCAACTCTCCTCCTTCTTATTCTCCCACTCACTCGTTACTTCCACCGACCGCAACAGCCAAAGAGCACGATCGCCGTTTTGGTCACCCACCACACACAAAACACGAAGAAAAAGGCAACATTTTGATACGCATCGAAATGACAGCGCTCTATTCACGTTCGTTACACAAACCGGCAGCTTCCGCGTAATTACGTGGTCAAAAGCCCGGTCGTTTTTACGCGGCGGCTCCCCCAGTCCTAGCAGCCAACCACTGGCTGTCGCGGGGCTCCAAAGCGGCGGCTTTTTGACTGGGGACGTAATTTCTGAAATCGGACTAGAAGACAGGTAGGCATGTATCTTGACTTGGGGGCGCCGTATCTCGGCCTCTAGGGCTCCTAGTCGCACGGCGCCTTGACGACGACGTAGCCCAGGCGCTGACTAACCCGCGCGTATGCTGTCCACCCCCGCAAATAGACCTCAGCAACCATGGTGAACATGCCGAAGGAACGCCGCACCTTTTGCAAGGGCAAGAAGTGCCAGAAGCACACGGTGCACAAGATCACCCAGTACAAGGCCGGCAAGGCCTCCAAGTACGCCCAGGGCGCGCGTCGCTACAACGACAAGCAGAAGGGTTTCGGTGGCCAGACCAAGCCCGTGTTCCACAAGAAGGCCAAGACCACCAAGAAGATCACCCTGCGCATGGAGTGCAAGGAGTGCAAGACCAAGAAGCAGCTCCCCATGAAGCGCACCAAGCACTTCGAGCTCGGCGAGAAGAAGAAGTCGACCGGCCACCAGTACTAAGTGCGCTAGGCTCGAGCAGGTTTCCGGTCTGCGGGCGTCACTGCTAGGAGCTGTGGTTGGCTGGCTGGGACGCGGTGCTGCTGCTGCTGCTGCTTCGGCGTGGGTTAACTGATCGGTCTTCGAACGACGATGTCACTCAACGATGACTGGGGCGAGGTGGACAGGTGCGGCCGCAGGACGCTCTGCGCCGCTGCGGAGGGAGATCTGCTGCGGCGGATGGAGAGCTGCAGAACAACAGGGCGAGCTCGGTAGTGCCTCAAATCAAAGCCATGGTCGTATTTTAGTCCTGAAACAGTGTCAACGTTTGCTTCGCCTGCGTTGGGGGGTGGCGTGTACGTGCACGTTACAGGTGCAGATCAGGTTGAGGAGAGCAGTGGAGATGGAGCAACGTGGGAGCTTGGAGAGCGAAGTGTTCCTCAAGATCAGGATTTAGGTGCGACTGCTGACGCGACAATAGTGATCCTCCTGACCGAAGCGACGTGGAGCAACGCAACACCGATAGCAGCAGCAGGATCTTCGCGCCGAGGTGCGATAGCAGTAGCGTTCTTGTCAAGAGGGGTTTGATGAAGGTGCTCGAGGTGGCAATGGACCGCTTGTGCTCCAACTCGTACAGTGCCAAGTAGACAGAAGGCTGTAGCTGTTTACCTTCAATGACACGTTCTTCTCGCACAGCACACGCATCGCCCCGCTTAGCAGAGAAGTTTAAGGCTCCACTGGAGTATATACACGGCCGTGCTAAGCCAACTTCAATGCGCAATATCTTGAGAGCTGTCGCTCAAATAGATAGCGTTCACGTAGTGCGAGCAAACTCTTGTGCTATTGCGTAAGGCTAGCAGATTTACCTTTGATTGGAGTCAGAAGAGCAGAACTGACAGCCAAACTGCTGCAGCAAAACCGGTAGCGCTAACTAGGCGAAAGATTTTGATCAGCAACCGCATGCCGATCGCGCACTCTCTTCAACCGTCTTCGAGAGACCGAGCGACAGACATCGAAGTGGAGGGTGACACAACGCTCGCCCCAGCTCCAGCGCCGACCTACGGACGATTCCGATTGTTTGGTTCATGCACTCGGGTGTCGAACAAGCAATGGTATGTCCAGTGTGAGTGGACTATCATGAAGTATTTGAATGTTCCAAAATCTGACCTTGCTTCGCCAACGCAACTCGCGGAGCTACACGAAGCAACTACGTTTCAGTCCGTACTATTTCGTAGTAGCCTGGATGGATAACACTATTAGCACTTTGGATGACTCTGGAGCAGTGGCGCAAGCTGACAGAGCTTACGGATGGGGTGGTTCGAATCGCCACGGCCAAGTGCACCAGCTAAATCGCGTTGTTCCCGCTCTTGCACGTTGGCGTTGCAAGCACCTTTAAGTGAAGATACGGCAGCCCAAGTTGTACATTTTAAGCCTGGTAAGAGGGCATCGCGGCAACTTTAAGAAGTTTTTGATGAAATCTCAAGACGTTTTTTTCGGTAATTAAGGGTAAAGATTGTTTGTTGCTCTCTTCACTTCCAAGAATCTTTCCCAGCGAAAAACCTTGTCCCTAGCAAGCTCACAGTTGGAGTTCTTCCACGCTATTCAATCTTTCCACAGCTAATACCTCCAGCTCTGCGATGGAGGCAACCACTGATATCGAGGTGACCGGGCTTACTACATTTGCCCCACCTCCGTCTCCACCCTTCCGCTATGCGATCACACTGAAGGAAGAGCGCTTGAGCATCTGGATGGCGGAACTCGGGTCGAAGAAGCAATGGTCAAGTGCTTTTTCTAGTACTAAGTAGCTTCCACTGCGTATTAGATGGCCATTTAACGCGTATGTATTCCAATTTCTCAGGTATCTGGGTAACTTGGAGCAAGCGGACTACGTGAAGCCTCAGTATAGCATCCCCGGGGCCAGTGCTACCGACTATGTTAAGGCAAGTTTGAGTCAAGCGAAAATTACCACGAAACCTTCCTTACCCAGTTAATGTTTTTTTATTCTGTTGTAGTTATTCTTCGACTTACTGAACGGCGATGTGGATGCGCGCAAACTGACAGCCTTGGCGACTGGAGACGTTCAATTAGAGCTGCGCTTTCAAGTCAACCCTCGTTTCTAGTCGTGGGTTGCAGTTTACGAGCTCACTCTCGCTCCTGGGTCTATCGAAAGGGTCAACGACTTGGAAGAAAGGCTGCACTACAACGAGGACGAGTTGACTCGACTACGTACGGAAGCGAGTGCCCAGAACGCCATGATCCAGCGGCTGAATGACAGTCTGAATGCGTTGCAAGGTGACGATGTGGAGCAATTACGTGCGCAGCTGAATGAGCAGCAAATTAAGCTGGGGCAACAACACGAAGAGCTCCAAGAGCGCCACGTCGTCGTACTTGAAGCTACCGGGACAAATGACAGGGGAAACGGTTGCTGGAACCAAGTGGCCTCAGCCGATGTCGTTGTGGACGACGACAGCAGCGTTGTACGCGTTGCCCCGGCCGACGTTTACGTCGTTTATGGCCTCGTTGAGGTCCCGCACGAGGATTTCCATCAGAGTGCGTGGCTCCTCAAGAATGGCAAGAAGTACCGCCCAAGCTACGACGTGGGCGTTTCTGTAAGTGGCGTGTCCTACACTTTGGTCGCTGCAATGATTCCACTACGGGAAGGAGATATATTCCGATTCAACAGCGTGAAAGATGTTCAAGCGTTCCCGTTCGCGTACATTTGGGGCATGAGCAACCGCGCCGACTCGGATACCCAGTGATAGTTCTTGAATTGAATTGACTCGCTTTTCCTTTTTCTAAGAAACGCACTCTCATCTAGCACAGTACACAACATACAGCAATAACGACTCACATTTTTCTTCTGGAGTTGGCAGGGAAGATGGCATCAACGGAATCTATCGAGATCGAGGGCATTACGACGTTCCCGGTGTCTCCGTTGTACCGCTACATCATCGAACTCAAAGACGACAAGTTAACGATCTGGATGGAAAACCAAATAGACAAAAGTCAATGGAAAGAGATGAACACTGACATGCTTTGGTTCTTCCTCCACCTGCTCACTGCTTTTTTGTTGCTCGTTCACAGGTTTAGTGGCGGCTTCAGCAAAGCCGACTTTGCATCGCCTACGAGTGCTCTCCCGTGTGCGTCAGCCGCTGACTACGTAAAAGTAAGGCAGTATATTCTCCTCCGTTTGTTGCGTGGATCTGACAGCTCTTATATATTTTATACCGAGAACAGTGCCTGCAGCAAGCTTTCGACATTGAGCTCAGTGAAAGTGGCGACGCAACGCGCGCCCTGACACAGGCGGAAGACGGCTCTATCCGACTCAAGTTGACGATGATATTTCGTCTTCTGTGCTCGACGTGGACAATGGAGAACGTCTTCGACCTCAAGCCTGGAACCATTGCGCGAATCAACGCCTTGGAGACGAACGTGCGCGAGCAACGCGAGCTGCTGGAGGAACTACAAGGCGGTGAAGGCGCGGCCACGACCGAACTGAAGGCGATCCGCAAAGATGCGTCGTCCAACGTGTACTGGGCAAAAGTTGACTCCAAAGATTGCATCGTGTCGGAAGATACTCACCGAGTTGTTATCTACCGCACGGGTGTCTACCTGCTTGCCGGAGACACAAAAATCGCACCAGAGAGCTACCACGATACTGTTCGAGTGATGAAGAATGGAGCGCGAGTTGAAGTCTACGACTTTGAGAGGCAGGGCAGGGGATGTTTTGCTGCGATCATGCGCTTGAGTGCTGGAGACAGCGTCACAGTCCAATGTGAATGCAAGGTTGACGACCTTATCGATCTGGATTTGGTTTGCCTGAACCACCCGGATTAGTTGGGATTAACGAAGGAGGACCGCCACTGAAGGCTAACACGCGCCTGCACTCGTTCACCAGTTAAGACGATGAATGCACAAGAAGAATATGTTGTCACAACTAAATTGACGCACAAATGATACTTTTACCGTGGCGAACGCCTTGGATACCGCGAGATAGCACGCATCCGGCAAAAAGAGACATAAAAAATATTGTCTGCACTCAGGTGAATTTTTGTTGGCAACTTCATCCATGGTTCTCATGCGCGAAATCCATTGCTTGGAATTCTCCTCACCGTTAGATTTACGCAAATTCTCAGAACAACGTGATTCTTCGTCTTCGCAACCCATCGGTGAATGAGCTCAGTGCCACAACTCGTTTTCCGGCGAAAAGGTAGCAACCAGCCCAGAGAATCTGTCGTGCCTTGCCCCCAAGATGGCGGCTTTGCAGGATATTGAAGTGGAAGGCGTCACTGCGTTCGCACCGCCACCCGCAACGACCTATCACTACACCATCACGCTCAAGGACGACACACTGGGCATCTTCATGGAGGACCGTGCCACCAAGAAGCAATGGTACGAATGGTGCTGCTACCTCACGACTCTAACAACCGGTAAGGTTGACGAGGTGTTATTTATTTTTCTAGGTACAAGGGCAGTATGGACGAAAGCGACTACGTATCGGCTGCGAACGCGGTTACGGGCGCTACACCAGCGGACTACGCGAAGGTATACTGGAGTTATATGCGTTGAAGGTATGCGGGGCTGACGTGCTATGTCTTGCTAGTGTTTCCGAGATGCGCTAGGCTGTGAACTCGATCGGTCAGGCGATTCGTCGCGCGATTTGGAGATTTTGAAGGAGGGCGCTCTGCGCCTGCAATTTTTCCGTCCGGATCCGAGGTCTTCACTCTTCCAAGGTGGTGACGTACTCTTTCGAGCTTGAACCTGTATCCGCTGAGCGAATTGACGCTCTGGAGGCCAAGCTGCGTGACCAGCAACACGAGCTGGAGCGTCTCCGCCGAAAGGTCGACGGTGGACGAGTGCGGACGTCTATTCACCTCAGCGCGTCAAGCAAGGATGCAACCAGCTCGAATCTGTTGCTTCAAACTCCGTCGTGGCAAAAGGTTGACTCGAGCAACTTTACGGTGGACGAAAAACTCGGTGAAGTGAGAGTTTGCCACGCAGGCGAGTACAGCATTACCGTCGTGGTGGATGCGAGTGCGAATGGTTACAATCCGGTTACTTCCCTGTTGAAGAACAGCAACGTGTTGCAGAATGACGGTTGTAGTTGTGTGAGCAATCGTAAAGTCTACCTGGAACAGGACGATGTGGTGACGGTCAAGTGCGACTCCGACGTCACTAGCGCCTGTCATGTGTCGATCCTCCGACTTCGACGTTGAAATCCCTTCGAGGATGGAGAAAGCCTCGTCACTCACAAGTCCTTGCCAGCTTTGGCTTTTTGGTTTTCTGTATGGTGGCAGCTTTGATAACTCCGTGGTAGCGAAGTGTAAGATAATGGAGCCCTATCATTTTCATTGCAACATTGCCCTTCCACTTATTCGCAGTTCGAAGAACTGTGTTAGGCGGCCTTCGATACGTTTGATGCATTGACATCCAGCATTGCTGACAGAATAATGCACTTACGTGTCGAGTTTTCAGGCGTGTCAAAGATCGCCTGCTACTGTTACATATTAAATTCTTTCAGATTTACGCGGCCAATGGTTATGTAGTTGATCAAGTTAAAAAATGCAGCTGTCCACTTGGCATTTGTGCTTCCCGTTTCTTTTTTCTTTGTCATCTATAGCTAAATTCGAAAAATCCTTTAAAAAAATATTATGCACTGATACCCCGTCACCAATTTCGTGGAATAATAGATATGAAGGCTAGTGCAGATCTAATGCGTGGTACGTACCAACGAATTCGATAACAATTTGTTGCAAAAGAGTCCGAAGCAGCAGCGGATAATGACTCTTTGCCCGACATCGGGTTGAATGGCAAGATGGAATATGTATAATATTCTAACCTTTCAACCATTGTGGTGCTTGCATCTAAATCACATGTGCAGGAAATCGAATGTAAGTGTTGGTAGTCGCAAGACAGCTTGTTCGACTGCTAGGTAGTCGAAGGAAACCACTCACATTTAGTCCGTTTAGGGCATTTTGATATTGCTCAACTCGCCTGAGTGGTGGTTTCATTAGGGGGGAATAAGAAAGTATCACCATTTGGTGGCTAGGTCATGGTTGCAACAGCGATGTGCGTGGCATTCGCGAGATGCTGCTATGGACGGTCAAAGAAACTCCCTGTGTCATCTTTTGCACGAATTTCCATTTTGAGTCACCGTCCGGAATTTTACCTTTACCTTTTTCCTAAGCATTTACCGATGAGAACTGCCCTCATGGCCTGAGTCCCTTATTTTGATTTGCGGAAAAGTTCGATTCAGCGGGTTGACATTATCTCTCCTGGTAACTTACTTGCACTTAGCAGTGTGCTGCTCGTGAGCCTGATCGCCATCCACTAACATTGAAATCATGTGTCTGTACTGGGCTATCCTGAACTCTTCCATCCAAATGTTCACTTTTGAGTCGACAGTGTAGGGGTAGGAGTGAATGTTGCCACACCCTCCACCTTGATATAATAGCTTGCAGCGCCGCCATGTCTGGACCATGAATTGTGGAACTAAAAATTCAAATGAAAAGGATGCGGCAAATTGTCATCAGTCACTCAAAACTGATGCGTTAGCTTTGATGACCGATCCAGTTGAACAAGTTGAACCCGGATACATCTTTGACTGAATTTCTAGACATCAAGCTCGTCCACTTCAGCAACGAGGGCTTCGCGGGCGCGCACGGCTTCATGCGACACCGAATAAACCCTGTGCCGGCTGCGTAGCAGCATACCTTACGTTACACATGCTATCTCAGTAAAATAATGGGAACATAGTATTCCCAGCTGCGCCCTGGTAGCTTTGTACAAGCGTTGAAGGCTTGTGGCATGGGACAGGTTCAGATAGTTTTTGCCAATACAAAAATTCAACAAAAACATCAATACGCTTTCCTTTAACCTTTGGGTTCAACCTTTCACCTACAGGCAGGGTTCCAAAGAACCCATGTTTTTCAGCCAAGCTGGGAGGGTGTTACACTTCAAGAGGGTGGGTGGGATAAATAGGACGGGTTTTAATAGGGACGGTTCAGCACGGTTTAGCCTAGGTTTGGCCAATTTTGAGAAGTAATGGGGCGGTTCGGGAACGGTTCAGCACGGTTCAGCCTGTTTGGGACGGTCTAGGGGAGTTATGATGTCACTTGCGCGGTTTTGAGTAAGATTGCCATTGTTGGTGGCTGTGGTGGTCACGATATGGGCTTGGCTCGAGTCTCGGTCCGGTACCCTCTCTAAAGTCTACTGTTTGGTATAGTGGTTGGCTCTCCGTATGAGAGGCTTTGGGCATGGAAGCATCTAGTAAAACCGATAGTTCTTATCTCACTTACGCATTTGCACTAAGTTACGCAACAAGTTCAAGCTTCCACGAACCATGGCCTTCTCTTCGCTTTTGACCCAGCCGGTTTCCTCAGTTACTGCTGCCGACTTAGCGTCGAGCCTCGCGGGCTCTCCAGTGCGAGCTGCAGTTTCAGCAACCCCTTTACCCCTTGGTGACTTGGGCAAGGAGCAGACCCAGCAAGCTTCGACGGAGCTAACCACGAATGCTCAGCCGGCCAAGCGTGGACGCAGCAAGAACCCCGCCTGGAACGAAGTCATCGTTGCAGACGGCATCGTGTCTTGCAAGCGTTGCGAGCGCATCATTCACCAGCTGGGCGAAACTCATGTCGAGCGCGTGCGACACCACCTGCAGAAGAAGTGCAGTAAGCGGCTCAAGACCAAGTCGATCGCTTCGTCTTTCCCAGTGGCGTTAACAGCTGCCCAGGTGACTGCTTTTCAAAAGCAGTTTGCTCTGTGGTTTTACTCCACCGGCATGGCCTTCAATAAGGCAGTCCACCCTATCTTGTTGCATGCGCTTCAGATGCTCCACCCTGGTGTGGTGATCCCAACCGCCCACTAACTGTCGACGACGCTGCTAAACATGTGCTACGGCGACTTCAAGGTGAAGTGGTGCATAAGGTCACGGCAAGAAGTGCACGCTCTACACTGACGGCTGGACGGACGTGAACGGCAAGAGCGTGATTAACTACGTGCTGGAATGTGAAGGCGAGTCCTATTTCTTGGGGTCCGTCTACACTGGAAGCACGTCGCATGATGCAGTCTTCCTGTCGGCTGATGTGAAGAGAGTGCTCGAGGCCGCGAAGTTTACGACCATCGTTGCCGTTGTCACCGACAACACGGCCACCAACCAGCTGATGTGGTCGACGCTGCGGCCTGAGTATCCGGACATCTTCTTTCATGGGTGCATCGCGCACGTGATCCATCTGATTGTCAAGGACATGGTAGCCAAGTTGAAGTGGTTGGGCAAGCTGCAAGAGGACTGCCGCAACATGGTGAAGTTTTTCAAGAAGCATCAGCTGCTGTGGGCGGAACTGCGTCGCATGCAACGTCTGGAAGGCAAAAACGCGCTGGTGCACCCTGCCGAACCGAGGTGGGGCACCATCGAGAAGTGCTTCAGGACTGTCCTGGAATCGGAAGGCATCTTGCTGGCAATGGTGACTCGACGAGAGTTTCTAAAGGCGAAGTCCAAGGAGCAAAAGGCAAAGCGACGCATGGCGCATGATGTGGTCACAGCCTCCGACTTTGTCCCCCGGTTGAAGAGAGCCATCGCGCTACTGAGTTTGCTGTCCGCGACGCAGAAGGAGTTCGAGGGGAGCTCTCGTCCCATCTCAGACGTGTACCGGATGTTCATCGACCTCCCAAAGAAGTACAACAACATGTCGATGCCTATCGGGGAGTTCGGCGTCATCTCAAGCATTTTGGAGGAGCGCTTCGACTTCGTGTATGGAGATGCCCACCTGCTCGACCCGCGGTATGGCGGCGAAGAAATGGACGATGACACAAGGGAGAAGGTCGTGGATTTCATTGCTAGCTGGCACGGGTCCGATCTTGAAGATGCTGCGACTGCGGAGATTCTGCGGTATCAGGCCTTCTTACGCAAAGGTTCGCGGGAGCTCAAGTTGGTGAAGGATGGTCGAGTGTCGGTTCGAGAGTTCTGGGGTGGGCCGACTGGTTTCCCACTGCTGCGGCAACTAGCGACCCGCGTCTTCGCAGCGGGGTGTTCCAGTGCGGCAGCCAAGCGGAACTTTTCAACCCACAAGTTCGTCCACTCCGCAGTTCGCAACCGCCTCAAGTAAGGGAGCGTTGAAAAGTTGGTGTTCATCTTCTTCAACGCGAAGAACATGGACACTGACGTTTAGTCTTCATAGTCGCTGGTGCTGTCGTTGTCGTCGCTGGATAGCTCCGAATCAGAGTCCTCGCCATAATGAGGGCCAAAGTTGTTCAGTTGACGCGCGATTTCCGCTTCTTCAACTTGCGCTCGAGCTGGAAGCTCGGCGTACGCCGCCGGGAAGACTGGGTATCGGCACACTGGACATGTAGCCATCATTTGACGGGCATTAATGTGTGCGTTGATGCACCGCCGGCAAAAGCGCTGGTGGCACCGCCTGCAGTGTAGAGCGTTACGAAGCGGTTCTCGACAGATGACACATATGTCATCGTCAGTCGCAGTAGGTTGCTGCACCACTGGTGCCGCCGCAGAAGCCGCCGCAACAGGTGGCCGTATTGGTGGCGCTGCTACAGCAGGTGTATTTTGGCGTAATGCAGGTCTTATCGCGGCTCCTGCTGTTGGCGGCGCCGCCTGTGCTTGTTGGCATGATTGACGCGCCACTGCGGCGGCTGTGGCGACGGCGGCAGCTTGAAGTCTCCGCCGTTCACGGCGGCGAGCATTACGTTGATTCCGCCTCTCTGCTTCAACCTCCTGCGGAAAGCGGTTTGTATAACAGACTTGCCGCCGTAAGTGCTGACGCACGGACGCTGCGTGTGTGAACGTCCTCCCGCATAGTGGGCAGGAATATGCACCTTCACCTTCCATTCTAAATGATAATGCGAGTTAGGCCAAATAGTGCCAATGGACCCTAAATATATGTAGTTCCCGCTTGCTTCTATATATAACCCAATATACCCGTGTTGTTATTTTTGTGGGTGGGTGGATCGTGCAAAATACCCAAAACCCATTTATTCTAAAACCCAATTTGAGAACCCTGCCTACAGCCGAGGTGGCATTCCAGAATCTGCCGCTAGAGGAGAGGCGTCATGGATACGGCCATAGACGTAGCGGTGGTGACGCTCTACTGTGCCATCGTTGGTGTCGCCGGAAGCGTGTTTAGTGTAACCATCGAATCGACCCCGAGAAGACGGTGCTGGCCTTGAAGAAAGAAATCAAAGAGAGCGGAGCGCGCTACTTGAAGAATGTCATGGAGGACGATCTGCAGCTCTTTGTGGCAAAGACGGACAGCAGCTCGAGGAGAATGAGGCGAGTGACGGTTGGAGTGACACACGCGGCATGAAGCAGTTGAGGGTTGATCGAGCGCAGCTACGCACGAAGGCAGTGGGTCTGCCGCGCGGTCAGTTGCAGGAGGAGGCGGGCCCATACACGTGCTGGTTGGTGTTCGGGTGGGCGTTGATGTCGTAGCGGAGCGGACCATGACTGGCAGGAAGATGACGCTCGAAGAGCTGCAGTCTGAATTCCCAGCACCATCATCGTTTGCGCACCATAGGGGGAAGCACGGATGGCAAACCATTCGGACCAAGCACAAGGACCAGATCATTTGCCATCGGTTGACAACGGCAATCAATAAGCCGTCGCTACCGATCGTCCTGCTTCACCGTTCCTTTGCAACGTTTGAGAGAAATTGTGCTGAGATCCGCCTTGACGGACGTGACTGTGATTTTGTTGCGCGTTTTTGCGTGGCCATGTCGGATGGATAAGACACCGAGGCTTCCTTGGTCAATACTGCAAGGAAAATGCTGGAACAGTACCTCTTTGACGGATGGGCGTCTGGGGCGACGATCGTCCCCGTTCAAGTCGACGACTCAACGTCCGATGGATCGTATCTATATGGGAAATCGTTGCTGCTGAACTTGGAAGTGAAAATACACAAAAGCGCGAGAGAAGGAGACCCCACGATGCAGAATATCGGGTACTACATCAAGTACCTGCCATCCCGTATCGACGGGTCCATGCCTTGCTATTTGCTAGACATCTGCGGACCGCTCCTGAGTGTTTTCGGCGTCATCAACCTTGGTGACGAAGCTGTCGTGTGCGAGCCACTGGTGGCTAGTCTCCCCTTGCTTTACTTCGACACCCCACTATTGACATCCCTGGCTCGTGTTTGTGCGTCGTTGAAAGTTGCGATGCGCGAGCTAACTAGATAACTTGAAGACGGGAACAAGCAGGTTGTTACCAGTGATGTTACACGCTTCACGTTCCCATACAAAGATACAGCGTTGATCGATGGTGAAGAGGTGAAGCTGACGTACGAGGCTGCGATAGTTCGCTACGTCTTTTGTGCGCGACTTGCTCCATCGCAGACAAAGGTCATCGTCAAGTTTGCCAGACAGTACGGTAGCGATGTGCATCAGTACTGTGCGAACGAGGGCTTCGCTCCGAAGTTGTTGAGTCACGAAGTTCTTGTTAACAATTGGGCGTTCGTTGTGATCGCATAATTTACCAAATCGCACAGTGTACAGTATAAGATTTGCACCCTCCAGTACACATTCGAGGTAATGAGCAGAGGCGAAAGCGCGAAGTGAAGATTCACTGCCCTGGTGCTTACAGTAGCTGTGGTGAACTGCTACTAAACAACAATGTGATAGGGCAGATATGAACAACCGCCCCAACCTCTCGACGGTGGCTACGCCTAAACCAAAGCGACCAATTGACGACTCCAAGGTCGATGGCACCTACTTTTCGACGATACGAATTTCTGGCTTTGCAACTTGAAACAAAACTAATGGGAGAGCAAGTTGGTGATGCCTAAGCCAAAATCTTGATTTTAGTTTCTGTAACCCACACCTGTACATGCAGTTCATCGGAAATATCTCGGCTTATCTAGCGGGAGTTAGTGTATGAATAAGTGAAAGTTTCAGCAAATATTATAACAAATTACTATGTAGTGCTCAACAGTTCGTTCATGAGCTCGTCAATCTTTTCCAACATGCAGCAAACCACAAGAAACAACAACTCGCAAGAACTTGCATTTGCAGTTGAGCACACCCAAATGCTCCACACGAAACTCATTTGTTCCTCACATTTCTTGCGTGACCGAAGCATCAACAGCCAAGTCGAGCAATCGTCAGGTAAGAAGCGCTTGCGATATCACAATCGCACTTGACAGTCAGCACATCTCCAGCGTCCAGACGCGTAATAACACTCAAAGTCGAAGTACTCGCATAATTGCTCTGATATCGGCAGTGAACAGTCTGCAGCACGTCGCCGTTCTTCATCAGGTAAGACAATTGGTTGTGGCTATACGCAACAGCGTTCGACACGACGGCAATGGTATAAACGCCTGGGTGACCAATTTTCACTTCACCGAGGTTTTCGTCCACTGCGAAGTTGCTTGACCCAACACCTTGCCACAAAAGATTCGATCTACTCGCATCCTTCGCCGATGCCACCAACTCAATGAACGAAACCTCTTGCCCTCCATCAACTTCTCCACGGAGACGCTCCAACTCGTCCTGCTGGTCACGCAGCTTCGACTCCAGTACGTCAATTCGCTCAACCGAGACCGGTTCAAGGTCGAAAGAGTACGTCGCCACCCTCGTCGCGCGAAGAACACGGATCGGAACCGCCAAACCCAGTCGAAGAGCCCCGCCTTTAACGGATTTCAACTTGCGCAATGCGTCCTTCGCCTCGTCGAGCTCACAGTCTAGCGCGTCACAGAAGCACTGCAACAGGATGCAAGTCAGCCCTCGATCCCCCCAGCGATTACATTTTTTTCAGTTCTTTCACGAACCTGCAGGTAGTCGGCTGGACTGGCGTCCGTGATCGCATTGCTAAGTGAAATGTAGTCGCTTTTCGCCATGTCCCTTGTACCTGGAAAGTTAAACGGACCAGTCCTTACATCAGAACTTTGCTACTTCGAAGAAGCAATGGTAACTTTTCACGTTTTTTTACTACTACTACTACTAAGTACTTTTTCATTACCATAAGAGTCTTGTTCGCTACGAGTGAACGGAATGATCATTTGGAGTCGAAGGTGCAAGACCAGCAGGATGAGCTGGAAATGCTTCGAGGCGAAATTCGACGCCTTCAGGCGCCGCCCTTAACCCAGTTCAAGGTCTACAAGACAAGCTCACAGTCTAACCTTGGCTGGGATAAGGAGGTCATTGCCTCGACTGGGCTTGACGGGGTTGTTAAAGTTCTACGCACTGGTGTCTACAACATCGCGGTGAATGTTTCGACATTGGGTGCTGACAATACACTTGTTATGCTAGTCAAGAATGGCGAGACGCGCGCGCAATTGATCGCGTCGCATCTTTCAACATGATTGAGCGGTTTGAGGTGAACGATGCATTTTTCGTTTGGAGTGCAGGAACTCTGGCTAGCACCGCCTTGGAAGCTGAGGACTCAACCAACATCGGTAGTATGAAGAGATATCCCGGGTTTCAACTCCAATTCACCCATTTATATAGCACCTGAAACACTTTCATACCATAATGTGGCTTTTGTTGTAGTGGCGAGAGCAGCAATGAACACTCATATCCCGGATAGTATCCTTATTGATGCTTTGTAGAGATACGTAAAATGTCAAACAGCCATGAACGTTTTAGTCTACGATTGTGTGTACAGTTTTGTAAAAAAACAAACATGTAACACCCTTATTGATGCTTTTGAATAGGGGTTTCACCATGCATTACTTAACTGCAGGTGTCCATTTCAGCTATCAGTTTTCAAGTGCCACAATCCTTTTTCCAGCGCTGCAGCAGCTTCGCGTCCCAGTCATGGCTGCACTGCAAGATACCAAGGTGGAAGGTGTGGCGATGTTTTCTAATCGACCAACGCCCTACCGCTACGCTATCGGGTTGAGATGAGCATTTGGATGGAAGACGGCACGTCCAAGAAGCAATGGTACAGTACATGAGCAGTCAGGCAGGCGTAATACTTCCCTGCGTTAAAGATATCTAATCAGTAGCATGTCCTACAGGTACAAGGGCGACATGGCCAAGTCCGACTACATCTCTCAAGGTTCGTTGAAATATGTACTGCTGTATGCTGATTGACTCAGACTGATACTGCCTTAGTACTTCCAAGATACTTTGGACAGTGACCTGCACAACACCAGTGACGCGCAGCGGAGGTTGTATGCCCTAACCGATGGAGCTCTTCGTCTGGAGCTGGTTGTCACCATTCGAGTGCTCCATTCGACGTGGCTGGCCAAGTACGAGTTTAGTCTCGACCCCGTCTCGGTTGAGCGCATTGATATCTTGGAGTCGAAGCTACGAGACCAGCAGGATGAGCTAAGGAATCTCTGCTGTGACGTTCTGAATGGGTCGACACCACACTACGTGCAGCTTGAAGCCGCGACCACGGATATACACTCTAGGCTGTGCTGGAAGAAGACTAGTTCCAACGCTTTCGTGGTTGACGAAAAAACCGATGTGGTCGACGTGTGCGCCCTGGGGCTCTACATGATGGCAGCAGTGATAAACAGCACCCCAGAGTTATTCAAGCAGAGAGCTGACCTACCTCCAAGATGGAGCGCTTCGACTGGAGTTCGCTATTACGATCCGAGTTTTGCGCTCCACGAGGGTTGCCAAGTTCGTTTTTTCTCTCGATCCGATCACAGTTGAGCGGGTCGACGTGCTGGAGTCAAAACTACGCGATCTACAGGACGCGTTGGACACACTTCATATTGACGGTGGGCGAGCCCTCCCATTCATCCAGCTCCACGCTACGTCCAAGAATCAGCGCACGCGCTTGATCTGGGATAAGGAGAACTCGGATGGCTTCACCGTGACTGGACGTGATGGTACTGTGAAAGTTTCGCGTGGAGGCGTTTACAACATTTGCGCTAGTATCACGGGCAAATCTGGCGGCAATACTATCGTTCGACTGTGGACGAACGATGTGTGTATCCACTTTGCCTACAGTATTCCCTCGAGCGGATTTTACGGCTCCACGTTGCTGAACTCCATTGCGCGACTGAACGAAGGAGACGTGCTGGTGGTGACGTGTGATTCCGATCTCTGGGATACGTCCTACCTCTCGTTGGTGCGCCTGGGAAACTGAAGCTAAACCAGCATCGATGACTTTGCAGTTTTTCATTTCTTTTTAAGCAGAATTTCAATTTATGTCAACACGCATCCATCGCTGGTCATGCTCATGACGGGCTGCTGTCCATTTCCGATTTTTTCCCAGCATTCACACTCCCAAGAAAAGTTGCAGTGTTTCATGATGGCAACAGCGGACGATATCAAGGTGGAAGGCATCACTACTTTCAACACGTCTGCAACTCCTTCCTTCCGTTATGTCATCGAGTTAAAGGATGAGAAACTGAGCGTGTCGATGGAGGACCGCTCCAGCAAGAAGCAGTGGTAAGAGGGAAATTATCGTATGGATTTAAAAGAATTTGCTGTAACTAAAACCCGTGCCGTCTCCAACGCAGGTACACGGGAGAAATGGAAAAGAGCGCTTACATCACTGCAAACAACTCGATTACGGATGCATCAACCACCGACTACGTTAAAGTAAGTGGACTTATGCATAACTTTTACCAGCAACACTGTACTAAACTCCTTCTGTAGCTCTTCCGTGACGCCCTGGATTCCGATCTGAATTCGTCGGGCCAAGTGCAGCGGAAGCTGACGACACTAAATGGCGGGGCAGCTCGACTGGAATTCGCTCTGAGCGTCCGTGTCCTCCGCTCAGTGTGGCTCGCAGAGTACAAGTTCGACCTCGAGCCTGTGTCGGTGGAGCGAATCGACGTCTTGGAATCCAAACTGCGCGATCAGGAGGAAAAGCTGGAAAAGCTGCAAGCAGATCGAGCATTATCCGGGCAAAACGCCGCGTTCATTCACCTTGTGGCCACTACGAAAGGTGACAGGTCGAGGCTTCGGTGGAGCAAGTTCGAGTCTGAAGATTTCAGCGTGAACGGCGAAGACGGAGTCGTGAAGGTGTTGCAGCCTGGCATCTACAGCATTGGAGCTGTGGTGACCTCGGCGCCGGAACTCAGTTGCAGTGTGCAGCTGATGAAGAATGGCACGAGTCTGCAAGTGGCGTACTCGGGCTTTTCCAAGGGCTACTCTTGTTCGATACCGCTGAACTCGGTCACGCATTTGGAGATGAACGACGAACTGATAGTCACGTGCAGTAGCAAGCCTTCTAGCATGTCGTATCTGTCTGTAGTGCGACTGAGTAACTGAGGCTATCAGGGCTAATGGAGGTAAATATTTTCAAGCTTTCATTCCTATCGGCACGTCAAAGAACAAAAATTAGGTTTGAGCGCATATAACGTACAGTACACCTTCGCGTAGTCCGTTGGTGTGGCGTCCGTGACCGCATTTTCAGCCGATATGTAGTCGCTGTTGCCCATTCCGCCCTTGTACCTGGGAAAATAAAAGACACCTACGGTTGATCAGAGTGGTGAGGTAGCAGCACCATTCGTACCATTGCTTCTTGGTGCTACGGTCCTCCATCCAGATGCTAAATTTGTCGTCCTTGAGCGTGATGGCGTAGCGATACGTCCTTGCAGGTGGCGGTGCGAACGCAGTGACACCTACTGCTTCAATATCTGGCAAAGCCGCCATCCTGGGGGAAAGGCAAGTGGGCTGCGACCTATTCGGCGGAAAACGAGTTGTCAGGCCAAGTCCTAAATCTAACGGTGGGGAGAATCCGAAGAAATGAATGCGCCTTCAACAAATTTTGGCGGGATAAATTTGAGGCAGTTCGCAGTAAGTGCAGATCATAACTTTTTGAGCGTCAATATGGGTCGTGGCTACAATTTTTTTCTTAACTGGTGATAACTGCTGAACGAGTGCAGGCTCACGGTAGCCTTCTGCGGTGACCCTTCTTCTCTCTGGGTTCCGCACTAACTCGTACGGCTAGACTCCTCAGCCTTGCCATCAGAATGGACGGTGATTCTGTCTCCAGCGTTCAAACGCATGATTGGACTCAGACATCGCTTATCACTCTCGCTGCGCTTCTCAAAATCGAAGATTTCCTGCTTTAGACGTGTCGTGCTGCATGCAGGCATCATGTTGAGACGCTTCGAAGCTGTCATCTCTGCCAACAGCGAGCAAAACATCGTTTTTTCGTCCATTTTCGGTGTAGAACCCCCCAAACCCGCCCAACCCGGGTTTATTAGCTTCAGGACAGCTATTTAGATCTCGTGGAGGGTGTGGCTTCCCTTGAGGTGATCCTTCATCGATGGAAAGTGTGCTCGAGTAGTTTCTCATATTTAACACTAGTGTAAGTCACGTGACCTAAGCGCGTGACCAAATCCGTTCATGACCTGTAATAATGATTACCGAAGATTTCAACACGCTCTCCGTTTTTCACCACTCGAACGGCCTGGCTGTAGCTCTGTGATACAATTGTCGTGTCTCCAAAAAGCATCTAGACATCTGGGCGGCCGATAACAACAGCGCTAGTCCAGCACAAGTTCGACGGAGCGTCTGTACGGATCGCCTTCAGTTCGTTATTGACGGCTTCTTCGCTACTTTGTAGCTTCTCCAGCATATTACGTCGAGAAGGGAAGGTGAAATTTCATGTTCAATTTGAGTCGGACAGAGCCATCGTCTGCCTGGGTCACCGTGCGCGGTATGTCGCCGTTCTCGTTGAGCTCAGAGTCCAAAGTTTGCTGCAAACACTGTTTACGGTGAAAAGAAAATGGAAAGGGTGTCATTTCCACGCATGAAGGAGGGGGGGGATATGATACCTTACTTTTACGTAGTCAGCAGCTGATCCACACGGGAGAGCTCTCTTCGTCGATGCTGAGTTGGTATTGCCGAAGCTGCCTCGAAACCTGTGTACAAGCAGCACACAGAGGTTAAGCAGATGAAGTCCCACATAACTTCAGCGTTCATCTCTTACCATTGGTTTTTGTCTCTTTAGTTTTCCATCCAGATCGTTAACGTGGCGTCTTTGAGTTCGATTATGTAGCGGTACGACGGAGACGCCGAACATCGTAAGGCCCTCGATTTCGATAGATTTCATTGATGCCATCTTCGCTGCCCAACTCCAGAAGAAAAATGCGGGTCGTCTATTGCCGAGCCCACTCAGCTGTGCGCGTAATTGCTCGACTTCTCCCCCTTGCAGCGCATTCAGACTGTCATTCAGCCGCTGGTTAACGAGGGTTAACTTGAAAGCGCAGCTCCAATGAACGTCTCCAGTCGCCAAGGCTGTCAATTTGCGGGCATCCACATCGCCAGTCGCAGAATAACTACATCAGAATAAAAAATGATACGGGATTTGTAACGTTTCCGTCAAAATTATTCATTGAGGGACTCGACAACGAAATGTTCATGGTCACTTTCGGTCTTTTACTTTTAAGATTTCCCGAGTTTTAGATATTGGCTCCATCCATGCCCAACGGCTTCCTCACTTGCTAATTTGCAGCGTCGTCGGAAAGATGGCGCCAGCGACGAATCTCGAAGTGAATGGCGTCGTGGTGTTCGGCCATCGGACTTCTTGTGGGAAACCCAGAGTGCAATCCTGTACTGCCAGCTTCTCTTCGGCCATGAGAAGCCCGCCAGACTTGAAGGAGAAACCGGCAGCTTCCTACCGCTACAAACTTGAGCTCCATGACGAAAAACTGTCCATCTGGATGGAGAACCAGACCTCCAAGCAACAATGGTGAAAGCCTGAAAGAACCCAGCCGCGCTCTGTCGTATCCTTATCTGACTGTGATCATGTCGTGCGCATAATACCCAGGTCCGCCGGCGCTATGAGTAAAGACGCCTACGTGACGGCTATGAACGCGATTCCTGAATTCACAGACGAAGACTACGTCAATTTACCACCCGCAACACCGTGGACAACCAAAGATTATCATAAGAGTTGTTTCCTAACTTGCTGTGTGTAGCTTTTCGAAGACGCTCTGAATTCCGACTTGAGCGGCACCAGTCGAACGCAGCGCGGTTTGTCCGAGGTTGACGCTGATGGGGCTCTGACGCTGGAGTTGGATGCGATCATCCGGCTCCCGCGCTCGACGTCTGTGGTCAAGTACTCGTTCGCTCTCGCTCCTGTCGAGGTTGATCGTGTCGACGTCTTGGAAGCGAAGCTTTCGGATCAAGGAGAAGCGATACAGCGGATCGAGAAGGAGAGAGAGGCGGCTCCTGCGTTTGTCCAACTCGAGGCCGAAATGAAGGACGGCAGGTCGAACCTCATCTGGGAGGAAGCCAAGACGGATTTCTTCCTTTCGAACGGAGAGGATGGTTTTGTTGCGGTCTGTCGCCCGGGTGTGTACAGCATCGGCGCCGTCGTGAGTACCGTACTGCGGGTGGGGGCAGAGTGGTGCTGAAGATCAACAATAAGGGCGTCCAAACGTACTACCCGGAAGCTGGGGGCCACCGCTACTGCTCCACGACGCTGTGCTACGTCACGCATTTGGATGAGGACGACGAATTACGACGAATTGAGTGTCACCAGCAAAGACGCCATCTACGGGACTTCCCACCTCTCGGTGGTGCGACTGGGAAGCTAAGCTACTCGGAAGTTAATCTGGCTGCTCGCAAGCTTTTGCGCGCTACTACGTGGTACATTTTGAATGTAGTTCCAACAATTTTAGGACGGCAATCATGGAAACTGGCAAAGTTACTTGTGTCTATTTGGCGTACTTGCACCGCATAATTGGCAGCTAATGGGTTTGTTCATCTCTACGCAACTTCAATCCTCGTCGCAACGCACTTTCGCAGCGAAGAATGTGGTCGTCCTTGAGCTGTTGTCTACAACTCATTTTCCAACGGGAGCGACACCTGCAACTCACCCTGCTGAAGTTCATGGACACGCAACGAGATATCGCGGTGGAGGGTGATACTGCATTCGCTCCACCTCCCGCAGCGTCCTACCGCTATGTTATTGAGCTGAAGAGCTCGAAGTTGAGCATTTGGTTAGAAGACCGCACGTCTAAGAAGCAATGGTACGCAGTTTGCCGGTCCTTTTCAAACCAAATCGCTAATCCGTGGAATATTTTGCAGGTATAAGGGCGACATGGCCAAGTCCGACTACGTGTCGACTGCTAATGCGATTCCGGACGCCACCGTCACTGATTACCTCAAGGTGCCGTTAATACTTACGTGTTTTGCAGGTAGACTCATGTCCTCACAACAATTTTGTGCTAGTGCTTCCAAGACACTCTGGATAGTGACCTGGACGGCTCCAGTGACGTGCAACGAAAGCTGTATCCACTAACCGGTGGAGGTCTCCGGCTGGAGCTGATTGTCACCATTCGGGTGCTTCGTTCGACGTGGTTGGCCAAGTACAGTTTTGACCTCGAGCCCGTTTCAGTGGAGCGTATTGATGTGTTGGAGTCGAAGCTGCGAGATCAGCAGGACGAGCTGGAAAAACTTCGCGGCGAGATGAGAGACGGCATAGCGTCGTCGGTTGTCCAGCTGAAGACGACACAAAAGAATAACGACTCGGTTATGCAGTGGGAGGCGACCACGGGTGTGGAGTTCGTGTCTAATGGCGTCGATGGTGTGGTGAAGGCCCAACGGGGAGGGACTTACATCATCCTTGTGACTGTGGCGTCGGTGCCTGGTTCCAACACTTTTGTGCAACTGCTGAAGAACAAGACCTCAATTCAAGCCGCCTGCCCCGGATATGCCCAGGGTTACCGAAGCTCGGTATCCCTGAACACGGTTGCACAGCTGGACAAGGATGATGAATTGATGGTGACGTGCCAGTGCAGCCTAGCCGATAGCTCCTACCTATCTATCGTGCGTCTGGGGAACTGAGTGGGTGAGGCATGAATCAATGGTGATTCTAGCATTATTTTCGATCGAGTCGGGAAGGCGAAGTGCAGAGCTAGCAAAGCTGAGTTTGTCATGCATGCTAAAGGGGCCAACTCAAGTGTTCGTAACCCAGTCGGTTTGTTCCTTAGCAAGCAAAAAACATAACACACAAAAAACGATTTCATTTTTTCTTCTCACAAGTTTATCCGTTTCCGTTACAGATCGCAGGCGCCTTGAGTTTCCTGAGAAATTATGTCTAGCTTAACAGTATCAACGAAGCGAGATCATCTTGTAGTGAATATCTTCAACCATTAATGCAGACGCCGTCTATCAATGGCTTATCATTCTGGCGGTGACGCAACTGAGTAGCTTCAACTGCCTGATCACAACTTGCAGCTCTCTGGGCCACAGTTAGATTTTTTTTGCTTTCAGTTGACAAAAGAAGTTGATGAAGAATCTGCGCAGCAATGCTACCGTTAAGATGCGTTCTCGGCAACACTGCCACAACTCATTTCCAACAATCAATCAGGTGGGTGAATTGTCATGTTCGTGACCACGTTAGGGCGTGGCGTGGTGGGTACGCTGCGAACGAAATCTATAACTGATCTATCTAAGACTCTCCCTTCTTGATCGGGAAAACGAGGGGTTTCCGATCAGCACCTCGAAACCTCTTCGACGTCTGAGCCGCAACGGAAACCATCCCATTTCGCCAGCTAGATCACAACAACCGATTGTCCCCTCACGGGGAGTTATTGGCTGATCTACCTCAAGGCAGCGTGTCACCTCTTTCGCTTCACCTCCCGCAGCGTCCTACCACTACGTAATTAAGCTGAGAGACTCGAAAAAGAGCATTTGGCTCGAAGAACGCGCTTCGAAGCAGCAGTGGCAATTCAAGTGTGTGAGCGTCGTAAATACCTGTATTCCGCCTAACCGATGTCATTCTCTGCAGGTACAACGGCTGGATGGCAAAGACTAACTTCGTGTCTACTAACGCGATTCCAGGCGCGACTCTGGCCGAATACGCTAAGATACGGACTACGGAAAGTTGTAGATTGGCTTGTGATCTGAAAATTATCGTGCGCAGTGCTTTCAAGCCACTCTGGATAGTGATCTAGACCATTCCAGTGACTTAAAACGGAAGCTGTATGCGCTAGCCGGTGGAGCCGTCCGACTGGAGTTGACGGTCATAATTCGTGTCCTTCCATCGGCGTGGCTGGCGAATTACACGTTTGATCTTGATCACGTGTCGGTGGATTGATGAATTGGAGTCGAAGCTGCGTGAGGCGCGGGGCGGGATGAGAAAACTTCGCCGTGCAACTAGAACTGCTTTTTATGCGCCCCTTACGTTCTTGCAGGCTTCGGAAAAGAACCGCGACTCGATTATAAAGTGGGAGGCAAGCTCGAATGTGGAGTTCGTGTCGATCAGCGGTGATGGCGTGGTTAAGGCTCATCAAGGAGGGCCTTACAACATTTCGGTGCGGGTGAGGACAGTGCCTGGCAGTAGCATGCCTGTCTCCTTGCCAAGTTGGCACTGTCAACCACCATTCTTACATGCAGCTATCCCACGGACGACAAGTGCTCATGCACGATTCAAACTTCATTTTCCCTTATGCTGCAACTGCCTCGTCATCAAACTTGCAACTTACAGTTAGGTTTGTTCTATGTGATGCAGACCTTCGCTGCGATGTCACCGTTAGGACTGCTGCCACAACTCTTTTTTCAAGCCTGAGTGCAAAGCTCCGTCCCGCTTGGAGATTTCCCGAGTGATCTGCGGTATGGCGGCGCAACGCGATATCGTGGTGGAAGGGGTTACGGCTTTCGCCCCGGTTCGAGCTGCGGTGGCTACGCCTCTTGTCCGCCTGAAGGCCTCTGAAAAGAACTACAATTCGACCATAAAGCGGGAGCCAAGAGCGAGTGTGTACTTCGTCTCGACTGGTGTGGATGGCGTAGTTAAGGCTCGACGAGAAGGCTCTTACTACATCTTTCTGACTGTGGTGACGGCGCCTGGCAGCAAGGCGCCTATCCACTTGCTGAAGAACGAGATCCCTATTCAAAACGCGTTTGTCAACTATGCCCAAGGCTCGGCATCGCTGAACACGATGGAGCGACGAGTTGATTGCGATGTGTCAAGCCGCTCTTGCTGGTGTTTCCTCTCTAACTATCTCGCGCCTGGAGAACTGAGCGGATCAAGAGCTGCGGGGGGACACGAGTGTGTAAGCTGGATGGTGTTTCCGGCGACTAATACTTTGTGTTCGCTACGGTTTTGGATATTCGAAGTGCATGCATGACAAGGTTTCGCGGTTGGCTGCTGGTGCGAAAGTAGTAACGTGATATCATCACGCTTTCAGATAATAATGGAGGCACGCCTATCTTGTGTTTGGCTACAATAGGATAGGCTTGTTGTCTACAGCGAGCGCGAAATGACAATTGTTCTTGCGCGGTTTACACAGTTTCCTTTTCCTTGCTCGTGCAACTGCAACTGCCAGATCGTTGCCTTTCAACGCTCTGTTACAGTTAGATTTTCTCTCCCTGCAGTTGACCAAGGAAAATGACGCAGAATCTTCGCAACGGGACACAACTCATTTTGCCAGCAAGAACAACGCCTAACGTCGCCCTGCGGAGATCTACCTCATGGTGGATATCAAGCTGGAAGGTGTCACCGCTTTCTATGGGCCCCCATCGCCGTCCTACCGCTACGTTATCGAGCTGAAAGATTCGAAAACGAGCATCTGGATGGAGAACCTCGTCTCGAAGGAGCAATGGTAACTCAATTGTGCTAGGGAGCGTAGTAGATTTCCAGTTTGTTTTCTTCTAGCTGATGCCATGCTCTGCAGGTACAAGGGCGGCATGGCCAAGAACGACTTCGTGTCGGCTGCTAACGCGATTCCAGACGCGACAGAGGCTGACTACATCAAGGTCTTGTGCAGTGGCCGTTGAGGGCATACATTTCATCAAGATGAATTCTGACCATAATACTGTGCAGTGCTTCCGAGATGTTTTGGACAGCCCCATGGCACCCCCCAGCCCTTCTGGTGGACCTGCCACCAGCGTGAATCGGAAGCTTTATGTGCTAGCTAATGACATTTGCCAACTTGTGCTGATGGTCACTATTCGTGTTTTCCGCTCGACGTGGCTGGCGACGTACAAGTTCGACCTTCTTGAGCGCATTGACATTTTGGAGTCGAAGCTGCGGGACCAACAGGACGAGTGGAAGAACCTCCGTCGTGATCTTCACCCGACTGAATCAGTGTCACGATACGTCCAACTGGAGGCCTTCGCCAAGATCGGTCGCAGGCTGCTTTGGAGGGAAAATCATTGGGCAGGCTTCGCTGTGAATGGCCGTGATGGTCTGGTGAAGGTTCGCGACGCGGGTGTGTACATGATGAGCGCGATTATAAGCACCAGTTCGAGATACGGTGGCAATGACACTCAGTTGCTGGTGAATGGGATTATCGTTCAAAGCGTGAGCTCCAATTCCTCGTATTGTGATGGCAGCAACAAAAACACCTCGCTGAGCTTTACGACAGCCCTGAAAGAAGGTGATGAAGTCGCTGTCCTATGCGACTGCGACCTTGGGAGCACCTCCTATCTGTCGATTGTGAAAGTGGGCATCTGAGAGCTTTTGGATCTCAAAAGCGAATGAGCAAGTGCTATTATCTTCTTCCTCCGCGATGTACGCTGCCGCTGTTTGGTGTTGGTAGGATAACACGAAAACTGCATTTATGTAACCAAATGAAATGTTTCCGTCTCTAATGCATTGGTATAGGTACTTCAAAACATTCTAGTGTTGTCATTTTCAAGCTGTGCAAGTGGTAATAAGTCCTGGTCGTCGATAGTGCGCTTTGCAAACGTACGCGAGTGGGAACGGGCGTTGGGGAAAGCCCACCAACCGTATTCATTTCAACGGTCGTATCGAGGATGTTATCATCGGCAGATCTCGAGGTGGAGGGGGTGGCGATATTCGGCTCACCCACTGCGACAGCGTTTCGCTACGTCATCGAGCTCAAGAACCACAAGATGATCCTCTGGCTGGAAGACTCGGCGCACAAGAAGCAGTGGTGCGTCGATACGTGTGCGTGCTTTAAGTGTGAGCCTCTAACTGCACTTGTTGTGCTGCAGGTACACAGGCGAAATGGCGCAAGACGACTACGTGACGCCGGCAAATACCATCCCAGGAGCCTCCGACATCGACTACGTAAAGGTACTGTAAACTACTGGTATCCTATTGCTGCAGATGACACTAACAAAAGTTATCGGCGTGTCTGTCTGCAAGTACTTCCAAAGTATGTTGGACTGCAGGCTGGACGACGCAGGGTTCATCCCCGCAGACTCACAGCGCTGGATCACGGCACCCTCCGCCTGGAGCTGAGCACGAAGCTGAGCGTCTTCCACTCGACGAACGTGTGTGTGGCAACGTACACGTTTGACCTCCATCCTGGCTCGCTCGAGCGCATCAACGCGTTGGAGGCGAAGGTTCAAGCTCGACAGGCCGAAGTGGCGAGGCTCCAGTCGACTACTGAGGACGAACGAGATCCTGCGCTTCTCAAGCTCAGAGCTGAAGGAAAAGTCGAGGATAGTGAGATCCTACGCTGGGAACAAGCCGAGTCGAACGCCTTCGTCGTCACAGGCAGTGACGGCCTCATCAAGGTGCGTCGATCGGGTGTCTACAACGTCGAGGCCGTGGTGAACAGTACGCCCACCAAGTCGACGCACCAAGTGCAGTTGGTGCAGAATGGGAGTTGCATCCAGACGATTCATTGCGGGAGCACGCGTGGACACTGCGTCTCCTCTGTGTTGCACTCGGTCGTGTCGATCGCACAAAATGACGAGTTGGCAGTCACGTGCGACTCCAGTCTGGGAGACACGTCCTACCTCTCTGCAGTTTTCATGTGGGGCTAAGGTAGAAGAGCACGGTAGTACACATAGTGCATGTAGGTCAATCCACACGCATCTGGTTCTACCTGAAAGATATCACCGCCTCCTGTATCCATTGCGTCGTTACAGGTCACTTGAGGGGCAGTAACTCCCGTTCGACAGACTTCAAGATCTACTATCGACCCAAGGCGACCATGAAGAAGGCCCTGGGGCACGACTCGATGCGGTGGCTGCAGACGCTCGTGGCGCTGCTGATGACCGTCGGGATCCTCTCCGTGGCGTGGGAGCTGGTGGCGCTGCACACTCAGCGGTCGTTCCTCTCGGCCTTCGACGAATTGGAGGCCGACGTGTCGTCCGACGACCTGCTGCACCTCAGCTACCTGCAGGCCGCCTGCCGCGCCGAGAACGACACCGTGCTGCCAGTGTCGTACGCCGCCCCCGGTATAGTCGGCGGCTCTCTTCAGCCAAGTGCACACTTCAACACTGCGCTGTTCCACGAGCGCGACCCGAGGCTGGTAGACGAACTGCGCCAATGTCGCGACGTGGACATCTACATGCCGTCGTCGGCTCGAGATTCGGCAGGTTGCGCTGCTGGTGCCGGGCCGCTCAAGTTCCTGCAGTCAAGGTTGCTGCCGGACTGGGCGTTCGACGCCGTCATGTACGACATCACTGCGAATCAGAGCACCACCTACTTCAAGCTGTGCCCGCACACGCCCATGCTGTTCGTGTCACCTGAGCACGTGCTCAAGCTGACGAAGCACGCGGCGTGGCCGTCGACCAAGCCGGTGTATCTCATCGCGCCGGGTATCGAAGCTGAGACTCCTGCTGAGGGTTTGACACGAACAGTACTGGAGCTCACGGACGTCGTGCTATGTCAGACAAGTCGCTGTGATCAAGACGTAACGAGGTTTGTGGAGCGTATGGGGAATGGCGGCAGTAAGAAATCGCGTGTGCTCTACGTGGGGCAAGTGTCCGCGGATCCGGCGAACTTCGCGCGACGGATTCTTGGCGATGAAGCGGTGCCGGAGAAGAACGAGAAGCACTTCAAGGACGGTCGGTTTGCCCACACTACTTACGATATCGCGTCCAGGACGACGCAAGATGTGATCAACTGCTGGAACACTCACGTGAACTATCTCCCGCAGCTGGACGTGTTCCTGCTGAAGAAAGACCACGACGGGAAGCCTGGGGACGGCGCGAGGTTGTACAAGCCGTTCCCAGGGGACAACACCACCAAGATCCAGACCCTGAACAAGCTCGAGTTCGCCAGGAGCTTCAGTGACGCCGCGTTCTTCGTCTGCCCCACTGCAAAGGATGACTGTCTCCCGCTCGCTCGTGCTTCTGGCGGTGTTATCGTCACAGGCGACGGCTACCCGATGAACGAGCTGCTCTCCGGCTCGGAAGGCATATTCTTCCCCACTTCAGACTCTGCGACGCTGCCCGACGACTCATTGCTGTTGCCGTCTCCAGAGTCCACCTACCGCAGCGCCGACCTCTGCGCGGCAGTGATCAAAGCGTACACCTCTACGTCCGTCAACACCCGCCTGAAGTATGCCACCCAAGCTCGACGTCACTTCAACGAGGACGCCAAGCTCTTCATGCGGCGCATGCTCGAGCTCCGCGCGTTCGTCCACCAAGAGCAGCCCGACCAGAACCTTCGTAGCCAGAACTAAGTATGTAGCAAACACCTGCAGCATATAATGAAGCTCCACTGTTACCTGCTGCAAGTCAGCCAGCGTTAAGTCAATGCAACCAGTCCAGTCCACAGCCAACTCCGAGCCAACTCCATATTCACCCGGCCAGCGTCCCGAATCGAGTCGAGTCGAGTCGAGTCGACCTCCAACTCTATCTACACAGCAGCAATACCGCCGTCATGTTGCACCTCCCTCCTGCGATAAAGATATAGAGGGTATACAGTACAGGCGCCTACTTCTTGCCGAGCATCCGCAGCACGTTCTTGCGGATCTTGCCCTCCACGAACACGGGCTTGCCCAGGCGGCGGATGCGCTCGCGCGTCTTCTTGGTGGCAATGTGGCGCTTGTTGGCCTGCGCGCGCTTGACGAGGCCGTTCTTGTTGACCTTGAAGCGCTTCTTGACGGCCGCCTTGGTCTTGAGCTTGTAGCCCATGGCGCGCACCTGCAGCTGCGGGAAGGCGATGGCGGAGCGCATGGCCAGCGTGGACACGAGCGTGGGGGCGGCGGCGGGCGCGGCGGCGAAGCGCGGGGCCTGCGAGAGCGCGCTGGGGGCGGCCACGCGCGGCGCCGCGACGGAGAGAGCCTTGAACTGGCGGGCGAGGGATCTGCGGGTGGAGATTTTGCAGCAAGGAGGGGGGTGCAGAGCGTGAGAGATGGTGCGTTAGAGAGGGGAGACGCAGGCGCAGCAGATGAGCGTAAAGAGAGGGGGTGGAGTGCTGCGTGGGTCGCGTAAAGAACGCCGGAAGCGTACCGGAAGAGCGCCATGGCGAGCGGTGCGGTGTCTATTGACGTGCGGTCTCCACTGGTTTCCGATACACGAGCGGTGGGGTGTGATTCCGCACGATGATTGGCTGAAAAGGAACTGTTCCGTCGTGTGATTGGATGAAAAGACGCCTCTACCGTCATTCCCTGGGATTACGGACCTCGCTCATGTCGCACTGTCAACCTTCTCGACATTTCGATCCAGAAAAACAAGCAGGTTTCCCCTCGCCCCATCGACCTTCTGTCGCTATACTCGAGGTTTCCTCCCGCAGTTGAACTCTCATTCTGCAACCTTCCTCCAGGTACCGTACCTGACCTACCTAGTCGAAGGTCTCTACTGCTCTACCTACTCCTCCCTCTACAGCCAGCCATGGACATCGGCGCGCACTGCAGCGTGCCCGCTTGCCACCAGCAGGACTTCCTGCCCTTCACGTGCGACTGCTGCAGCGGCGTCTTCTGCCTGGAGCACCGCAGCTACGACGCGCACGAGTGCCCCAAGGCCGGCAGCCACGACCGCCGCGTCGTGCAGTGCCCCGTGTGCCGGCAGCTCATCCGCTGGACGGCCGAGCAGGACGTCAACGCCGTGTGGGAGCAGCACGTGCGCGTGGGCCAGTGCACGCGCGAGAAGTTCCAGCAGCAACAGGGTCAGACGCAGAAGCCTAAGAAGCCCAAGAAGAAGCGCTGCGCCGCCGACGGCTGCCGCGAGGTCCTGCTCACGTCCAACCAGTTCCACTGCACCAAGTGCAGTCAGGACGTGTGTCTCAAGCACAGGTTCGAGGCGGACCACGCCTGCGAGAGCAAGCGCCAAGCGCAGCGGCAGCAGTGGCTCGGCGGCTTCTACAGCAAACCCAGGAGCTCCAGCACCGCGAGACCCAGGCAGGCGTCGGCATCAACGTCGATGCTCCAGAAGAACGCACAGCAGGCGGCGGCATCCGTGGTCAGCGGCACCAAGTCGGCCGTGTCTTCCTTGGTACAGAACGCCAAGGCTGCGGGCAGTGCCATGAACGTCACCGCCACCTCGGAGGAGTGCCCCATGTGTCAGCAGAAGTTCGCCTACGTCAGTCAGCTCATTGCGCACGTAAATCGTGCCCACCCGGACTCGTCCGACTCCAGGAGAGCTCCCGCTACTGCTGCTACGTCGCAGCCGGTTGCTCGCGCCGCTGCTACTGCTGGGGTCCCTGCAGGCAGCGAGGTCTGTCCGCAGTGTCGCGCTGTATTCCCCAACCTGACCGCACTTATCCAGCACGCCGAGACTGCGCACACCGGCGCCGTCGCTGCGGGACGTGCTGGTGGTGACCAGGAGAAGTGCAGCCTGATGTAGATAGATATCCTTAACAAATGCCAATGAACGAAGAAAACTAATTTTGTGCCATCTACGACACCTTGGTAGTCCCTTCAACGCGCGCTCGGCGGCGCCGGCCACTGCAATATATTAGTATATACTCCCGCCCCGTGCTAAATCGTGGAGAGGCGTCTGCTGGCGCGTCGCTTCCGGTTCTGGTCTGGTGTCTCCTTCCTCGGCTCGGCGCAGCTCAGCCGGACTTGAAGAGCAGGATGGCCACCTGGCCCAGGTAGAAGTAGATGAAGTGCTTGGTCTCGTGCGTCACGTACGAGCCGAAGTTGCGGCCCACGATGCAGTGCCACGTGGGGTTGTACTTCTTGTCGAACTCCTTCTTGATGAAGGCGGCGATGTCCTTCTCGATGTTGTACTTCTCCAGCGCCTGGCTGGCACAGTCCACGGCGTCCTGCTGCATGTCCTCGTGCATGTCCGCATTCTTGATCACCGCCTTGCGCTCCGACATGGCTGCTCTGCTGTAGCTCTCTGTACTCGTTAGTAGCTCCCGATCCAAAGCGGCGAAAAGCTCGAATGTTCCTCCCCCTGTCCTTTGCTTTTGCGTTTTTGGCTCGGAAAGAGACGCCCCGTAACTTACCGATAGATTCCCGAAACGACCGCCCAAAAATTCCCGGATCCAGAATTTTCGGACGAGTACCGTATATTGCGCAATTTAGACCGTAAATGAATACATTACATAAAAGGAGCTAATTCTGCGACGCGCGCATCAAAGCTGTGACGTGTGACGCCACCGACCTTGCAAGCGAGCCGTACGAGTTGAGCTCCTCGTCCACGGGGCGGTTGTGCATCTTGGCGGCGTAGTGGAAGTTGGAGGTGGCGTTCTTGCGCGCCTTGGTCCGTGGTCGCTGGAACTTGGACGGCACCACGTTGTACCCTCCCTCGAGCACCGACACGATGCGCCCGTCACAGCAGCTACAGTACACGAAATTGGCAGTAAAACAATGGTTAGCAATCCCCTGCAATTAGCACCAACAGCAGGGCAATACGTACTCCTCGGCGACAGTGGCGACCTGCTCCGTGACCCAGCCGTAGTCGTCCTCGCTCAAGAAGTAGTAGAAGTCATCAGCGTGGCCGTCAAACCCGGCGGACAACATGATGAGGTCCGGGCGGAACTTAGTCAGCGCCGGGATGAGCTTCTTCGTCACGGTGTCGCGGAAGGTCTTCGACGACTGCTCCATGAGTGAGCGCTTGGCCTTAGACGTCAGCTTCAACCGCTCGTCCAGATACTTGGGGCCCAGCACCTTCAGCGGGAGGTTGATGATGTTCTTGCTGTTCTCGAGCTCTGGAGAGCAGCCGTGAGGACCCACGCCTGAGCACGGGTAGAAGTTGTCGTCGTCGTACAAATGAATCGACGCGAAAAACACGTTGTCCGGGTCCTTCTCGTCGCGCCAGGGCTTATAGGACGAAAACTGCACCGGGGCCCAGCTCGGTGGAAGCGGGTAGTTCTGTTTGTGCGGAATCAAGTTGCGGATGACTTCCTCTGTGCCGTTGCCGTGATGGATATCGAAGTCCACGATGGCGACGCGCTGGACACTGACACGCTTTCTCGACTCCAGCAAGGATTTCGACTCCAAACTTTTGGCTACCGCTGGGGTGTAGTACGGTGCGCTGTAGTTGCTCATTGCGTACGAGGCCCCGATGCACACGTTGTTGATCAAGCAGAAGCCACACGTACACATCTCGGGTCGGAGGTGAAAACCTTCGCCTTCAACGCATCCGTTAGGACCCGCGTGATGACCAGGAGGCCGCACAACAACAAACGCATTTCTGCAGACAGGTTCATAACCGTCAGGAGTTCGACGCCAAGGCCCTAGTCATGGAAAGATCGAGGTTCGACGTACTTTGTCTCGTTGTTCAGCACTTTATCGATAGCATGGCACACAGCGCCGGCAGCCATACGAGCCGCCATGTAGCTGCTCTTTGAAATCGGCGAGTCCATGTCGAAGCTCCCACCCGACGGCTGGTCTTGCACTTCGAAGCACTTTTGTGCATGCTCGGTCTGCACGATCACAGGCAGAATCACTGTCAGTACACCCCGCAACACTATCAAACGATATTTCGCTTACCTTGAGCCATTGGTCGTACGTGAGCTCCTTGCCTTCACTTTTGCCGCTCTGCTTGTCGTACAGCGTTCCGACCAAGTACTCCTTGTTCTGCTCCGGCAGGTTGCCACAGGCGCGTTCAAGGTGCTGGATGTACTCCGTCGTGTGTACATGCAATATGTCGTTCAGTCGCGCCGGCCGCAGCTCGTTCAGGTTGGCCCACTTGAGATCTTTGAACCGGTCTTTGTGCAGCACGCCTTCTGGGCCACCCAGCACGCACAGTCGCTGGCGACTCTCCTGGTGCGAGTCGTTGTGGTGATCGAGACATGTGGGCTGGTAGACCAGCAGCGTGCCCGCCGGCTCATTCTCAAGCTGCTGCAGTAGGTTACTCGCGAGCTTGGCCAACGTGGAGCTCTTGCCGCCCGTGGGTTTCGACAAGCAACCGTCGTCCGGCAATGGTTCTCGGCGAGCGAACGGCTTTTTCATTGCTCGCAGCGGTGACGTTTCTTGATGGTACCACGAATATTCTGTCCCGTTCGGGGTGTACCGACCACTAGCAGGCGACGGCGCGGGGCGCTTGCGATGCACTTTCTCCTGAGTCATGGTGTTCAGCGGGATCGGCATCTTCACCTCACGGACGTAGCTCGCGTCGTCGTCCGACTCGTCCAGGTACTCCATCCTTGCGGCGGGTGGGCGGATCGCCAAGTGTGCGTCATGGGCCGGCATGGGGTGTCGGATGTCCTGGAGGCTGCCTTCACTGACCTCTCCGTCCTCCTTGTCCTCGTCGGTCACCGCTCTGGTCTCCTTGAGGCTCACGCTGGACATCCGATGCAGCATGGGCTCCTCCATGCTGCTGTGGGGCCTCGCCACGTAGTGCGGGCCGAAGCTGTTGTCCGTGCCGGTGCTGCCCGTGTCGCTGCTGGAGCTGCCGGGGCTCGTGCTCAGCAGCGAGATGACGTTGTTGTGCATGTCGAAGTGCCTGGCCGCCTCCTTCTCCTGGGGCGAGCGGCTCCTCTGGTTGCCGTCGTCATCGTCGTCGCGAGCTGGACTGCACCACATGGACTTCTTGCCGCTGGCCTGCATTGGAGTCTTGGGTCTTGGCTCAGGCTGGAAAATTCAGGGTCGCTGGCTGGCTTCTTTGTGTTCTTGCTGGGTCTTGAGTCTTGGGTCTTGAGTCTTGGGTCTTGCGGCGGTCTTTGCAGAATACCAGCCAGGCCAGCGGCGTCGGGCAGGCGCATCATTTTCGCAGCAATGGCATTGGTGTACACAAACGGCACACCAAAGCTCGGCTAAAGCCTCTGAAAGTCGATCGAATGGACGCATAACCAGGACATATGGTTCGGCTACGGTGCAACATGCATAAAACGTGCGTGTAGATGACAGCGATCGACGTTCGCCATTGCATGAAGGAAGCGTGGCGAGTGTCCGCTTGGCAGTGGCGTGTATATCGAGCAAGGGAAAGCAACGAGTCGTCGTGGCGAAGCGTCGCTGCTGTGAGAAGGTGAGGCAGGAGATCTGCGGCGATCGCAGGTCTTGCCTCATTTTTCTGGTGGACAGAAGTGTCCATATGAGATTAGGTTTAGAGATGTAGCATCAATGGCGAACACGTTATCTGGTCAGACTGGCAATGCCAGTGTCTGGAGGAATACGAAAACGAGTTCGCTCGGCGCTGCACTATTGAAAGTGTTTACGTGTGTGATCAAGGAAGGCGATCTCGAGAAGCCTGATAGGGTCTCTTTGACAACAAATGCGTTCGCGGAAGGGTGTTTGACGCTGCGATTGTGGAAGAATTGAGGAGCATGCAAATTGACATGGACGCCGCCGACCCGCCGCACTTGAAGAACCGGAGGACATCGGAGTCCAAGATCATGTACGAGTTGGAATGTTGAAGCCACAATATCAAAACCGGTCTGTAGCCGAGAAAGGAACCGACTCAGCAACCCTGTCAGCACGATCTTCATCTCGAGCATGGCCAGATTCATGCCGACACAAATGCGCAGACCAGCGAAAAATGCGGGGAACTGGAACGGGGAAACAGACAGCAATTTGCCGGTGTCCGGGTCCAGGAAGCGCTCGGGCTTGTACTCGTTGCAGTCGGGGCCCCAAGTGCTAGTCATGCGGCCCATAGCGTACGAAGGCAGACCGATCGTGGTGCCCTCCGGGATGAATGTACCATCGGAGAGGAAGATATCCGCGCTGCAGTGCTTGATGTTGAACGATGCAGGAGGATACAGCCGTAGCGTTTCCTTGATCGCGGCCTCGAGGTACGTGAGCGATTGCACTTCGTCCATGGCCGGAAAGTATCCCGTCTCAAGTACCAGCCGCGGGATTCTCTCGAGCATTTCGGTCCGGATGTTGCGTTCAACTTCAGGGTGCTGGCTGAGCGTGTAGAAGAACCAACTGAGAGTCTCCGAGGTTGTGTCGCGGCCTGCAATGATCGCCGCGATGGCAATGGATCGGAGTAGTTGTGGATCCGCTTCGCCTTCCAAGTCGCAGGAATCCAACGCCAGCGAAACGATATTCTGAGCACCTCCTGTGCGCTTCTCGTCTCGAGCACGACCAGCGATGGACTCGTAGATGAACTTTAAAACGGTAGAGTCAATCACCTGGATCGCTCGCTGGAGCTGACCTTCACTGCCCACGCTCAGAAGCCGCTGCAGCTTCCAGAACCACGCAGGCACCGAGAACCGCTTCGCAGTCGCTTCCTCAGCGATATCAAATGCTTTTTCAAAGGGATGGTCTTCACCGATGGCAAGGGAGCCCATCTGGATGCCAAACCCGATCTCGGCAAACGATTCCATCGCGAATCGGCTGAGAAGGCGAAAGAGGTCGAAGCTCGCGCCAGATGCAGCACCGTTCTCAAACAGCGTGTGCATGGTGCGGCCGTGCTTCTGGATCGTCGAGGTCATAGACTCACGCAACGCCCGTGCACTGAACAGCTTCGCGAAGATCTTGCGCTGGAACTGCCACACGTCGCCGTCACTGTTGGTGAGAGCGTTGCCCAAGAGATCGTAGAACATTTCGTGGAGGTAGTCACCCTTGACGAACGTGTCAAACTGCCGCTTGGTCACATCCTCGAACGCCTCGGGTGTCGAGACCACGAGGATATCGGGACGTCCGGGGGCGCTCAGCAGGAATGCCTCCCCGTTGAACTCCTGCACCAGACTCGACACCCAGTCGTGGAACAGTAAGCACCGAGTCGATTTCTAGTGGCGCAAAGTGGCATCTGTTGCTGAGAAGGCTGCGCTGAGAAGGCTATTAGCGAGTACCAGTCACGTGCACGAAGCAGCTAGTGTACGTGATGACCATCGTCAAAGTGCAACGAGCGACGCGCAGCAACTGTAGCCAAGGCTCTGAGGGCCAGGATGCTTCCAAGGGCCAACAGAGCTTCAAGGAGAGACGACCCAGCAGCAAGGACTACAACAGTAGGACGGACGACGCAAGGAGGGTACGCAAGTACTGGTAAAGATATCCGAAGCGGCGGCGAAAGATAGCGAGCAGCAGTCAAGACGGCGGCGGCGACGGGGTGAACAAGCGGAGGAAGAGTCGAAGAGAGCATGACATCGAGGATAGCACGCAAGGGGCGTGGAAGAACGAAGGGGTGAGCGAGGCAACGCTGGAAACTCGCCGACGTGCCACCTCACCCAAGGCAACGACCAAGACCGACGATTGGCCAAGGTGTGCTGGTCAGAAACCGTTGGCCGGCACCCATGGCGCCCACGCCACCAAGTGATGGCAGTAAAAGTGTAGTCAGAATCGAAATAGCGCTGTAGGGTACAGATCAACCCATACAGTAGAGCCAAGCAGAGTATAACGTCAATAGACGAAGCAGTTGGCCGTAGCAAGTCGACTAAGGTCAAAGTGCAGTCGAAGTGAAGAGCCCGGTCCGAGGTGACGAGCAGCGTGCACACAGAGTCACAGTGCACACGTGCGTCCATCGACGACCAGTACCCCGCGGACGCATCCGCCGGAAGGGAGAACCCGCGAGTTGTGCGCGCACGTGGGCACAGTTCACAGAGGGACAGCTCCAGTCAGCTATCGCCTACCTGGGCCCGATAAGAAGCGGAGGGGTCGAGGATCACGTGCGAGCACCTCGGATTGGCGACGTACAAGGCGTTGTGCGTGTTGGATATCGCGTGGAGCGGTGTATATTTGTATAGGTGACGAATTGGCGTTGCTAGCCGCCGAGGACCCCGGCGCTGCAGAGCCGCGGACTCGGACAAGGTGCGGACGGTAGCTGCAGAAGGGCAGATCGCTTACTGAACACGTCGTTGTTCTTGACGAAGTCCAACGTATTCCCCAGGATCGGCAGCGTTGTGCATGGCCTCGGTAACGGGAGCCCTTCCGTGTGGGCCTGATGTTTCGCTCTCGATCGTTCGATGTAGCTCAGCGTCGCGTACGTGGACGCCCCCAGTAGTAGCGCAATAAGCGCAGAGGTGACCACATTCTGTCGTGAATCGTACGCTGCTAACGTCGGAAGAAACGCTAGCATCGGCATTGGATAGGAGTGATTCCAGTGGTCCAAGGATGCGAATTCGGAAGTGACCGCGGTCTCAACTCTCCATCTGGTCGGCGGACACCCGTGGGAATTATTGCGCATGATGAAAGGGCACCTTGCAGTTCAACTGTAGACGTGTAGCCACTGCTATGTTGTAGCGTAAGAAATGGAGCATCATGTTCACTGTGTTCTCCAAAGGATATCCTGCCACATTTGTCGGCAAGCTGGGTTGGGGTAGGGGGGGCTTCTCGACGATCGCGGTAGGCGCTACTGCAGCTTTTTATACAGGGGGTGAAATGACAACCAAAACAAGGATCGGCAATATAGGGTCAAAAGTGTGGGGAGGGCAAGCCTCACCTATTTCCCATTTTTAACTGAAGAACCCCCAGGTGAAGGACATCAATGGGTTTCACTGTAGAAAAAACTTTATCTCATAGCATGGAGTACTGTAAAAACTGTAATTATGCCCCCTCCCTCTAATAGTGCCCCACCCCATGAAATTTGATGCCTTTGGCTGGTGGTGCCCCACCCCTCAAATAGAGCCCCACCCCACCCATTTATCTGAAAAATTGAATTTGATTCTGAGTTTTTCCTAATAAATTCCAAATGTTTCACATCATAATCTTAAGGTTTGTATGTAGACTTACCAATATCAGTGATTACTGTCAAATTCATTCTATAAATAGACTTTTTAACGCTAGTTGTTTTTGGTGCCCCACTCCCTTTAATAGTGCCCCCTTGTAATAATGCCCCAGGTTGACAGGGGGGGTACTGCTGCAGTACCTCACGGGGCATAATTACAGATTTTACAGTACTGTAAAATTTGTGATTGTGGTCCTTTATACGAAATTTGAGTTTTAAAAAGTAAATCCCGTAAATCTTAATTAGTTAAAATCTTATACCGGGAGGGCTACGTAGTAGCCTGTACGGCTCCACCAGCTTTATCCTGGGAGGACAGCTAGAAGAGCTGTATGGACAGCCTCACACAGATTAATTCGTCGAAAAAAAGTTGCTTGTACCTCAGGTAACATTTAAACGACATATTACCACACCATACGTACACAAAGGCACATCAAACCCCACAAAAGTACACCATACTTACGCAAACGTACATCACGGCACCGTGTACCACACTAAGCCGACACAGGTTGATAATGAAATGAAGAATACATGTACAAGTATATGTTGTTCATTCAGCCTACAACTATCCTATAGTTTCACCGATCGTCTAAGTTAATGGCAAAAACAAGCACTACAATCATCTACGATACCCACAGGACCGGAGGAGCATTGATTCCCAACTCTATAACAAGGAAAACGATTGCAGATTCCACACCCCAGCTGCAAAAGCAACAAAAACACTCAAAGACGGTCGACATACAGGCACGTCTTACTAGATACAAGGCTTCTATAGGTCAGTGAATTAAGCTCAAATAGAAGGTCACTGAACCACCACAACTACCCTATAGTTTCTAATAACAAGAGGACGTCTTACTTGCTAGACCTACAAAAACTAAATCCGTTCCGATAGGATGTCAGACAGCCTCGCAGCATTAGATATCTGGCTCCATATTACTTCAAAATAAAAAAATGTTGTTCAGCGTCGCAAATGAGGGGTGAAGCCCCTCATTTGCAGCATGGAAGCAAGTAATATAATACGTATTATTGTTTTGTACGGAAACCAAGCTTACATGAATTGATTGCAAATTGGATTCCAAACTTTGAATGTGGCATAGTTTTGCAGTGGATCGCCAAAGCACTCCTACCACTCAGTTAGTCGAAAAACATTAATAAAGTAACCAAAGAGAGGGTATATAAATTTATGAGTTTTTTTCCTGCGCTTGCTCCGTTTACAAGCCGTCAAAGTCTTCCTGTAAGGAAGGCAATCCGTGATCAAGTTGGTACAACCGAGCTAGCCACGGATACCTACGAAGTAGTTACATAACGTACTTTATGTTTAACGTACTTTATGTTGTTTTACGCAGTCCTCCCAGCCTAACGCAACGCACCCTTGCTTCGTTCAAAAAATGTTGACTGAGTTACAGACAACATTTGCTGTACTATCCCATGCCACCTTAGGCAACCTTCGACTAACTCACTGCCCGACGTGGGATTCGACGTGCGTTAGGTCGAGTCACTCACAGGCCGCAATGAAGCTGCAGATGTCAGCCTTCTACACGAAGGCAGGACGCTTCGTGCAGCAGCGCTTCATGCTGCGGGTCTTAGCCAGCGGCGTGGATTCGTGATGCGAGAGCCTGAGCAGTCGGCCGCACATCTCGCGTCAGTGAGCGAGGGTGTTGATGACTTTGACGACCTAGCCGACGACGATGTCGAGGACGGTGGCGATTGACCCACCGCGATAGGAATTCTGCACTTGCTTAATCAACATAAACCCCGCTTTGTGAAATTCATCTTTTGGTGACAATATTGACAACCGTGGTGAGGATGAAGGAGAACTCTACAGCACCCATACGAGCGCGCGTGCAGTATTGGGGATGGTCACATAAGCGGAGTTTGTGCCACGCCAGTGATACAAACACCGCTTCGCTGACTTCAACCATGTTACGAACGGTTTCCTTACGAGATATACTTCGACGAGTTTGAGCTTTTGTTAACGAGTTTCCAACCATCATCGTAGCCTGGGACCGCATTAGGCGTATGATACAACTACAAGCTCGATTGCCAACTCTAGGCTACACATAGGTAATACTCGATATGTTTATCAACACCGTGATATAAGCAGAGAATCATGAATTTCTTTTCGGGCGTTGCACAAACTTGGCATGAGCTTCGAAAAGCGTTGACTTTGAGTCATAGATTGCATCTTACTATACTATGCATTCCCTACTGTAAAACGTTACCAAAGTTTCATGTACAGTTCATCATCGCTGCTATCGGCCCCCATTTGAGATTTTTCAGATAACAGCTGAACCGCCTTCCAGCGATAGCGATCAAATGCATCTAGCAACTCCATGTTTTCACTTGAGAAACGCCCTCCCGGGTTTGATCTACACCATTGCCGGTTCAAAACGGCGCTAGTCCACTTCAATTTGGTATCGACAAATTTGTAAGAAAAATCCAACCCAAAAATTATATTTAAGTTTTACAACAGGATTTTCTTACGATGCAAAATGGTTTAGTAGCAGAGCAAAACGGCGCAACCACGCTGCGAAAGAAGCTCAAGTACCGTACTGCATGTCCTCCATGCGCTCAGCAGCGGCAACAGCGTGCTGGCAGTGAATGGTCATCTTGTTCACCAGACGCAGGTCCATCAGTTTATCGCGCGTCTGGCAGCTCGCTCCAGAATCTCCATCCGAGCAGCCGTAAGCTGTCCACGCGGGTGAGCTGCAACAAGCTCCTCTCGCGACAACGCAAGCTCCGCCTTGATCTTGGCCTTGAGCACGCTAAAGCAGCCTTAGCATAGATAACAATTAAGTTAAGCGTAACGTTAGAATTAACAAGATACCCAGAAAAAAGTGCTTACAGGTCCTTACCGTCAATTGGATTGCACATTGGCGAATACGGTGCAAGGCGCAGAAGCACCAGGTTATCGTGCTCAGTGACGCGCTCTTCCGTCCGGCTGTGGGCGGGGGCATTGTCCAGCACGATGACCACCTTCTTACCAATGAAGTGCTCGCTGTAATTAAAGCATGCATTTACCTTCTCGTAGACCTCGTCAACGAAAGCAGCATTCTCAGCCATTTGAATGCTGCCGCGCTCAAACTGGTGGTGTACCAAGCCTACCTCCGTAGCCACAGCGCACTGGATCTGGAGGTTAGCGCCTTTCGAAGGCGGGAGGACCACAGTGGCGCGCTTGCCCTTTTCCGCCCTTCCTTGGGTACGCTTGCAGTACACGTTGAAGTTCGTCTCATCGTAATAGACGATAAAGTCGCCAGCACGCATGTGCTTGCGCAGCTCTTCAGCGAAGGTTTTGCGTGTAGCCTTGTTCACTGCATTGTTGCACGTCCGTGGTTCCACGCGAACCTAGGGAACAAGCCAAACAATTAATGACTAAGCAACAGAAATAATATTATAACAAACATACTGCAAAGTAACCTGTTTAAGCGTGTAAAGTTTTCCAGCCAGCTTATCGCTGATTGTGGACGTGCTCAGGTTCACGCGGAAGTCCAGCCAGACCATCTCTTGCAGCTGAGCGAGAGTGTAGGTGCAGTTCTCGTCAATGTACTCCTCGAGCGCCGCCTCGATCTCGGGAGTACACTTGAGGGATTGCGCTCTCGCTCCTCCGCGCGACAGCGACTCCACGCGGCCGTTGGCGACGAGGCGGCGTGCAGTGGTGGGTGGCATGCCGTTATGTGCAGCCACCAGCATCCAGTCCTCGCCCGCCTTGTAGGCGGCAAGGACGCGAGCCCGCGTTTCGGGTGTGTGTGGGGAGCGGGTCATGGTGGTGGAGCGGGGCGGCGTTGGTTGTCTTGAGAGTGCAGAATTGCGAATGAGCGCGTTTGTTGGTGGGTGCCGTAGCCGTCAAACTAAACGCCAACCACGAGTTTGGGTTGTGCAAAAACCGCTTTGCTTTGCGTATTTTTCTGAGCTAATTTTTGGTAAGTAACATTATTTTAGTGCTACTTCACAAATTACTTCACCACATTGAAGCGGAATAGCACCACAGTGGACCGGCAAAGGTGTAGTTTTTGTATACTGATGTGGAATAATCAGCAATTACTATTGTGCCTTTCGCTTATTCTGCCGTGATAATTCTGGCATAATTCTAATCCCTTCTCGGCTCTAATTATGCCCTGAGTTAGCTAATTCCCATGTTAATTCCGGGTCGTCCCACCGCGGTCGAATTAAGAGCGGCGATGGTGAGGCCGAGTTAAGGCGGAATAAGCTAATCCAGCCTGAGTTAGACGGAAACAGAGCGATTGGCGGTTTGCTACCCGCCAATCCATGCCATTCTGCTCGTATCTCCGTCGATTGCCTCGCAAATGCTGATTGCGTGGGCTAGGGGAAGCACTCACAATCATAGGCGGAAATAACATTAAATAAGCGTTGCTCGTTCTTTAATGGATCTAATTCCGCCTGATTTAACAGCTCACCCGCCAAAATTGGTGAAAGGCACAATACCCAGTCAACGCATACCCTTTATATGTGTTAAGTACGAAAATCACGTTTGCCATGATACCAAAAAGAGTGGTACTGTTCAAAACGCTTAGTGGTATCCGTATATCACCTATTATTTGTCAGATGTGCTTAGTAAAAAGACTGCAGTTTGAATCGCTTTCAATTGATTTTTTTAGCAACAAGTATGCATCTTATTACTATTATAGCATGCAAATTGCTAACACAAAAATGAAGTTTAAGGAACATTTGAGGCGTTTAAAGTTGAGATGACTGCAGTTTCAAGATATCAAAAAGCATTTATTTTGTGTTGTACCATTGTGAAAGTAAAAGTTTACACATGTCGGCGTTTGTTTTCTTCAAAACCTGCGCAGGCATTCATGAATGATGGGTCTCAAAATATTTTCAAACTAACTAAAAAGTGCCAAGGATTATATAGTAAATAAAGCAAACTACAGGTAGATATTTATTGCACTTTGTAGAATCTTTTTAAATAGGCAGGACAGTAAAATACTAGTACAAAGTACATTAAATAAGGCTTTAGAATGAAGTTCATGTACGTTTTGTAAGTTTGTAGCCCATTAACCAGCTGTACTAGTACGATATTTATGCGAGCTTTAATATCAAAAAATCGTATGAAAAGTGTGAACACAACAAAAACGTGTCCAGACTCAAATATGTTCTATCTAAAAATGTGTTTGGAGACTCTAAAAGTTAACCTTAGCGATATTTCAAGAAAAAGCATAAATTGAATTTAAACAATTAAGGCTAATAAAGTATCGTACGAAAACACAGGCATAATTAACGTTTATAATCAGCAGGACTGTTATCTTTCCGGAGTGGTATTCGGGGCTGACCGGGGAATGTGATTATCATCTGTCCTAGCGTGAATTCTGTGAAAAGCCAGCTTATAGCTTGTGAACACTAACGTTTCTATAACCTCAGGTTCTAATTATCTGATACAACGATTCCTGTCGAACTGTTTGCCGATGATCAATCTGTTTTGGCGCCCCACGTCGGCTTAAGCTGCAACTTCAAAGACCACAATCAAGCCGGACTCTCTTTGGCGGCCTCTGCTCCAGTTGCGGTCCTGCTCTTACAGCATCCACCGCTTCGCCAGCTCCCTTGAGAACCGGTATAACTGGAACAGTTGTGGGGCGTGTCCACCGAAAGATACGCGAGCAAGACCAAGATGGATAATCGCAAACCGAAGGCGAAGACGGGTCACTTGTTGTTCTTTTCGGCGTTTTCTGCTTGAGACTTTTGATAAGTGAACAGTGGAGGGTGATAGCGATCTCCATTGAACCTGAACAAAGCAGCGAGGACGATGCTGCTGTGTCTTGGTTATTTTTGGCATCCTCAAAACCGAAAATAGCCTACCTTACTTATGAGCATTTAACTGTTACCAGTCGTATTTACGTTTCTACACGAGTAGTGACACCATTTCAAAATTTATAAAAGTAAGAGTAAATTGTTTTAATCTTAGTATCGTAATCATATACTATAATACAGAACGTCTTCCACCACAGAATTAACCTAAGCGAGAAGGAAGGTAATGTGGTTGCTCGTTGTTGTTCTTCCGGATTTACACATTTCCTGCACTCTAGCAATAGCGAACACGTGAGATCTATCGTCAGAAAAAATTAAGCGCTCCAAAGTCACGATCTGATTGGCTCTCGTAAGATATATTATTTTTAGAGAATGAACATGCAAGCCGAACACATAAAAAAACACGATGTTACGGCGCAGTTGACCATGACAGCAGTTGCAACATTCTGGTATCGTCTTCACAGATTACAAACTGCGGTGAGAAGGGGTTCCGTCTGATCAATTGGACACTCTATTGACCAGCACAGACCTGGCTCGGAAGTTCCTGCGCGCTCTTAATATATGGCATCGGAGCCATTATCTCTTGGGATTTCTGGGTGCTAAGATTCGCATCCTACCACAACACCGAATCTACAGAGGCGCCAAAAGGTCCGGCATGTGTGAAACAACATGCGTTTCCAAAGGATATGGGTGATGCAGAATATGTTAGGGATCTGGCTGCTCCCGTCCACACGCTAATCCGATTTGTCAAGACGCTAATCTCGTCCCGAGCGTGAAAGCATGAATGGAACGGCGAAGCTCCACGTTGGCTTTCGCTGCGAGAAATGTAGATCCGAGTCTGAGGGATTGAAATTTCACCCCTGAGATCCAGAGAAAAAATGCAAACGAACGATATTCGAATGGAGTTAGGCCAAGCGGTTTTCAGTGCGCGATTGGCTTCCAGACTACCCCTTCAATCATTGAATCCATGTTATTGTAGTCATAAAATATTATAAAATGACTTTTCTATGACATTTTCTCGTTATATATGCCACATCTATAAGACGGTGAAGGCGGCGTCGAGGGCAGTCGTCAGCACGAAAGTGAAGGCTCCCTTTATGTTTCTCCCACGACCCTGTCGAGTTAGAGGCAACATCCGGAATGAGCAAGGGTCTTAATTCAGGCGAAACTTCAAACAAACTATAGTTTCGTGAGAGCATGATTGTTAATTATTACATCAGAAGAAAATTCGAGCCATTAATCTTTCAATGGGGCATACAGGTGCATGCCGGTTTTGGATACCTCTTTAGCCGGTATATCGCTCAATTAAATTGTAGTTAGCAATCAAAGTGTGTTGCATTAAAACACGTACTGGTATACGTAGTAGTAAGTCTTTTTAAAAGTACCTAAGCCGCCAAAACAACTTTTAAAAATATTATTTAATAGTTAAGGCAGATGAAAGCATACTGGCTTTTGGTGTGTGTTTTTTTCTGTCGTATACGTAATTAGGTGATTTAACATATCAGCTGTTATTGCCGCTTGCAAATACCTTGTCCTCTAAAATAGACCACTAAAATAGACCACGCCTGTCTCTCAATACGAGTGGACACGAAATAGCCGAGGGCTGCTTTAGCTTTGTGCTTTGGTGGAGGCCGCTTTTAGGCCCAGAAACTCGGTTTGGCCTGTCTAGAATGGCATTTCTGCGTTTCCAAGCCGCAGAAAAGCGTTTTGGTCGTGAAATCAGAGCCTCAAGCTTGGGTGTTAGACCGTACTGGCGAGATATATAAATCAGACCTAGGTCTTAATTAAGAGCTGACTGGATTAAAATCGAGATTATTAACGAGATAATAAGCATGCATTGGCCAAAATATCTGCAAACGGCAATATAGATTGGCGTTTTATAATACTAGCCCAGCGCCGCCGCAACGCGGCGGTGATTTTTTAGTTTGTTGCGCTTCGCTCGCTCCGCTATTGGAGCAGGTTGCCTACGCTTCGCTACGGCAGTGTCGGACCCGTTCCGCTCGCCTCGTCGGCTCGCAGCACTACTCTCAATGTTTAGTTACTACTACAGAGGTTGGGCGGGCCCTGCGGTCCCGCAATATCGTATGAGGGGGTCGCCTTCGGCGACGGGGCCGCCTTCGCTGCGCTCGGCAGCAATTTCAGCCAATAGGAATTCACGTGATCTATACACGGACAGCGCGTCGTTCTGATTGATTCTTAAGATAGATAGGCGTTTTAGCTGTTTCTTACAATACTGCTCATAATGTTTCTGCTGTCCGTTTTATCATACTCCATTCCGTGAAAGTGAGCTGATTAGTGTGTTGTCCTCAAACATAGCCCATTTCAGAAATTCTGTTTCAAAACAACAATTTTATCGAAGAAGTTTTGGTAGTGGTTGTGTATCGTGCAATCGATCCGCGTATTTAAGCGAAACGTCTGGGGGCGTATAAGCAAAATATCTCCTAATATGAGGGGGTGTTGGCCACAGCGTTGAAGTATAACAATTTCTTACATGACTTAAAATATGAAAATCACAATGAAATTCCATGCGCAGCTGTAAGGAGGTTAATAAAATGTCTAGGGATGATGAGCTTTCTTAAAACTATGGGTAGATAATCCAAACTAAATGCAAATAATTTTTAAAAGCGGTAGTTCAGCTCTTTTCTGGCCAAAAGCCTTGACAACAAGGTGGGGGTACTATTTTCACAGTGTAAATGCGAGACGAAAAAGTAAGCTCAGTAAATCGGAGTAAAAAAGAGCATCCGGTCGACTGTGTACAAGCGACCTTCGTGTCACATTTCGCGGTGATGGATACATCGCCTTGAAGCTTGTCAGAAAACGGAAATGATGGCGCTGCTCCCCCTGCTCCTCGCGCTGCTAGCAGCTGCAGCGCGCGCCCCAGCGCTTGCCGAGGCCAAGTGCGTCATGACTCAGACGTGTATCAACCCGGACAACGAGCCCGACTATGACGACTGCATCCCCGAGGCGCACAAGGAGCCCGTAGAGCCGCAGCCTGTACGTCTGCGGAATTACCCCCAACTAGCATAATTACCTAACATGGCTACATACTTCTGCAGATGACGGGGGATGGCTGGCCGAGCGTCATCGGTGGCGGGGGCTGTGCTAACGCCACCGACTGCAACGGCAAAGGGCAGTGTATCAATGGAGCCTGCGTGTGCCGGAAGGACGGCATGGCCGCTGGCCCGCACTGCGGCCAATTCGCCATCCAGTGTCCCGCCTACAAGGACAACGCGTGCTGCTCGTGGCAGCAGAACCAAGCCATGGCCGAGAACTTCAAGTTGGTGGCCAGCGTCTTCGCCAAGAACAGTGCCGGCGGCTGCGACGCTTGCGCCGCCAACCTCATGAACTTGTGGTGTGGCCTGGTGTGCTCGCCCGAGCAGGATCAGTTCATGCAGATGGCCCACGCGTGGCCCAGTACCAACTACCGTCCGGACCCCATGACGGGCAAGGAGAAGGTCAAGGTGCTGGAGCTGCATGTGGCACTAGCCAAGGGCTTGACCTGCTCAGTCTTCGATTCGTGCAAGAACACGGCCATGGCGTCGATGGTTGCGGCCATGAAGTCCTCGCTGGGCTTCCTCAATTATCAGATGCAGGTCGGCGCGGTGGGTCATGGAGAGTTCATCAATCTGCGCTTCAATGCGAGCAAGGACAAGTCGTTCGACCATGAGGTGCTGAAATGCTCCAACTACTCGGAGGTCGTGGACATGCGCGAGACACTGCCAACGCAAGCGCAGCTACTGGAATCTATCGCGTCCAAGGCCACAGACGACAAGCAATGTCCCTGCGGTGCGTGTCGTGCCACATGTGACGCTCACACGAGCGGAGGTAGCCATATTCACGTCGTCGACGACCCCATCTCCATGTCCTCGGGTTTTAGTACCAAGCTTGTGGCCGCTGCTTACGGAGCGTTAGTGATCTTGGCGTTCTTCTGGAGCAAGTGGAAGAACCAGTGATCATGGGGAGGCTTTGAGATAGCTTTATGTTGAAAAGTGATCAATTGTCAATGAATTCCTTCCCCCCAATTATTAGTACGACAGTAGTCATGCAACTTTCCTTGATTGCCTTCATTCTCGAGGCTTAAACAGACACGACGGCTCCTCGCTGCCTAGACAACTCTATTGCTACAGCGACGGCGTCTTCTCCCTGGGCTTCCTTTAAACTTTCGCGTAGAACGGAGCACTGGATCTCCAAGCTCGCCACTAGCACCAACAAATCGTCTAGGGTTGAATCGTTGCTGGTCTCGGACTCGATGGATCTCCGGAACGATCCATTTGCACTCAGCATCTCGCCATTTTCTGCGTGACTGCCACGTTCGTCTTGCTGGTGAACAGACAGCTCCTTCTCCAACTCCACCTTGGCGAGGAACAAGCGCGCCACCTCGTTCTCGAGCTCCTTGACTGCGGCCTTCGCCTTGCGTCCGGCATCCTTCTTCTCTAAGAAGGCGCGGGCCAGCTCGTCCTCCAGCTCACGCACGGTCGCTTCGAACTTTTCCTTGTCGCGGCGTGACTGAACGTCGTACCCCGCTACCAGTTCCTGCAGGAACGAAGCTTGCTTGCCCTGAGCGTCGCGCTCGATGGCTACTGTCTCCATTTCAGCCACAAGAGCACGCAACTCCTTCAGTTCCTCGAGCTGGGTAGATACGAGCTCCTTTAAGCGTTGATCCTCATTTGCCTCCTCTGATTCTCCACCAACTGCTGCTTCAGTCTTGAGCGCTTCTTCGGCAGGCAACGCAGTCTCGAGTGCAGCACACTCCACGCTCACGGGGGGACTTGCTCGACGAGCCGCTTCCACTTCCTGAATTCGCTGGCGTAGAACCTCTTGATCCTTCTCGTACGCAGCGCGTGCGGCAGCTTCCAGTTCTTCAACACGGTGCTCTAAGCGCACCTTGTCATCCATAAGACCATCCACCACGCTCTTGAACTCGGTTCTGTCTGCCTCACCTGCTTGGTCGGTTCTTGAGCGCAACTCAGTAAGCTCTGCCTTCAGCCGCTCGTTGTCCCGTTTCACCAGGTTCTGCCCTTCGGTGAGCGTTTCGAGCATCTGAGTACATTCGGCTAGTTGCTCATCCTTCTGCTTATTTTCCACACGCAACTCCTCAAGCTGGTTCATGAGGCGCGCGTTTGCAAGCTCAGCATCACCCTTCTCTCGGAGTGCTTGGGACGCCGCGCCACCTTTAGCTGCAGTGGCCTCGGTTCGTAGTCGCCGATTGGTTTCTCGCTCCGCATCCAATTCAGCTTGTAACGCAGCGATTTGTTCTTCCAGCCCGCTAGAAGCAGCCAGAGAAGATACCTCGGTCATCCCAGCATGGGCAGCGGCAAGCTCCTGTCCACGTTGTTGGTGCTCTCGCTCAAGCTGCTCATACGCCATCGTAAGACCATTCACTCTAGTCTCCATCTCAAGCGCTGATTCCGACATGCTCTTAATTTTGCTCTCTAGCTCGGCCTTCTCCCGCTCAAATTGCTCGCGCTGGGTGGATAGCTTCTCCAATAGTTCGTCCTCACTCCTTGGGTCTGTCGTAGAAGCGTTGGTAGCGTTTGGATCACCCGCTCCATGAGCCACACGCTGCTTCAGGTTTTCCACTTCTTGTTGCAGGTCATGAATTTGCTTGTCCTGCATGCGGATGAGATCCTGATAGGCGCCAATTGCACTTGGAGCTCCAGGCTCTACACCTGAAGACGGAGAAGATCCCCGGTCGACTCCGGTGTAAATCGCGATAACGCGTTTCTGAATTTGTTCAGCCATCTCGCGATAAAACGCCGTAAAGGATCGTTCATACAGCATGAACAGGTAGTGAGCCTCGGCGTCTTCGCTCGATCCTTCCGCGTTTTCTTCACTAATGTCGTATGTAGCACGATAGGCGAGCAATGTCCGTGAGCTTTGCGTCTTGCTCGTCCGAGCGCATGCAATTAAAGCTGGGGTTTGCTGAAACTTCACCAGCGCATCCGTGAAACGCTCAAGACCGACGCGCTTGCTGATCAACTCAAGCAGCTGGTCACGGGTCATCTGCAGACCTTGGTCTTCTTCTACCCCGACTGGTTTTAGTGCAGTATTGGCAATCTTCAAGGCCTGCTCTTCCTCGTCTTCACATAGAAATTCCAGACAACATCCCAGCAGCAGGGCAACAAGCCCCCGAAGCTGTGTCACCTCGGACGCACCGCGAGAAGAAGAAGAAATGGGCTGCCCGTCGGAAAGGCTGTCCACAAGCACCGACAAGTTTGTCACGGAGCCTACGATCTCTCGGACGGCTTTCGGGCATCCATGGCACCAGCGAATCAGCAATAGAAACACTGATAGTTTGGCCTGGAACACGATAGACTGAAGTGCAGCGCTTAGTTCGTCTTCCACCGATGAACGCAATAACCGCAGACAGCGCGACAGGAACAACCCTCCAGCCACAGCACGAGCGTCCGAGTGATCGTACTCGGCAGGCACGCGGAGTGCAAGCTCTTTACAGTACGAACTATTCGAGAGTAGACCTGCCAGTCGATGGCTTGCCTTCCATGCCACCACTAGCTCGTTATTTAGCGGCTGTGTAACACCACTGTCGTTGCATTGGACAATGAACTCAGTGTTACAGATAAACGCATCCAGAAGAACTCGGCCCGCCGATGGAGGAGCTGAAAACGCATCGTATCCACCGTCTCCTCCAGTAGACATCGGAGGCGGTGGTGCAGACTGGATATGCTGCAACACGGCCATCCTAGCACCCTCATTTTCCTCGAAAAGCGAATCCAGCAGCGCCGACGATGCCGCGGCAATGGGCGACTCGTCACTTTCGTTGCCCACATCAAGGTTCACCAATTCCGCAAGAACATTCCGGCCGGACGGCGACGCGTACAAGTTAACCAAAATCATCTGCGCGCCGCCGTTGTGCTCCGTCACCAACCTTAACAAATCCAAAGCCTGCAGTCTCAAATCCGCCAGCGCGTCGCTGCGACAACATACCAGCTCCCCCACGGCGCCCATGAGCGCCTCCTGTCGGGCCACAAGGCTCTGTATCCTGGCCAGCTCCTGGCCCTTCCGATCACGGTCTCTCTGTGCCATTTCATCCAGCGACGACTCGCGCGCTCCTTCATACAGCCCCGCCACGAGGAACCGCACGAGCTGCAGGCCAAGCTTCAGCACGCGCTTCCTCCTGCTCAGCGCGGCTGCGTCCTCCTCCTCTTCTCCTCCATCGATCCCCGGCAGCCTCAACAGCCTCGGCACGTGGGACTCGAGGTACGGCATCTCAAGGAACAGCGTCTGCGTCATGAGGTTGTCTCTCACCATGTTGTTAACGATCTGCAGGCAGTCGGCGATGACGCTGGACGCCGGACTGGCGCCCGTCTCCGCCAGCCCCTCCACCTCCATGATCTGGAACAATCTCGCAAACCCCTCTTCGAAGGCCAGGAACTGCTGCGCGTTCTTGTCGCGGCCCGTCAATTGGCCCAGCACGGCCAGCGCCGCGTCGCGAATGTGCTCTCGACGGTCCTCCACGACCTCCAGCAGGCGGCGCAGCCCCTCCTTGCACTCCAGCACCGACTTGGCGAACGCGCCCGGCTGCGCGTCCTGCAGCGCGCGCACTAGCGCGACGGCCGGGCCGCGGATCCACGGCGACGGGTCCTGCAGCAGCGTGAGGCACGTCTGCATGCCCCACGTGGCACTGGCACAGGCCGAAGGCTGCTCGAGCAGCAGCAGGGCGGCCGACGGCGCGCGGCTCACGACGGACTGCAGGAACTCGAGCATGGCCTCCATGAGCTCCGTGTCGCGCGGGTCGGACACCAGCGCGGCCAGCACGGCGGGCACGGCGGCATCTCCGAGCTCTTGCTCTTCAACTGTAGGGTCGACGCTGCTGCTCTTACGGCCGCCGGGACTGCGCGACGCGTCGAATCTCTGCGCCAACGATTGAAGAGCAGCCATCGCCTTCTTGCGCTCACCCAAAAGTGTTGCAAATTGCAAGCGCTCCACGGCCAGCGCGATGTCCGCTCTGACTTCGGGCGACACGGCGCTTGGCGCGCTCGGAGAAGGCGTGGGCGGAGGGGAGAACGAGACGTCCGCGCTGGCCTGCGCATCTGCGGGCCGGCCCTCGGGCCCACTGGGAGACACCACGATGCGGCTCAGCAGCGCTTGCATGGTGACGCTGTGAAGGGACTGCCACGTCACACTGGGAGTTTGTATGAGCCGTTACCAATATACTAATCGTAATTTGACAAAGATGTAGCCATCTTGAAATGGCTCACAGTGTAGCTGTGAACCGCAGAGGATGGGGCACCTCACAAGGAGAAGATCGTGGAGCTCGCGCTGCACGATCCTAGCGTGCGTTTTAAGAGCTCCGGGGACATCAACGTCTCGGCAGTGCGCAAGCAGTGTGGACATTCCACTAAAGTCATCAAGCGGGTGCTGGAGGAAAACGACGTGGACATCTTCGTCCCTCGGTCTAGCCCTCCAGCTCCAGTTCTTCCCGTTCCAGCCGCTGTCCTCGATCGTGCTCCAGTCCATGATTAGGCTCTTGTCCTGCATCCAGCGCTTCCTGCACAGAGTGATTGCGGTGATGACAGCGACAGCGAAGAGGAGAGTGAAAACGAAAACGAAGAGGTCACCCACGCTGAGGGTGTGACTGGCAACGAGGATGCTACGCGCACAACTACTGGCAGCGATCGTGGAGGAGTTCAGCTGCTGTCAGGTGGAGAAAATGCGCTGGTGAGTCTACGCACGCGCCTGGCAGATCTCGTGGCGAAGTGTGTTAGTCTGCAAGCGTTGGGTGCATCTACGGGGGCGGTTCCTGTGCAGCGCCTAGTCGAGATTACCAAGGAGCTGGAGCACATTTCTAGAGCTGGCGGATTCTCCTCGGCTCATGGAGCTGGACGGAGCAGTCCAAACCGATAAAGGCGAGGGCGGAGGTGTGCAATCGATTTGATGGATGTTCGGAGCGCGTCTGGGCTATGGAGTATGACTTCAGGTTGCAAGAAGGATTAAAGAAGCGCAGTGTGGACAAGCCGAGCTGGCTGAAGGAAACATCGAAATTTGTATTGTCGGGAACATGTCAAGATGTAAAGGAAACAATCGGAGGCTACAAGCTGGGGCCTGTAACCTTCACACAAAAAGGGATGGGTGTCTGCGCCGAATCTCAGCTCAGCTCGAGCAGAAGCTTTCTAAAACAACCATCCCCACCAAGACGGTTTGTTCGTTGGCTCCGGCGTCGAATAGTCACCAGATCGATCAGCCGTGCGAACGTGAAAGCGCTGATGGTCGTTGGCATTCAGGCCAGAATCGCCGCTCAGGTGGCCACGAGAACCAGGACCATCCGTCTGAGCTTGGTAGGGGCTGATATCCGGCGCTTCCGTGCTCGGATAGTCCTCATTCACCGGCGCCTCGGTACTCGAGTACTCGTGGTTCGCTGGCGCTTCGGTACTCGGGTAGTGTTGGTTGGCGGGGGCCTCGGTACTCGGGTAATCCTCGTTCGCTGGAGCCTCGGTGGTCGGGTAGTCCTCGGTGGTGGGGTAGTTCTCGTTCACCGGCGCCTCGGTACTTGAGTACTCATGGTTCGCTGGCGCTTCGGTACTCGGGTAGTGTTGGTTGGCGGGGGCCTCGGTACTCGGGTAATCCTCGTTCGCTGGAGCCTCGGTGGTCGGGTAGTCCTCGGTGGTGGGGTAGTTCTCGTTCACCGGCGCCTCGGTACTCGAGTACTCGTGGTTCGCTGGCGCTTCGGTACTCGGATAGTGTTGGTTGGCGGGGGCCTCGGTACTCGGGTAATCCTCGTTCGCTGGAGCCTCGGTGGTCGGGTAGTCCTCGGTGGTGGGGTAGTTCTCGTTCACCGGCGCCTCGGTACTCGAGTACTCATGGTTCGCTGGCGCTTCGGTACTCGGGTAGTGTTGGTTGGCGGGGGCCTCGGTACTCGGGTAGTGTTGGTTGGCGGGGGCCTCGGTACTCGGGTAATCCTCGTTCGCTGGAGCCTCGGTGGTCGGGTAGTCCTCGGTGGTGGGGTAGTTCTCGTTCACCGGCGCCTCGGTACTTGAGTACTCATGGCTCGCTGGCGCTTCGGTACTCGGGTAGTGTTGGTTGGCGGGGGCCTCGGTACTCGGGTAATCCTCGTTCGCTGGAGCCTCGGTGGTCGGGTAGTCCTCGGTGGTGGGGTAGTTCTCGTTCACCGGCGCCTCGGTACTCGAGTACTCGTGGTTCGCTGGCGCTTCGGTACTCGGATAGTGTTGGTTGGCGGGGGCCTCGGTACTCGGGTAATCCTCGTTCGCTGGAGCCTCGGTGGTCGGGTAGTCCTCGGTGGTGGGGTAGTTCTCGTTCACCGGCGCCTCGGTACTCGAGTACTCATGGTTCGCTGGCGCTTCGGTACTCGGGTAGTGTTGGTTGGCGGGGGCCTCGGTACTCGGGTAATCCTCGTTCGCTGGAGCCTCGGTGGTCGGGTAGTCCTCGGTGGTGGGGTAGTTCTCGTTCACCGGCGCCTCGGTACTCGAGTACTCATGGTTCGCTGGCGCTTCGGTACTCGGGTAGTGTTGGTTGGCGGGGGCCTCGGTACTCGGGTAATCCTCGTTCGCTGGAGCCTCGGTGGTCGGGTAGTCCTCGGTGGTGGGGTAGTTCTCGTTCACCGGCGCCTCGGTACTCGAGTACTCGTGGTTCGCTGGCGCTTCGGTACTTGGGTGGTGTTTGCTGGCCGGTGCCTTGGAGGTCGTGGTCGCAGCGTTTGGGCTCGGACGATAGGGATTTTCACGATTTTGGTGACGCGCTTTTGGCTTCTGGTTGGTGGGTCCGTTACTCGTCGCTTCGGCTGCTGGCTTGTGGATACCAAGATGAGAACTCGTTTTGGGAGTCGAGGAAGCAGTCGCAGCGCATGGCGTTCGGCCCGACACCGAAGCTTTTGTTGGTTTGGAAGGGCCCCAAGACGGCGAAACTTTATGCGTAGAGCCCCTGTGAGTCGGTTCGCTTTCCAGCTGCCTGCAGTCCCACTCGGATCGAGGGGTGCACTCAACACCAGAGATCAAGACTGCATTGCCATTTTCAGCCGCGGCGGACTCCCCAGTAGTGGCACATCCCGCAACGAAAACGTAGGCGAGTCCGACGAGGGCGGTAGCTTGGCGCGGGCGCATTGCTGTTGAGAGTGCTGTCGGAGAACCAGAAGAAACGTGGCGGTGCGTAGGACCGATCTTGGTGATAGCCGGTAAATGTAAGAATGAGAGGAGAGTTCACGGCAGCGACGGAGGTGTCTTCCTCGAGATCGGAGGAAACGTAGTACGTACGTAGCTAGCACGCTGATGCGGATAGCCATTGACGCACAGCCCGAAAGTCAACGAACGCGCCGCCATCGCGACATCTTAGTTTCTGTGCTACTACTCATAGTATGGGCACGTATCGATTTCTTGTTGATAGACGCACAGCCCAAAGGATTTCAAAGGATTTGTGGTGTTGTCACCCCAGTGCATTGTCCCGCGTCCTGTGCTACTACATGTACTCACGTACTATCTACTGTAAGTACACATCAATCTAATGCACCAGGCGTGGCGCCATGTCGACAGGCCGTCCCACGTCAGAGATAACGGCACACGACCGTTTAGAGCCTGTCGATATCGACTCGACGGGACCCGTTTGTCACTTTCAGGTCCGGAAATATTGACAGCCCGTGGGCCCAAAGCTTGACTGTCCGTGTGTCAAAGTCACTGGATATGGCTCGTGGAATGCATTCTAGTCCTCCGCGGTGGAGGTGCTCTAAACCACAAACGAGCTTTGTTTCGAAGTTCGTTTGCTGGATCTAACACGTACGATGTAACTCACATCGTGTAACTGTCAGTTACAGACGTCTAGGCTCTTCCAGGCCTAAAACAGACCATCGAGGCTGATCTACCCCCCTCCCCCACCACCACCACCACTTAAGCTCTCGATTGCCTCAGCGTTCCACTCCTTCCGCCCTTCCTTAGTTCGATGATACCCCCTCGCAGGGGGTGACTAGTGAAGATGGAGCAGCTTCGCTTCGGCCCAAGTAGGTGGCGTGTGGCGATAGCGTGCAACAAGGGCAACGCTAACCTGTTCTTACTAGCCATACAAGCGCCTGCCTTTTCCTCGAGGCAAATTGTGGGGTATTGTCTTCTCTCTGGTCACCCACCCATAGTGGAGTTCCTTCGAGGGGACATCGATCTATGGTTAACCACACACCCGGCCTCAAGCGACGACGCAGACGCCACGGACCGGCCCATACCTGTAGGCGCGCATGATAGGCGCGCATGTGCTAGCACCCACAAGTAGCTAGCAAGCTGGCAGAAGATGTGTAGGACGGACGTTGTTACCTTAGGCTAACAGTAAACGACTGTAATGTACCTCACCAAAAACAATAATAAACAAGCGCCTGCCTCGTTGCGGCCACACAGGTCAAATGTGTGGGTGGTGTGCAACAGAGAAGGTAGGAGGGCAGGTTTAAAAATAAGTAGACTAAAGAGTCCAAATGGGTGTTTTGTACAAGCGCAGCGGTGGAAAACATGTTTTTTTACTGAAGAAGTTAACCACGTTTTCAGGCGCCTTCAGCACTACGGTCTGCCACTTCTCTGCACTTAGCAGCTTAGTTTTAGTTTAGGGCTTGTTCGCAGCCAACTCGCTGAGCGAGTCTATTAAAACCCACCACTCACTCCCGGGGCTGCCTTGCACCAAATCTCTGCGAGACTCGTTGCGAGGCATGCCTTCGGTGATCAAAGAACTGTCGCCTTTGCCCCAAACGTGTTCACGGAGTAAAGTCTGAAAAAGTACCCCTCTAAGTACGAAATCAAGGGGCCTTGCAGGACACGGACAGTTGAATTAGTAGATCGGCGTCTTAGTCGAAGCACCGGCTCAGCCAAGCCGCTACGCGGGCTCTTCGCATTAATATCTGATTGGTTACAGTAGTTGTCATCTCGCTCAATGAATTTTGCGTGCATCGAGCCCGAAGATCGCTATTCTGGAAGATTGATGTGCGCTAAAGCAACCAGGTGTTTGAGAGATTAAAATGCGACGGCATTGCAATACTTCCGCCTGGCAGGCATTGCCATATTATAGAACGCTAAGCCAAGGGTGAGGCGTAGGCCACATCGAATTTTGTATTGCCAGGTTCATTTCAAAATGTAAAAACAATCTAAAGCTGCTGCTACCTTCACAGCTTCAAATCGGGGGACTGGATGTCTGCGTCGGCGTAAACGGGTGCACGCAGCTCAAAAGCAGCCACCTCCACGAAGACTCTCAGTTCGTCTATGGCGTCGAAAAAGCACCAGCTTCATCACCCTTACGAATGTGCTGCTTCGGTGCAGACTTCGGGTGGTCGCGGTGGGATGGCTCCACCTTTTTCTTGCCCTCCGGCTTTGGATCATGCTTGGGTGCGTATTCAGGCTTGCCCAACTTCTTGTCGCTACCCGTACGATGGCCGTTCTCAATGTAGCGGCCAGACTCTTCGCCACCACGCTTCGGGCGGCCACCGGTAGCAGGCACGTTCGGCTTCGGCTGGTAGCGTGAGTCCTCCTTCTCCGGGAGGTCGGTCTTTGCGTAGTTGTGACCATCCTCGGTACGCGCGGGCTGACGGTGGTGGTGCTGGTTGTCACGGCCGTTGTCGTCGAAGCGGCCAGACTCTTTGCCACCACGCTTCGGGCGGCCACCGATAGCAGGCACGTTCGGCTTCGGCTGGTAGCGTGAGTCCTCCTTCTCCGGGAGGTCGGTCTTTGCGTAGTTGTGACCATCCTCGGTACGCGCGGGCTGACGGTGGTGGTGCTGGTTGTCACGGCCGTTGTCGTCGAAGCGGCCAGACTCTTTGCCACCACGCTTCGGGCGGCCACCGATAGCAGGCACGTTCGGCTTCGGCTGGTAGCGTGAGTCCTCCTTCTCCGGGAGGTCGGTCTTTGCGTAGTTGTGACCATCCTCGGTACGCGCGGGCTGACGGTGGTGGTGCTGGTTGTCACGGCCGTTGTCGTCGAAGCGGCCAGACTCTTCGCCACCACGCTTCGGGCGGCCACCGATAGCAGGCACGTTCGGCTTCGGCTGGTAGCGTGAGTCCTCCTTCTCCGGGAGGTCGGTCTTTGCGTAGTTGTGACCATCCTCGGTACGCGCGGGCTGACGGTGGTGGTGCTGGTTGTCACGGCCGTTGTCGTCGAAGCGGCCAGACTCTTCGCCACCACGCTTCGGGCGGCCACCGGTAGCAGGCACGTTCGGCTTCGGCTGGTAGCGTGAGTCCTCCTTCTCCGGGAGGTCGGTCTTTGCGTAGTTGTGACCATCCTCGGTACGCGCGGGCTGACGGTGGTGGTGCTGG